GTTACTGTCTTGTTAACTTTGCTGAAAATGGAATTAAAGTGTAAAGTTACCCAAATATAAAATCCATTTTTGTAGGGCTCTCCTTTAATATTTTTCTTATCCCCTAACTTTGCCTTTTCAGTGAGCAATATCCCCTCCCAAAATTCAAAACAATTACAATTTTGTTTTCAAACCAATGAAATATCTTTGATAAAAATTAGTTCCCTCACGATGTGTTGCACTACATGTACATGTATGTAAATGTATTATTAGCTCACTCAAAATGCGAGGTAAATACCCAATTCAGACCCCTTATTCTGAAGTTTATTAACGGCTCAATGATGAGAGATCAAAATAACCAGCATCTTTTTGTAAAAATGTAAAAGCTGAATAGTCAGGCGTGGCCTTAAAATTGAATCAGTAAACAGCCTTCTTTTTATTGACAAAACTAAGGCAATGCGATAACAGTATGATCTGTAAAAAAAAAAAAAAAAATGGAATTTTTGCTGGTTAAATATTGATAGACAATATGTTTCAGGGGCAGTTGGGATACAGTCATTTGTTCATGAAACAAGCTCCAAAAATGAAGCAGAAATTTTGTGATTTTGTCACGAGGGGATTACAACTCTAGCAATATTTTGGAAGTGGCTGTTTGTTTAGAAATAGTGGTAAGTCCAATTAAGTCAAACAATTGCCTTTTTTGTTTATTCTTATTATTATTATAATTTCCGGTAATGAAACCACTTCCTCGAAAGTGCCCTAGGCCCTAGCTCGCAAGCCTGAAGAAACCTGTAGAGAGAAGACAATGAGAAGAAATTACAGTTTTAGAGGTGGGAGGAAAACCCCAGAAGAATATTCTGGGGAAACCCACGGAATCAGGCAGGGACTGAAAACCCAATCCACTTGTAGACCAGGGCAGGAATCGAACCAGGGTAACAGCGGTGGAAGGCGAGGAAAGAACCGCTACGCCATGCATTCAGTTGCTACTTGTATTGTAAAAGCATTTATTTTTTGCCTCTTAATTTTAATAGTTTATTTGGGGAATCCTTTTCCCCCACATGTGCATTGTACAATGTACATGTCTAACTACATGTATTCTCGCTTGTTATGCTAAACTCTGAAATCGAAAGACGTGTCGAAATTCCAATCATCATCATCAATCATGACACTAGTATTATTGATTTATTGGCTAATAATGTGAACTACTCCTGTTATTTGTTAGACTTCATGTTTGTTTTGAAGTTTGGCAAACTCAAATTCTTTTATTAAAACTAAAAAGTTTTCCTGTTTCCAGCCCACCGGTTCTGCGGAGTGTCATTTGCTCACAATCGCACACAGTATCTTTGCCTTTTTGACAGAGTTAGCCCAATAACATGTCCCGCCTGAGTGCCCATTATTCCCCGGTTCGGAGGATTGTTGCGGCTTAACCTTTCTGTTTGGGCCCCCGCTGTGAGCTGCATGTCGGGCATTTCTATTAATACACACACCTGAAGCGACGAGAAATAACAGATACAGTATTGTGTTTGTCAGGTCGGGATGTTGATGTCTGGTTTTCTTTGTGTTCTTTTGAGGAGTGCGACGCTAGCTTTGTAGTCTTGGTCATTGATGTCAAGGTCTCAAAGTCACGGTGACAATTTTTTCTACGAATTTGACACGGTTCCTTGGCCATATTTCATCAAACTGCTCAGCCAAAAATAGAGGGCCAGGGAAGATTTATTCAGAAAAAAAAAGATCAGTTGTCGAGAACCGGTACAGATAAGCACATCAAAGGATATTTTATAGCAAGTGACTTGATTTTAATACTTAATTATTCCGAACCCCCTAGGGTGATTTACTAGAAACCTTCCCCACCCTTGCAGATTCCAACGCCATATGGTATTAAACTGTACACATAAACAGTTGGACTCCACCAAACCCTTGTGTTGGAGTTTGGCTGGATGCGGATTGTTAGGGTTTTTAAGCCAATTTGTATTGGGGTAAGCAGTGGGTTAAGCAGATTTTGGTAAGCTTCTTTCTCTGTAATTCAGACCTGTCCCTGCTTGCATTCTTAAAGACAAAAGACCTTCGATTTTTGATGCGAGAAAACCTCCTCCTTCACCTTAATAATACAACGCAAGACAGACAGCAAAATCTCCTCCACTTCTGCTCAGAGATAATTCCGTCAGACTTTAAGGCCAAGGCCAGACTTGGGCAATGTCACGTACGTGTCCACCGATTGACCGAATCTCACCGACAACTTGATTAAGATCGTCGGCGTTTGCACCGAAGAAATGGGTCGTCACAAATGCCTGGTTGCGCAACAAAACGAGATCCTGTCTGACCCTGAGATCTAGGGTGTGGGTTCTTCAGACTGCCACACATCTCGTGGTTTTACACCGCAGTCGGTTACCACGGCAACCGGGGACATTTCTCCTCTCTGGATACAATGTGACAAATCTTTCACATGCTGCTGCTTCCAAGCTCATGCTCATCGATGAGTGGGCTAGTCTTGAGATGAAACGTGTGGCAGTTACTGTACTGCCCTTGCCCATGGACACAACACTTTGCCTCAAGTTGGAGGTGAACCACTGACCTCCCATTTACAAGTCAAGTGTGCTACCTACCGGTATTCCACATTAACTCCCGATCAGCAATTTCATAAAAATACAGTTGATCTAATGCTTTATAACTAAAAGAAATTTGTATTCCTTTCTTTTTATGGCATTTAATTTTGTACATAGTGTAAAAAATGTTTTCAAAACTCAATTTTGTCACAAGAACTTGATTTTGTCACAAGAACTTGATTCATAGTACCAGGAAAACCTCCACACTACGGCATGGCACCATTAACTTTATGATTTCATTTTTATTGGTAAGGACAACTGTACTTGGCCAAATGCCTGGGTTTTCATGTACATGTTTTATGTACAAACAGCTTCAGTGCATTTAAATATGTTATCTTTGTACAATTCCTTGCAGGCATTTAGTCTGTACCGTACCTGGAGGTAGGAAAAAAAATCCTTGAAAACATGTGCAACTAAAGATGGCTGCAGCGTTTGGCACAAATATGCATGCATACATTGTAGATAGAGACTACACCGTTCGTTCTTGAACCGTGAAGTGTGCGTACAAACAAGCATTGTGTGTCATGCTATGGGCTTGTCTCTCTGAAGTGCAGACACTCTTTAGCATATTTGTGGGATTATTCACAGAATGGAGGTGTGGGGAATGCAAACAGATACGTAGGGTATTTAAAAGATCAGCCCACTGAGTAATGATTGGTGGTGAAGGGATGTTATTAATGTGATGTTATTAATGTGCTACATGAACATGCATCCGATTATGTGTGGAACATTCATGTAGTGTATGCATTGTGATTAGGTTTTTCACGCACATGTATTGTACATGTTTACATACATACATCAGTATGAATGCACAGCTTAAAGGGAATATACATCATTTGCTTTTGCTGTAATTTTCAGAAATGAACTATTTTGAGGGGTATAGTATAATAGATCAAATTTTGTTACACTGACATGTTTGAAGTTTTGTGTTCGACAATGCTTGAAAAACCAAGAAAAACAAAAATGTTCAAGTAGTCTGGTTCCCTGACTCCACTAAAGATAAAATGGATCAATTTCCAGATGCCGGAAAATTGCAAAGTAAGGGAACAAGTCTAGCTGGCCTACACCCATTCATGAACATGTAACCAGTAGCAAACAAAATTTGGACCGAAAAAAGTGTAAAGTTGGAACAGTAGTTGCAAAATAGTTAGGTTTTTCCAACGGTGGTCGGCCGACCACCGTTGGAAATGTATACAAAAATACCATTTTCTTGAAAATGACTTCACACCAGGTGCCATAAATTTACAGGATGCTTTAGACTGTCATTTGCCAACAACCTAGTAAGGTATTTCGTAAAAACTTGGTAGTTTTGTTTTTCGATGTTTGCAAATGTTGTATATTCCCTTTAATGCTCATTACACAACTGAAGTGCACCGGAGCATGTACATGTACATGTACAGTACATGTACAGTTGTACATGTACATGTACCGTACCTTGCTGTACATGCATTTCTTTGTTATGTATGACTACCATTGCAATGTAATGTTTACATTGTACATGTTCACCCACTGCAAAGCTTTACTTGTGAAAAGAAACATGATTCAGAAGTATGTACTACTACATGAATTATACCAGAAAATCTGTAGTGTACGTCTAATATAATTTGGTGTATTTTGCAAGTTTGGTGAACGCCCAACAGAAAAAAAATGTCCAATGTCATGTTACTGTCCAATGGTTACATTATTGCAGATTCCTGCTGTATAATCAATGGGGCAATCATGTGGAACCATGCAATACACTTTGACATGCAATTTTTGCCTGCCCGAAATTGTGTGTGTGTTTTTTAAAATGAGGAAATACTTCAGTTCCTTGTGGATTGCAACTTTTACACTCTTGCTTTGTAGTATTATTGAAATATTATTTGCATATTTAACTTTGAGACATCCATGTATGTTACATGTATATAATATATAATATTTGCGCAATACCCGGAACTTTGTGAAATTTAAATCAAATGTCTCTTGGTTATGGGATTAACTTTTAACAATATTTCTTTTTCTCTCTTTACATCATTCCCCTCGCCCACACCTCACATCACACAATTCATCTTTCTCTTTCTACTTGTCCATTGTCCTTGTGTTCCTTTGATCTTCCTTTGTACATCTCATCTCTGTTTACACTCCGTCTCACTCCATCTCATCTTCATCATCTTGCTCTTTTCTTGGTTGTCGCCCCCTCACTCCCGGTCTTTGACACTGTCAACGTCATGTCTCCAACTGATTCATCAACAACAATCTCTCTCATGCACTTTCGCTCCTATCCCCATGTTTGCTTTTCACCTTCTCTTGAACTCCATCTTGTTTTTGTCCTTATCAATTCCTTTTCCTAATTTCATTATTCTGACCCCTGACTCTGCATCATCATCATTCCTCTCACACAAACTCCTCACACCTTAAACCCCTCCCCACCCCCAACAGAAACTGAAGCTATAACTCTAACTAACGCCGACAAAACTGCCGAAAGAAACAAACCAGGGGCAACAGTCAACCCCGTCGAAAGCTCTGCAACGCCCCCCATAACCCCCACAGACCCTGATACTGCGCCACAGCCGGACTTTACTGAGCCCCCACAGCGCCCCTCTCAACCGGACGCCGCGCCGGTGCTCATCGTTACCGGGGAAACAGCATCCAATAGCGATCACGCCTCGTCCGAGCCGGATACCTCTCATCCAGACGGGAGAGAAGACTCGTCAGAAGGAAGTGTCTCAGAAAATGCAAAAATTAAAGGTAAAATAAAGAAATGCGTAAATTATTTTTCCCAAACAATTAACTTGACCCTCTTGTCTAAAAATTCTTCCACGCTGAACAAAATTAACAAACCTTTGTGATTGGTCGTTCTATAAATTTGGGGTCCTCGCTCTTCCTGTCCCTGTTACATCAAACATCTATAACTTTACAATTCTGAATGCAGTCCTTAACACAATTGTCCTCCAAGAATGTTTGTGAATTACAAACTACCTACCCAACAAATTAAAATCATTTGAAGGCATTCTTTATGATACTTGAATGGCGAATTACAAAGTACCAAGGTGACAGGGACAGGGAAAATGTGACCCAAAATGTCTAGAATGGCCCTTTTCTCTTGTTATCCTATGATCACAAAAAGCTTTTTGAACCTTTCATCTCAAACTCCTTTTGTGCTCAATATGTCTTGTTTATTTCATTTTAACTTGGCATTTGCAACACCCTCCCTCCTTCCCTAAAAAAATCTGCCTTCTCATTGTTTCAACTTCTTCAATTTCAAACTGTGTAACATTATCCTACATAAACAGAATTTCTAATAAGTACAGTGTACATTTATACTAATTCATGTGGAACATTGTTTCAGCCGTTGTACCTTGTATCGTGCCATGGATATTAGTTGTACATTTGAACCGTGTCAGTTACAATGTGCAAAGAAGCATGTCCGCCACGTTTACTGACAATCTGTGTTCGATTCCAAGTCGTAAATATATGTAAATTGAACCACCTTACACGTAGCAGTTATTAGACAGTGCATTCAGCATTTGTGCATTAGAGTCCTATTCTAATGCAAATTTATTGTAAAAGTCCTGTTTTCAGGCATTGCAGATTACATGTTTTTCAAAAGTTTAAGGTTGAATGTTTGTGTTCAGTGCCTTGGCAAGAAATCACAGACGGTCTGCGAAATCACAGACAGTCTGCGAATAACAGACAGTCTGCGAATGTCTGTGATGCTATATGAGCTGCGTGCTAAAGTACCCCCTCAATGGTAAGGGAGGGAGAGTTGGAGTGACATTCGAACCCATTGCCGAATACGCCTGACGCTCACGTGAAGACGCTAATCCTTTGTGTACATTCAGAATAGAATAAGTCTTGTGTACTTCGCGCTTTACGCACTCGAACCAGTAAGCTCACGCAGTTTGTCCCGTCCATGGGGCTCTCGAAAGTGGTAAAGAACGCCCTCTCTTGTTCATGCACGGAGCCCATACATGTTAATGTTTCCAGTTGTTTGAGTCGCATTGTGGGATTGTTTGGTAATATTGCTTCAATTTAGTGAAGACATTCCGACACTGTTCTTATTAACTCTAACCTTCCCAGATCTTCCACAATCCTCTTTGCAAAATGGAGGATTTTAGAGGATTGAGGCTTGGCCTGAAAGTGTGGCTGATTTTGGAGGATGCACTGTGTCAAGGTCTTAGGCCGGACCTTGTGTTGTTTATGCTCAGCCAGGCATAAATTTAGGCCAGGTTATACTTGAATTCCTCTGCACTGCTCCAGGATGTTGCTGGCTCTGCCTCAACATATTGACAGTGATTGCTGGAGGATTTTGCAGGATTGAGGCAGTGGTCACCCCTCTGAGGACCACATTCTAGAAATAATGGATGATTTTGGAGGATTAAGGCTGTATGCAATCATTACATGGAGGCAGTTGGAGGATTTTGCAGGATTGAGGTTGCATCCTAGCAAAAATGCTTAGGGAGTTACCGTAGGGTTACATGTAAAAGAATTTACATACATGAACATGTACAGGTACCTATAATACCGGTACATGTAATGCTTGTTGAATTTTAAATATATTCAAAACTTTAATAAATGCAATGCTTATCCCTTCTAAAGATCAGCATACCTGTACATATCTGAATATCAAGGCTAAAAATAACTATATCATATACAATAATTCTACCTCGGGCGGACACAGATGTCTAGTCTACTGTCTGGTATATTGTGTGAACTACTTAATATGCACACCTCATGCAGACATTAAGGGGGGGGGGTAGCTGTACAGCTTTATTCATAGATTAAAAAGATATTTTTTTATGCTGACGAAGTAAATGCATTATCTAATGGCAATATTAAACCTATGAAAATTGTTGTATTTGTAGCTAGTATTGGATGAAAAATCACACAGCAGAAGAGATCACTATACTGTAAATTTTTGGAGATATTTTTCCTTAAATTTCTTTTTTTCTAGTTGAGAAATTTGCATTTATTTTGATCTTGTTTTTGAATTATGTCGAATTTTTAAATTGAATGGCACCAATGAAAAATGGCATAATTTGAAATACAAAACATAAATTAAAAAAAAATGATTTATTCTTTCCCGAGGTAGGTTAATGTTTGCCAATTAAACCCTTTTTACCAATATTTCTCAAATGTAAGATTTTTTTGCGTGCCTAGGAGCAAACTACAATTGTAAATTAACTTGCGGTCTGAGCCTGTTGTTACAAACCTTTCTGTTTTGGTACAAATTTGTCATAATGTCTTGTAGATTCTAAACAATTTATAATTTTCCGTTACCCCAGGAATATTGGAGAGATTTTTTTTGTTTCTGTCTAAAATTGATTAATTTAATTACCCTGGACCATCTGCCCGGGTTGGTTTGTCATCCAGGGTTGCTAGTGTTCTGCATTTAAACAAATAATGGAGTGAGTTTGTAGTGAATCTCTGGGGTCCCCGTGGACTTCAATTTGCATAACAAGGTGGTGCAGTGCAGTTTACATGTACATTAAAATGTATCATGATGGGCATGCTCAAAGTTGGGCCAGGGTACATGTACATGTACACACACATGTACAATAGTGGGTAAAGTACACATGTACATGTACATGGTTATATAACACGTCCCTGTCTATGCACCTACAAAGTTTAAATACAGTCCGACTCTTTATATTTCTTGAGATAGGACTTTGAAAAATGCACCTTTAAGATGAGGTCACTTGTCACGCGTTTTATGGCAAAAATACAGGTGGAATAAAACATTTACAAAGTCTATGGGTCAGTTTTGTGTTGTTTTTTCCTGGATGCATAATGTTCATGTTCTAAATACATGAGCATAGAGAGTGCTAAATTGCATTGGCATTCTTACGTGCAGTTCAGGTCAGTGTACATGTTCATGTACATGTGAAGTTGCATTGCTGTATAGTGCATGCATGTAACACAGTGTGCAAAAAAGAGTAATGCCAACTACATGTTCATGTACATTTCAGTTAAAGCTTTGCAATTGCATAAGCTACGTATGTGTATAAGTTGCCTAAGTAATTTAAATATGGTATGCCACTACGGTACATGATAGAAATATTTGCACATACCAGTATATGTACATGTAAGTTAATCTGCCTTGCCTCTGCATGAAATTGGCTATTAGCTTTTGGACTACATTAACACGTTACCATCAAGTGCATTTCAATTCAGGGACTTGAAATTGTTATGGTCTCAAAATAAATAGTTGGCATTTTCAGTTATTGCCTGGATTGTTTATTAAAAAAAATATCTCTTGAAGGGAGTGGGCGCGCTAGCATTGTCGTTTAATAAAATGACGTGCGTCGCACTTACCGCACTGATGCGTTTAGTCACCACTGTTTCTATTGCTGTACAAATATTGCATTATGTCCACGTGGACTCATGCAAAACAAGTTACAATCATCCATGAAACTAAAGTTGTTTAACCTTATCAAAGAAACGCTTGTTTTTTTCGGCAGTCATATTTGAAATCCGTATTTGTAGATTATGGTACATTTATGTGAATGTCAACATGTAGCTAGGATTTCATTATTTGCAAAATATGAATGATAGACAGTATGTTTTTACAAATTCTGTCACAAAGCTGTTTTTTTGTCTACTTTGAATTTATGTTTTTTGCGCTCTTAAAAAAGAGATCTAACAATAATTTGTTTGAAACTAAAAATAATCTGAGCATTTTATTTTAGCGCCAAACTCTCATCACTCCATACACTCTCCCAAGCAGGTTTTCATGAAGCTCGTTTGAGAAATCTTGTTTAAAATCTCCCTGCTAAAACCTTTCAGATTAGTTCTTCCTGGAAATCCCAAAACCCTCGAGGCAAAAAGCTCCCGAGTCTGAGCTAGATTTATCTCAATTCCTGTGAAATAAATCCACCTCAATTATCCCTTCTTCCCCAAGTTTGATGGTGGCGTCGCCCGTCAAAAAAATACCCTCTTGAAATTCAAGAGACGTCTGAAGAAATCATCGCTCATTATTTTACCATTTGATATGGCTTCCTGTCCCGGCTGCACTTTGGCCGGTTCAATGACATTTGCATAAAATAATGGCAGGTGTATTTGATTTATTGACTGGACAAAATAAAAAAAAATCCTTTGCCCTTTGGCCTCCTACTCTGTCAGTTAATATGATCGAGTTGAATATGCGTGATGGCCTCATATCGAATGCTTGAGAACATTATGTACATGTAGTGATGCACTAGTGTCATCAATCAGGCAAATGCATGCTCGTTGGAATACATTTGCTTTGAAAGTGAAATCAATTAACTACATTCAGCTGTTGAAAGTTCAAACGTTTTGAGGATTTATCAAATTGAAAATTCAGACATTTTCATATCTCAATATTTAACGTCCTGAAAAAGTAAACAATCATGTTTCCGATAACTTTCTATGTTTGAAGCATTAACCCTAACCCCCTAGGCCTTTTTGGCTAGGAGCCATCCTCAAAAACAGAGGACCTGCAAAAATCCTCCAATTGCCACCATGTTAAAATTGGAGTAAATTGTAATAAACTGACACAAGTATTGTGTCCTAATTACACAGCGCTGCATTAAACAAAAAATATATAACTGATCTTTTAAACTTGGCCCTCAGTATGTTGAAGTGATAAACCCAACTATTACTTTAAACCTTTTCCCCAAAGTCTGCACGGTGACTATGCATTCCACGTTATTATCATAATTCATTTGTCATTGTTCCAACTGTTTGAGTTGGAGCAGAGTTACACGCTGCGTCCTGCTGAATCACTGAACTGTATGATGCATCTTTGTTTGCACATTGTCTCTGTATTCCCCACTCGCCGCGCCTCCCTACATGTACCATCGTTCAGGAGAAATCGACTCGCCACAACCGTCTCTTCTTGTTATGCTCCGGCCCAGGCCAGCGCCGCTGTAGCTTTCCCCACAGGAAGCCCAGATGCGTTGAGTCATACGCGTAGATGGTACATGTACATGTACCTGTGGTCCAGAAAACGTTGACAATAACAACATACAGCCACATATGAATGTTGCATACATGTACATGTAGACAGTGTACATGTACATGTTGATACATGTACATGTAGATGTAACCCCTCCCCTTTCTGAGGTCATTAAAGATGCATTCCTCATGCTGTTGTCGAGTTTCACCTCAAAAAATTATTATTATTTTTTTTCATTTGTTATTTTCCTAGAATTTAAATATAAAAGTTATTCACTTTTGAAGGAGACGTCGAACAAAAAAATCCACCGACGTTTAGTTATTGAATTATTTCTTCACAAAAATCGAATTATTCACTGCCAGACAATGATTTGGTTCTTGCTGGAGGGGCTCGTTTGTGCGCAAAATGAAATTCCTTTTGCAGATGGTTGCAGATGCCCAAGTTCGGATTAAAGTACATTTTTCATTTAAAACAAAATTAAAACAAATCGTACAAATTAAAATGCGTTCAGAGAGAAAAGGCATATTGTTTTTTAAGAGCACAGGGTATGCATCCTTAATTCCTCAGTTTTGAAAAAAAAATTGAGACAATTCTAAAAACCCAAATTTCATTTGATACTTGCATTGTACAATGTATATTATTTTGCTATGTTTGAAGTCCGGAGTGACTTCAAAAATTCTCAAAGTTAAGTAATTGGCTTGATTTTGAGTAGAATATGGAACAGTTTTGAACTTGAAATCATGTCCTTGTTTTCAAACAGTAACATTCACAGGGAATAACTTGAGGTAAACAATTCCTCATTTCATTGAAAGTTTCCCAACGCAGAGACAACAAAAATCACCAAGTACTCCTATTGAAAAATTCCTCTTGTAGTATGAATGTATACTCAAACATGCAAATTTGCATCCATTACTAAATTTCTATTTCGGCAAAGCTTGCCAGGGTATATTTACGATTTTGAAATTTACTTTTCAGCATGTACAGTACTTTGTTGAGTGTAGTTGGGCATCCGTGTACATGTACCTCAATGGATAGTCTGGCTCTCCCCGTTATAAAAAAAGGGACACAGTAAAAAAAAAAAATCACTCTGGCTTCAAAAACAGTCTGTCCATTGTCCCTCACTGTTTACAAGGTCAACCGGGGTCACCTACATGAGTAATTAGTTCAATATTATGACAAGGGGATTGTGGTTTTGATAGTCCAAGACGTCCTTTGATGGTCAGTGACTGTTTCATGGGTTGACACCTGCTGTGAATTCTGGTGACTACAGTAGGCAGGTGTTGGGGATAGGAATCCAGCCATGATTCTGTGTTCAAGTTCATGGAAAAGATGAAGGGTGCAAGTGGGGGGGGGGAATCAGGAAGTGGTTTAGAGAGTTGTAAAGTCATGGTTGTTGCCCTCTGCTCGGTGAGATATTGCTGTTGTCTTCATTTTGGGCAGATAAACATGTAGATTTACACATCTTGGTTTTTAACACCTAACAAAACGGATGACAGGCCTATGAATTGACTTTGAGCACATCTTCCAAGCATGGCTCATCTTTTGTATTTTTAAAATTCTTTATGTTTTGTACTTACATGTACGGTATACTAGAAAACAGATTTGTTGTTCAGATTTGGGGTTGTTGTTTTTTTTTCAATTTTTTTTCCCATAAGTTATTTTTTTTGATTTGTCAAATCATTTGTCATACTGGTTTATATTTTGTAAATTCCCTTCTATTTGTTTTCCTCTAGATGAGGGGAGTATTGAGCAATCCAGTGAACTAACCTCAGAGAGTAATGGAGACAGGACAAGACAAGAGTCAGGTTCTACCGAGGGTAACAGAAAGGATGGACCACCAACAAGAAGCCGTGCACAGCCAGGTAAAAGCTCAGAAAATATATAATAAGTCCCCACAAGTCAATAACTAAGTCCTGACAAGACCTAACAACCTCCTAGGTCCATCATAAGTCCTCCCAAGTCCCCACTGGTCAACATAGGTCAATAGCTAGTCCTCACAAGTCTATCATAAGTCATCATAAGTCAATAACAAGTCCTCACACATCCTCACAACATGTCCTCGCAAGTCCATCACAAGTCCTCACAGGTCCATCACAATTCCTCACAAGTCTATCACAAGTCCTCAAAAGTCTATCATAAGTCATCATAAGTCAATAACAAGTCCTCACAACATGTCCTCGCAAGTCCATCACAAGTCCTCACAGGTCCATCACAATTCCTCACAAGTCTATCACAAGTCCTCACAAGTCCTTTTAGGCTATCTGCTTCGGACTAAAAATTGGGCCACCGGTATCAAATGATCGAAAGGAGCAATGCTCATAGCGATTTTTGGCAAGGTATGCACATCTATAGAGTTGAAAACTGTGTGGTAGCTTTGCAGGGTGAGCGCTGGCAGTTGTTTGGGTGTAATCTCCTTAAAAAAAATTCTCAAAATGGCCGCCAATATGCTTGTAACCCGATTATTTATATGTGGTAACAAGCATGTTTTGGCTGCCAATTTTTTATAGCACCCAAAAAAGCTGCCACCACTGCAATGCTATCACATATTTTCCAACTGCAGGAGGGGATACCTTGCCAAAAATCACAATCAGCATTATTTCCCTCATTTGATACCGACCAAACCCCTAGGCTGATGGCCTACTAAAAGTCCTCACAAGTCCCCGAAAGTCCACCACAAGTCCATCTCAAGTCCTCACAAGTCCATCCTCACACATCCTCACAAGTCCATCCTCACACATCCACACAAGTCCATCCTCACACATCCTCACAAGTCCATCCTCACACATCCACACAAGTCCTCACAAGTCTATCACAAGACCTCACACATCTTCACAAGACCTCACACATCTTCACACATCCTCACAAGTCCTCACTTGTATCATTTCTATTGTAACATTGCTCAGAGTCCATAATCTCTAGGAATAACTTTCCTCATGTATCCTATTTTGCCCCCTGATTTATCCTCTGCAGTGTTAGACGCTTCAAAACTCAAAGAGCGGGAAAACAAAAACAACCAGTTTAGACAACAACAGCTGACCGACAGACAGAGACGCATTGAGAGCATCCGACACAGGGGTGACGACCACAGGGCGGAAATACTCGAGAGGAAGAAAAAACAAGAAGAGGAGGATCTGGTGAGCTGATTGGTTGATTTCAAATAGAGAGGAGTGCATCAGGGTCGCTGATTGGTTGATTTCAAATGAAACTGGAGTTGATTGGTTGATTTTGAAATTGATATGTGCATCAGGGTCTCTGATTGGTTGATATTAAATTGTGGCCCTGACAAGGCAGTTGATTGGCTAGTTTGAAGTAGCAAGTTTGGATATTCTGGCAAGATGCTTGGTGCTAGTGATATATGGGCACAATTTTTAAGAGTTTTCATATTTGACTTCTTCTTCTTTTGACCCGTGCAGTAAATTAAAAGAATGAAAAATGTTGGGGTATAAAGCTGCTTTTTAGTGAACCATGATTGGAATATTCCTAATGGAAATTTCCTTTAATTTGCGTTGATTACTCTAGTCAAAGCCCCAATCATTGATAAATTCTGTATTTTTGTTTGCTTATTTATTTATTTTTGCATTGTACAGCAACGCAAAGAAGCAATCGTCAGGCGTTCCAGAGATCGCTCAGACAACGCCCGTGAGAAGCGCCGTTCGTGGAGTGCCTTTGGCCCCCGCGACCACCCCTCCCCGGTCCCCAGCACCGGTAACCCGCGCTCAGCCAGAGGTCGCAGCACCGACAGGATGACGGAACGTCCCATCTCCAGCGGAGGGGTGCTCCCCCTCAGCTCCAGCAAGCGCTTATCCAGCTCCGTGTCGGCGCTCCACAGGCCCGTGCACCTCGTCCGGTTGGGCCCTAACGAGAACGACTGGTTCGAGGTTCACATCCCTGAGCCGCTGTCCCGACGCGGCTCGTCACCAGGCAACGACAAGAATCTCGATTCTTCTTCCTCCCCTTTGCCCGCCAGTAGCAGTGCAACCCCCCGCCACCACCTCTCCTCACCCAACCTTGCATGTAAGCTCATTTCAGACAAATTGACAAACCTTAACACAACACGTTGCTGCGGGATTTTCCTTCTGCTTCAGCTTAGCACTTTCCAATTGGGTTCAAGGGTCAAAAAAGCCGCTTAGCAAGAAACACAAATGGCTAAGCTGAATTGGTGTGGGTACCAGTCACATTCAATGGACTCATGACACTTTGGTTGGTAACCCATTTTTGCAAAGCGAAAACATTCCAGCGCTTAGCCAAATTTTGTGCTTACCTCTTCTTCTTTTTTTCCACAACATAAAAAAACAGCAATATTTGGAACAGCTACAAAATATTTCTCATATTTAAATGATAAAAAAAATTGTTACAATAACTGAAAAGCCAGAACATGAGTCTCTAATCAAGTTTACTATTACAGCCTTCTTTAAAAAAAACACCTCAAAATTATCTGTAAAAACAAATATCAAATATACCACTTAAATATCAAATTTAAAAAACAAGTCCCAATTTCATTTCATATCAATTTTATCCAGGTAGGATATTAATGCAAACACAGTCGCAAAAGTACCATCAATAATTCGTCACTTATTAGTTTTGCCAGTCGCAAGTGGCCTCTTCAAACCAGAAATTGAGGAAATAGACGCGCGTCGTTATCCTTCAAAACTGTTCACATTGAAAGGTACATGTAGGTGAAGTATAGGAATCGTGCACACATCTCTCTGGTACAAATTTCCAGCAGCTTAGGGAGTCTCACTGCCTAATATAGATATGGTAAATCCTGCAGCAAGTTATTAGACCATAACAACATGTCCATAATCTTTGTCAGTGTGTGACTTTAATAGCATACGTTTGTCCCACCGATTTGCCATGTTTTTATATCGAAATGAGGAATGTCTTTCCCGTTTAATGTGTCTATATCTAAGGATATAAATTTTTAAGGAATTTCAGTTCAATCTAAATATTTTAGTAGAATATTAAACAAAAACAGATTTTTTTAAAAACATTTTTTACCAGAATTATTAAAAAATCATGAATTTCCATAGCAAAATTATTTTATAGTACCTGCTGAAATCCCCCCACTGTCCCTTTTCTGTTCATTTTGGTTAAGTCTTCTTGTGAGTTATCCCAATGCAAATTTAAAAGTATTTTAAACATGCTCACAAACCCAAAATCCACATATTATTTTTGCAGTAATTGAAAAGGAAAGGCATGATAAAAAAATTCCTTTCTGGTCAAAATCATTTTATTTCCTTCTTGTTGGCAAAGCGAACCATTTTAACTGTTCATTTCACAGTCAAAATTCACTGTGCTACAATGATATATATTTTTGTTTCACTTCTTAATTTATCCCCTGCAAAAACGTGTAATTTATTTTAAAAGCCTTGGGCCACAAACCGTCAAAAAATCCACCCCCTGGTTCACAAGACCAACCCTACATTTAATTTGATGTTTTGAAAAATTGTGCTCAAACTTGTCTTCCGTTTGGTTTCGTTCCACCATTAACTTGTGTGATACCTAACAAGGGAAATCGACCCAGTCTGTGAGTTACTTAATCGGACGCAGTTCACTTCAATTACCTGACCTTTTCAACTGTATCCTGAACTATGCCAGCCATCTCGGCTCAGTTAACCGATAAATGATCGCGTTACCTTTTTTTTTTTTAACTAGGAGTCATTCACACTACAGTCCAGTGTCTCTCTTAAAGACAGCTGTGATTGGGTGATGGGTTAATGATATTCAAAGGTCAAAGGTCAATGGAGGTAGGAGGTTAAAGGTCAGCAATCTCAAATGTTTGGTTCTCCGTGTAGTATTGAATGACTATTTCATTATTTTTCAAAGTAAAAAACAGAAAAGAATTTGTTGAAAATGAACTGCAGCGCCATAGGGGTATTGGAAGGGGTATTATTTGAGGTTGTTTACATATTCATGCATTATTAATATGTTAATTGTAACACCTAATTAACATATTGACCCCTTGAAGCCCCACCCCCTTCATTTGACCCCCATAGTTTATCCACGACTAACTGGCAAATGTACAAGGATAATTTCTAACATTCAGGTGTAGCATTTTTTTCATACATCATAAATGAGAACTTGTATGTACTTTCATGGGCAGGGCTGGTTTTGTCCAAAATTGTCATTAAAAAAATATGGATAATCATTTATTTACAACCTTTTCAAAAACTTGCAGAAGATTATTCAGTCATTACTTTAACCGCTCTCTTAAACCTCTCCAATTTGATTTCAAATTTAGGCATTTTCACAGTAGGATTTTTTTTTCTGGGGAAAACAGTCAACATGAGTTTGTCAATTTACACATTTTGTTTATCTGTATCATGATTTTCATTTTTTTTGTTTACTTCATTTGCTTGATCTCACCCCGGTGGTGGTGGAATAGTGCATGGCACACGTGGTGAGCATTTGTTGTGCTACATTGTCTCAAGTGGCAGCCATCTTGAAATTGTTCCAAATTGTTCAAAGTTTCATTGAAATAGCTACGATTTTTCACTTCTAAATTCCCTTATTCTGTCACATTCCAATGGATAATCATGAAAAGGTCGCTGAGTTTCTTGGATTTTTTGAAGACTTTTTTTCCTCCCCAGAAATGCTGGGAATATTCACCATCTTGATCTTGTCCCCAGAAGACAAACCATGGATTATCATTAACATGTTTAGAAGGCGCCAGTCTATTTCAAGTTGCCCCTGTTTAGTACGGGACTGCACTTTTTGTCCTCTGTAGAAAAAAATAGGTCGGATAATGTGTAATATAATTGGATGAAGTCAGGGATCCAGACAAACATGGCTGCTACTTGAAGTGGATATCATGGCATGGATTTTTGGATTGAATTTTCCATTTTTAATTTAATTTTTTATGTATGAAATTGGCTGTGTTTGTTGCTCGGTTTTGCCATTTTCATTTCGGGAGTTTACATGTACTTGCAACCCTTGCCAAAATTTGTTGCTTAAAAGTTTCATTTGCTTTATCAGCATGGAATTCATGAACAAATATCAATATGAGCAATTAAAAATTAAGGAATTCCCAAAAGGATTATTCCCTAAAGTTGGAATGCTAAACACATTGATCATAAGTGAAAAACACAGATTAGGAGTCTAGGATAAAATTTTAATCTAAGTCGTTATTCATACTTTCTTAGTGATACCAAAAAAAATAGTGTATTGAAAAGCATCTTATAGCCCAAAACGGGGGCTAACATATTAAACAAATATATGATGAACACCACCTGCAGTTGGGAGCTTTCATTACAAACTCTGGACAGAAAGGGGAAAAAAATAAAACATTTGTTACTTTTATTTTTATTTGAACGTAAAGCAAACAATGTAAGGAGGCGAATGAGAGGTAAGTTATGGTGTCAAAAGAAAAGAAGTTGACTTTTAAGTGGTTGTAATTCAGTCTTGATTTCTCGTTTGATGGTGCGGTAGATTAGAATAACCTTTTTTTTTGTCGGTTTTGTAGTTTAGAAGTGAAAAATTGTCAAGTAAACAGTCTTGTGGTTTTGTGTTTCTGAAAAAAGTTGTGCAGATTTGGGATTAATTATTTTGAGGGAAAAAAAACAAAACAATAATTTTAATCTTCCATAAGATTAGGCTGTTGAAAAAAGTAACTTTGCAAGTAGGTTTTGTATCAGTTAAAATACAGTTCGGTAGTCCGAAAATAATCATTTGATAGTTAATTCTTTCTAAAATAACATTTAATTCAGGCCCCGTCACAAAGAATCAAAAAAGCTATATAAAAAAGATCCAACTGCCGTGTTTTGTTTATATGCTTTTTGAAGAAAAAAAATCATTTATATGTTAATGAATTTCATCAAAAATGCATGCTTTTTTTCCCAGTGCATGACAAGTGCTAAGATTACCATGCATTTCCCTTTGAAGGAAAAAACATTGTAAGTGTAAACAAATTCAATATCTACATTGTAATACTCACAATTTTTTTATACGAAAAAAAGAAATTAAAATGCAACTTTAATGGATGTTTTTGGTTTTCGTAATACTAAAATGCATAACTACTTTTTAAAAAAATATGGCAGAACGTCTTTGGAAAAAGTCACAATCGCAACCCAGGGATGAACTAAAAATATTCAAAGCTTTACGTAATCGTAAACTTTACCCATGTGGCATTTTTAAAATGTGGCAAATTTCTCAGCAATTTGTGAAAAAAAGGTCAGCCAAAGAATGACAACTGCAAGAATTTGTACAAAAAAAATCCCCAAACACTTTGCACCTCCTGCTTAAAATTTGTCCTTCAGTGACCTCTGGAAACTTTGTAATTGTTCACTCGTAAAAGTTGCATTTCCTTTTTTAAGTGCATTTGTGTTGTTTGCGCAAGGAGCAGGAATTCCTAGGCCTTGGTAAGATCACTTCTATAGGCCCAGAGTTCCTTTTGACAAAATCAAAAACCAGGTGCTAGGAGCCTTACTGAATGGCCTGGCTTGAGAGAAAGCTTTGAAATGAACAAGACAAAGTATTGAATTTCCCTGAGCGGAACAAAAGGCGAAAGGAAGAAAGGGGTTGTTAGGCTCGGAACAATGGCATGGAAGGCTGAGTGGGTATTGTTGACTGGAGTCAGTGGGAAACTCGGTTGTCTTGTTGGACGGATGTCAGTTGGAAGGAAGTTCTTTTGGCGGGTGGACGTGGGCTCGGAAAGGATTGTGCCACTGTGGAGTGACCTGTTGGATTATCGCTCGGTACTCGGAAAGGATTTACATTCGCTGTGCCACTTGACGGTTCTGCCATTTTCTTTCTCGTTTATGTGTTTTGGTCTAGTTTGAGTGGATTTATTTTTAAAGCTGTGCAGGGGCTAAATTTGGAAATAAGAAATGAGTCTTGTGCAATTCTTTCGGCACCAGAAATTGTCGGTTTACTTGATCAGCAGTCTCATGCAAATTTTGTGAGCTGTAAAAAAGTGTAGTCACACCCACCTTGTCAAAAATCTTTGCGGAAAAAACATTTGTGTGGAAATGAGGTCCACATGTTGGTATTTCAACTAAAATCGACACACTTTCAAAATGGCAGAATTATGACACGACAGATTCGCGATGCCTTCAGCAGATAAACTTTGATAGCCCAGTGGTCCAGCTCCGACATTTCACAGGATATATCTGATCTGTTATTTGTGGTTAGTTCAACTGTTGTTTTATATGTGGAGTCGCTTTTCAAGATGGCCGCCGAGGTTACCCGGATACCACGAATCAAAGGTTGTTGTCTTGTGTCCTTCCGTTTTCAAATTGTCATCTTTTCTTGATATACTTGCTCATACCATTCTGTTACACTCAGTGCAATTTTATTACACTAAATATTATTTAAAGGGAAGATACAACATTTGAAAACATCAAAAAACGCAATGACCAAATTATCACGACATGTCTTACTGGATTGTTAGGGAATGACAGTCTAAAGCATCCTGTAAAGTTGCGGCTCCTGGTGTGCTGACATTTTCCAAAAACACCGCTGGTCGGCCGACCAGCGTTGGCGAAAACTGGCTTTTTTTCAAAAAGTGCTCCTAATGTTTCATATTTAGTTCGTCTGCATTTTCTTTTCAATTGATTATACACCTGCGAAGACTACAGGCCTGCTAGACCAATTCTCTGATCTTACAATTCCCCAAAGTCTATAAATTGCTCCGTTTCATCATAAGTGGGGTCAGGGAACCAGACTTCAAGAATATGATTGATTTTCTTGGTTTTTCCAGCATCTACGAACCAAAAACGTGAAACAAGTCAGTGTAACAATATTTGCTACAGTATTACTAATCCTCCAAATCCATTTATTTCTGAATATTGATACAAAAGCAGATGTTGTACATTCCCTTTAATACAGACATTCAAAAAAAAAATACATAAGTTTATTTGGAAAAATGTACACATTTGGGCATTTATTTGTAGCATTACAGACTCCAAAAGCATGCTAAAACTCAAGAAACACATGAACAATATCTCAGACATTTATTAGTTCAAAATTTATTTCTGTCCCAACATGTTACTGTATTTTGTGAGTGACTAACAGCACATGTCTGTCAAACGAAAGACATTTGCATGTTTCTAGCCTGGATTGTTTACTTAGCATAGCTGGCCTTGTGCAGATGACATACAAGTGTGTTATTATTATTGCTATAATGTGCCCAACAATGTGCCCAAGTCTTCAACATTATGAAGTTGGCGCAGAGCTTGGAAGAAGAAATAATAATGCCTTTAGAATGAATGCAAATTTAAAATTGGCTATTTCTCATTTGGGCATGCCAATATGTGGGCAGGCTTATGCCAGGTTGCTGATATTGCATAAAATTGACAATCTGTTTGAAATTTTGGAGCCCATTTTCCCCGAGAATTTCAGTCGTAATTTCGATATTATGCTGAGGATATTTACTTTCCTCTACGTGACTTCAGTCCTGCAAATCAAATTTTGAATACATATAATAAACAAGAAATTGAATTTTCCAAAGGGACATGATTGAAATCACCAGATAGCCACTGTGCTGATAATAAAACAATAACTACCATTTATATTTCAATATGTCCTAATTTCAGATTGGCCAAAAAAACAGACATGTATACTGAATGAAACCCCTTCAAAGTTTGTAAAATTTAACGTTACATGTATTTTTTGCATTACTCTAACAACCTCCGTTTTTCATTTGTTCCACAGCTGCCTATCCTACCAGAGATAGCAGGTCAGCCCACTCCACGCCCACGCACGTCTCAAGACCGCTCTCGGCAACAAAACGCTCCAATTCTAATTCAAAGCTAGACAAGGAGCCTGGTCAAGAGGGAGGGACCCCAGCATCCGGAACAGCCCCTCCAAAGGTAAGATGTTTCTTCTTCGTTTTATATTTCAAGTTTTTTTTATGGTTTCTCCCATTAACATATTCTTTTGACTTTGAATTTTGTCTTTTCACTTTGTATTTTGTCTCGTTTCAAACATTTCAACTCCTGTTGTTTAATGAAAATATGAAAATGTAAGGATGAAAATTTCAACTTGATGGTACATCAGTACATACATGTGTTTGTAAAAAAAATATATCAAATTTTGGGTGTTAATAACTATTTCCTTTTTGAACAGGATATTTGGGCAGATAATGAGGAAGAGCCCGAGCTTGTATTTCTGGTATGATTTCATTGAAGTACTGGGCTATTTAAGGTCGCTTAATCTAATTATTAATTGGTCAATAGAGGACGCTTTGGGCTTACTTATATGTACGTGGTATTTGGTAATAGGGTCATTCCGTGTCAAATCAACACGCTTTTGGACCCGACCCTCACAGATTGAAACAATATTTGGTGTGATGATTGGCCTATATGAGAAACCCCCAGAACTGATTTTTTTTTGTAAATTGACTCGTTAGTTTTTGAGATACGGGTCAACGAACTTTTGACTAATTAGCATGACCTCCTAACTTTAAATACTTGTATCTCAAAAACTATAGCGCCTACAAAGCCAAGTCGTACATCATATTAAAGTTCTTTGAATGGCCTCCATTTCATAAAATAAAACCAAAATCGTAGCATGAAATGCAGAGAAAATGCGTAACAAAATGACCTTTGACCTCGAATTACGAAAAACAATATGCTTCAAATTTAGTAATTTTTTTTCAAATGTTAGTTTATGATGTCAGCAACAATCTTAAAAAAAAATTGGGATGGGCGCTCTTAAAGTTTTTAAGTTATGATTTTTTGAAGAAAGCCTGTCCATGAAAAAGTATGCATAATATTAAATGTACATGTACATGTATATGTATACATTGTACTTGTACTGTGTACATGTGCACATTTTACCTGCGCATCATGTTTGCCCTTCACAACCGCATAGTCTCAACTCATATCCAAGTCGGGTGTGTTTACAAACACAAATGCCCCGCAACCGTGACTGTTCCCATGACATAACACCACTCTTTTAACATCAACTTACACGTACGTACCTTGGTCACATGGAACGTTCATTGACAGCATTAGTGTCTTCTGTAGGTTTTATATGAATTAATCCCTAATCCTTATGATCTCAGAATAAATACAAGATTTTTATTGTTTTAGCCACTGTGACCTTGACCCTTGACCTTCGGACCCCAATGCGATAGGCCTATTTGGATTACCAAGAACGATCCACAAACCAAATTTGAAGTTCACATGTAAAGTATTTCTCAAGTTATCTCACTAACAAAATTTCTTTTGTTTTAGTCACTGGGACCTTGACCCTTGACCTTTCGGCCCCAAATGCAAAAGAGTTCTTAGGATTACCAAGAACAATACACAAACCAAATTTGAAATTCATATGTTAAGTATTTCTCAAGTTATTGCGCTGACAAGATTTGTCCGGACACACACACACCCACACACGTTTGTTTTACATACGCTATGTGGACATTCCTTTGTTTTCGTGTAGTTAAGAAAACTCGGTACAAAAAATAACTTTACTTAAACTGTGAAAACTCTTTTAACCCAATTTTTTTTCTATGATTCCCTATAGTGTTTCTCTTCATTCTGCTACAGATAAACCTAACCCAAAAATGCCTTTATACCTGTTTTTCAGAAAGGGCAAAACGTTATGTGGACACGGCTTAGTCCACATAATGTTAACACAACCTGCATTATGTGGACATCTTTTGTTCACAAGTCCACATAGGGAATGTAAGACAAACTCACCCCCACACACACCCACCCACCCACACACACCCACCCACCCACGGAAGGACAAGGCGGAAACAGTATACCGGTCTACGTTACTTTCATTTTTCGCTCAACCAAAGTCTGTGTTGCAGTGTTCATCTCCTCGGCGGAGATCTTGTATACGCGTCCTGTTTCAGTGACCGGTTCCACTGCTGTTAGTACATCCTTGCCATGAATTACAAGTGTGTCTGGTGGATAGGGGAACTTGAAAGATGGAGATGGCCCATGGGGATGAAGAAAACTCAGTTCCACTTCTTGGGATGCTGGAAGGATCTCCTGAACACATGCTAGCCACCAGTAACAGTCATACATCACTGTAACATACATGTACCCCTTGATATCTGCAAAATCAATACATGCAGTTTGTCCATGGACTTAGAGGCAAACTGGTTCCTCCCTTGAGTCTGAGGAGGAGGAAAAATCAAGCACCTTAATATTGTCTTTAGACATCGGACAAAAACATCGCAGCTTTTGTGTTCCTGGAATGGTACGTGCAATTTGGAATCTTTGCCTGAGAATATCCGCTTCATTCTTCATCTCTCGCCGAGGAGATGAACACTGCAACACAGACTTTGGTTGAGCGAAAAATGAAAGTAGACCGGTATAACATATTTTTTATAATTAATTTTGTTCTGCCCTTAATATATATGAGTTGAGACTATGCGGTTGTGAAGGGCAAACATGATGCACAGGTAAAATGTGCACATGTACATGTACACAGTACAAGTGTACATGTACATGTTTACTTGTACATGTACATTTAATATTATGCATACTTTTTCATGGACAGGCTTTCTTCAAAAAATCATAACTTAAAAACTTTGAAAGCGCCCATCCCAATTTTGTCTTAAGATTGTTGCTGACATCATAAACTAACATTTGAAAAAAAATTACTAAATTTGAAGCATATTGTTTTTCGTAATTCGAGGTCAAAGGTCATTTTGTTACGCATTTTCTCTGCACTTCATGCTACGATTTTGGTTTTAATTTATGAAATGGAGGCCATTCAAAGAACTTTAATATGATGTACAACTTGGCTTTGTAGGCGCTATAGTTTTTGAGATACAAGTATTTAAAGTTCGGAGGTCATGCTAATTAGTCAAAAGTTTGTTGACCCGTATCTCAAAAACTAACGAGTCAATTTACAAAAAAAATCAGTTCTGGGGGTTTCTCATATAGGCCAATCATCACACCAAATATTGTTTCAATCTGTGAGGGTCGGGTCCAAAAGCGTGTTGATTTGACACGGAATGACCCAATAGGGTCATTTTTATCAAGCCTAGGAAATTGTTGCAACCTCACAAATTGTGCGTTTTATTACAGAGTAGAGATATTTTTTTTCTCAATTGTACTGAGCTGGCTTTTGGTACATGGAGGGACTTTACTCCATGAAAACATTTAGCTTGTGTGTCACGGAGGATTAACTCATTATTCCATTAAGTTAGTAAACAGGGCCAAATATCATGGAGCTTAACAGCAGAAATCGTCGCTCAGCTCATCAGCAGTCACAACACTTTTCAATTAAGTTGATCACTGTATAAATTATGCTTTTTCATAACCTGGTGTTTGCTGTAAAGCTGAATGTATTTACCTGTTGAGGTTCAAGCATGCTGTGAACAGCGTTCGGCAGCTTTATTGTAAAACGCATTGGTGATTAATTCTAACACCCATGGCATTTTTTCTAAGGAAACTTCCTGAATTCTTCAAAATCCACCACTTTGCAGGACACCAGTGGCACATCCTTCAAACTTAACCTTCAAGGGATGCAAAGCCCATGTAAAATTAATCTTGGTCTTGCTCTACTTTCTTCAATCCTGCAATAACTTCCTAAAAAGTTCCTGCTAGATTTGGAAGGATCCCAAGAGGTCAGGGTTAGGTAACCTTAGAGGAAAGAGCGCCCTCTGCCGGTTGTGCATAAGATCACTTTTCAACAATATTTGGTTTTGCTCTTTATCAATGTAATTACATGGAATAATCCAGTATTGAATTAAGGCCACAATTCGGAAAGAATGTTGTATCTTGACGCCACTTTTTTAATCATATATTATCTCAATGAACGAGGTCACTCATTGCAAAAATGTTAAAAAGACATGAATCTGGGACTGAGAAACATTTCCAATTTTGTAGATTTAGAAAATACTTTGAAAATGCACTCAACTCTCCATAGACTTTGTACACAACCAAAAAGTGGCGTGTAGATACTACATTCTTTCCAAAAATTTCATCATCGAAAAGAGTGATTAATTCTCAGCATTGTTCTTCTTGAACTCTTCTACAGAGAGCACCATCTCCTCGCACCTCTCTCCACGGGCGGCCCCCGTCACCACGGCAACAGTCGTCGACACCCAGAGCCACCCCGGTGCGCGCTCCATCACCCAAGACTCTAGGGTCAACTACAGTGGACGGCAGTAAACCCAAGTCGGGCAGGGCACCGTCGCCTCGGAATCTACCGTCGCCTCGCAATCTACCCTCGCCTCGCAACCTACCCAAACAGGCCAATGGGGACAGCAATAGGAAACCAGAAGGTTAGATAATGAGATCATGGGTTCTCGGTCATGTTATGCTTTTTGTTGCATAACTAGTCAACAAACATGAATGAACCTGACAAACGTGGCTATAAACATTGCAGATATGGTTACGAGACACTGACCAAGATGCTTGCGCACCAGCTTTCGCATACAAAGCATGCCAGAAACTAAATTCTAAACCCAAAATACTTTGTTACATTTTTCATTTTGTTTAAATAAATTCTGTACACACATGAATATCAATGCTATGAATTGAAGTTATCAAAAGTACATGCAGGTGCAGAAAAACCGTCAGTTTTAAAAGTTTAGTGAGAGTTTTGGGGCTGCTAAGGGCCTTCATAACCAACATTTCCTGTCAATTTCTGTATCATTTTGTAGAGGCACTTCTTTGCTCTTATTTCATCTGTATATTTCTGGTCGTGCTTGTTGTTTGAAAGAGTCATTTATACCAATCAGTATTTGATGTAAGACACTTAACATTTTTTCACTCCAATACCTCTCGTCTCCAGCTAAGAAACTTCCCGGCCAAACCCCTCCCATCAAGAAGGCCCTCACGCCCCGCACCGATATCGTCAAGACGAACGTCAGCTCCCCAACAAAAACTGCAACCACACCAAAGAGCATCCCCAAGGCCTCCGCGGCCAAGACGGCCAAGACGGCCACGACACCGAAGGGGGGTCCCAAAGCGGCCAAGCCTGCCGCAATGAAAGCTGCCACACCAACAGCAACAGCAGCAGCTACTCCACAGAAACCAGCCGTCGCTAAGGAAGATGCGGAGATCAAGACGGAACTGAAAGAGGCGGACATTAAAGCAGAACCGAAAGAGGCGGAGATTAAGACTGAACCGAAAGAGGTGGAAGCAAAAGACGAAAAACCAAAGGGTGAGCCCAGGATTCCAAATTGTCCATGTTTCAGGGGGAGTCTGGTTGGTTCAATTTCAGGGGCTGGGGTACAAATGTTTTGTGTACTTCAGAACCAGCATTACTAGGCATCCCGAGTCTTTATCGAGTAAACATTATTTGTCACAGAAGTAACTATTTCACGTGGATGTGAAATCAAAATCTAATTTTAAATACTCGTAATGTTAACAAATTGTCATGGACTATCACTGTTTACTCTCCTTGCAGAAACATCTCGATCCCAATCCCCAACCATCTCCGAATCCTCCAGTGGATCGGCACCCTCATCCAACGGCTCCGCCCCTGCCGGGCAAGCCGCGCCTCCTAAGGAGTTGACAGCCGAGGAGCGAGCCAAGCAGGCCCTGGCTGAGAGGCGTCGCCAAGCTAGGGAGAAGGCGGAGAGAGAGGCGGAGCTAGAGAGGCAAAGACAGGAACAACTCAAGTAAGGAATGTCTTGCTGACATCTTGGACTAGTACCCTGACTCAGTGTATATATCAATCATTTAATATGTGAATGATAATGAACAAGGTGCAGGCAGAAGTAGCTAGGCAAAGACAGGAACGGCTCAAGTAAGGAATACAGACATCTTGGACTTGTAACCTGACTCGTTGAATATGTCAATCCCGTGATTGATTAAAGGTGCCAGCCTGCCATTTCTTAAAGATCTCTGGCCACTTCTGAATCTCCTGTCAAAAATATTTGGGCAGATTTTGACGGATCTTTGAGAGTCAGGAGTGAGAAGCAAATGTATTAACTCTCTCTTTTTTTTTTATAAAGACGCGAGGAGGAAGAGCGTATCCGTCTTGAGGAAGAGGAGAGAATACGTCAGGAGGAGGAAGCCGTCAGACTAGCGGAGGAACACAAGAAAGCCGAGGAAGAACGTCTGAAGCGAGTCATCGAGGAAAACGAAGAAAGAGAGAAATTGGAGGCAGAGCAAAAGGCAGCTGAGGAGGCGGAAGCTGCACAGGTGAGAGAGGGGAGATGAGTACATTGGAACGTCGCTATAACGAACATCATTGGATCCACAGAAAGTGTTCGTAATAACGATCGTTCAGTATAGCGATTTTGAACCGCCGGTAACGACCAATAGTGAAGTGGAATTTTCCGCATCCTGCGGCTGCACGAGGAGTCGTCACGATACTTAAGCAACGGGTGTTTTTTTTTTCTTCTATTCCTTAATGAAATAATAGCCATCTATCGCTGTTCAACATTCAAACACGATGTAACTATGGGTTGTTTGATGTTCGGGAATTAACAGTGGCCCAAATAGTGTTTAATACGTGTACAATCGGTAGATTTTTTTGTTAATCTGTTGACTTTTTTCAGCAACAATGTTCGGTACGTTTTGTACATTAAAACTTGGAGGAAGCCAAGGATGATGTTCGGTATAGCCGAATGTTCAGTATAGCGGTGTTCGGTATAGCGGCGTTCCACTGTAATTACTCCTGCTCATCAGGCATATACCGGTCTTATGCACGAGACGGCAGTTTGAGGTCATGCTCCTTGACACTGTTGTGTTCATTATACATTGTTGAATGAGAAGGTGCCAGACAATTGCTGGACCCAAAGAGTCAGCATAGTGTCCTCAGACTGAGTGAGCCACTGACTGACTGACCGACTGAGTCAAAGAGTATAAATAATGCCCTCAACTGTTCATTTCTAGTCTAGCTCGGCTTGGCAAGCCTAATCGTGTTGAAAGAAATATATGCCAGGGTTCCCCTAGATTCAAGATTGTTAATGAGGCAATTCTCAAGCCCCAGAGTTGATTGAGCTCTTAGTACAGTATGACCGAGACTTTTAATTTATTGACGTAGTAATGATTTGATCATGAAGATTCATTTCCTTGACTTTTTTCCCAGAGAGCTGAGGAGGAGAGACTAAGACAGGAGGAACTGAAGAGACAAGAGGAGGAGCTGGCCGAGAAATGCCGCAAAGAAGACGAGGAGAGAAACGCCCGCAAGAAGGTCAGTCTCGATCAAAGCTTGTTTTATGATGTTTTTGTAGAAGTCCCTCATTCAAAATCCATCCGAGACTTGTGCAGTGTGATATTAACCCTAACTCCCTAGGCCTTTTTGCTAGGATGTAGCCTCAATCCTGCAAAATCCTCCAATTGGCCACATGGAAAAATAGCATATAGCCTCAATCCTGCAAATTCCTCCGTTATTTCTTGAATATGGTCCATGGAGGGATGACCACTGCCTGAATCCTGCAAAATCCTCCGGCTATGTCTGTCAATGGGCTGAGGCAGAGGCAGTGACATCCTGGAGCAGTGCGGAGGATGTCAAGTATAATCAAGGACTAAATTTATGCACGGCTGAGCATAAACAACACAAGGTCCGGCCCAAGACCTTGACACAGTGCGTACTCCGAAATCAGCAACGCACTTTTGCCATGTAACCTCAATCCTGCAAATTCCTCCAATTTGCAAAAAGGATTTTGGAGGATTCAGGGCGGTTAGGGTTAAATTATTGTGTTCTTTTGGGGTTCTTTGCAGAGGGTTGAAGAAATTATGAAGAAAGCAAGACGTGGAGCCCAAGCAAAAGACAAGGTAAGCCAAAACAAATTCAAAACGGTTAAAATTATACTTAAAATTTCTCAACTTTTCATATCTGTGTAACAAAATGTTTCTTTAACAAAATATCAAAATTACATTTGAAACTACAGGCTGAATTAATTAAACCGGTTCTATGATCACGATGATCTGAAGAGATATCTGCAGTCTCCCTTCCTGAATGAAAGTAATTTCCAAAGAAAGGAAATGGCTGAAGCAAAGACTTGAAGCAGCAAGTCCTTAAACACTGTACTGATGCGCTTCAAAAATGAGCTACGGAGCCCTTAAATTGTAGTCTCCAAATTTCATCAGTGTTTTCATTTTGGCTTGTTTAAGTTATTCCCTTTAAACAAAAGTAAAAGGCACCTTCTGTACTCATTCACTTTCTTAGGACCAATCCATGATATAAATGTTTGCCTCTCCCCCTTACAGGATGATCCGTCCGAAGATGGAGATAGTGGCTCGGAGAGCGGATCGGGCTCCGGCTCAGAACGGAAGACCAACGGTGTGAACAGCGTCCTTGCCAGCAGTAGTCTACTCAACAGCGAGAAGTATCGCAGCCTCCTCTTCAATCGCAACAAGACAGAGCTTTCAGGTAAACTACCAGGGCCGAGTCAGAAGGGTTGGTGAGACTTGGGGAAGCTTTTGTCTGGAAATCTTTGTCAGATAAATCTTAGAAGAGACAGTTGTTTTCTTGACCGGAAGGGTTAGCCAACTGTCCTCGGACTGACTGAGTTAGTGACAGACCAACTAACTGACGACTGACGTTATCTATTTTGGCCTAATTGTCAGTTTTTGATTTTGGAGGATCGCATACATCTAAAAAAATCTAATATTACAAACCATTTAATCAGTCCTGCTCCATATAATACAGAAATACCAAGTTAATTGTAGAGAAAGCCATTTGTCATTGGTGCATTTATTTCATTTGAAGCAACAAAAGTGCTCAAAACCTCAAGACAGGTGTTTAACAACTAATCTGATGAAGCTTTAGCTCTCTGTATATTTTGAGAAATACGATATTCTGGATCTTGATTCCGATTCAAAAGTTGCTGAGTCATGACACAATCCCGACATCAGCATTTGGGACTTGATTCTCATTCTCATTCGCCCAATCACAAACCAACTGCCAACGGAAATTTCCAAAAATGTGTCACTTGACACATCTTTGGGAATGACCTTCCTTCAGATGACTGCATGCCAGAAGGAATAATTCCATAGGGAGTTTAGTGTCATTACTATCTTTAAACCAAGTAAGCTTTTTCCAATAATTTGGTCGGTAACTTTTGTGACAGATGCAAATGGTCTACCTTTAAATATCTGAACAGGAAAAGATTTCATAAATACAGGTTTTTTTACCAACTTTTATTTCTAATAAATAAAGTTATTTTTGTACTGTAATTCACATGCATCAGGATTTATTCAACAAAAAAGCTGGATATTACTTTCATTTCCCCAAATCTCACTTTCTCTGGCACTCTGTTTTGCAGTGTGGTATGAGGGACACTAACTCATGCAACAGGAATTTGAAACTCACACATTTAGCTGCTAAATCTACTAACGCCATTTCTCTTTCTGATTTCCTTTTTCAAATAAACTTGGGTCAAAAACATGTATTTCCCCTTACATAACCAGATATAGAACATGACCAAAACTTAAAAATTTGAAGGGGAAAAAAGGTTATGCAAAATTTGAATTAAGCGTTGAAATATTTGGCATCAGTTTTCTACCAAATTTTACATTCTACAAAAACTGGAATACCGTTTGGTTTATATACTATTAAAAATCAATTTTATTGAAAAGCTATTACTGATAAGAAAATAAAAGAAAGTAAGAAATTATTCTCAGTGTACCCAAGTCTGTTTGATCCTGAAAAAAAAATCATCGTATATTTCCTCTTTCCTCTGTTCTTTGCACACCGCCCTCTATCAGGCGAGGAAGACGAGGATTATGAGGGGGATCAATTGGAAAGCGCCCCCTATGGCAAAACTGCCACCAGCTCCAGCGATTCCGAAGACAGGGATCTGTCTGAGGAAGGGGAGGAGCCAGGGGAGGGGCCAGGGGAGGGGGCGGGACCTGCTGAGGAAGGGGCGGGGCCTGAATGGTCGGAGGAGAAAGAGGCAGGACAAGTTGATAGGGATGTTGAACAGGAAAATGTTAGTGAAGACGGGGTAGAAGACCAAGATGGAGGATTGCAACCTGGTTGGTCAGGAGAGGCGGATGTGTCGGTAGGAGGAGAATTGAAGGGCGACATTGGGGAACAGCAGGAATTGTCTACTGAACCTGCTGAAGAATCTGGAGTTGGCAATGGTGCAGTTTCTGACATGGGTATGGCCAAGGCAGTCACGGGTGTGGCAGACGAAGCAGAGTTAAAAGGCTCCCCTGAAGAACAACCACCGTCCATTGACGATGATGGAATTGATGAGGAAGTAATTACCGATGTGGGCGTGGCCCAGGAGGAGGTTGTGGCTAAGGAGGAGGGTGTGATTGAGGAGGGTGTGGTGCAGGAGGGTGTGGTGCAGGAGGAATATGGGTCTGAGGAAGGATCTCCAAAACCGACAACCTTTGATGGCCTTGGAGATGGTGATGAAATCACTGATGTGGAAGCGGCTAAGGATGAACAGGATGTGGTCGAGGAGGGTGCGGTCAATGAGGGTGTGGTCAAGGAGGGTGTGGTTGAGGATGAGGATGAGGGTGTGGTTGAGGAAGAGGATGAGGGTGTGGTTGAGGAAGAGGACGATGAAGGGATAGACTCTAATGGTCTCCCTGATCAACAACCACCATCATTTGATGACTATGCTGTTGGTGATGATGCAGTCACTGATGTGGGTGTGGTCCAGAAGGAGGGTGTGGTCATGGAGGAAGGTGTGGCCAAGGAGGTAGAGGAAGATGTGGTTGAGGAGGAGGATGTGGCCGAGGAGGATCAGGGTTTGGCTGACGAAGAGACGGAGCATAAAGACTTTCCTGAGCAACAACCACAATCATTTGATGAAAATGGCTTTGGTAAAAATGCAATCTCTGACATGGGTGGAGCCAAGGCTGAGCATGTAGAGGATGAGGGTGTGGTCAAAGAGGAGGGTGTGGCTGAGGAAGACATTCCTCTTGACCCGTCCACTAATGGAAACGGTAACATGCATGCCGAGGATCAAGAGGATATCAGTACAGATGACGAGAAAAGCAATGGTTCCTCTGGGAATGGAAATGAAGTAGAGCCTCCAGGACCTCTGACGTCCCCCTTCAATAATGTGCCTGCTTCCCAAAACTTTAACAATGCAAACGGGGAGGCCCTGATTGACCCTCTCCAAGAGAACACTGAACTCATCACCAAGAAGGCCCTATTGGATCTTGATGAGGGGGGCGGGGCTCTGGATGGCGGGGGGACGATAGAAATCGGAGAGGAGCTGTCGCCGGACTCGGCCAGCGACAAGCTCAACGCCAATCTGGGCATGAGGGCGGGGTTTCCCTCGGGCGACGCCCCTATGACCCTCTCGTTCTCCCCGCTGGGTGAGCTGGAGGCCAACGGAGGGCAGCCGCAGCAGCCTATGGCGGTCTGCGTGACGCCTGAAGGTATAGCGCCCTCTTGTGACCTGTCACAATCCATGCTTGCGGCATGATTGTTTGGAGTGATGTGCTGTTGTGCCATTTTGCTTTTAGTCTCTTAAGTTTTAGTCTAATTTTTTTTTTTTTTTTTAGTTTTGCACTTTTGCATCCAAGTCTTGTTGACGTGCTGATGTTATTTTGTTTCTTTGCCTTGATGTTTTGAGTGATGCTAACTACATGTACATGTATACGTAGAAGCGACTGCTGTGTATTACTTTCGCAATGGCAGGCAGACTTAACATCGCTTAGTCTGGTAGAGCTTGTATTTTTTTTGCTTTTACTTTCATGTTTAACCTTAGCAACTGTGCTTAGAGTGACTGACTGATGCTTTCGTTTTAAGTAAGAATGAAGTTGCTCGCTTCGTGAAGTAGAATAGGCTGTGCCAAAATTCATTGCCACTGGGAAGTTCTAGCGTTATGGACATCACAAATCAGATATTTTTCATTTACTTTAAGAGCTCGGTAAATAAACGTGAAAACATATTATTCAAATATTATACGGCCATCATCTAGTAATGGTCAAGGAATTTATTGACTAGGAGTTTTGGATCATTTCGTTAATTAGATATCATGGTTAATTGGCTCTGTCACGGACATTACATTTTCTTCCATAACGCTGGAATTGCCCTGCTGTTGTTATAACATTTAAAAAGCATGTTGCATTGTTTTATTAACCATTAAACATCCACATTTTATTTCCATCTGCCCTTTTTCCCATAGAAACTTTTCCTTTATTTTCTCCATTTTAACCCTCTTCCTTACCCTAACAATACAAGTATACTCAGCTGCTGGCTGTTTCTATGTGAGGCATGTAGATACTACATCAAGAAAATTGCAAACCCCCTCCCCAAAAAATAAAATAGTTACTGTATTGGAAGAGGCATTTGCCACCAAACCAGCTCTCTTAAAAACCATCCTTTCCCCACAATAACAAAAAACTTGACTAACCGTTAATCTCTTCTTTTTCCAGATGCCGTTTGAAATCAACAGTCTTTTTTACTTGAATATATGAGGGCAAAAACTCTTAAATTTGAGCGATATATTGGAATGACTGTGTGCATTTGCTGTTTGTGAGGACCCAACGCCATATCTGTTAGTTGAAACCATTCACGTGTCTACACCCTTTGAGATGATGAGATGAATCCCCAATTGCATGGACAAGCAGCCGTATTCTCCAGATCTTGTGTTCCGACTTGTCATCTGCTGGACTGGTCGTAGGCCTGGGTTATGTTGAGCACTTGGAATTTGCAGTCATGATCAGATAGACCGTTCCACCCCTGCCAATCATAACTTTGCTGATGTTTTGATAACTGGATGGTAATCGCAGTGAAAATAACTGGATGAAAATCGCACATTCTTTGAATGTTCAGAATGAGTTATATTTCATGTGGAACCGATGCAATCACAAAAGTATTTTAAAAAAATACTTGTCCAAGTATTTTTCCATTAACTGGAGAGCTCTAAGAAGCTGATGCATCTTCTAGAAGCATCTTTGCCGTCGTTGACCACTTTGCGAGGAAACCAAAGTCTTGCCTGCTAACCGCAAAAACATCTTAGACAGGAGTTGGATTCACCTTGTTTCTTCAGGAGGATCTTATTGGTGCAAGTGGTACTCATAAATTCTCAAAATGACTAACAACGTAACCATGGTAACAGTGCACGACCAATTGGATTGTGGGAATCATTGGTGAATTCTTGACACCACTTGTTGGAGCAACGAGGCACCCTACGGAATTTAATCAAAAAAATCTTCACCAAAAAAAGGCGTATGCACAAAAATCAATGATATCCACGTGCACAACTTCAAACTTGGAATATAATTGGTCACTAACCACTAACATGGGATTTCTGTTTTCACGGAGGTCTTTCAAAACTGACAAAAAATCTTAACATCGGATCGATATTTGAAGATGAACAAAACAAAACAAGGTGGACGACTGTTTCTCATGTAAAATTCCCAGGTTCTCGAAACAACAACATTGACAGTGCTACGAAAACTGCAGCAACAGCGCCCTCTAGTGATAGTCCAGGAGATCGCAGCAGAATTAACAATGCCGGCTATATTCCCATCTGGAAAAGTGCGACCGAATCCAGGTGAAATTAGGATTTCCTTGGGAAAACTCCAAAAACAAAAATCCATAGAACTGGAAGAATTTCTGTCAACTTGCTTTGTAATTGCCCGTGAGGTGTGCATGTAATACTGTAGTCTTATCAACTTAACATTTTTTGTACATTTTCGCTCCAAAACCTGAAAATGGCAGTGTGTGGTGAGACATTTCATGGTTGATATTTATTTCCAGAAAGAAGGGGAAAATTACATATTTGGGAGAGTTTCCTGTGAATTGAAGTGTTTGGAGTTCGAAATAAATATGTTCTTATAAGCTCGTCGGAATAAATAGATTGTTATAAGCTTGTCGCATCAAATGCATGTCTCACTGTGAGAGCATACACACGTAAATGATAGTGCTGAGTCTCAGAAAATGATAAAAATGTTTTAAAATATCAACAAAAGTTACCGTGTTGACAAAAATATGAACTGTGAAAAACTGGCTTACAAAAGTAAATAATAAATGCTCAATACAGAAAATGAGAAATTCTATCAATATGTTAACAAACATTACTGTAATGATAAAAATATAAACGTCTGCTTGTGTGAAACGAAAAATTCATGTAGTAAAAAGAATATTCACGTATGTGGCAAAACTGTAAGATTGTGTGCATTTATGGCCTTCAAGGCAAAACATTAAGCAAAACATAAGCAAAACATTAGAACTTTTTAATGATGGATGTCAGTATGGTATTTAAGACATAAACATTTTGGGTGTTTGCTGGATAACACATATTGTTTGTCCGGTTACGGCAGAAGTTTTGACAAATGTGGCTCTTTAATTTCATTTTCAAAATTCATTTGAAAGTTATCCTCATTGTTAAAAATGTCAAATATCAAAATAGATTGCAATTTTCTTGTAGAAATGTAATTTCCAGCTAACTTATTTTAGTCAAAAAATCCCTGCAAAGTCCCCAATTTGTGTACATAAAAAAATATCCGACAGTTTTCATTTAAACACACGTCCAATTGTCTTGTTTTGTAAATACACTGTACATGTTTTTGGTTGAAAAAAGGCAGTCTCGTCTCATAGAGCATGTTTTGGGTAAATACAAACAAAAAGATGTCCCGTATTAACAATGAATCCTTAATCAAATCTTATTATTCAGAAAAATAAACAATTCGAAAGCTGTAAATAAGAAATTGTAGATTTAGTGAATGAAAAGTGCAGGGAAATCTATTGAGTGTGAAAAAAAGGATGATGTGAGAATGCATGGGCCGCTTTGTTTTCATGACAAAATTGTCAAAGTTGTTCTTTAGGTTATATTCTTCATTTTGCATTATGTTTTTGTGAAGTTTAAGAAAGAATCTCCTAAAAATTGATTGGAATTAGAAAAGGGAAATTTTGAATCAATGTTTTGAGAGTAACAACTGGCCAGATAATTAATGTAATGTTCTCAAGCTAATACTAGTAGAATACTTTTGGCGGTTTTTAATTACACATAGCTCTGAATCAAGTGAAGAGATGAACATTTTCCAGTTTGTTTTCTAATTTCCTTCACGAATGACGAATGAGTTCCAGTTGTTTGTTTGTTTTTAATTCATTCACGAGTGAAGGCAAAAATAAAGATAAATGCTGTAAAGAATGAGAAATTCCCAGATTGGATCAACTTAAATGAATCGTTTAAAACAACTATGAATGGAAAAAAAAAGTCTTAAAATGCTGGAAAAGAAAATTTGTAGCATTGTGCTCATGCATTGCATCCATGAACAACTTTGAGTCCTTGTCTGTCGACTGCCTTATTAAAATGTGACCATTCTTTGTTCCGTAATAATTTTCAGAAAAGGACGCGCTCTTGTGGTCGTGTCAACTTTTTGTTTCTAAATATATATATATCAATATATTAAAATGTATTATAATTATTAATATTATTGGGTATGATGATTCTAAAAACAGTGGATGATTGTTTAATTTATACGGGGTAAAAATTTTGCTGTCATTTATTTAAATTATTTGGTGTTTGTGATTTTGCTTATTTTTTTTCAGGTTGCTGAAATTGCTTTACATTTGATAACTGCAGCAGGGTTTTTTGTCGTTAAATATTGTTGCTATTAATGACTTAAAATCATGGATTAAAAATCATCTGTCCTTCTTTTGAAAGTTGAAAATTTGTGGAAACAAACATTTGATATAAATTTTGAAAAATCCATTTTAGCATTTAGCTCATTAAACTCATTTAGACCTAAAAATGTTTTAACAAAAGCATCCAGGTTTTTTTTTTTTCAATTGTCATTTAAAACTAATTGGGATTGTATAAACACGACTATTAATTGAGAGAAAGTTTTTGTCTTAAGTTTTATACTTTAACATTTGTATTCTGTCCCCACTTTACACAATGTGGAATTTTGTAGTATGAATTATGTTGCTATTTGTAAGCACGCCTCAATATTTGTCATTTCATGCTTGGATCAAATATTCAAATCTGTATTAGTGATTTGCATAAATATTATTTTGACAGCTTATATGTGCAATGTGGGATACAATACGATACCACATATTAAGATGAGCAATTTCTGCGACACTTTACAATTTTGTTTTTTAATGTAAGTTTCTTCTTTCGGGTGCTTTGTGTGCAAATGTACACTGGTAACTAATGGCTGGGTACCAGTATTGTCAAGAAAATGGGTGCTGGTTTGTGATCACATTTCTACAATCTCACCAAGGAGAAAATGATCATGATTCTGCAGTGTGTTTATTGTGCTCACATTAAATTCTCCTAAATGCTCAATGTAAAAAAAAATGGGTAAACAAAAATGTTGTCGGGATGTAAAAAAGAAAGAAGATTATTACTCGGTTTCAGACGAAAGCTTTCACCCTGCGTGTGAATGTCCAATGTAGTTTCCTGTTTTTGCATGAAAAACCAGAAACAACTAAAATGTTGAATAATCACACAAGTGATATGCAAAAAAAATTGCTTTTTGTCACTATATCTACATATTTAAATATTCGCACAACATTAGCTTTAACGAAAAATATCCTAGCCTCACATTACGTGTTTGAGTGAGAATTGCATGTAATCCTATGAGAGAAAAGACCAGCCAATCCGCTTTGTCGCTACCTATGATGTCATGACTTTGGAGATCTGTGATTGGGCGATAGCTGCCCACCTGATCTTCAATTTTCAAAATTGCTGATATAGAATGCTTATATGTATAATGAAAGAAAACTCTGGCTATTAATGATTCAAAATGGTTAGCTTTGGCAAAAGTGTTTACTTATTATAATGAAGAGGGTATTACAACTAAATGAATAAAAAGCACTTCATGAATGTATTTGTGCTTTGTATTAAAAAAAAAGAGGAATAAAAACTTACAAAAGTAAAACATAATGCTTGGAAATTGTAATTCTTTATAGTAAGGTTAGTTGCAGTCTAGTTTGCTTTGCAAGAAGTTTTGTAAACACCTTTCAAAATACAGCATTTTCCCCTGGCATTTTTTTTTTAAATTTTGGCTACAATTTGTAAGAATATCGATAATTGATTTTTTTTAAACAGCATTCACAAAAGCTTCTTTTTCATCATTGGCAAAATTAGAAATGAGTAGCAAAACTTCTTCAGGTTTTTTTATTTTTAAAGAACGCCATTATTGTTATAGCCAACCTTAACCCTTTGAAAAATTAAGTGCTCCCCTAGACTTTTGAAAAAAAGATTTTAGAGTATTCAAAATGGTGGGTTTAGGGGTAATTATGTTGGTTTTTTTCCCACTTGAATTAAACTGTTCATTAAAATTTAGTCCTATTGAAATAATTAAAAAGGAAAAAACTTCCCTAATCTCAATGAATATTCAAGGTGTTTTCCTTTGAAACAATACGAGTTGTTTTCTTGCTTTTTTACCAAAAATGTTAAAAAAAGATAGAAAACAATTAGGAGCCCATCTGATCATATTTTTGGTTTGAGGTATAGACCAATGAGCGAAGAGAAATAGCCTAAATATTTGCATAAAAAAGCTCCTGAAAAGACTCATCAGTCGCTACATCCTATATTTACGCGGAGCGTATTGAAATATCCTTGTGTTGGCATAATATTGTTTTGGGACCCGCCGTGATAATAGGCAAAGCGCCCCCTTGGAATTTCGGCCTCACGTGCGTGCGTTTCGCATTCGTTTCTTCGCGGGCACGGAAATGGAGGAGTGTTGTGGTTTCGAGGTGTTCTCATCTGTCCAAGTAAGTTGTCCTTTTTATACTAAAACCTAATAGTTTAGCTCTCAAGATAATGTCGGAGTCTAGTGCATGCACTGTGGGTACTTTTGAGTGAATTATAGTGGAGAAATTTGTTCTCATGTGAGAGAAAAATGGTGAACTTTTTGAGCCTGGCCGGTGAGAAATTTCAACTCGGCCGGCTCTCTGTAGATGAGGTGGGCGTGGTTCGGTAAGGCAACAAATTGAGGGGGCTATAATGCTGGACTTTTGCGTAAAATATGAAATGACCTTCGGATTGTTTCAACGAAAAACCTGAAAAACTGGAATATAATTATATGGCTCGCTTTCATGTTGCATGGTAAATGATGATTGGGTTTTGTCCTCTTCATAATTTGAAACAAATGTTGCAACCTGAAGCCACTTGTGCGATTGTGTACAAAGTTTATGGAGAGTCAAGAAAATTGTCTAAGTATTTCCTAACAGAATTGGGAATGTTTCTCAGTTCCAGATGCATGGCTTAGTAATATCACTTTTCCAATGAATGACCTTCATAGAGCATGTAGAGAAGATAATGAAAGAATAAGTGGCGTCAAGTTGCAATAGTTTTTCCATAATTACCCCGGAAAAGATTTCCCTCAAAAAAATGAAAACCTTTCCCTCTGTCTTTGACACCCCTGTCATGCCTGTTGGTTTTAAATGTTGCTATTTCATTTGGTAAGTTTTTGTTCTCTTTACGTGATGGCCAGATATATATGGGAATCTTTCCCAACGAAAAATTCCCCCGATTCAATACTGAGAAATAAGTGTGATAAATGAGTTTATACTTGTACATTGGTTCCACATCTGTTGCAACAGCACAACTTGACATGTACATGTATAAGTAGAGGCCGGGGGGGGGGGGGGGGGGGGGGGGTAAAGGAAAGGAATGGAAGTGTTGTATGTTCATTAAGGTGAGGTTATCTTTTTTGCAGCTGTGAACATGCACAAGACCCCCAGATTGCAAGAAATGACGGAACTGACGGGGTGGAGGACTAAGGAAAGACTTTCAGGTGATCATGCTGCCACCAGACGAACACCTTCACTTTTCTAAAAGGTAAGTAATGTCCAAGATATCCTACAGATTGACCACTCGTGTCCAGCATCGGCACTCTAATTTCATAACTATATCAATTAATTAATATAGAGAGTATCAAGAATCATTGGAACCGTTGTCCACTCCTTAAGTTAAACAAGTAGTCCGCATTATTTCCCAGATTTTTTCCTTATAAATATTGAACTGTAGACCAAAACAACTCGGAAAGAATGTTGCAACCTGACGCTACATCAGCATTTCTGTACAAAAGTCTATTGAGAGTCAAGAGAAACTTTTTTAAGTATTTTTTAACAAAATTGGGAATTTATTTTTGGACCCAGATTCATGTCTTATAGTCATTTTTGCAATGACTGACCTTCATTGAGATGATATATGAAGAACAAAGCAGCGTCAGGTTGCAACATTCTTTCCAACAGCTCTTTCAAAGGGTGCAAGTTTACTTTGGGAAAGAAACTCATTTAAAAGAAAAACACTTTTTCTCTGAACGGTATTATTGTTTAAAAATTTTTTTTATAAAATTCCTCCCTTCATGCAGTTGACAAGCAGCTCTTGGCAAGAATGCTTGGTGCATCTCTGATTGGTTTTAGTCGAATATGAAGATTTTTTTCTTGAAAAACCTTAAAAGTAAGAACTTAGGGCCTATTCCTGTCACTTGTTGAAAAGAAAATCCATTTGCTAACTCAAAACTCTGCTTAACTAAAAATTTAAGCCAGTTCCCCTGAGGTTTGACTTTTAAATTTTGCATTTACTTTAAAGCAAGAACTTTTCTTTGATTTTGTTGACCTTACCCCGCTATGATTTTGCGCGCATGTTGTGAACTGTTTATCTTCGAACTAAATAGTTGAACCTGATGTGCACAAGTGCAGTTGAAATAGCAAAAAGGCGCTCTTCTGGTTGCTGAAAGTCAGTTTCGAAGGCTTTAAAAAATAAAAAAAATTAGAATACAAAAAATTTGAAAAAATAATTTAGAAACAGCTGTTCTGCTATAAATGTTCTATACCTGTACTACTTATGCCCTTTTATTTTTATTAATTAATGGATAAAAGGCATTTGGAAATAAACCCTTCTATTTCTGATTATTAACCCTCCTATGCAAAAATACATTCTGTGCCAAGCTGTCCCTGCAGTCTAAATCAATCAAGTGACTGTTTTCAATTGTAAAAGCTGGATTGACTGGCTGGGACTGTTTAAGTAACTCAACAGCTATGAATTGAGTCTGGGTGATAGATAAAACAGCGGTGACCACAGCTTGCCTACTTTGTCTGTTGACCCAGTTTGACTAGTTACAGTGCTTGCTTGACATATGATCTGACTGCTGGTGACTAGCCTTTGTTAGAAGTAAAGCAGGGGAAGTGGAAGTCAATTTTGACTGCGACTGTTTTAGCAGGAGGGGTCAATGTACAAGCTAACATTAAGCATGTCAAAAGTGGGGTCACAATTTCCTGGAGCAACTTGTGTGGCATACAAACACGCCTACTTCAGGGCATCATAAAATGGGGGTGATTTTGTAAAGACTAAAAAAAAAATCAAGTTTTAATATATTTGTTCTTTCATCTTTCAATAAATGTATCATTTTGTTATTGATATATTGAAAATAAAGTTTAAAAAAAGGTTCTCTTTTCCCTTTTTCCACCTGCCGTGGCAGACATAGCAATTTTGGACCCATATATTGCAGAGCTGAATCCAAATATATCAACAGTTTAGTCACATACACAACTTAAAACAAAATGTTGACATACCTGCTAAGATTCTGTCAGATCGAACTTCGAGTTTGTACCCCTCATCCCAAACTCGCCTTCATTCCTTCAAACTCAACCATGTTTTCCTTTTGTTTTTGTTTATTTCATCAGAATGTGAAAGAAGACAGAAGCAAGCAAGCAAGCAAGCAAGCAAGTGGTCAGCGAGATGTGTTCACTAAGGTAGGACTGACCCTTTGTTTCAGCCGTTAGCGCTCAAATTGAGCCAGTGAACACCCAAGACCCAGGAACTCAAGACCCAAGTACAGTTTGCAAGTGGAGTCGTTCGTTGGATTGTACAGAGTGAGTCAGAACCCTTTACTTTTTATTTTTGAATCCAAGCAATCTTGAATCTTCCATGCTAAATTGGTCAATCTCATAGCGACAGCAGTGCAGTGTTATGGATACAATGTATTACAAATTGCGCAGCTTGAATTAAATGCAGATATATTGTCTGCTTTTCACTACTTGCATATCAGTGCTGCAATTAAAACTCTTGCCCAATGATCATCTTGTTTAATTGTATTTTTATTCTGTTCATTTGGTTGGTCAAGTTTGCTTGGTTCTATGTGTTTGTGATGTGCGGGTCGGTGGTGGTAGGTGTCGTGATTGTGCAGGGTGGTGGTTTCTCCGCAGGTCATCGGCTCAAATTGAGCACATCTCATCGGCTCAAATTGAGCAAACGTCGCAGGAAGACAGGGCTAAGGGATCTGCTATATCCTGATGTCCTCGAGGATCATCCTAATACAAGACCAGCAGGACTTTGGGATCTTCTATATCCCTACGTCCATCCGGGGGCGGATCTTGGGTGGCAATCGGAGGGGGTTTTACATCAGCTCCCTGGGGAGCAAATGTGAATTTTATTGACGTTGGGACACTTTACTCCTTGGTGGAGATAAAACAGAGTGCCATGGGTTGGCATAGACACAACTTCCCTCACAGTTTTATTTCAAAAAATCATCACTTATCTTTGAGCAAGCTATAAAGTTTCGTCAGCGAAACCTACTCCTTGGCGGAGATAAAACAAGGTGCCATGGATTGGCATAGACACAACTTCCCTCACAGCTTGAAAAATCATCATTGGTCTTTGGGCCAGCTATGCTGTTTTGTCAACTCATAATAAATATAACATTTTTTTACTCCTGAATGGAGAGGAGCAAAGAGGAATATTTACAAGCATAAAATACTGGGTATAATTTACGTAAGGAAACTTGCCCCTGGATCCGTCCCTGCTGCAAGGCTCCACTAAACTTCAAATTATCTTGTGCACCGCCTTTAGGGCATAAACCCATACTCCCGACTATGAAGCACATCATTGATGTCCACCCCATCTACAAATCGCCACATGGACTCCTCGAGCTGGATGAAGACACCATCAGCTGGTTGAATTTGAAGGAATACTTCCATAGGGATTTTTTTAAATAAATATTGATCACCAATAAGTGAAATGAACAGTTTCACTTCATAAATAGGGTTTTTTCTCTTAGTTCAGGGGATCTGCTATATCCTTCTGAAAACTTATTAAGGCTATGGGATCTCCTATATCCCTATGCCGTTAGGGCTTAGGGAGGTGCGGCGGTTTCGATTGCTAATTGGGGTCTGACTGGGTGCTCCAATTGAGGTGCGGCGAAAATCCAGCACAGATTCAAGGGGCGAGTTGCGTCCGCGTGGTAGGTCCGCCTTCCACGTGGGGCGTGGGTCCTACGCAGCGGCCTGGAAACCCTAGGATGCCGTGCCATAAAGGAGCAGGTAGTGCGTCCCTCTTTATAGGGGCGTGGCCCTGTATTCACAGCCGGCAAACGCTGCTACTTCCTATCAGACCGCATGAACCCGTAAGGGGGATGGACTTAGGGGGGCGTGCATATAGGTTAGGGTGCTTTCCTGGTCCTTCGGGGCTGGGCGGGCGGACCGGACAGTCGATAACTGTGTCTGGCCCTCCGGGGCCTACCTTTTATCCAGCAATGGGCCTTACGATACTGAAAGCGCGTTGGGGCTGGTATCCTGGGACCTTCTCGTGGTGGCCCTGTTTAAACAGACCTTACCAGGATATTTGACCTGCTCAGTGAACATGAATCACAATGTTACTTTGCCTTTCTTACACATACCAATTGCTTTCACCGCCTGCTTCACCAATTTTCAGGCTTTCTTTGCAAACCTGGGCTTTCCAAACAATATGTTCCTTCAAATGCCCCCCCCCCCCCCAAAAAAAATTCCTAGAAAATAAACTGCAAATAAAAGTTCATTAATTTCTGCAACATTCTGCGTAATGTTCATTGAGCAGGTCTGGTTTAATAATGTTTTGTTTCTCTTTAATGGCATTGGCTAACAGATGCATAGCCTTAAAAAAAATCACAGAATTTGGAACAGTTTAATTCAGTCAAATGTCCGGCAATTGTGGCAGCAATATTTAAAAATAACCTGATCTGTTGAAGGTTTGCAGAAGTTACATTCTTCAAAATCGTTAATCTATTATGTCCAAAACTGCACATTTGTAGGCTTCTTTGATTTTGTATATATTAAAAAAAAAAAAAATTCAAAAGGAAATGGTTTAGCCATATATTTAAAGTCAAATTGCTTTACATTTTCAAGCCAAAAATACATCTTTTAAAATCCACTTGTGGCTCTCAAAATAAAAAAGAAATGCTTGATGATGTATGATGAATTATTGATGAAGCGTAATGTTCCGACAGTTTTGTATTTTATTAAGGTTCCCCTCGGTAAACTACTTGAAGGCTGGAAGTGAAGGCTGAAGGAGAAGACACAACTACCACTGCAGACATCTCAATCATCTTAGACACGGTGAGTAAATCACAATAATTAAAGCTAGCTCTACATGATCTAGGAGATGGTTCACTTCTTTTACTTCTGCTGTTGCCTTGTAGGTGTTTGATCACCCAATTGTCTATTTGCTGTGAAATTTGAGACACAGTAGTTTCTCAACAGACTTCTCAAGGAAAGGGTTTATAAATACACCCACCCTCTCCTTTACATTTTCCTTCTGGCAAATTTCACAGGTTGTGCAAAGTTTTCAACAAAATTCAACAAACTTATTGTACAAAAATTTCCTTAAATAATTCCAATGCCAAAAATAGTGCAAAATGAAGAATGTTCGGACTTATGTATTTTAAGTTTGTGACATTTTTGTCTTAAAAAAAGTTTCCCTTTTTGTTCTCCCTTTTTGTTCTTTTTGGAAGGTAACTGATGCCGTCGACAGAGTTTGAAGGTACTACCCAGGACGGTAACTGTTGAGCACACATTGGATGCCGAGAACACTGTATTACCATGGCAACGCCAGACCGGGATCCTCCAGTTGGAAAACTTAGTGCATGTGATGCGTGGGACATGCATACATCCTTTTTGTGAAATTGTGCATCTTGCATTGATATTATGCATGTCAAATCTTGTAACTAAATCATTGAATTAATTGCCTATTTTGCAACAAAACTTTGCAACAAATTCTTGCAAGTAAACACATCTACCTGGCAGGGCTCAGAAGTTTGAAAGTTATCAAATATTGAAAGCTTTTTCCGCGGAATGATTTCACCGTGATTACAAATCCTTGTCTTATAGGAAATCTGAAGAAGTACACCCTTTTTTTTTAGATATTGTAATGTTGATATCATGTATTATTCAATACAGGTATTTTAATTTAAAAGTACTTCTGATTGTAGTTTTTTTTCGAAAAATTTACCTGGTATTCCTTTTGGTACTCTGTTTCCAATTTAAATAATTTTTTTCACTGACTATTCATTACAATCTTGAAAGTTTGTCTGCCTAAATCCGATTCTAACAATCCCCTTTTTAAAAAAAAATACTCTGCAGTATTTGTGATTTGAGAAAAACAACAAATGTTCACATTATTCTTGGTCAACGTGCTCATCTCTAAGGTTAAAAAATAATCTTCTTTGTAAAAAGTGTGTATGCATTCTAAATCCAGTTTCTGATCATTTTGCAGTTGCTTCAATGCTATGAAGTTTTTATTAAATTATTAAATGCATTTTTACCAATTTTGTGGACGCCATATTTCCTTTGAACACCACATATGACAAAAGATATTTTGGGAATGTGTTCTTAGGGCCCTTGGGCATCTTCCTAGCAATTTTCAAGCAATTTCATTTTTTTGCCAAAACTGACAAAAAATGCAAGGGGTTAGCCTTACTTTTTTATCAAATTTTGCTCAAAAATTGACTTTTCTGGAAACAACCTAGAAACACTTTAGGAGGCATGATAAGCAGATTTCCATCGTTGTAAATCGATAATTTTGAAACTTTGGCAAATATAAAGGATTTTTGACCAAAAAAATGAAAAAAAAATAATTTTTACCAAATTTTCGGACGCCATAATTCCTTTAAACACCACATCTGGCACCAGAAATGTTGGGAATGTGTTCTAAGGACCCTCGGGCATCTTCTTTGCAATTTTCAAGCAACTTCATTTGTTGGCCAAAATTGGCAAAATATGCAAGGGGTTAGCCTTACTTTTTCAAAAAATTTTGCTCAAAAAATGACTTTTCTGGAAACCACATAGAAACACTTTAGGAGGCATGGAAAGCATATTTTCATCATTCTAAAGTGATAATTTTGAAAGTTTTGGAAGATATAAGGGATTTTTGACAGATAATTTTAAAAAATTTAAATTTTTACCAATTTTGTGTACGCCATGGAGTTTTTATTAAAGCTGAAATAAATGAGTTTGAACTGAAGCTGAATATATTGTGTTTCGACTGTCTTAATAACTTGTGTCAATTTCCTTGTTTTCGTGCAGACTTGTGAAATTTTGTTTTGTGAATTTTTGGGGGGAATTATGCCTAGAAATCATAAATAACGGATGGGGGGGGGGTGTCTTAAAATAGTCTTACTTTTAAATTGAATACATTGCAGATGGAGATGGTTAAATTGGCAGTGTTTTAATTTACAATTATGGATACTTATAAATTTATTTTAAGAGTTTAGGGGCACTGACTTGAGCAACAAGTAAAGCAATTATCAATTTTGGAGGGGTAATATTTTATACATTCTTTGGGAACAAGTTAAAAGACTCTGGGAATGAGGTGAAAAAGCCCTGGGGATGAGGCTAGGACCTTGGGAACGAGGTAAAAAAGCCCTGGGGATGAGGTTAGAACCCTGAGAACGAGGTAAAAAAGCCCTGGGGATGAGGTTAGAACCCTGAGAACGAGGTAAAAAAGCCCTGGGGATGAGGTTAGGACCCTGGGAACGAGGTGGAAAGGCCCTGGGGATGAGGTAAAAAGCCGAAGCTCTGACAACGCACTTGAATTATTACCTTGCTAATTATTGTAGTCGCCATATTTCCTTTAGACACCACATATGGTACCAGAAATTTTGAGAATGTGTTCTAAGGGCCCTCAGGCATCTTCCTAGCAATTTTCAAGCAATTTCATTTTTTGGCCAAAATTGAAAAAAAATGCAAGGGGTTAGCCTTACTTTTTTATCAAATTTGGGTCAAAAATTGACTTTTCTGGAAACAACCTAGAAACACTTTTGGAAGCATGGTTAGCATATTTATATCATTCTAAAGTGATAATTTTGAAAAATTGGGCAAATACAAAGGTTTTTTGACAATAAAAATATGAAAGAAATTAATTTTTACCAATTTTGTGGACACCATATTTCCTTTAAACACCACATATGGCACCAGAAATTTTGAGAACGTGTTCTAAGGGTCCTCAGGCATCTTCCTAGCAATTTTCAAGCAATTTCATTTTTTGGCCAAAATTGAAAAAAATGTAAGGGGTTAGCCTTGCATTTTTATCAAATTTGGGTCAAAAATTGACTTTTCTGGAAACAACCTAGAAACACTTTTGGAAGCATGGTTAGCATATTTATATCATTCTAAATTGATAATTTTGAAAATTTGGGCAAATATAAAGGATTAATGACAATAAAAAATGTGAAAGAAATTAATTTTTACCAATTTTGTGGGCACCATATTTCCTTTAAACACCACATATGGCACCAGAAATTTTGAGAATGTGTTCTAAGGGCCCTCAGGCATCTTCCTAGCAATTTTCAAGCAATTTCATTTTTTGGCCAAAATTCAAAAAAAATGTAAGGGGTTAGCCTTACTTTTTTATCACATTTGGGTCAAAAATTGACTTTTCTGGAAAACAACCTAGAAACACTTTTGGAAGCATGGTTAGCATATTTATATCATTCTTAAGTGATAATTTTGAAAAATTGGGCAAAAACAAAGGTTTTTTGACAATAAAAATATGAAAGAAATTAATTTTTACCAATTTTGTGGACACCATATTTCCTTTAAACACCACATATGGCACCAGAAATTTTGAGAACGTGTTCTAAGGGTCCTCAGGCATCTTCCTAGCAATTTTCAAGCAATTTCATTTTTTGGCCAAAATTGAAAAAAATGTAAGGGGTTAGCCTTACTTTTTTATCAAATTTGGGTCAAAAATTGACTTTTCTGGAAACAACCTAGAAACACTTTTGGAAGCATGGTTAGCATATTTATATCATTCTAAAGTGATAATTTTGAAAATTTGGGCAAATATAAAGGATTTATGACAATAACAAATGTGAAAAAAATAATTGTTTACCAATTTTGTGGACACCATATTTCCTTTAAACACCACATCTGGGCCCAATTTCATAGCGCTGCTTAACAGTAAGCAGAAAAGTTGTGCTTACTATAGCAGAAAATCATGCTGCTGCTTAAGCACTATTTCATGCTTACGGTTGCACGCGAATGGAGATTTCTATTGTTACGTCACTGATTTAAGCAAAGTTTTCTTCTGGGGTTAAGCGTGCTTTTGCTGTGCTTACTGCTTAACGGTCCCTATGAAATAGATGGGGGCTCGGTAAGCACAAAGTCGGCTGTTAAGCAGCGCTATGAAATTGGGCCCTGGCACCAGAAATTTTGGGAATGTGTTCTAAGGGCCCTCAGGCATCTTCCTAGCAATTTTCAAGCAATTTCATTTTTTGGCCAAAATCGAAAAAAATGTAAGGGGTTAGCCTTACATTTTTATCAAATTTGGGTCCAAAATTGACTTTTCTGGAAACAACCCAGAAACACTTTTGGAAGCATGGTTAGCATATTTTTATCATTCTAAAGTGATAATTTTGAAAATTTGAGCAAATATAAAGGATTTATGACAATAACAAATGTGAAAAAAATAATTGTTTACCAATTTTGTTGACACCATATTTCCTTTACACACCACATCTGGCACCAGAAATTTTGGGAATGTGTTCTAAGGGCCCTCAGGCATCTTCCTAGCAATTTTCAAGCAATTTAATTTTTTGGCCAAAATTGACCAAAACTGCAAGGGGTTAGCCTTACTTTTTTATCAAATTTGGCTCAAAAATTGACTTTTCTGGAAACAACCTAGAAACACTTTTGGAAGCATGGTTAGCATATTTAAATCATTCTAAAGTGATAATTTTAAAAATTTGGGCAAATATAAAGGATTTATGACAATAACAAACCTAAAAAAAATAATTTTTACCAATTTTGTTGACACCATATTTCCTTTAAACACCATATATGGCACCAGGAATTTTGCGAATGTGTTCTAAGGGCCCTCAGGCATCTTCCTAGCAATTTTCAAGCAATTTCATTTTTTGGCCAAAATTAGCAAAAAATGCAAGGGTTTAGCCTTACTTTTTTATCAAATTTGTGTCAAAAATTGACTTTTCTGGAAACAAACTAGAAACACTTTTGGAAGCATGGTTAGCATATTTAAATCATTCTAAAGTGATAATTTTGAAAATTTGGGCAAATATAAAGGATTTATGACAATGAAAAATGTGAAAGAAATTAATTTCTACCAATTTTGTGGACACCATATTTCCCTAAACACTACATCTGGCACCAGAAATTTTGAGAATGTGTTCTAAGGGTCCTCAGGCATCTTCCTAGCAATTTTCAAGCAATTTAATTTTTTGGCCAAAATTGACCAAAACTGCAAGGGGTTAGCCTTACTTTTTTATCAAATTTGGCTCAAAAATTGACTTTTTTGGAAATAACCTAGAAACACTTTTGGAAGCATGGTTAGCATATTTAAATCATTCTAAAGTGATAATTTTAAAAATTTGGGCAAATATAAAGGATTTATGACAATAACAAACCTAAAAAAAATTATTTTTACCAATTTTGTTGACACCATATTTCCTTTAAACACCATATATGGCACCAGGAATTTTGCGAATGTGTTCTAAGGGCCCTCAGGCATCTTCCTAGCAATTTTCAAGCAATTTCATTTTTTGGCCAAAATTAGCAAAAAATGCAAGGGTTTAGCCTTACTTTTTTATCAAATTTGTGTCAAAAATTGACTTTTCTGGAAACAAACTAGAAACACTTTTGGAAGCATGGTTAGCATATTTAAATCATTCTAAAGTGATAATTTTGAAAATTTGGGCAAATATAAAGGATTTATGACAATGAAAAATGTGAAAGAAATTAATTTCTACCAATTTTGTGGACACCATATTTCCCTAAACACTACATCTGGCACCAGAAATTTTGAGAATGTGTTCTAAGGGTCCTCAGGCATCTTCCTAGCAATTTTCAAGCAATTTAATTTTTTGGCCAAAATTGGCAAAAAATGCAAGGGGTTAGCCTTACTTTTTTATCAAATTTGGGTCAAAAAATGACTTTTCTGGAAACAACCTAGAAACACTTTTGAAAGCATGGTTAGCATATTTATATCATACTAAAGTGATAATTTTGAAAATTTGGGCAAATTTAAAGGATTTATGACAATAAAAAATGTGAAAGAAATTAATTTTTACCAATTTTGTAAACACCATATTTCCTTTGAACACCACATATGGCACCAGAAATTTTGAGAATGTGTTCTCAGGGCCCTCAGGCATCTTCCTAGCAATTTTCAAGCAATTTCATTTTTTGGCCAAAATTGAAAAAGAATGCAAGGGGTTAGCCTTACTTTTTTATCACATTTGGGTCAAAAATTGACTTTTCTGGAAACAACCTAGAAACACTTCAGGAGGCATGATCAGCATATTTTCATCATCGTAAGGTGATAATTTAAGAAATGTGGGTAAATATGAAGGATTTATGGAATAAAATTTTTAACAATTTTGTGGACCTGATATTTCCTTTGAACACCACATCTGGCACAGGAATGTGTTCTAAGGGCCCTCAGGCATTTTCACATTTTGAGAAGTCAATTTTTAATTTTTAGAAGCCAATTGTATAATACTATTTTTCAATCAAATACTATTGGGAAATCAAAGAATAAAATTATAAGCAAATTGCCAAAACAAAACAACACAAACTCAAAGAAATCAAAGTAAAAGAAACACAGGTTTAATATCTATGAACAAAATGTGAACAACAAAACACATTTTCACAGAAATACACACATAAACAAAGTAAAACGAAACAATATACAGTATTCAATAATGGGGGTAACACAGATTAAAAAAAACCCTCAGTTTCTAGAAAAATTCACTATCCTTAATTATCTCAGCAGAAAAACCCAAACACTTCCATTTGCATGAACTTACAGGGTGTAAATCTCTTCCTGTTGACTGTTAATCAAGGCATAGGGACCAGGATTTGCAGGGAAAATCTGTCGGAAAATGAATTTCTAGATCACAATTGTTCTGGTTCTTGTAAGATGGTGGCGATTTAATTTAGGGTCACATTATCTTCTTCCACATGGTCTATAGAGGGCGTTCTTTTTCCCAGGCACACAAAACAAGATGACATTCAAATGTTCCCAAGACTTTGTACAGTGTTTAACTATTTTACAGTACATTGTTTAACTATTTTAATGGCACACATGGTAAGAAAAAAAGGAGGAAATCAGCTGATCTGAGAAAAAAGGTGCATGCCTGTTGTCGTGAAACAAAATTCTTCCCTGACAACGTTTGGAGAGAGTATGGAATTTGTCATTGGTTTTTAGCAAGTGCATTTGGTGTGGAAGATTGGTAATGAAAATACTCAAGAGGATTTTTTAACCAATTGCGAATTCCCTCACTTGGGCGAGTAACACTGCTAGAAAGCACTGGTGACATTTTGACACTTTTCTCCTTAAAAAAACTACCTCTCCCCCACCCCTAAAAAACAGAACTAACAATCTCAAAGTCCCTCAGTGTGCTTCAAACATGGTTTCTCAACATTACCATTTCCAGTGTCATATAAGCCCCCACCCCTCAACAACGCCAAAATGAAAAAAAGGAATGGTTTACAAGGTGTCCTGTGATTGGCTAGATGGGTTTGATCTTGAAATGTAGACCAATCAGGGAGAAGACAAGACACTTGAGATCCTGGACGAGGTAGTAGAAGATACGAAGACCCTCAGAATCCCTGGAATGATAAAAGGAAAGAAATTGACAATCTTAGGAGAAAACAAAATTGAAAGTCACAATTGGCGCTTAGGAAAATATTACAAACAGATATCAATTTAAATAAAATTATTGATTCAAAATGGGGGGGGGGGGGAAACATCTTAATCTTTTAAAAATTACATAATGTAAGGGTTGGGTCTAAAGACTCATACAACTTTCTTTGAAAGGAGCATGCCTCTAAAAAAAGAAAAAACTTTGGAGGATGAATCATTAGCTCCTTTCCAGACAATTCACATACTTGCTGCTATTGACGTCGATCAGCGATCCAATCTTGCTAGTGGTGAAGGAGATATGTTCGTTGCCCATGACGATCTCCAGTTCCTGGCGCCCGACCCGGTCTGGTTGCGGCCACAGCTCATCGTCCTCCTGCATCAACTCGCTGTCTTGGACGATTCGCTTAAGCTCATCGATGACAGCCTTGTGGACGTAGGCCTGGTGAGTAATGCACAAACACTCCATGGTTCGAGTCTTTTTAAAGCAATTTTCCTGACACCTAATGAACTTTTCCGAATCTTCGAAAATTTACCAGACTTCTGGATAGCAATGGCACTATCTTTAAATTCTTGAAAACTGAAAGCTAAAATAATAGTTTGACCCCAAGAGGGGTGGGTTGAGGTGGGTGGAGGTGGGGTGGAGGGGGTAGGGTGGGTGAGGGATAGGGTGGGTTAGAGATATGGTGGGTGAGGGATAGGGTGGGTGGTGATGAGACAATGCAATGGAGTGAGTGGTTGGACGGGGGCATATGGGGAGTGGATTTAGGGTAGGGGGTAGGAGGGTTGGTGGGGGAGGGGTGCAGGGGGTCACAGACAGATTTAAAGCACTTATCTTACCTCTTTTCTGATCATGACATCATTCTTGTAATTTGAATTGTTGGCATACCTCAGCTTTCCTGAAAAAATAATCAGCAATTGTTTGCTATAGTTATTCTCAAAGGTTTGTTGCTGTGCTTTGCAAATCTTGGTTTAATCTCCAATGAAAATTCTGACTGAATCTGTAGTAATTAGTTTTGAGAAATAAAAAATGCTTCACTGACTGGGTTCCCCTATTTTAATAATGGAGTGTATAGTTTAGGACCCTGTTCCTATAAAAAAAAAAGGATAAGAGAATGAAAATCCATTTTCACTCCTTGGACTCACCTAAGTAGATGAAGACACCATGTTGAATATCTGCAGGAGTGCAGGATTAATTTTGTGGAAAGACAGCAGGCTTTTGATTTTTGAGGGAAATTAGAGTGTAAGAATAACAGCGACTATGCAGCGCACACGGAAAAGAAACATGGCATCCGCTTGACGTGTCATGAGTGTGTTGATTTGGTGGTTACTCAGCTACTGGAATATCAGGTAAGAGACGTCATATTTTCTCCCAAAATACTGTTCAATTTTTTTTAAAGGATCAATATAATTAAGAGATTGCCTGAGGTTGCAAATGTCATTTTACTTTTTTAGCTAGAGTGACAATTTTTTTTTTAAATCAAAGACACTGACTCACTGACAAATAACCAACAAATTGTATTCTAAATATGCCCTATTGTTTATCTTTATGTTCGGCACAATTGCAGAATACCCCGCCACTCGATCTATCCACCTCGTAGCCGGCTACGAGGTCACGGCTGATTGACCTCAATAAACATTCTCAGCGATACTTGTATGTACTATGCGTTATGCTCCATTGCACTCCCACTTCGTGACCGCGTAGCCGCCAACAGGGTAGTTGGTTTGGACTTAGAATTTTTTCAGCAACTCCCATTCCTTTTGTGTTGCTTCGTTCTCAAGCATATTCAAGGGGACTCCCACTCCGTAGCCTCGTAGCCGCCAACAGGGTGGTTGGTTTGGACTTAGAATTTTTTTCAGCAACTCCCATTCATTTTGTGTTGCTTCGTTCTCAAATAATGGACCCCCACTCAGTATCCGCGTAGCTGGCAATGGACTTGAAATTGAATTGTTTCTTTTGCAGTGATTCCAACCTCGTAGCCAGTGATTTTAGGGGTGTATTTCCAAGTGGCGGGGTATTCTGCAATTACTCCTTATGTTCCACCAACGCTTTACATTCCACAAAAACATTGTTCACTCTTCTATTTACAATATATTCCCAGATATTCCACAAAATGCACAAAACAAGATTTGGCTCTGTAGCGCCCCCAACGGCATGGCGACCAACGTGCACGCATCGCGTGTGTAACGGGGTAAAACACGTAAGGAGTACAGCATAAAAACCTCATTTTACATGCAATAACTTCCTTTCTTTTACCTTAAAAATTATCCTGGAATATCTATTGTTACTCACCATCTGGTCTGAACTCAAACTCAAGGAATTCGTGGCCGAATTTGCCTTTGTGGCCGACGTAATATCGCAAGTAAAATTCTCCTTCCGACATGTTTTTGGCTTTGATTGGCGTATTTGCGCCGCTTGATGGCGCCCTATCACCAAACCCATTTCGTATGGAGGCGGGGCTTGAATATGGGGGGGGGGGGAGTTGCGTTTTAAATAGAACTTTCCCCATTTTTCACTCTTGAAATCCATCTTTTTAAAAACAGAGTTTAGCATAAATTTCTTGTAATATAGTTTCTTTTTGCGAAAAAAAAAAGATTTACGCTTTCTTTGTGTTTGTCTTATCAAAGCAAGGTAAAAATATGGTATGGGACTATGCAAGTTTTAATTTATGCAGATTTATGCATATTAGATTTATTTCTAGACAGAGAGCGGGAAGCATACCGCATTACAAAATTTCACACCAATCCATCAAGATAGGTTTTCGCTTTGTATTTCCTTTTTCTTTCTTTCAAATAATATAAATAAAAAGAGCAAACGGCAAACAAAATAAATTTCAAATCAAAGACTACACTGATGTTATAGAATGTAGTAAACAAAACAAAAATGCACATAAAATTAATGTACTAAATTAGAATTTGCTGAAGAGATAACTGTGAAGATGCAACCAAGCTGACAATGTGATGAACTCGACAAATTAGTCATTTACTACAGTTATAAAATTAATCGCAATATTCATTAGGGGTGTGCATCGGAACTGGGTACCTGGTACCCAACCGCTGATGTCAGGAACCGGTTCCAGATTATAGGATCGGGTACCTATAACCAACTTCACATATTACTTAGTAAACTTCTCAGACAATGAAAAAGAGAAGTTTTGAATGCCATTTGTGGGATATTTTCAAAATGAAAACCGGGATACATGGAAAACCGAAACAGATTTCAGGTTTACGTGCATTTTAGCGCATGACAGATGACGCTCGCCAAAGTTGCAATTTACACTGCTAGTCAAGAAGCTCTTTAGACAACTTCTGGGATTTTAACTTTGCAGTTGGGTTTCCTTTACAGGTACCTGGGTACCCATGTTTTACTTCAATAGGGTACCCAGTACCCATAGGGTACCCAGTACCCACAGGGTACCCAGTACCCACAGGGTACCCAGTACCCACAGGGTACCCAGTACCCACAGGGTACCCAGTACCCACAGGGTACCCAGTACCCACAGGGTACCCAGTACCCACAGGGTACCCAGTACCCACAGGGTACCCAGTACCCACAGGGTACCCAGTACCCACAGGGCACCCAGTACCCAAAGGGCACCCAGTACCCAAAGGGCACCCAGTACCCATAGGGTACCCAGTACCCATACTACCCGTAAATGCACACCACTAATATTGCTTTAAATAACATCAGATTTTTGTCTTACATCTTACAAACTTTGACTCCCCAAAAAGGCTGATTGTTAAGTTAATTATGAACATTGCATCTGTATCAGACACCATGAACATTTCTGCTTTACATCTTTTGTTAGATCAACTATTCAACTGCTATTAAAGTTTTAACTAATACATCTATTTATTGAAATACCTGCACCGTGTAAAAGTGCGTATATATCATGCTTTTTACACAGTTTCAGACTCAAAGACTGTACAGAAGTTATCACCCAGTGCAAATAAAAACAAATTTACAAAACCTTTTTTTTTAGTTGTCATGCACGCTTTTACAATGGAATGAAATGATGACAATGTTATGATTTAAGGTCAGAAATAAAATTGAATTCTCAACTTAAAAGAACATTATTTTGGAACCTTTCTGCTTTTTAGTTCTAGTTAAAGTGTAAAGTGTGGTGGACGGAAAAATTCAATGGGGTAGTATTGCAAATTAATCAAATAAAAAAGGATAAATGTAAAAAAAAATGGGTTAATTTTTATGAACAATCAAGACTACTACAATGTAGGCAAATGAAAGTAGCGTGTTTTATCATTACAGTTGCGAATAAATATGAGAACAGTCAAAAACACAAAGGGAAATGTGCCATAGCTGGAAGTCAACGGACAGCATAACATTAACATTTACAATCCCAGGATATGGGTTATATGAACCCATTGTCAACCAATCCTATGTCCCTATATTTGAGTAAATTCCATAGTACGGTTAATGCCACCTTTTTCAAAAACATCCCATTCACATTACAAGCATGCAATAAACTCGACAGGGAAAACGTACTTCGACTCATTCAAAGATGACCCCTGACCCGACCTCCAACCCTCATGAATATTTACATGGTTTTTGTTTATAAGGAGGAATGCAATCAGATGCTGAGGCCGAAGACGCTGACGATGCAGTACATGGTCTTGTTTTCCCATCTGACAGTGCAGCTGCCGTCACTCATGTTGTCCCAGTAGCATGAACTCGCAGTGTGCAGACCGGCTCCGTTCTTCTGCATGATCACGCACGTCACTGAATGAATAAAAACAATCAATGAAAACAGTAAATAGATCAGAAAGCAATTTTACAATGCATAGTAAAGTCTAGAGTCCAATTACCAGTGAGATGGGTCCAATATTATTAAGCTGTAACCCTAACTCCCTGGGCATTTTTGCTAGGATGCAACTTCAATCCTGCAAAATACTCGAACTGTCTCCCATGTCAAAATGGCATACAGCCTCAATCCTGCCAAATGCTCCAGCAATCGCTGTCAATATGTTGAGGCAGACTCAGTGACATCCTGGAGCAGTGCGGAGGATTTCAAGTATGATGTAGGCCTAAATTTATGCACAGCTGAGCATAAACAACAAAAGGTCCGGCCCAAGACACAGTGCTTCCTCCAAAATCAGCCACACATTTTCACCATATAGCCTCAATCCTGCAAAATCATTAATTTTGCAAAGAGGATTTTGGAGGATTTGGGAAGGTTAGGGTTAAAGCAATGTAGTACTCATGTCCATCCCGAGTTCGGACAAAAGGAAATCACTAATCCTCACAAGTCCAGTCACAAACGACAATGGAAAAACAATTACAAAGAACTGTTTTTGTCACAGTTCTGTGACAAACACAACATCACTGCTTAGCAGAACTACTCAGTACCTAGCTGGAGTTACCCAGCCCTGAGTTTTATCATTGGGTTGTCATCTAGGGCTGGAGCGTATTTTTCTCGTAACTTGTAGTATATTCAAAAATTTTTGGAAAATGTTCAATTTTGTCCCCGTTACATTACACACTAATTGCAACTGCAACTCACCCCAAACTTGCCTGGAATAACCATTACACAGGTCCTTGAAGTAAAAAACGATCCACGATGAAGATTCAGCCTACAATTGCAGTGAAAACAGGAGGAATAACCGCTAACTTGACAACCTTGCTGGATTGGCCAGGACCGCAATTGGTTTGTGCACAAAAAAAATTGTGTACAATGAATGGCGGTCAATTAACAGGCACAGAGAGCGATCGCTGTCAACTACTCGGTTTTGCCGGCTGCGCTGGGCTGTTGGCGCATGACGTCACGCGGAAGCGTATGACCCGATGACTGTTTCATGCACTATTGGTTGCGGTTCCAGTACCAAAGCTGTGATGCGAGTGGTAAACCTTATATTAGTGCATGAAACAGTCATCGGGTCATACGCTTCCGCGTGACGTCATGCGCCAACAGCCAGCGCAGCCGGCAAAACCGAGTAGTTGACAGCGATCGCTCTCTGTGCCTGTTAATTGACCGCCATTCATTGTACACAATTTTTTTTGTGCACAAACCAATTGCGGTCCTGGCCAATCCAGCAAGGTTGTCAAGTTAGCGGTTATTCCTCCTGTTTTCACTGCAATTGTAGGCTGAATCTTCATCGTGGATCGTTTTTTACTTCAAGGACCTGTGTAATGGTTATTCCAGGCAAGTTTGGGGTGAGTTGCAATTAGTGTGTAACGGGGACAAAATTGAACATTTTCCAAAAATTTTTGAATATAATACAAGTTACGAGAAAAATACGCTCCAGCCCTAGATGACAACCCAATGATAAAACTCAGGGCTGGGTAACTCCAGCTACTCAGTACCAAGCAAGTTTTTCTCTAAGAAAAAAATTAGCCAGATTTACCAATGTATTTGAACGGTTTGCCCAATTTGGTGAGCTGGTTCAGGCACTGTTCTACCACATTGGACGTCCACTGGTTGATCTTGTTGTGTTGGTAGGCGTTGCCGCCTATCGTGCCTTCCACAGCCTCCTTGATGATATTGCTGACTTCATCCACCACAAACGAAGTCTGAAATTAACAATCAACACATTGAAACGTTAATATCAAAATCACAAAATTTTGAGTGTCAGTGTCACATGGTGTCAATCAATTTAATTTGAGTGCAAATCATGCAAGTGGAATTTGCTAAATAAGATTTTATTACATGTATTAGGAAATAATGTTGCAAACTTGCATCCTGATGCCATTTTTTAAAATCATATCATGATATAGGTGTAGGCCTACATCTCGATGAACAGATGAAGGTCAGTCCATGGTCAGTCATTGCAAAAATGTTGAATTTGAAAAGACATCAAATGATCAATCTGGAAGTGACACTGACAGAAACATTTCTAATTTTGTTACAAAATACTTTGAAAATACACTCAACTCGCCTGGGTCTTACTTAGCTCTTTGTACACAACCAAAGAAGTGGCGTCTGGATACCACCCTTTCCCATACAATTATGCCATTAATGTTTCTTTATTTGTATTGTTATGGCTGGTTTCAAATGTCAAACATGTCAAACTGGATCACTGATTTTCAATTTCATCATCATGACTTCCCCACTTTTTTATTTCACATTAAAACGAAATATTATATCACCAAACACGAACAAATATTATATCACTGAAATCCTTACCTCCTCAGCTGTCTGGTACTCTTCCATTTTTGTCAAATTATTTGATAATTCCCGGTCAAAACGCACGTTTTTCAGCACCAAAAAATTGACTCGCCGTGTTTCACTTCTCGGTCGTTGGCAACAAGCAATGCATTGTGGGAGCTTAAATTCAATCGATCCGTCGTTTTACAGACGGCTGTTTGAGGTTGTGCCTCGTAAAACAGCCGTCGTATTAGGAAACTTTTTATTCATTTTATCAAATAAAACTGGGACGTCAAAATGATGTCAGATTTTCTGTGAAAGAATATTAAAGGTTTCAGAAAACTGAGAGAAATACAAACACAATCCCTTGAGGTAACAAGACTCATTTTTATTTCACCTCAAAAGCCTGTGGTTACATGTCAACGAAGCAAAAAATATATATGAATACACAAAACACTGACAAAAAGATATAAAACAATTATAACTATATTTAGTTTTAATGAAGAAATTATTCAAGTTTATTTTCCAAGGTAGAACTTGCATATTTAAATCAAACATTCATCTGGACGGATCATTTGAAAATACTTGTCTCAATTTTGAATTGTTTGTATTCATTCAACTTACTCTAGGCCATCAGAATTATATGTTAAATTTACATTATGAAAAAGTTATTTGGCCAATTGTAACATTAATTAATTAATTATCAAATTGGGTGGTGAATACGTCTACATAAAGTAAGTACTTTTGTTGGACAAATGGATAAATACAACAAACCCACACGTGAAAAGAACAAAAAACAAAACCAGTTTCAGAGAATTTCAGTTCAGAGAAAAGCATTCCAGTTACAAAAATATCAAATTTTAGCATTTTTTTTTTTAGAATTAGCATTACAATAAGTTCATCTTTGTTAATTGGACGGAAATCTGATTTTTAACGAAAAAGCTAAGAGCACGTGCTTGTAATATAAATAAAACAGTAAGTTATATATCTTTTTATGGACGCAATTAGTCGAGATATGAAGGCACTGGGAAATCGGGATGGAAGTGTCAGTTGTTAAAAAAATTCTGGAAGTTAAAATTCACAATGCTGGATATGTATATTGCTGAAATACTTTAAAAATACAAATGGAATACAATTTGTGTATATTCATTCAGTTCAGTGAGGTTATATATTGTCTTCACACGACACAAACTTCTACAAGATAAATTTAATGCCACAGCAGACATAAAGCAAAAAGCAATTTCTCTTTTTGAACGACTTAACCACTTTAAAAGATTACTTCTTTCAATTAATATAAAGCGTACAAACCGCAGCGTTAATTGCATAACACAAAATATATTTTATTCCGCAAACCACAAAAAAGCACTAAGCACTGACATTTACAATACATTTTTTTTTTCTCACCAAATGCCACAAATTATATAGTTATAATAAAATTTAATTAGATTACCAGACTATATTTGGACGGTTTAAGTTGGACGGTTTTCTTTCATTGAACATTTGTCATCAAACTCACGTGTATTAATCAATTAAAGTGCACACGAGGAGGTTAGTTTGTAATAAGTAATATTACAGGGGAGAGGCATTTCACTTGATAACAAAAATAAGTTGGAGCAGCAACAAATAAACAATACATGTTTATAATTGTAAACTTCATTGCATTTACAAAACCGACAATTTATTGAAATTTAATTCAGAATATATTTTATTTTTAACTATTGTAATTGATTTGAAGACAAAAACTTTAAAAAAATGCTTACAATATCATTTTCAAGCCGACAATTTATTGAAATTTTATTTTTTTATCACACATTTCAATAAATTTGAAGACAACTACCCAGCAAACGCATGCAATAGCTTTCACACAAAAAAGCTTTAAAATATCAAACTTAATTAAAAAATAATGAATAAAGCAAGCAGCTCTACCCCCCTTTTTTTACTTGGTGTCGCAGAGCAAAGCCACACCCCTCAAGATCCAGTGATCTGGGTGATGGACGGTCTTCAGGAACAGCGGGAAGATGTACGTGAGATCGGTACGTCTGGGCTTGCTGTAGACTGGGCACTCGTAGAGTCTGGGGTCCTTGGGCCCGACGGCGTTGATGGCGTAGACGTGGACCACGGGGAGGGGAGTGAAGAGGACTTTTGGAGGGGAGTCGATGAGTTTGCAGTTGCGGCGGTCCCAGCCGGCCCCGTCCAGGAAGAGGCCATGGACGTAGACACCTAAAAATGAAGAAAACACCAAGATGTGAATTTTTTTATTTTTTTTTTATTTATTCTGGTTTATTATTAAAAAAAACAAAATATATTGTACACAACAGCATAAATGCTGACAATTACAATATTTACAAAATAAGGCTAAAAGTTCATATCGTCACAGTTACAGTAAAATTTAAAAGGGAGAAACTATTACAAACAGACATGATACAAAGCATAAAATTCACACACCAAAGGTGAAAATTTACATTCCATACAACTGATGATTTTGAAAAAAAAAAAAAAAACAGGTAATGGATTCACAGAAATATTACAGTTGCGGTTTAATAACATGAATAGACTGGGTGGAGATGCTTAGCACACATATCTGCTAAGCAAAGAAAAGTTACGCTTCGCAAAGACAGGTTAAATCTGCTTGTGAATTTGAAATCTTCTCGGCTGTGTTTTGTTAATCACATTATAACAAGATCATGTATTCTCTGCTCCGCAGCTCAACGTTTTTGTTTTTTGCTTATGTGAGATTATCAGTAAGGATCGTGAGCTGCTTGCTGATGTGGAATCAATATGGCTTGAAAAGAGATTATTTCACAACTTTTGCAAACTACAAGACCAAATATGCTGCTCAAGGTGGTCACTTCAAAGAAAGGCAGGAAGAAGGAAAGAAATTTGATCAAGTTGTTACCTTCAGGGGGTGGGCCGCTGATGTCCTCCTTCATGAACCTGGTCATGTCGTTATGGAGCACCACGCTGTCCAATGCCCAGCCCTTGTGAGCTCGTGTGATCTCCTGTCTCATGGCTGTCAAGAAGCCCTGCAAGAAGAATCAAGTAATTAAAACCGTGAATGATTTGACGACATACATAGCCGCGACACTTTTCATATTTGTTCCACAGAATACAGAGCCACATGTGGCAGTCTCCTCTTGAATAAGATGATAGTGGGCTACTGTCTTACCTGTGGATTGAAGAAGCCAGTCATCCAGAAGACGCTGGGACGTCCCTCAAAGCACCAGGTGTGGAACTGGGCGTTCCTTTCAATCAGATCGGTGAACCAGAAACCGAGGGTAGTGGACTGCCAAGATATCTACGACCCAAAAAGATATCACAACCAGCAACTTGTATTAAAAAGACAACTCAGTTTGGGCATTTTCAGTCCACTTCATCACTAGAACTCAACAGGCTCAACACCTTGAACGCTTTCTGGGTGGATATGTCGCGTGGTATATAAATGTCTTTATAATTATAATTTGAAGACATGTTAGTAGCCATGTGGTACATCAGTAAAGGGGGAGTTGAAGACAAGCCCTATGAAGTAAAATCACCTGTCAAGTCACAAATCCCTCAAGTCAAGTCACAAATTACTCAAATGAACTGTGTAAAGGCATTCCCTTTATCATCGTTCATCCCCCGTTACTTACCACCTAATGATATGACACGGGAATTAGTTCAGCTACATCTCTGATCATAGGTATGAACTACAGGTTGTGTGATACTTTTTAACTTGTGTCAATACAAATCTGAGCAAGTCTTAAAGGAAAGATAAGGCTGTGTCCGAGTTACTGGCTAAGGCTAACAGTAACACACAAGTCTATAAGAAACTGAGTACTTTGTCTTAAATGAAAGATAAGGCTGTGTCTGAGTTACTGGCTATGACTAGCAGTAACACACAAGTCTATGGGAAGTGGCTACAGCAGCTCCCATAGACTAGTGTGTGAAAGCAAGCCATAGCTGTGCCATCCTTTGCTTTTTACCTTCTTCCAGCTCTGAGGCACCCTGGCATCGTAGATGTTGTCCAGAGCGTCTCGGAGGTTCTCGCTCATGATGATGGTGCCGTCGATGGCCAGCTTGAGGTCCATGAGGGTGGAGCGGACCGTGCTGATGACCCGCTGCATCCGGTCGATCTCCTGGCGCAGGAAGATGTTAAGCGGGGACAGGATGCCCATCTTCTGCAGACGGGCTTTGACCTAAGATGTTCAACAATAAGAACAACGATTTCTTCATATACCAAATGCAGTTGAGATTACACGCCAATACAGTTAATAAAAGTTTATAAGAATTCATTTTTTACACTGTAAAAAAAAAGTGCATATAAGTAAACTGCAGTAAAATATCTTGCTTGTGGACACTACCCAGATTATTTAATGGTCAGTATTTCAAAGACTATGGTAAGAAAAGGATAAAAGTAATTGCAGTAAACTATCTTGCTTAAGGGCACTAGTCACGATTCATTGGCTCATTTTAAAACACATTTTAAAGACTGCTAAGCAATTGGAGACAAGAAATTGCTGTAAAGTGTCTTGCTTGAGGACACAAGTCATGATTCATTGGCTCATTTTAAAACACATTTTAAAGAAAGCTAAGAAATTGTGATATCTGCAATTGCAGTAAAGTGCCTTGCTTGAGGACACAAGTACCATTAGACTTTGGCTTAGTTCGAGGTGCACACTGATAAGACTATGAAAGTTCACATGCTTCAAGCTAGCATGACAACTGGACCACAGCAGTTCACACGAAAAGCTTCAGAATGATTTAGTAGATTCTCTTGTTTTAATCTCTGCTGCTAAAAAGTCACAATGCATCTAACTAAACACTTCAACCAAGCATACTTGTCTGTGTTTCATTCTACTATTTCAAAATGTCCTAAGCAATTGCCCACCTCATGAGGAATGTAATTAGGAGGCAGTTTCTCCAACATTTCGTCGGCTTGTCTGTAGACAAAAGACTCACGAGTCTCCCCACCGCCACTGCCACTGTCCTTGGGCTGGATGTTGACAATCAGCTCCAATACCTGTTCAAAGAAAAAAGGTTGAAGGCTCATTTTTCCCCTTGCATTACCAAACAAATACCAAAATAACTGTTTCAAAAAAAGCATAATAAGTTCAATATTCTCATTGTAATACTCATCAATCACCAAAACAAGGTAGCAAATAATAGAATGAATGAAAAAGGTTCTGAAATGAACTTTTTTGGGGGCAAGGGTGGAAGGGGTAAGTACTGGGCAGGTAACTTCATCAAGAAGATTAGAATGCACCAGTAATTATTTAAAAATGGTCCACTAACAAGGACTGAAAATATGTGTAAGGGTTATAAGGGTTACAACATATCACTTGGAACGGAATTTGCTTTACTTGGTGACTTGACAGATACCAGATCTCAAAATGAAAAAAAAGGAAAAGATCATTTGGTTTTTGTTCATACCTCGGTAGCCATGTTGGTCTGGTACGTGATGTCAGCGTTTGGATGTAAGCCAAAGGCCTCGGGCGAGTCCACCAATGGAAGGTTCTCGATAGCGCCGCGGTACTCGTCCACGCTGCGACACTTGGGAATAGTATAACCTGCGAAAAGACGGACACATTGTAAGTTATTTATCTAAGTTACATATAAACCTGGGCCAAATTTCATGGCTATGCTTACCAAAAGAAATTCCCTGCTTACTGTAGCAGAAAATTACGTACATATAGTTAGCATATTTCATGGGTTAGGGAGGAATTTTGGTTTTATGTGTACATCCTGTAAATAAGGATTTTGTGCTTACAGGGTTGGCACAGAATTTTTCTGCTAGCGCTGTTAGCACAGAATGGTGATCGTAAGCACGGATTTCCATGGTTAGCAGAGCTGTGAAATAGAGTGCTAAATATCTAGCTGGACCTGAATTTTGACTTATTTATTTGTTTATTCTGAAGTAAATAGGCCATCTTGACACACTATACTATAACATACAAGACTTAAGTTTTGTTGTTTATAGTGTTTTTTTTGCACTCACCTGTATAAAACTTGAATTTGTCTGAGAACATGTCTTCCGAGAACCAGACCCTGGCGTAGGTGTTGAGGAGACGTTTGTCGTAATCGTCGGTCACGCGGCCACCGTACTGGACCTCACCCAACATGTAGCGAATGGTGTTCCAAGACACACCCTGTCAGAAACAAGCGAGTAGAAAAAGACGTCTTTTACTGCAAAGTATTGGAAGGTTCCTTTTTTGTGATTGAAATTATTCTAATTGATCACAATTTTCAATTGAATGTGAGAGTTGTGTCTGAGTCCACCACAAGTCAATCAAAAGGCTGCACATACTATGGGATGAACAATGAAAACTAAATAATCACAATAATAACCCTAATGAAATAAATTTATCATGGTAACTAGAAATAGCTCAACCAACCAACACTCAGACAGGGGCACCAATGAACAAACCACCCACCTTCTTAATGTCCAAGTCATCCAGGTGATTGTTGACAAACTGCACGCTGGATGTGAAATCAGCCTGGTTGAACTCGTAAGGGATGTTCCATCCCAGAGGGCCAAACTTGCGTCTCTCCTGCACGGTGGTGTGCAGGAAGGCCACGGCGTACAGGATAGGCTTCCATTGCATCATGGTGGAGACTTCTAGTTGCTCCTATGGCACAAGAGAATAAGAGAAAAAATTGTTAGCATCTTGAGAAAAAAAATTATGAGTCTTGTTTCTGTCTGTGAATGTTATTGAAAAGCATATCCTTAAATTTCTCCAAAATATAAATCCATTTAAAATATTTTTGGGGGAAAACAGAGTAATTGCCTAAAAGTGCTTCACAATTGTTACCCTTGTTCATCAAGCCATGAGACCAATTTTCGGCAGTCTGGTCTCTGTCCTCCCAGGCACCCATTTATACTCGTGGATGGAGAGAGGCAATTGTAGTAAAGTGTCTTGCCCGAGAACACAAGCGCCATGTTCCCGTCAGGGTTAGAAACCACGTACCATCCTATATGAGTAGGCCATGTAACCACTGGACCACGGCATTCTGCTATTTTTTTACCATTTCTTTTTTTTTTAAAGGGGGGGAGATGTTTACCTGTGTGATACCGGCATAGGTTCTCTTAAGTCCTGCCTTGATGCCCTGGGGAGGCTCGTTAGTGTACTTGATGGACACCTGCAGCAGGTTGATGGGGAACTTGGGATGTTCCTCGGTGGTGATCCACAGACGGAAGGACTCATGAACATTCTCCCCAGACAGGATCTAAAAGAACAGGATTAAAAGTTAAAACGATGTTTGTATTAACAATAGTTTTCTTTGGCTTCTCTGGACTAGTTCATGACTCCTAAGATGAACATGGTTTATGTTTTCTTACTAATATTTCTTGATAGTCTGGATCCGAGACCTACAGATTGGGACTATTCTGATGAATCTCTGGTCACATAGGCGACAGTATCGTTTGACCAAAATGTGCATGATCTAAGAGACATCTGGGAGATTTTGAGGTCAGGGAACCAGACTTTATCTCTCGGCTCAGACGGTGTGAATGGACTTACCGTGTCCAGAAGTTCATCCAGGAATCCCAGGCCAAGATGGCAGTTCTGAAGCAGGACCCATCCGCCTTCTGTCATGAAACCGTTGAGCAGCTTGCGGGCGTGCACCTCCTGGCCCTGACCCATGCTAATGGAACGACAACCTATAAGAAACAATCAAGAAAAAAGATAAGCATGATTTCCTTCAATACACTGCTGACACTTTGAAAACCCTGGATGTGATTCAAAAAGGTAAACGAAAATTATGGACAACGGTCCTTTAAATTCACATCCAAAGCTTGGATCCCCAAGTAGTCTTCAACAGCTACAAGGATGAACAAAGAACTTGACTGGGTGGGATCTGAACCTGTGATCTCTGGAACACTGTAACAATGCTCTACCAAGTGAGCTATCTAGCATTATGTTACAAGTCGGGCCAGAAGTACATCACCAGTCTATTCACAAAGACTTGGACTTGGGACTGAATGGCTTGTGATGGGACTTGTGATCCAAGACTGATCGTGGGGCAACTTACGGATGTTCATCTTCTTAGCGAGTCCCTCGATGGAGGCGGTGGGGTCGGATCCCATGGACAGGAAGCAGGCCATGGGTGTCTTGGGGTCGCTCTCCTCCCACATCTTCTCCATGTTTAAGATCACGCCCTCCGCAAACTGGGGATAAAGAACAAGTTGTGGATGGAAAGTTTTGGATTAGAAAAAAGTTTTGGATTTGAAAAAAATTGTGGATCAGTGAAAAAGTTGTGGTTTTGAAACAGTTGTAGATTTGAAAAAGTTTCGGATTTGAAAAGTTGTGGATTTGAAAAAGTTGTGGATTTGAAAAAGTTATGAATTTGAAAAGTTGTGGACTGGAAGAAGTTGTGGACTTGAAAAATCAAGGGATTTGAGAAAGTTAGGGACTTGAAAACTGAAGGACGAAAAAATTGTGGATATGGAAATGGTGACTTGGAAAAACATAAACTAAACAAAACTGTGGCTTTGAACATTAGGAAGGTGAAATTGTGGGTTTGAAAATTGGGTAATGGGTAAACTGGATATCAAAACTTATTGTGATTTCAAATAAACTGAGGTTTCAAAAGAATTGTAGATTTGAAAAACGTAAAAAATGTGAGCTCTGAAGATGAATTGTTTTTTAATATTGCGAGACTGAAAAACGAAAACAATGAAAGTTCAAATTTACATGGGAATCTGCAAACATATTGACCAATCTACTGACAAGTTGACTATGTGAACAAACTGAATTACAAAACTTGACAAACCTTGACCCCGATAGAGTCAGCGATGTACTTCCTAGCCTGCGGAATGGTCCTGTCCGGGCACCAGGACCTGACCAGCAGCAGCTTACGGAAGACGTCCAGGGACGAGGAATATCCATCTGGTATGGTAGCCTCCTCGGGCGCGTCCTCGTCAAACCACTGCTTCCAGGCCTTGTCGTTGCGAGCTACCTGGCCGACGATCTGATTGAACTGGGGCAGCTTGCTCAGCTGGACCAGGTTCAGCCAGGTCATGTCTAGGATCCACTTCCTGGGTTTGGGTTCCACGGCGTTCAGGTCCAAGGAGGCACCACCTGAAGAGACAGAGATGAACCAAAGTGATGAATCGATCAAGAAGCAGCAATCATAACTTTTCTGAGTAACAAACTTCTTGCTCAGGCCACAGATCTTGTTACAGCGTCAGAGAGACAGAGATTGGAATATTTAAAGTGACCTCTCCCCTGAATCTACCAGACTCATTTATTTTTGTATTAAGGTTTGTGCTCAACGATTTCAATTTAGCCATGGGAATTTTGGTGGTGTCCCTAAGTAATGTACTTTACCACAACTGTTTTTCTCCATCCACTAGAGTGGAAAAAGTGATCTTAAATAGGGGACTGTATTAGTGCTGAGTTTGAAAAGAGCCTGTCTAACTCTAGTTTCAAAGTTACAAAAAAGCTGCTTCTCATTGTTTGTAATTACATCAATCCAATTTCTTGGGTACAAATTTGTCGCACAAATATTTAGATGTCATAACATACAGACGGTTGTTTGTTTATTTACTAATTTGTTCCTGGTAATGAACCATGGCCCCTTACAAGCAACCATGCGACTATGTACTAACCCCAAGTCTTCTGCAAGAACTAATGAAATATTAAAAGAAATGCCACCTTTACGAGAGTATGGATACGTACAAGTCCAACCAACTTTTACAAATATGAAATCTTTCAGTACAAGAACAACAAAATTGGAATCGGTTTATCTTAAGTCTCACCTTTGATGAATGTCTGGAACTCGTTGTGCTTGATCTTGCCCCCCTGCATATCAATCTTGAGAGCAAGGAGGATGGTGAAGAGGAACTTGTGGTTCTCATACAACCCTCGGGCCGTGTAGGTGAAGACTGCATAAGTCATGTACTCGATAATGTTGGCGATACGCTTGGAGGTGATTGGACTCTTCTGAGATCTGGAGAAGAAAATACAGAAGGTCAAATTATACTTGGCTGATTCGAACCAGCCAACCAATCCCATTAGCTCGGTGGTCAAGTGGTAAGACATCTGCACTAGAAAGCAGGAGGTCGTGGGTTCGAGTCCCATCCGAGTGATTTTTTCCAACTTTCACTTTCACTCGGGAGGTAACACACTGAGTGTACAGTGTTTATACGATGGTGAAGGGCAAAACCTAATTTGAGTCAAATTATACTGTTGTTCGACGTCTGAAAGGTCCTAATAATGGATCATCAATTTACAGCAAATACTATATGGCTTTTCTCGACCTTGAAAAGCAATCCAACTGAACATTATAAACTACAGCCGAATCATCATGCAAAATATCTATAACCTGGTAATCGACTTTGCTTTCTTGTTAGTTAGTCTGTCTTCCTGTATCAAGAGCACTTTTTGTTAAGAAGACCCTATTCATTTATATCGAACAGACTTTTCCTCACCTGGCCATTGAAATGTCAAAGATGCCCAAGAACTGCTTGAGAGAAGTCTGGTACATGACGTTCACCATGCTCATCTCAGTGATCAAGAAGTACAGGGTGCTGCCTCGGGTGGCAACTGAGAAGGAAATCAAGAAATTACATGTGGTTAATTACAACAAAATAATATCCTTTTTATCAGTAGCTTTGGACTGAATTTCTGCTTAAGCTGTTTCTTCTGGTCAATGGATGGAATTTTCTACACTCTCTCTTTTTACTTATTCCATTTTCATAGTTATTTATTCCAGACTCCATGATAAGAGCTCAAACATCATTTATCGTTCTATCTCCAAAATGTAATGCAGGCATGCAACTAGGAATTAAAAAAACCCAGGAAATTCCAAACCCCACTAAACTTTGCACAGTATTTTTCAATTTGTAATGGCATTCATTTGAAGTCAAAAACGAGGAAATCAGCGGATCCAACGAAAAGTTGCATGCCTGCAAATGGAATCAAACGAGTTGAACTGGACATTTTCAAAGTTTTGTATCGAAATAGAATTCAGAATCAGGTGTAATCTCCAATAAATTGCAATCGAGCTCAGTACTCAAGGCCCACTCAAGTACAGGGCAAGTTGACCCACTAGTTGACCCTTACCAGGTCTGAACTCCTCTCTGGCTGTATTGATCCTGATCTCCGTCTCGGCAGCGATGGTCAGCTTCTCGCTCACGTCCTCGGCGGTGATCTTGGTGACGCGCAGCACCTCGATGAGGGACTCGTCTTCCACGAGGGAGCCCTCCGTGCTGGTCAGTCGGTACAAGAGGTTGTCCTCTAGTTCCTGCATCTTGCGCTTGTTGGCCGTGACTTCCTCCATCAGCTTGGTGCGCTCTGCTTCCAATTCCTGAACATAACCACAATTATCAAATTAATCCAACAACTTGTTATTCTGATCGTAACTCCTAAGAGCAATTATGTGGACAATAGAGGTGTAAACAATTATGTTTTTGGGCAACACCATTTAAGCAAAGCCCATTACAATGAAACGGTATTTCAAGGGTTTTTTATAATTTATTGGAAATGTTAAGGTTGTCTCTCAACAAAAAATGGTAAAATAAAAAAAATTAAAAAAAACAGGACAGAAAGATCAAGAGATTTATCCAAGGTTTAAGAGGGGAACTGGATACAAAAAGAACACAAGGAAATTAATTGTTTTCACAATAATTTGCCAGAAAAATTCTTATTAATCAAAAAACCAAAGTTGGAGAGATACATCTTTCCGAAAAGATGTCTTCATGATCAGTTAAGTGTGTATAGCTATAAATAGTGAAAAGCAACTCATAATCCACTACTGCCTTGGTGGTGTTCATAAGCTATAGGCTCCTGAAGGATTCAGGGATGTTGGGGTCAATCAATTAAAAAAAAGTCAATCAATTAACTGCGCACCTGTTTCTCAGTCAGGATGACAATGCCCAGCAGCTGGTCTTCCAACCCCTTCATGGTGACAGTGAAGTCAATGATGGAAGTACGGGCGCTGATCTCTGGGGTGTAGGCCGGGTTAGCCAGCTTGGTGGTCATGTACAGGCGGAAGTTATTCATCACGTCGCACTCCTTGTCACCCACTTTCACCTGTTGGAGTCACAAGGTTTCACAAGACAATCACAAGTCAATCACCAGTCATTATCAATCATCACAAATCACCAGAAGTCTTCACAAGTCTTCAAAAGTCACCATAAGTTGTCACAAGTCATCATAAGTCATCACAAGTCAATCGCAAGTCAATCACGAGTCAATCAAAAGTCAATCACTAGTCAATCACAAGTCTTTCACAAGTCATCACAAGTCAATCACAACTTATCACAAGTCTATTACAAATCTCATCACGAGACCTGTCTCAAGTCAAGTAACATGCTACTCTAATCAACTTTGATAAGGAATGCCTTTTTCTTTTGTGGCCTGAGATGTTAATTGACTCTTATTTCTAAGATGCATCTACTTTCTGACCTTGAAAGTTGATCCAGACTTGATGAAGTTCTTCTCCAGAACGTTGTCCAGTGCAGGATCCAGCTCCTCACCGATATCCTCAATCAATAGAGGGCGCCCTAGGGACAGACTGTCCTCAAGATGGGTTCGGAAGTACTTGTGGTTCAAGGAAGTCACCTGGCACAAGACAGACAAAAAGATTCAGTGTATCATCTGTCCTACAATCTCCTTACATCAAGGGCACTTTCCACTTTTGCTTGCCACCTGAATGTGACTCATCTGTATAAAACTCCCATTTTTCAATGCAACATACAAAAAATGTGACCCAATAGTTTGTGACAACGTCGACTGATTAAATCAGTCAACTGATCCAACTGGTCAAGCGGCCCAATTAAAAAAGGCGACCTAACTGGTCATGCAACCCAATTAAAGATGTCACCCAATCAGTCAGGTAACCCAACTGTAGATGCCACCCAAACTGGTCATGTGACCCAATTGGGCATTTAACCAGATCAGTCATGTGATGTGATTGGTCATCTGACCACAATCATGTGACCTCATTTGTCATATATTCGCCAAAGTAAAAAAAAAAAAAAATGGTTACCTGTAGCTCGTTGGCAGCTTCCTTGTTCTTGATCCAGACCTTGCCTTGGCCCTGGGGATCAATCAAGAGTGGGTACCGGGTGGCTTTGGTCACGATGATACCATTCTGGGTGGAGAGTTCATCGTTGGGTAGACCCTGCAGGTTCCATTCTCCAACGGTGGTGTTGTCCACCAGCATGCCAGTGATGTTGAGTTCCTGTGATAAAGGAAACATTTCGTTTGGGGGTCAGTGCATACTTCTCATTCAAGTCTCATTATGACACACGCTGAGTTCGGTTCATTCAAAGATTTGATGATAAAATTTTTTATTTTATTTTATTTTATTTCTTATTTTAACTGGGTAGCCCATTCAGTGGAATCCACTGATCTCCCATGGGTCCCAGTAAACAGAAGACAACCAAGATTTGGTATGATTTTTAGATTTTTATTGCCAATGCTGTACAGAATAAATCTACAATTAAATCCAATGATATGTAAATGTTCATTTGTAGATATTTAGTTTTCAAATCTAATGATATGTACATGTTCATTTGTAGATACTTAGCTTACAGAGCTAATTATTTTCAATAATTCGTACTTCTTCTTACTGTTTTCTGACTTGAACAGTATTTAATGAGAGGCATAGCATACTCACATCACTGTACGGGATCTTATTGATCATCATCTCTTTCTTCCAGCTCTTGAGCAGGAGGTTACGGAATTCCTGGTTGAAGGGTCCAGAGTAGGACAGGAAACCAGTAGCCAGGAGAACATCACCCACCAACCTAGGCACAGATCATAAACACTTCCTGAGCGATCCTCCTTACACTTAGATCTTTGTCTTGTCCTCAAAATTAATTAAGCTGCGAAACCTATTCCAAGTAATTTTTGGATGATCCATATTAATTTTTTTTGACGCATGATCATCATAATTTGACCTTGGACAATGTGATAATTTTCTACCTTTTGAAAGAATAACTCTCTGAACTGTAAAAAAGGCCTTTGATCATTTTTGAAGACTTGAAACCAGAGGTATTGTATACTTTAGGAAAGCTCTTTCTTTGCTTGAAAAAATGGGGTTAAAATCTCAAAAACGTGATTGTATGACCTAACCCCATTAAATTTGGGAGCATTCACATTACCATTCATCCCTAGCTTTCCCTCAAACCGAACCCTGGAACTACAAATTCATATGGAGAAGTTTACACACCTTCTCAGTCAACCACTCTCTGCGATACTCATTTCTTGGGACCTCCCTCCTCCAACCTACCTGTTGATCTGGTCTTGGAAGCGCTTACTAGCCTCCGTCCATCGCACCTTCTCCCCACCCAGTCCTTCAATCAGCGCCGTGGCGTTGGTCATCTTCCTCCGGCAGCTGTCGGCATCGTCTAGCAGGGTTTGTTTCTCTGAGATGGCCGCGTCGTACATGGCCTGCACCACGTCGAGCTCCTTCTGCTTCTCATCGAGCTGGTCTTGGGCTTCCTTGAGGGAGAACATGGCCTTGTTGAGACGCGCCTCTTGGATGGTCAAGTTGGCCTGTGGAGACGGGAATATTTACAATGATATGAAAGTTAACAAAAAGTGGGATTCGAACCGATGACCTTCTGGATGCTGCTGCAGTGGTCTACTAACAGCACCATTCAGCCCTGTTAGTCAATGCATTGGGGAAATATAACAGCAATATGGGAGTCAGTGAGATTGGGATTTGAACCTGCAACCTTCAGGATGCTTTACCGGTGCTCTACCGACTGAGCTATCAAGCCCTTTGTTAGCCTGTGTATTGGGGAAAACAAACACAAATGGGGAAAAAAAATTGATGGTAGGATTCGAACCAGTGACCTCTACGATGCTGCACCAATGCTCAATCAACAGAGCTTTTCACACCCTGTGTTGATGAAAATATATTGCAATTTTGGCCGAATAAGACAGTTGTCAGCAGCGGGATGCAAACCTGTGACCTCCGGGATGCTGCACTGGTGTTCTAATGACTGAGCCTTGAGTTGTATTTTTTTTGGCCGAGCTTAATCTTGTCTGCTTTGCAAACACATTTTAGTAACGGGACAGGGGGCATGACTTCAAAAAGGTACTAAGCGTTTTTAACAGCAAAAGTTCACAAAACGTTCTCTGTTGGTTTTTTCCTAATCACAAAAGTTTGCTAAGCAGTTTTTTTTAACACTTAGATCTTTAAGACTAGGCTTGACTTAGTCCCTCTCACCTTCAGAGGCAGGACTTCCTTGTTGATTCCAAAGAAGAAGGCCATGGCTACGGTCCAGGAGCAGAGACCAGCGACGTCACCACAGGACTTCTTGGCCGACTCCAAGTTGTAGTCGTCCATGGTCAGGTAGGGCTGAAGTAACTCCACTGTCTCCCCGTTAATGGAGTCCTACCACATTTAAAAGAGCGTGAAAGTTTTTCAAATTATTACTTTAATCCTTGTGTACGTCATAGCGTATTACTTGAATTCAATCTCATCAAGCGATTATTTTCGCTCTCAAGAGTTGAACAGTTCGCATCAGAGGACATGATTACAAGCGCTGGCTATTTTTATACACAGGCACGGCTGACGGGTTAAGACATCAAGATTGCCTGGACTTGCCTCTGGTTGTCATCTAAACAAGCCTTGTATTGGTAACTTTCATTTGAAGAATCAGCGTAAAATTGTGTGCTACAGCAAGGAAAATGTATTTGTCTTAGAGTAAGCCGGGCTGTAAACATCAAAATCCACTCACCTTGGAGAAACTCAGCAAGTCCTTCAGGAAGGTGCTACCACCCATGAGCTTGAGGGCATCGCCCCAGGCAGGCTTAGGGCTTGGCTTCTCAGGATCCATGATGGTTGGTTCCAACCGACGCTGGAACAGAAGCAGCACGCAGTCCATGATACGCATGATGAGGTGTGGGGGCTTGGCCAGCTTACGGACGGTGGAGATGTGGGCCGGTTTGATGGTGTTCAGGGCCGCCTCGGCTTCCTCTAGGGCCGGCTTGGCTGCTTCTAGTTTCTCCATGGCCTGGGCCTTGTCAACCTGTTGGGGGAATGTTACAGATAAAGAAGTCAATTCCCTTAATCTTATGTTAGATTTTAGTCTCAATATTTTCAAAACTGAATATGGAGGGAGTCGAACCTGCAACCTAAAGAATGCTACTCAAAGTTTTTTTTACCAACCAAGCTATTTGTGAGAGTAGAGAGTCAGATCTGAAGTACCTCAATTAAATTTGGCATTTTATTCGTAATTTCCACTTGAACAAAAAAATGACTCCAGCAGGAGTCGAACCAGTGTCCACCGGACTACTGCTGCAGGTGTCGTACCCACTGAGCTCATTGAGAACGCACAGCAATCGTTTGAACAAATAACCTGAAAGAAGTTGGAATTCAACCAGAGGCCTCCAGAAACTGCTCCAGGCGCTCTACCCACTGAGCTCTTTGGGAGACCACACAATTACCATTTGAACAAAAAGAAAACTGACTGAAACTGAAATTGGACCTGAGACCTCAGAACTACTGCTCCGGTACCGTTACCAACTTATCCAACACAAGTGTCCTGCAGTTTCTGATGTTGACATTCTCTGTGCATATTGCAGCTGTGTTCTACTGTTACACAAAAATAAAATGAGGTTTGGAGGGGAAAAGATTCAGCTCACATTGATGTCGTCCACAATGGCCTGGGCTTTATCCTTGACCTTCTGGACCTGGGCTTTGACCTTCTCTGCGGCCGAAGCGCTGACCGTCACCTCGGCCAGCACCTGGTCAGCTTTCTTGGACGCTACGGCCAATTCCTTCTCCTTGACCACCAGTTCCTTGCTCAGCTCGTTGACCGAGTGGGTGGCCTCGACCAGCTTGGCCAGACCTGAAGAGAATGATATTTTGGTTACTGAACATGTTCATGGTTATCAACGTCATCTTCAAAAGGGGCAATAAAGTATGCAGTCGATGCAGTATTCTTGAGCTTCAAAGTAATCTTACATTCACTCCATTTTGAACAAGGATGGAATACCTGCCGACGTTTTACAATCAAGCCATCCGTATCTAAGCACTTTTTATTCTAAACAGGGTTTTGTATACCTAAACATCACACAACGGGATTCAAAAGACCAGATAAAATTTAAATCACCTGTCTTCATTCTCTGAGCCAGGACCCCGATGGCGTCCAGTTTCTCATTGTAGATAGACTTGTAGCCATCAATGAAGGACAGATAGGACTTGGGAGTCACGTGGGTCTGGCGACGGTAACGCTGGAAGTATTCCACGCAGGTCTCAGCTACCAAATCCTGGGGTTGAAACAAAATTCTTCTTAATTGTTTTTTTTACACGAAGATTGGGGGAGGTATTTCATGCACTTCAGTCATTTTACGAACATTCCAAGTTTTGCAAGGTTTGTTTTATAAAAATACTTAACTTGAGTATTTAAAACCAAATTGTAAACAAAATTTGTTAATAAAACAAAAATTCTTGACTCATGTCCATTCAAATTTAAATACATCTTGCTATGAGTCTCCACATTCCCATACTCCAAAGCTTTAATAATCCATAGCCACGTCAACAGCCGCATTCATAGCCGCATTACAAATAGAATTTCTTGATTCGTGTGGGTTCATATCAAACTTGATTTGGCCTAAGCCCTAATTTGCCACATGGGCAAACTCTATGAAACAGTGTCTTGAAGCATGTCTATAGACTAAATCGGCAACCTCAATTAGAAGCCTTTTTGAGGGGGAACCAGGCTCACACTCAGGTAGTACGCACGCACTCCGGGCTCCTAAGACCAATAGGAGTAACAAAAAATACGCGTGCGTCTCGTCTTTAAGAACACGTGCGGCATGTGCGCTAACGTGCTCCCACCTCTAAACTGGCCTCTAATTTTGTTCGCCGAGCCGACTAAGTCTACTGAAATGAAATTTTTAGCCACAAGCCGCTGTGACGTTACCGTACCTGGAAGCTTCCCATGGAGTTGACCACGCTAGCCTTGACCTGATCGGTGCACTCAATCTTGAAGGAGGACAGGAAGTGTTGGGAGACGGCAATCAGGGCGTCCTTGGGCCAGCGGCTGAACCAGTCCATGGTGCAGCCCGAGAACAGGCCAGGGAACTTGAGGGACCGGTTACGGAACTTCTCTCCAACCTAAATCAGATTGTCCCCCCAAAAAAAGAAAATCTGTAATTTTACCCCAAAAAATGCTTTTGAAAGAATGGTCTCTCTTTTAAGATATTTGAGAAAAAAATTGGCACAGATAGTAGGAGTTGACCACCAAACTTCAAACTACAAACCAGGGATGTAGTCAAGTCCATCACAAGTCCAGTCACAAGAAACAGTGGATGAACGATAACAAAGGCATGCCTTTGTCAAAGCTCATTTGAATAGCTTGTGAGTTGAATTGGGACTGGAGGACTTGTGATGGACTTGTGATAGACTTGCATAGAATTGCAGGGACTCAACTACATTCTTGCTGCAAACAGCAATGAGCAACTACGCAGAAACTAATCCTTACCAGATGTGACTTAGCAAAAATACACTGAGAACCACTGACAAGCAATATTAATCATACAAAAAAATTGACAGGTATCCTGGGTTTTTTTTGCTAATTTCATTTATTTCATTTTCCAAAATTTGTTATAATTCATTGAGCTGCCAAGCACGGAAATCTGCTAAGCACAGAAAATATTTGATTAGCAAAAAAAGATTACCAGCCAAAACACAGTTCCATGTGTATTGCTTTTGACTGGTCCCCAGCTGATTTTTGCTCAGCACCGAAATCTGCTTAGCGATATTTTCTTGGAAGGAAGTAAGAAAAATGCTTACAGGCGAGAAGCAGAGCACCACGTGCAGGTTGTGGCGGACGCGTGTCAGGAAGTACTCGTAGAGATTCTCGTTGGTTGGTGGGCGGCGTGGGTACTCCTTCTTCATGACGGCGATCAGTTCCCCCGTGATCTCGTCGATCTCGTCACGCTGGAACAAGTTGGACACCTGATGGATGACGGAAAAGTAAACTTGATTGATGACAGGCAGAACAAAAATTGATTGATATTTAAGAAGAATGATTGATGTTGCTGAATAGAAAAGTTAAAAACGAAGTTTCTAACATACAGGGCAATTCTTGGACATCGTGGGGGGACAGACATCTCATAAATTTTGAGTAGTCTAGACACAGCAACTTCACACGTTCAAAATAAGACCCATTCTATCAATCTTAAAACTAATTTACTCTCTAGGAGCAGACGCATGATAAAAACACAACACCTGCCCCTTTCTACAACTACTGATCCGCCCCTGAAGTAGCCTACCTCTCCGGAGGCGATCACATTGTTCATGTACTCCAGGAAGGCCTCGTCTTTGATCTCGTTGTCAGTGAAGATGAACGTGATCCCTTGTCCCTGCTGGCCGGCCGTGCGGTACAGGTACTTGAGATCGTCCATCAGGTTGCCTACGCTGTAAGACCTGCAAGATTATAAAGCAAGTAGGAGAGAATTAATCAAAGGCCGAGGTTAGTGTCTTCTAACTATCAAAATGAAGTAAATACAAGCGTTCATAATAAAACAAAATGCAAGTGGTGTAGTTGGAACCATCACAAGTCTGGGCACAAGTAAATCAACAGTCAATTGTGATGGACTTGTGGTGGACTTGTGATGGACTTGTGATGGACTTGCAATGGACTTGTGATGGACTTGTGGTGGACTTGTGATGGACTTGTGATGGACTTGCAATGGACTTGTGATGGACTTGTGATGGACTTGTGATGGACTTGTGATGGACTTGTGATTTACTTGTGATGACTTTGTGATGGACTTGTGACGGACTTGCGATGGACTTGCGATGGGCTTGTGACGGACTTGTGACAGACATGTGATGGACTTGTGATGGACTTGTGACGGACTTGTGATGGACTTGTGATTGAATTGTGATTGAATTGCGATGGACTTGTGATTTACTTGTGATGACTTTGTGATGGACTTCCTTCCTGTTTCTTAACGAGTCACTTACTTGGACAGCGTAATCTGGAAGATCTTGTACCCAGCGATGTAGGATGCCAGACGGGTCAGGCTCTGTTTGCCTGACCCACCCACACCCACCAGGAGGGCGTTGCCTTGAGGAGTGCGGATGATACGGGAGATCTTGACCAGATGGACCATGGCATCCTGAGTGGAAAATATACATTTAAAAACTTAAGCCAATTGCTTCATTGTCATTTAAAAAAATTAATTGACAATCAGTTTGTCACAACTGATTATATATTTCACATAAACCGAATGGAATTTTTGTTTGGGCTTTATCATTATTAAAATGGTTAATTTTCCACAGCAGTTTCCGGCACTTTTCCTAATAATCTAGGGTTTGAGTCCAAACAATTTCAAACAGTACAAAGAGGCAAACCTTCAAGAAAATAGTATCATATTATACAGCACTGATATTACAGTCTACTGGTCCGTGGTTCGAGTCTAACAAATTTCCAGTGTGAAAAGAAGCTAATCTTGAAGAAGGCAAGAGCTATCTCATGGTAGAGCACTTGAATTGTAGTCCAGCAGTCTAGAGTCCAAGTCCAAAAAGTTTTAAAATTTTAAAGAAGTCAACCTTGAAGAAAACAAAATCAATCTTATAGCGGAGCACTGGAATTATAGTCTAGTGGTCTGGGGTTCGAGTTCATGAGGCCTACCTTGAAGAAGACAAGATCCATCTTGGCACCCCTGATCCCCTCGTTATATATGGCCATGAACATGTTGAGTCTGGTGCTAAGCTGCTCATAGCTCTCGATAGGTTCGTAGATCTTGGGTGCGTCCAGGTCGGCATCATCAGGCTCTTCACCTACGAAGAGAAAAACAAAAACAAGCAAAGCTGTCAACTTTGGGGTAAGAAAGAAGACGTGATAGTGAGAGGAAGAGAGGAGGTGATAGTGAAGTTGTCTTGATGATGGTACCATTTCTACAGAGGATATGCACAGTCATTTTCCCACAATAAACTTATATGCCAGATTTGACATCAGATTTGACGCTGTGGCTAATGCTAGCATTGACACATTCAGGAAGTCGTGCGTACTTCGCACTTGAACCAGAAGAGTACAGTACACAACACACTGTGTGTCCCGTTAACGGAGCTCTCAAAAGTGGTAAAAACGCGCCCTCTTTGTTGGCACACAGAGCCCAGAACTTTGCGAGTGGGCTTGGGACCGGGGATTGACTTGTGATGATTCCGTGCAATTATGTCCATACCTGTGACTTCGGGTGCATCTCTCAGGAAGTCCACAAAGTAGGGTTCCTTGGCCACTTGCTCGGCCAGGGCCGTGCCCAGATCTTCCTCCATCAGCTGTGGGAACAAAGCATCATCATTACTATTGATTTACAGACTGAGTAACGAAAACTTGACTCTTCCTGAATACAATACCATTGCTCTACCGATGGTGGTATCCAGCCAGATGTTAGTTTCTTTGCTGTTTCTTGTCAGTACTGCTTCATTTTTCAATAATGAAACCAAGTGCTTTTAAAAATACTTGCAATGTATCTTGCAAGCTTGACCACAGAGATACTGTTTTTGGAACTTATGCGAGTTGCCACAATGGCTTGTTTTGAAAGCAATATCAATTAAACCAGAGGATTTCTCAGAAACCTCTTTAGCACTGTGTCTCACAAGAATCTGTTTTGAAATGATTTTTGATTTATAAGAAAAATCGTGAGGACAACGACCTTGTAATTACCTTAGTGAGAGCCTTCTCAAACCAATCCTTGTCTTCGTTGTTGGTGAAGCGATCAGCGATGACACGGGTGCACTCGTGCTTCCAGAGATCAAGGAGGACCGAGGTGGAGTTTACCACGTCTGAGACGGTATTCAGCATACCCTACGAAATTGAGAAAACAAAGTAAAAATATCCGCTAAAAAACGCATAATCCATTCAATGACAAAGACAATAAATTTAGCCGACTTCTGGGAGTCCAATCACATGGAGCCACTTGGCAAAAGACATTGCCAAGCAAAACATGAAGTCTGGGAACTAGTCTGAAGAAACATACACGAGATGTGGTGCTATAAAACTGAATTACGGATTTCTTTTTAATTTTTTTAGCAGTTTGTGATGTCTGCACCCGGATAATGGATCCTTCCTGTCTGTCAATCAAACACATTGACCAATCAGATCACAACTGTTGGTCAGGTGACCATGAAAACTCGGTCAAGCTGGGTCGCAAGCACTGTGAGAAATGTTCACAAACCAAAAGTGGGTGGGGCTCATGACTAAAAGTGGGTGGGGCTTATGACTAAAAGTGGGTGGGGCTTATGACTAAAAGTGGGTGGGGCTTATGGCCAAAAGTGGGTGGGACTTATGACCAAAAGTGGGTGGGGCTTATGACTAAAAGTGGGTGGGGCTTATGGCCAAAAGTGGGTGGGGCTTATGACCAAATCCGCAATGGTCCATTGCACCAGCTGTGATTATTGCTCCTTCTAATTTACCTGCCAGATTCTACTGAGATCACGCAGGTTGAAGATGTAGTGGAACTTGGCCGGAGTGGGCAACATCTTGACCTTGACCCGCTGCCAGAGCTTGCGGGTGGAGGAGACTAAGGAACTGGCCAACTCACAGATTTCCTCAGTGAAACCGCGCTCCTAGCAAGACAAAGAGATGATCTCAATCAGATATTGCGAAATGGGTAGACAGTGACGAGAGATTCCAAACCCTGGTTCAGTCTTGATTAAAGCCCGAATATAAACAGACTGGTCAGGTTTTCTGTTAAAAGAGGAATCACAGCATGAATAATTTGTTTCTGCCCACCTTGCAGTAATGGCCGCATCCAACGGTCCTGAAGATCTTATCGATGGAGTTATTGGAAGGCAGCGTGCAGTTGAAGATGTTGAACTGTCTCTTGAGACGCTGGGGGATGTCGTTGCGGCCGCCGCCGGGCTGGATCATGGCCGCCATGAACTGGATGTCCACGATGTTGGTGAAGTCGCCGGGCTTGTCCAGGTTGTAGAAGCCTCGGGTCTCCATCAGCTGGCGTACGATCTCGTTGGTTATCTTTGGATTTAAACAAAAAAAGACTTCAGTTGGATTTGAACCTACAACCTCTGAGAAGCTGGAACAGGACCTCTGCAACCTGTGGACAGCTGATGCATAATATCATCTTTTTATTAAAAATAATTGACTTCAGTTGGATTCTAACCAGCAACCTCTGGACTGCTAGCACATAATCTCACTGCGTATCTTTTTATATGAAAAATAAATTGACTTTGGTGGGTTCGAACTGCAAACTCTGGACACCAAGTGAGCAATCTCATTGCTTATATTTTTAACTGAAAAAAAGGGAATTTCCTTCAGTTGGATTCGAACCTGCAACCTTTGGATTTCTGGCACATGATAGCATTGGTACTTCAACCCAAACAAATGACTTAAGTTTGATTGGAACCTCGAACTACTGGAAAGCTGCACCAGTGCTCTACCAACTAAGGTATCCACCTTACGTTTTCAATCTACTGAACACAAACAGGGATGTGCAGAAATACAACTGAATTCTCAGCTAATTCAGCTGGTTCATACCTGGGTCCAAAGTTTCAGCACTCCTTATGCCTTAGACAAAAATTGAGCCCAACTTAGGCCACAAAAAAAAAGTTCTGCTTCCGATTACATGGCATTCAAAAATAGGGTGAGTAGGTGGGCAATTTTTGGGGGGCAATGTATGATCATATGGAGGCGTCTGCATGTTCCAAGGGTAAAAGGTAGTAATTGATGGTTTTGGGTGTTGTTTTCTCATTTTTCCCATAAAAGAATTAGGGTATAGGCTGTCAGAATAGGGTAGGTAGGGAAACCGGAAGCCAAACTATTGTTTTTTTTGGCCTTATGCAAAAGATGTTACATAAATTAAATACAAAGTTCATACCTGATCACCCCATTCATTGATGACTGGCATGTTGATGTCATCAACAAAGATCGTCATCTTCTTCCCTGCTGGAGGGCCGTAGGTTGTACCAACGCGCTTGTCCACGTAACTTTCAACAGTACGCTGGAATTTCAAAAAAAACAATCAAACGTTGAACTCATATTGTCACACTAAGTCTTCTAACATAATCTTTCATTTTTATTTTGGTTTTGCTACCTTAAAAGGCACATAGAATCATTTGCATTTCCCCAAAAGTACCTACCAAATTATTTTCAAAAAGCTTACTAGGATTAAAGATCGTTTTGGTACTAAAAATCCAGTGACATTATTCTGTCTGGCTTGCTGTCATTCAGAAAGAAATCAAGAAATGTAGGTGATTTCCAACGATCACTCAACTGACTGACGTTTAGACTGCTATAAACAAAATCGCATCTCTTGATCAAAAGGTTGTGCATGATTTCTCACTGTTTCCCCAAAAAGTGTAATATCCACTGAGCTGAAACTTCAACAGGTTAGGTTTTGAACATTCTTCTTTGGATTCTGAGTGGTGTTATTATTGGAAAAGAACAACATGCATGACAAGCAAATGATCCTATATGCCTTGGAATTGATGGTGTAAACAAAACTCCTTACCTGGTACATGTTGGGTGTGGTGGCAGAGGAGAAGTTGAGGCTCTTGAACAGTTGTCGTTCAGGGTCATACTTAGCACAGTAGCCTTTGATCACGACGGTCTTGGCCGTGCCCTGCTCACCTGCGGGTTAATAATCAGACACTCGAGGCTGTCAAGTTTTACACAATCTTACTTCCGTGATTCAATGAAGTGTTGAGATGACCACTGTGTTTGAGTGTTTGAGTGCGGCAGGGTCTAACTGCCTTGCTGGCAGCAAGTTGATGATATGAAGTATTTTGACATGATGAAGAGCTAGTGAAGCAGCCAGCAGTTGTAAACAAATCAACGTGTACGTTAACACTTCAGAACACATTTCAAAGTAATATTTAAAAAAAAATCTACTTCATGTAAATGGGCGAACATTTCATGTTTATGAACCCGTGGTTGGAATTTGCTTAAGTTGAAATCTGACCAACAACATTTGTTCTGCTAAGAATGTAAGCAGGTCCTGTTTGGTATATTTCTTACTAATTTTTGCTTACTGTGTGTACAACTAGTTTTTGCTAGCTGTGTAATTTTGCTCGGCAATCTTGATGATAATTACAAGCTGAAGCATTGTTTTCATTTACCAATAAGCAAGACGGCCTTGTCCTGCTTGGCGATAGTGTGAATCAGGAAGTCTGTGCGGACGTTGTCGGTGTTGGGAACCAGGATCGAGGCGTAGTCTGGGGTACTGTCGGTAGGGTAGACATACTCTGGAACCTAAAGTAAATACAAAAAATAGAAAGATAACGAAAACTGGTAAAAAAATATAAATACAAAATGATAAAACACAATATAAAATGACGCTTTATATTATACCGGAACAAACCAAACATACACTAAATGGTTACAAATCACGTTTTTTTTGGTCTAATTTCCAAATTTGTTCAGAAAGAGGAAGTTAGATGTACAAAGATTCCAGTAAATAGTTCAAGGTCAGATATTGCGGAAAACAACCAAATTCTTATTCAATATTCAAAAGCAATTTTCAGATCTTCACGAAGTCATTATACTTAAAAGAGTTTATAATTTGCTACTTATATAGAATAATCCGACGGCAGCCTTTTTCTAGGTTGGTGCAAGGCTTGCATGAGTCATGCCTAGGTAGAGCGCACGCGCTTTGGGTTCCTTCGACCAATAAGAGTGCCGTGTCTTTAGGAACACGTGCAGCATGCGCGTGAGCGTGACACTTTGACCAAAAGCGATATTTGGCAACATCATGAATAATTACAAGCAACCATAAATATTCATGATATTCATGAATATTTATGAACAATAGCCATTAGACTTTACCCTGTCACTCCAGTGTTCCCAGTTGCCGGCGTCGTTCACCACATACTCAAAGATGGTATCCTGACTGCTGGGGTCTATCTTGGGCAGGTTGAGTCCTCCTTTCTCCTTCATCCAATTCTCCATCTTAACAAAAAATAATTACAATATCAATAAATACTATTGAATATTCATATGCATGTTATGTGCATATCTTACTCGAAAAGCACAACTAAGTATTCAATACAAAGTTTGATATTTGCAAATTTCTTATTAGCATACTGTAATTTAATATAAATTACTATTAGTAATACTTTGTTCAATAATACAAACAGCAAGATGCGGCCCATTGAAAGTACTTCCCTTTTTGCAATGCCATTTTTTTCTGTTTTATCTGTATCTATTGACATATCTTTCAGGTTGAATAGATTTTGCCGTTGCAAGCTCTAATAGTCTGGCAAACGTGTTCCTGAAATCCAAGCTGTGACAATTAAGTGAGTGAGTCTGTCACTTATAAGTGGTTGGCAACTGACAATAACCAAAACCTCTCACATGAGATGGATAGTGACTTGTTAAAAAGCAAAGGTCGAGGACTTTTTTAGTTGGATGATTGACGACAACATCTCACCAATTTCCGGTCGTCGAGCTCCAGGAGAGCGCCGATGGACCACATCAAGCAGAAGACAAAGAGCCTCTCGAGATGTTCCCGAGACGGGGTGGTGTCCTCGCTGGGGATGAGGCCAGTCAGAAGGTCGACGGCCTGACGGATGTACATGCACTCTAGGATCTAGTAGATAGGAGAGGCGAGGTTTTAATATTTGGTGCAAACCTCAATCCTCAAAATGATTTATGTATCTTACTGAGGCCTTTTTCTGTGCCTCACCAAGGTATGACTTGATCTTTCACGCAAGGAAAACTGTTTGTACTTATATCAATCGCTGAGGAGAATCTGCATAAAAACTCACATTTAAACCTCACATTTAAACCTCACATATTGTCATGTAAAACCTAATTAAACCTCAAAGTGTCCTCACACACAAAGTGTCACCCTCTGTTCTTACACCAATCTTGGTAATGAATCTGCATGAAAAATAACACTAAAAGCTACTTACATCAATTGCTACAGAGAATGTGCCACAGAAACCCCACAGTTAAACCTTAAGCATTATGTAAAACCTCATGAAACCTCAAAAAAGGTATGACGTCCTCATACAAAGTCATACAAAAAGTCATACAAAAAGTAAACCTCTTTTTTACACCAATCTCGGCAACGGATCTGCATGGAAAATACCACTCAAATCTCAATCCCTACTCATCCAAAACCTCATCATCGAAGTCAACCCCCGTAAACCTTTAAAATAGAATAAAACGAATGAACCTCGTTCATTGAAGCCTCTCTGAAACGACAAGCCTCTCCTAACACGAGATAACTCCTTGATACTTACATCCATTTTGGCGGTGAGGTTCTGCATGGAATTGGTGTAGCATTCCTTGAAGTACTCAGCAAAGAGGTTGTACAAGACATCCTGCTGGGCTTGGGGTCTTGTCAACAGCCAGCCCTGGGAACAAAGAAAGACCAACGGAATTAGAGAATAACGTCTACCATGTCAGATAATCGATCCTCTTACTTCTTCTTACTAATGGCAAAATATGAGATTAGAACTTCTTACTTCCAGTATCGGCAGAAAACTGAAAGATGCACAAAAACCAGCGTATATTGTTTTTCCAGCAGAAAATAAAACTGTTCAATTTTTTCAGCCCCTTCAAAAAATCATGACCTTATAGAAAACGAAATATTTTTTTAGTAAATTTAATGTATACTGTACATTTGGCCAACAATCTGCTTAATTTTGCGGTCAATTGTGACATATTGGATTTAAAATATTATTTATTTCCTTTTTTTTTTTCATTTCATTATTTTATTCCTTACTCTGTTAAAATGAGAAAATATTTTAACAGGAATAAACCAAGGGAGGTTTGGATATTAAATGCCCAAACTCCAAATGCATACCACAGTCAGTGAGCAGATGAACTAATTACATGCATCAGTGCTATCCAAACATTGCTACCGCCATGAAGCTCAATTAGACAGCATAATAACAGTACACTGTTAACGACAGCAGCATTTACGTCAGACTGCACACGATAGGGCAGTGGTCAGTTTATATATACTGAACGAATTCATCAAGTGCTCCATCAATCTACTTTGTCCTTGGGACTTGGGAGTTTCCCTGGTGCTGTTTATTAAAATGGTCCCAAGTGTACAAATGATTTCATATAATGCAATTTTATGACTTTGAACTCTCCTGATGCTTCTATGAAAGAAAAAAAAAAGGACGGTTAATATTTGTCTAGGTTGGCTGAGAACTCTGAAATGTCAAGTATCTGTGAGAATGCCACGCGGGCAAGCAACTCAACCGAAACGTAATAATCGGCGGACATCAGTATCATGATTGATTATGTTAGATTTTTGCAAATTTGTTTAAATTTTATTAACTCCTCCCGAGTTGTGGCCTTCAAGACAAATTTGAGTGGGCGGTACAAAAGGTTGCTGGAAATCAAGTCTCAATTTCACAGTTGATCGAATGATGGAACGGAGATTGGATCTGGGCAGGAGGAGCGAAATTAAATAACCGCTCTAACAACAACGGCGGTTCAATCGGTGAGAAATGGGCATATCGATCTCCAGAGAATAATGCATACAGGGCATTGAATAACAGCGAGCAAATGAAAACATGCAAACTTGGGAAGCCAAGTTGCCATGGAAACAGTGTATTTGTCAATGTTTTGGACTCTGACGTATTGCACTGGACTGGAAGAAAGTCCAAGGACAAATCACCAAATTTGGAGATGCGGATGCAATCTCCTTTATATCAAAGACTGTCGGACGAAACCAAATTAGAGACACGTAGGGCGAAAGATTGTGATTGCGATATGGAATGGAAGATTGAACACGCAAGAGGAAAACATAGTTGTGACGGCGACAGAAAGCAAAAGCCAGCCAAGCATCAAACTGAAGAAGAAAAAAATCAGTGGTGACGTTGATTAATATGACCAACCACTTTACGCCGTGAAGCCAGCGATGATGCTGATTGGCGATGGCAAGTGACGGACCACGGAAGTGAAAACATGAGATTCCAACTTGAAAATGATGTGCAGTGACCAGCACGTTGCACAACCTTATAAAAGCCAGTCAATGTACACAGCGACAGCACTAAAACAGTGGGAATCTCTGGCAACTTTGGTTACTTGTACAACCAAATCATCCAATATGAATGCAACAGGGGTTGATGCAACTGAATCAGCCACTGAAATGTCCTATCAAGCGGACCCGGTGCATTTGTTCATCTACATGTTGACGGCTCTGACGGTCATTCTGATCCTGATTCTCAACCCGATATGCCTTGTGGTGCTCCGTCGCGCCAGCGGTATCCAAGAAACGACCAAGGTGTTCATGGCTTCGCTCACCGTGTCCGACATCTGCATCGGGCTGTTCTGGGTGCTCCCAGAGCTGACGGCACAATTAGCCGGGGAGTGGGTGCTGGGTGCATTTCTGTGCACTGCCTGGGGCGTTTCGTCAGGGTCGTTTTTCACACTGACGATCTTGTCACTCGTTCTCCTGACAATGGATCGCTTTATTGCCATCGTCTACTCCCTGCGCTATCCAACATTGATGACTTTGAAGATGGCAAAAACCATCGTCGCTATCACGTGGGCCCTGACTTTGGCAGTTTACATCATTCTATTTGGCATTTATGCACCGAATGCCCTATCCACAGGAACCCCTTACACTTGCGCTTACGCCATTTGTGACTTTTGTCTGTACCAATCGGTGTTTGTGATGGCAATTTCTCTCGGGACGATCACTTTCCTCTACATCTACATTCTGAACGTCGCCCGTCAACAGGCACGTCGCATCGCCGCTCAGAATCAGATCAGCATTGCCCAGCGTGATCAGAACGCTCCGCAGAGAGTCAGCACAAAGTCGGCTACTACGGTGTTCATCATAACCATGACGGTCTTTCTATGCTGGACCCCGACCATCAGCCTCTTTGTAATCATCCCAAACAGCAAAGAGGAACCTGTCATTTTGATCTTGATGGCCAACTTGGTTTTCTTCACCAATAGTTGGCTGAATGTCGTCATTTACTACCTGAGGAACAGGGAGCTTCGGCAAGCCCTGCATCAGTTGGCAGCCATGTGCTTTCGCCGGCAATTCTAGTGGAAAGTCTTGTAAAAATCTTGCTCTACTTCACTTCATGAAGCACGGTCCAACACGGCATCTTCAAACCATAAAACATATTAATCTGAACAAAGCGTAATAATGTGAAAAAAAAGTTTCTCACACATTTAAAACCAAAGTACTTAGGCACCCCTTCACATCACAAGTTCACGTGTTGACGAAAAAACTTTAAGAATATACTTTCTAGCATGTTTACATAGGTTTACCAAAGACCGTCCAGTGTTTGATTTGTGATCATGTGGTTGCAAACAGATGAGTCTGAAGTTCACTCCGGACGGCACATGTGCACGGGGGAAATCAACACCCTGTGAGATGTTGATACAATGTCTGTTTCGAGAATTATATTGGGGCAACCAAATTGTAGACACGAAGAGCAAAAGACTGTGATTACGATATAGAGTGGAAGACTGAATACCCAAGAGAATACCCTGGAGGAAAACATGGTTGTGATGGCAACAGAAAAGAAAAGGCCATCCAGTGGATGAAGAGGGAGTGAAAAAGAAACATGATGGTGATGTGGGATGACCAATTACTTTACGCCGTGAAGCCAGTGAGGATGATGGATTGCGCTGGCAAGTGGTGGACAACCGAAGTGTAAATAAGAGATAATAACCTGGGGCCGGTGCAAAAAATATTTGCAGTGACAAGCACGTTGAGCAATCTGTCGGCCAGTAGACCTATGCGGTGGGTTAAACTGACAGCATTGACACAGTGGGAATCGCTGGAAACTTGAAGAAAATTTTGTTGTTAGTTGTACGACATGATCAGTCAACATGAATGCAACAGGGGTTGATGCAACTGAATCAGCCACTGAAATGTCCGGTCAAATGGATGCGCTGCATTTTTTCATCTACATGTTGACGGCACCGACTGTCCTTTTGATTCTGATTCTCAACCCAATATGCCTTGTGGTGCTCCATCGCGTTACCAGCATCCAAGGAACGACAAAGGTGTTCATGGCTTCGCTAACTGTGTCCGACATCTGCATCGGGCTGTTCTGGGTGCTCCCGGAGCTGACGGCACAAATAGCCGGGGAGTGGGTTTTCGGTGCATTTCTGTGCACTGCCTGGGGCGTTTCGTCAGCGTCGTTTTTTACACTGACGATCTTGTCACTCGTTCTCCTGACAATGGATCGCTTCGTTGCCATCGTCTACTCGCTGCGCTATCCAACATTGATGACTTTGAAGATGGCAAAAACCATCGTCGCTATCACGTGGGCCCTGACTTTGGCATTTTACATCATTCTATTTGGCATTTATGCACCGAACACCATATCCACAGGAACCCCTAACACTTGCGCTTACGCCATTTGTGACTTTTGTCTGTACCAGTCGGTGTTTGTGATGGCACTTTCTCTTGGGACAATCACTTTCCTCTACATCTACATTCTGAACGTCGCCCGTCAACAGGCACGTCGCATCTCTGCTCAGAATCAGATCAGCGTTGCCCAGCGTGATCAGAACGCTCCGCAGAGAGTCAGCACAAAGTCGGCTACTACGGTGTTCATCATAACCATGACGGTCTTTCTATGCTGGACCCCGACCATCAGCCTCTTTGTAATCATCCCAAACAGCAAAGAGGAACCTGTCATTTTGATCTTGATGGCCAACTTGGTTTTCTTCACCAATAGTTGGCTGAATGTCGTCATTTACTACCTGAGGAACAGGGAGCTTCGGCAAGCATTGCATGAGTTGGCAGCCATGTGCTTTCGCCGGCGATTCCAGTAATCTTGTTAAGAATCTTGTAAGAATCTCACTTATCTTCATTTTAGGAAGCAAGGTCCAAGCACGACGTCTTTAATATATCAAAAATATCAATTTGAAAAAAGAGCGTACTTAGGTAAAAAAAAAAAACTTTTTCAAATTTAGAAACAATGTACTGAGGCATCACATCACAAGTTTAAGTGTTTATGACAAAAACTTTAAGAATAAACATTATTGCTAAACAGCATTTTTTAAATACAGCGCTAGTCAAAAAAGCAGAACCCAAACCCTCCAAAAATATATTTTACATTTAAAAAAATATGCAGCACCAAATATAATAATGACTGGAAAGCCAATTTCTTAAACTACTGTTAGATGTAAAATTAAATATTGTGCAAGAAATAACTGATTAATAATTGCATCTTGTGTAAAGGACTCGGCACCTAACGTTTTTGCATTTTATTATTTAAAGGGAATATACATCATTTGCTTTTGCTGTAATTTTCAGAAATGGATGGAATTGGGGGGTTGGAAATATATAGCAAATATAGTTACACTGACTTGTTTGAGGTTTTGGGTTCAAAAATGCTATAAAAACCAAGAAAAGCAATCATTTTCCTGTAGTCTGGTTCCCTGACTCCATGTAAGAAGAAACAGAGCAGTTTACATACATTGGGGAATTGTAAGGTCAGGGAACCAGTCTAGCTGGCTTGTACCCGTTCATAGGTGTGTAATCGATTGCAAACAAGTGCGATGGTTAACTGGGGCCAGTATTTGAAAAAAAGCCAGTTTTTTCCAACGCTGATCGGCCGATCAGCGTTGGAAATTGATACAAAAATACCACTTTTCTTGAAAATGACAGTATACCAGGTGCCATGATTTTACAGGATGCTTCACACTGTCATTCACTAACAGTCCAGCAAGGTATTTCAAAATGATTTGGTAGTTTTATTTTTTGATGTTTGCAAATGTTGTATTTTCCCTTTAACAGATCACAACCAAAGAATCAAAGTACTCAATTTACTTAAAATAATATGAACAACTTTTACACGCATTGGTTTACACGAAGAGTTTAATTCTACAACGTGATAAACATGCCATTTTGCTACCGTTTGGAATCCCACCGTCTGTCGGTTGTCCGAAGACAATTTCGACAGGCTTAAAAACACAATTTAAGAATACAGTAAAGTGAAAAATGAAAGTTAGAAACAGCTGTTGTTTATGTACTGTTTATGTTCTTTAAGGTTGCACAATCGAGGACATTTTAAACTTTCTTTTCCGAATGGAAATATCGCGTTTTGGAAATAAACTCTTCAAATCCAGTTATTCCATTTCAATGATTTTAAAACAATTTGATATGCACACATAAGTGATGTATGCACGTAGGTGTTCTGGCCAACGGGGGAATTTGAGACTGATTGTATTGACTCTGGCACTCCACAGATGGGGAAATTGGAATGATCTAATCATTTCTGAGTACTTAGTAGGTCAAGCTGAAGGCACCAGCAGACCCTTCAACAAGAGGGACGTCACATTCGATTACACCACAGCGCGATAGTGATAATCTACAACTATAATCACTTCTTTTGGAGTGTTCTGCACTTTAGGCACTCGGACGAAGACGATTGCTGGCTTTTGGCTACTTGTATTACTAAAAACACATTTCATTTAAATATCTTAAGTATTGCAAGTTCCTCTTTGAAAAAAAAATTATAATGTAAAGGGAAGTGAAATTTCATCTTAAATTCAGACTATATACACCTGTATAGACCATGTTACACTTGTTATTAAGAGTGGATGCTGTGGTCATGTGATGACGACTTTTAGCACCTGATGTTTTCTGCACTGCATGCATATCTCTTGAAACATGGGGGGAATTATAGAGTTGACATTCACTGTTCAATGTGAGCAAAATAACATGAAGAATATGTTAAGCTGTTTGTTTTGGCCGTGGATTTCCTGTTGGCAAGACATCACAGTGCAAAAAAATTGATGCCAGGTATGCATTTGCGCAATGAACCCGTCTTGACATGGTAAATATGTCAATAGCAAAGATGGATGTTAGCAATATGGGCTCCGTGCACAAGTGCCCCATCAACAGCCAGAAAAGGAGAGTTGGGGGTGACCTAGACTGGTTCCTGAACCATCCACTGTATATCTCGAATGTATCCAAAGTTTATGCAGACCATCGCAAGTTAAATTTGAACGTATTCACGCGCCAATGACGCCTGACGCTTACGCAAAGACGCAGTGGCTATAGCTTTTATACATTCAGGAAGTCGTGCGTACTTCGCGCGCTAACCAGTACAGTGCACTCTGTGTGCCCCGTCCAACGAGCTCTCAAAAGAGGTAAAAACGCACCCTCTTTTGTTGACGCACGGAGCCCATACAGGCAAACTCGATGGAAAAAAATTCTAGAACCAATTGGCAGATTTTTTACTCACCTTGAGGATGGGTTCCCAGTCCATGATAGAGGAGCTCATGTAGACCATACCGTTGCGAGACACGGTGGCCGGGGAAGCGTTGTCAATGTTGTGGGGCTCGAAGATGATCTTGCAGGTAGGGGCCATGGGGATGCGATCCCCGTTGGCTAGGGTCAGGGTCTTGTTATCGTCTAAGACAGAGTTGAGGTTCTCAATCCAGATGGCGTCTACGGGGCCGTCCAGTACTATCCAGATGTGCTCTCCCTTGAGTGGGGGAAATTTTAATATATACGTAGAATGAAATGACATTATCCACATTGTAAAAGTCAGTATTAAAGTTGATAATGTAACGGCACTGAACTTTAATTCGCAGTATTTATGTAATGAGCACTGGAAGTGAAAGACTACCATTTAAGTTTAAACAAAAGTAAACTGGTGGTAAGCGTTTATCCTTTGCTGAAATATCACGCATGAAAATTGGGGACAGACTTTCAAGAAATTACATTTGAATTGCTTTTGTAGTTTCCAAGGGAAAAATCACAACTGGATTTGGATAAATTGTAGGACACTCCAAGACTAGAGTTGTATGCGTTTGAAACATATTTGTGTGTAATAATGATGTCTCTGCTGCTAAGCACATGGATATTGTCATAATAAAGTCAGCAATGGTATAAAGCAACAACACATGCAAGATATGATTTGAATGAATGAATCTGTGAATGATTTAAGCATTTTCTGACTGATTTTTTTAGTACCTTTTTGCCCTTGAGTGTTTTCCTCCACAGTGTGGAGAAGATACCATCCGTCCAGTCATTGGTGGCGACGTCCAGCCGGCCAAACATCTGAGGGGCCGTGATGGCCTTGGGGTTCATACGCAGCTCGCGATGGGGGGCGCCACAATCTGACATGGCTTTCATCAATGAATGGATGCATTTGGTCTTGCCTGTCAAAAATGGTCAGACAGCCAAAAAAAATTATTAATTCAGGTTAGTTTAGGGAGTCAGGATGGTGCAGCGGTACATCCTTCGCCTTCCAACGCTGTGACCCAGGTTCGAATCCTGCCCAGGCCACCACATGGATTGAGTTTTCATTCTGTCTGATTTCATGGGGTTTTCCCTCACATAATCTACTAGAGTTTCCTCCCTGATTTAAAACTGAAAATATCTTCATCATTTTCTCTTTTAATAGTTGTGTTTTTTCAGGCTAGCAAGTTAGAGTGCATGTTCAGTTTTAACGAACTGTTGGTTCCCATTACAAACAAACTAAATTATAACAGGGTTCTGGTACAAAAAGTCTTTCTGAGGCAAAGGAAACATAGGAGGAAATATTTCAGGCAGTTTTACAATTTTACCTAATTAAAATCGAGAGGTTTGATATTTTGTTTTTCAAACTCACCAGCACCGCTAGGTCCTAGTGTCATCATTCCGTGACGCACACGCTGCGTCTCATACAGTTGAATGAGCTTCAGGATCCATGGAGCGTGGTTTACGAGGCCTGCTTCAGTCACCTGTAGGGAAAAGATGGTATCGGGAAAACTCAGTACACAACCATTACTACTATTACTTCTATTTTGAGCACACACGCAAATTGGTCACCTATTCGGTACTTGCAAGTACTTTTTTTTCCTGCTAAGCACGGAAATTTTCAAAGCTTAGAAAATATCTGCTAAGCAAACCAATAACCAAAGTATCATTTGACGTACATTACTTGAAAGTATTTCTGGCTGATTTTCATTAAGCCCAAAATCCGCAAAGCACCTAATTGCCAATCTGCTTATTACTTTAACTTCTGCTTATTGCTTATGCTTAGCTATTTTCTCCTGGATTTACCTGTTTTTCGATGGCAGCCTCAATATCTGGGTAGCCGGCCTTGTCTAGTTGCATACCGGGGAACAAGTCGTCAATCAGAGATAAGAAGAGAGGCTCGTCCTCGTCAACCTAATACAAAACAAACCAAAGATTAGTTGAAATTTTGAGCATTAACGACAGTAAACAATTACAGGTGAAGAGAAACACTATGAAGCTTTAAAATCTTGTATTATCTTTGCTTTCTGAAGATTTGGCCATGTGCGAAGTGGGTGTCCAGAGATATGGCTTCGTCTATTTTCAGCATATGCCATGTAAATTGTAATCGTCAAAAACCTGGGGGAAAAGGCTCTAGACTAGAAAACGAAACTCAGTCTTAGATTTTTTTGGCTACTGAATTATTGAAGAATAAAAAGTAAATAACAAAAAAAGTGAATTTTATGGGATTTTGTTGAGATGAGTTTGCGGTGAAGTTTTTTTTATTCAGTCTTACCAGTTTGGAGAGGTTCATGTCCCTCAGGACTCTCATGACGATTGTGGACTCACTGTCCTGTGGGTTGAGACGCTTGAATGCTCCCAGAGTACGCAGCACGGACAGGATGTTACGCAGACCAAAGTCATAATGCACCTACGAAGAAAAAGAAAATATTTAATAGTCCACCTGAGCTATTTGGGTGGTCGATTGGTTAAGACACTTACACTATTAAACAGTGGGTCGTGGGTTCGAGTCCCATCCATGCAAGGCAGCAAATTTTTTCAGTGTCAAACTTTTGGACAGCACTGTTATACAGCGCTTTTAAAATTACGTTGGAGTGCTACGGCCTCGTAGTCTGGAGCATTGAACCGGTGGTTTGCGGGTAATTCCAAAGGTTGTGGGTTCGAGTCCAGCCGGGACAGCACTGAATATACAGTGCTTTAAGCATTAAGTTTTTGAAGGGCAAAATGCAAAAGTACAATAAGGAATTCCAACTCTTTGTACCATACCTGTTTGGTCAGCTGTTCCTCGCACAGCTTGTACAAGGTGTAGAATTTACGGGCCAGCAGCACATTGCCCTGGAAACCACAGCTAGCGAGCTTGACGCGGATGATGATCTGTCTGTCGGGGACCATCATGGCCACAGTACGGAACTGAATCTTCAGGTTTTCTGGGAGCTCCTGGCGACCGGCGTAGCCGGGGTTCTATTTGAAAAAAACAGGAATTTTTTTTAAATTTTGATCATGGATTTGCTAATGGCATTTCAAGAGCGATACAATACCCTCCAATATTTAGTGTAATCAACAAAAAATGTCTAGCAAACTTTAAAAAGTTGAAATTATATGGCAGCATATAACATCTAGCTGGGAAGGTTACAGTTTACATGAGAACTTACAGTTGCCAATACATAACTAAGTTTTAATAAATGACAAAGAAAATTGAGCAAAACATGGGTTGATTAGGTTGTGGCATTCATAGAGTTGAATAGACCATTATCATGTTGCCGCCATCTTGTTTTTTCCCATTCAAATCAACGTAACCAAAGCGAGGCTGGAAGGAAAAAAAATCTGGCTCCTTTTTGCACAAAAAAATCATCATTCAGTACTGTTATTGGATACAGGGAACATGACTGAAATGGTGGCAGCATGATAAAGGTCTATAAGCAACAAATTTGTAACAGCAGAATCATGCCTCTGCTTCCTGTGAGGTAGTTGATTTTTCTGAATTTTTTTTTTTTTTTTTTGGTCTTTGTTGCGAGAAAACAAATTGAAGCCTATTCAATACTAAAACAATTCTAGGACTTATCCAAAAAGAAATGCATCAAATAAAATTTGTTCAGCACTTGTGACACAAATTTGCACAATGCTGCGACACAATTTCAGCTCACCATGGTCAAGAAGATGCCAAATTCAGGATCCATGTCGACGTTGTCTCCATCGGTGAAGATGAAGTTGGGTTTGCGTTCCTTCTTGCAGGTCAAGACGATAGCAATCTGCTGGGCGGCTACCGACAGGACGGGCAGCTCGATACGATTGAACTCATCAAAGCAGCCCCAGCTACCGGACTGGGCCAGACCTGGAGTGTTGAAGGTGAAAATGGTGATGGTGTTAATGGTGGTGAACGTGTGATGTGACAGTGGTGACAGAAATGGTCATGATGGTGGTTGCAGGATAATATTTAAAAAAATTAAGGGACAAAAGCTGTGTTAATGAAAATGCAAAGTAAATTTCAAGACAATCCACATTTTTTTCACTGTGACACTCATCGTCTTTTTCTCATCCCAGACTCTGCTTTTCTAATTAATTTCTAGGAAGTGACTACAGATAATTTACAAATAAATTGAGAACAAGTACATTTTGAGATTCTTTATAACACATTCACATTTTTCTACCCATATGTACATTGTATTACATTGTACTTATTCCCTGATGAGTCCATAAACCATACAGAGCTGGGGAGGATAGGGACAGTACAGGGATTAAGAGGCAGGGTTGTTTGGGGCAGTTCAGGGACTAAGTGGTTAAATTGTTTCACAGATGTTCAGGGTCATGTATATTTTCCTTAGATGAGAGTGCAGTCTCTTCGGCTAGTTTGGATATCATAGGCCACTCCTCCCAAATGCCATCTTTATCACTTATTTAATGATAATTTTCACATTCCAGAATGAACATTTTAGTAATTCATTACAAATCACTGACCTTTGTAAATACGTCCCAGTCCCCTGAAGTCCATCTGATCCGAGCAATTGAAGACCACTACATACTTGCCCAGAGCTTTGCCCATGTCCTTGGTGGTTTCAGTCTTGCCTGTACCTGCTGGGCCGGCCGGGGCACCTCCCATGCTCATCCCAAGAGCCTGGGCTAGGGTGATGTAACATCTGATGGAGGAATACAATGTTACAAAATTGAAACCTTTGCGTAATAGAAACATTCTAAGGGAAAATGCTAAATTAAACAGGGGGTAACTCGAGAATTACCTCAAGGTTTTATGAGGTTTTACGGGGTACCTTGGGGTTCAAACTTGTGTTACCAAATTTGGCATTCTTCCCTTTAACAACAAAAACAGTACACTCTTAAAATAAAGATCTATCCAAACAAAAAAAGGCAGAATAAAATCTAAAAAATTGAGACAGTTGTCTTGTTTTATAGGTTTTGCGATCTAAATTTTTTTTAGAAAAGAAGATTCATCCTTCGCCAACATTTATTACACATTGAATAATCTTTATGAAGCTTGGTCCTAAAGAAATCTAGGTCAATTATTTTAGATGTATTCCACCCTGCAAACGATTTATTTGAATTGATGAGAACATTAAGCAGGTACAGATCAATCACAGCTGATTCAAATCGAACTTTGAACAGTTTTATCCAAGTGCAGTACGTTTATTGAATGATGAAGTGTATTTGTCAGTGTAATTGTAATTTAAATGTTAATATTATTTAAATATTACCAACAAAATAAACCACGTACAATTTTGGCTGGTGCCATGTTTTTGCTAAGCAAAATACTTTCGGTGGTAAGCAAATTGCTTAGCAGATCCGTGAAATTGTCCCCAGAATATCAATTACACCTTTCAGTGTGACCAAAAATGCTAAGCACAAATAAACTGGTTAGCATGTTGTATTACCCGTCACAAACTACATAAATATGTTTTTGCTGGTAAGCTATTTTTGCTAAGAAAAAAACATTCTGTGCTTAGCAAGACTATCTATGCTTAGGATATCTGCTGCTCAGCCGTGCCAATACCCACCTGTCAGTGAGTGGAGTGATGACCAGTCTCTCCGTGCAGCCCACGGGTTCCATCTGGTAGATGAAGTCCACGTCGGTGATGGAGATCAGGCACTGGTCCGTGTCTTCGTTGAAGTAGAACCGAGACTGCTTCAGCCATTCAAAGTCGGTGGTGGACTTGATGTGCATGCGCACCTGTTGGACGTGAGATTAGGCAAACGAGATGACGTTATTCACCTCTCCGATGCTACACTGCAAGTTCTAGCCGTGCATGTGTGTACGCATGTCGGACTTTGGTGCATGCATGTCGGACACTAGTTTAAAGCTGTGATTGGTCAAAACATCATTGGGTGGGCGGTGCTAAGTGGATCGGACTGCTGTCACAACCGAAAAAGGGTTCAATGTCATGGAACAAAGAAATTATTTAATTAGCAAAATATGCGATGTGAACTGCTTGTGAATGGTTCGGGGTCCTTGTGAAAAGGAAAAAGAAAATTTGGACTGACCAAATCATCAAAGATGTCTCTCTGATGGACGTGGATGGTGATGAGGGTCTCAAACTTAGTCCTCTCATACTTGGTGAGCTCCTGCGTGGTGACGTCAATCAGGATGTTCAACAAGTCAAGGAAGTACTGGTTGGTAGTTGCCATAATCTGTAATCAGAGAGATGAAAGACTCAGTTGAAAAATTCAGGACAATTTTAAAAGGCATTTTTGCCATCAAGTCATTGCTCTTTGTACAAAGTCTGGGTCACCCTTTAAATGTCTGAACTCAACCTGTTAAAATTCAAGGATCAATCCTACCTAAAACCAAGATAATAATAATTAAAATTATAATAATAATAACAGGGATTTTATAAGGCGCACAGTATCTGGAGGACTATTCAAAGGCGCTGGTTACTAGCAAATCACTGTGGTTCAAATGAAAGATAGAAAAGATGAGTCTTAAGATCCAAGATTTCTTTACCTTCTTGTCGGACCGAGCATTCTTGAGCGCCTCCTCGCTGTCCCGAGTCCACAGCATCTGCAGTCCCAGCAGCCCGACCTGGGCCGGGTAGGTGTTCTCAAACTCAATCATCTTGAAGTTCTCCTTGTCTCCGATGGCCACGCTGGCCGTGCGGATGATAGAATGGAGCGACTTGAAGATGGTCTTCATCAGCTCTCCGAGCCACAGCTCCACGTTGCCCTGGGCCATGACGGGCTTGACCAGGTCGATCTTCTCACTCTCCCGGGAGCTGACCGCCAGGATTTGGTCGTAGACTTTGTCGTGGAAGTCGGCCGACTTGACGTTGTCGAACAGACCTTCCAGGTGATTCTGAGATCATGGAAATAAAACAACAGAAATCAGGACTCCAAACTCTGACAGGGGATTAAGTCTGGAATGTTATTTCTTTGGATCGAGAGTACTGGAGAATGTGGCTGCATCCAAATCTCTTGTCTAAAGCTATTGTCTAGGTCATAGATAATTTACAACTACGCTGGTAAATGCTGACAATGGACACAGGGGTAGCGAAACGACCTGTGATTGTGCGTGGGAGATCTCACTTATTTGGTTACCAGCCAAAAAAATAAATCATGAAATGTATACTGCTCATGGTTTGTTCTCAGTGTATTTTGTTGAGCACAAAAATTTGCTAAGCAATGTTTCCTGCTTGGCAGCTTCGTGAAATTGGGACCAACAACTCACCTGGATGGTGTGGGAGTCCGAAGCCTGGCCAAGGATCTCCAGCAGGGCCGGGTCAGATACGAAGAAGAAACGTGGGAAGACCAGTCTCTTCTTCTCCAAGTAGCCAGTCAGGGACTTCTGGCAGATCTCCAGTTGTTCCAGGAGATGAGGGAGGAGCTGGCCCAGGCCGTCGTCGCCGGTGCAGCACTGGACCACGTTGGAGTTCTCATGGGCCGTCTGCATGATCTTGACCCAGGACTTGTCGATGTTGGTGAAACGTTTGGCTTCCTGTTAACAAAATTTGGTGCAATTTGAATGGATGGTTCATTGGGATGAGGAGGTAGCTAAGATGAAACAGGTGGTAACAGGTGGTTTACCTTAAGGTTTAACAAGGATTTACTGGGTACCTTGGGGTTCAACCCCAAGTAACTGCTTGTTCAATTCTGCATTCTTCCCTTAGCTTTGCCTGTATATGGAAATAAAACTTGGCGTAGATTCTCTATTTTTTTTTTCAGATTCAGAGGTTTAAGACAGCGGGATGAGGAAGCATACAGGGACACTTATCCACGTTTTATAACCACGTCAATCACAAAATAAATCAGAAATCAATCGTAAGTCAATCCTAAGTTCACAAGTATCCGGGGATGAACAATGACAACATAATGCATTTGCCACAGTTTATCTGAATATATTGGCACTTGACTTGAAACTGGAACTTGCAATTGCTTTTTGTACATATTATGACAACTCTTCATTTATTGCCGATTTTTCTCTGAGACTAAGCCTTGTTGAAATGTTTGGTAAATAGTCAGCTAAAAACTGGCCCTTGAATGGACCTCCGCCCCTCACCTGTGGCAGCTGCTTGGCGATGTCTCCGCCCACAAACACGGCCTCCAGGTAAATCCACAGGTTCTGCACCAGCATCCAGTTCTCAATGATCTCCGTGGTGTTGGACAGCTTCTGCACCCACTTCTGGATGTCGGGCTTGAAGGGGGCGTTGTACCTGTTCAGCAGGTGGATTCAGAATTCAATCAATTAGTCATTTCAGAACCGTATGTTCAACACAAGGGTTGACCTTCAGGTCCCATATAGCTTTGCGTATACATCCATACTGCCTGGGATATTGTGGTTGTGAGATCTGAAGATGAGTATTATAAAAAAAATGAGCAAAATCAAGATTAAATTGGGATCAACTGAACTCAGAAACTCATCAGCAAACTGAGTAGCTCATCCTATCAAGTTGAGGCTTCACCCTAGCTTGTCTCAGAGTTCATCAGTCACTCATAATCAAACTGCATACCATACATCCTTGCATCCAGACACTGCAGATCTAAGACACTCAACCAAGTAATACTCATTACTCGTTAACAAGGCCAGGACTCTCAATGACTCACCGGTTACTCATGAGCGAGCCCAGCACCATCAAGCTGTCCTCCATGAGTGAGATGATCTCCCCGGTAGTGTCTCCCTTCAGCAGGAGCTCCCCGCGAGTCTTGAAGGGAGAGAACTGGAAGTCCTGGGCACTCCAGTCGTTGACGACTCCCTTCAGTTTGGCCTCGATGTCCCGCTCCTTGACGGCCGAGATGCAGATATCCTGTGAGATGGGAATGCATGGAGACCGGAATTTTTTAATTTCTGCATTTTTGTGGGTTGGTGGGTAAAATCACGTTAAAGGGAAGATACAACATTTGCAAACATCACAAAACGAAATGATCAAATAATCATGAAATACCTCACTAGATTGTTAGGGAATGACAGTCTAAAGCATCCTGTAAAATTGTGGCTCCTGGTGTGCTGTCATTTTCAAGAAAAATTGTATTTTTCCAACGCTGGTCGGCCGACCAGCGTTGGAGAAAACTGGCTTTTTTTCAAAAACTGCCCCTAATTTTTCATAATTAGTTATTCCGCGTTTTCTTTGCAATTTCTACACACCTGTGAAGGGGTACAAGCCTGCTAGACTGATTCTCTGACATTACAATTTCCCAAAGTCATGATTGCTCCGTTTCATCTAAAGTGGGGTCAGGGAACCAGACTACAAGAACATGATTGGTTTTCATGGTTTTTTCCAGCATCTACAAGCCCAAAACTGTGAAACAAGTCATTTCGACAATATTTGCTATAACATACTAATGCTCCAAATCCATTTATTTCTGAAAATTGCAGCAAAAGCAAATGTTGTACATTCCCTTTAAGTCACTAACTATTTAAATGAAAGTAATAGAGGAATTTCTTTGTTACTGTTCATCACATCATTTGTGACTGAACTTGTGAAAAGGTCTCTCTCAAAGACAGTGTCTTTCAAAGACGGCCATCTCTGTAGTAGATTGCAACTGCGTATTTTACGCAATCAAGCACGCAATGCACAGCGTAGAAAATGTTCCAAACACTATTGCTTGTTGCTCAAAATGTGTTTTCGAAATATGACGCAGCCAAACCGCGTTATGCAAGTTGTCGCTCAAAAGGCCGATGCACATGGCTGGTCCGTAGGAAATGACGTCATTTGAGAGAGACCTATTGACTTGTGCTTTACTTGCGGATGGATCTGTGACAGACTTGTGATTGAATTGACTACAAGACAAGGTGTAAGGCTAGGAAAGGAAGGATTTGAAAGATTGGACCGAGAACAACAAATAAAACTTGAAAAAAGTTTTAATATCTAACAGTTTTGGAGAATTTTATTTATATTTGCAAGTCACCTCGATATCCTCCTTGTTCTCCAGCAAGGGAGCCATCATGATATTCCTGAGCAGGAAGGCGTCAGACTCCACGTCAAAGGTGTGCTTGGTGCAGGTGGCGATGCGGTCCCAGTGCCGGGTCATCATGGCCTTACTGGCCATCATCTCCAACAGGGGGCAGCATTCGTTGAAGTCATCGATCTTCTTCTTGAGCTCCAGGAAGGCCTGCCACTCCTTGAGGGCCTTGGGCAGCTTGCGGCACCTGGCGGGTTGGGATGATGGAGATTTAGGTTGGGTAATTTGGAGGAGCAATTAGCAGAAAATAAGCCTTTTAAGCCTCAAATGTGATTGATCAGCAAAGAACAAGTTTTATACACAAAACTGGGTTTACATTAAATAGTTTTAACTGACAGCTGTTTTTGCTTAGTTACTTCTTGCTAGCAAGATTGCTAATGAATAGCTTCTACTTGCTAGTTCTCTAACATTGGGCCGTCACAAAAATTTCCACAGAAGTAACCAACAGATTTTACATTTTTTAGGTTTTGGAAGACAGCGTTAACTATTAAACAAGGGTAAACATTACCAAAAATGCAACAAATACCGCTGCAAAATAAGACCAAAAGAATTATTCTTCGACTAAACAAAGCATCTATCGATGACTTAACAGTTGTCATGTAGGCAGTTCATTCTTCAATAACCAAATTTATATAACACCCAAGTAAATCCTTCGCCTCGTTGAATGGAACATTCAATCTCTCAACTCATGAAAATATTCTCACCATTGCACTCATAAACATTCATTATTTGTATAATATTCACTGCTAATAGCATCAATCACATTTTCGCAACGATAACGTTTCAAAGTAGAAAAGAAAAGTTATTCACTTTCAACAAGTTATCACCACTTCATAATTGAAATCTGGAGATACAAAAAAAACTAACTTGTTTTGGAAGTCCATCAGCTCCTGGTTAATCTTCTCAATGTCTACGTCCACCCAGGGGATATCATAGTAACCGTTAACGTTGTCAATGACAGAATTGTAGAGCTGGTACAGCTTCTGTAGCAGAGCCAGCTCCCGCTTGATGCGCTGGATGTCCGGGTACTCGGTGACCGCAAGGCCAAAGAGCTCCTCACCGCCGGAGTAGGTGATGTACTTGCGCCAGATCTCGTCAAAGCGGGCCTGGAAGAGCTGGAGTCGGTCGCTGGCCTCGCTGGGCGCGATGCCCAGGACCATGGGACCCCTGGGGAATAACCAAGCAAAGTTTGATTTGTAAGGAATATTGATAAACCTTCTGTGTGCCTTCACCAAGAGATACTTTTTCTTAAAGAATTTAGAAAACAATGGACCATTTGTGCATTGTTTTTATACATTGTTTGTGTCCAAATTCAACAAGTCTACCATGGGAGGAGTGTGGCCTTGTGGTTAGGGTTTGTGACTCATCATCAGCGGGTCAGGTGTTTGAATCCAGCTGCCAGTTGTGTCCTTGGGCAAGCCAGTTCACCCCACTTGCCTCTCTCCACCCAGGAGTATAAATGGGTACCTGTATTAGCTGAGGAGTAACCTGGGATGGACCAGCATCCCATCCAGGGGGAGTAGAAATATTCTCAGTCGTATTCATGCCAAGGAAACCGCAGATAACTGCCGGCCTGATGGGCCATATTGGCTTGTGACAGACTTGACTACTACTACATGGTCCCTGCCTTAAAGTTAGGATTTAATTGGTCTATGTGACACAGTTTGATTGACAGGAAGAAAATATTTCGATAATATAAAAAATGTCTTTACTTGTCAGTGTAGTCGTCGACAAAGTTGCTGACCTCCGTCTGGTAGTCCTCCACCAAGCTGAGCAGGTTGGACTTGAACCCTGGCTGGATCTTGAGCAGGGTGACTTGCACATTTTGCATCTGTTGACAAGAAAATTAATTAACGAGGTCAAAACAGGAAAGACCTGTGTGTGGCAGTGATTGAAAGACAGTCAAGGACCCAGGGATTAGATCTGGGGCAAATGAAAACCCATAAAATTTTCCGCGGAGGGTTGAAGGGAGTTAGGGTTAAGAAGTTGCAATCAGGTGTTTTCAATCTTATGAATTTTAAAATTACAAGGGTAGTTGACATGACAAACCTGGCTGTTGAGGTTCTTCCAGCTGTAAGACAGACTGTCCACCTTCTCCGCGTTACCATCCTGGAACAGCAGCTCGTAACGGTGCAGCATGGCGAAGGACTCCTCGATGGGTCCGATGGTCATGTCGATGCGTATCTCGGACTCCCGCACCTCACCGAGAGCAGCCATGGCACCCCTTACATCGTCCAAGTCCTTGATGGGACGGGCCAGGCGTTTCTGGAGGTTCTCGATGAAGTCGAAGATGTCGGTCATGTCGGCCGAGGCCTTGGCGTTCAGGGCCTTGCCGAAGGCTAGCTTCCAGGCTTTGGTCTCGGCGATCAGGGCTTCCTTGAGCTTCTCCGTCAGGCAGATGACGGAGCCAACGCGGTAGCTGGCTGGGCTCTCCTGGATGGTCATCTCAAGTTCCTGTTATGAGACAATCAAGACATAATCAGATTAAACAATGTTTGCACTGACCAAATATAAATCTCTTGTCATTGTTGTCACTTCACTTTATGAATGAGAGAGAAAGATATTGAATGATCTGCCTAATATGGTAACATTTTTACAAAATTTACTTAACACTTTCTTAACTTGACTAACAAAGTGGATATACCGTGAACTAAAAATACGTCTCTGTCGTGATCCATGCAACTTTTTTCAATTCCATTTTTTGTGAAGTATTGCATACTTACAGGCTTGCTCAAAAAGACCAACACCGAAAAAAAACCTCCTACTTAGTTGCCTGGACGTCTTGACCTATAAACTGCTAACTTTCCCAGGGTCAGATGGTTAGGTGAATCTGATACAGCATAGGGACGTAGGATTGCTGACTCACCTGATAATACTTGATCTGAGCTTCAATCTCAGACAGCAGGGGTTTGCCTGCCATGAACTCGGTCACTTTGTCGTCTGGCTCCTCATTCCATAGTTCGCTAAACTCCTTGAAGCTGTCCAGAACCTATGAAGAGATTAACAATCAAACACTTTAGATACATTCATTAAGGAGATTGAAGTTTACTTAAAAACTGCAGATGCTATTTCCTTTTTTCTTTTTTTTTTGAAGGGGGCGGGGAATAATTTCCTTAGCTATGTGCTGGATTTACCATGTAGCGTCAAAATTGGTTGCCAATTTTTTTTTCCAACAAACCGAATTCAATATTGAGTTTTGCCTATAAATTATGTAATTTCATAAACATTGTATACTCAGCATCATCCAAAGGCGAGCGAGAAAAATTTGAAAGCTTCCTCAGGTGGGACTCGAACCCACGACCTCCTGCTTACTAGTGCAAACGTAATGTTCCATGTAGTTCCTCCAGAGTGGTAGATTTGAAGAGAGTGGAGTAATTTATTATTACTTTTTTCAATTGTGTACTTACCTCTTGACATTCTGACTTGCTGCTGCCGATGATGTTGTTGAGCGTGATGACCACCTTCAAGACATCCTTGTGTTCACTGATGACTTTGTACAGAGGCTTCTGGGTGATGGCCAACAGGCTTGGCACCTTGTCGGTATCCTTGTCGTCTTTGGACTCTTCCATTTCCTAGTAGCAACAAGAAATTATGTCTTAAACTATTCAAATTAACGGTGACAGATTGATGAAATTTGGTACTAGCTGAACTGCCAGCTGATATGGACTCTGTGGCTGAGTACCTTTTCAACGGTAACAAAGACAGGAATCCGATAGACACTTGCCTGACACCGAAGACAAGTTCTAAGCTTTTTTGCAAACCCAGATGAAACTTAGTCACGCATACTTTGCATCACACACATGTTCACTGAATGTAGGGTCTGAGGTGTAACGTATATCGCCCTGATATGATCAAGCCTTGGTCCTTGGTGAGCAAACACAAACCTTGACCAAAGGAATTGAAAAGCCTACCCCAATGAGCACGTTCATAATTGTCAACGCCTTCTTGCACGGGGAGCAAATGCCCAATGCTCTGTGATCACAGCAGACAAAAATGGAAAGTTTGCAAGGTGGGGATAACAGCAAGGTAAGTTTGCGGAAACACCATGTGATATCAATCTCTTTTGTGAGTTTGTGATGGTTCTGAGAAGAACCGGTTTGGACTCAACGTTTCGGACAGCATACTCTGTCCGTCGTCAGGAGACGTACAAAGATACGCGTGGCACGGGTGGCTTGTGCGTAAAGCGCTCGCCTCTCACCAAGGTGACCACGGTTTGAATCCTGGCCGCGGATCGCATGTGAGTAGAGTTGTGCGTTGGTTCTCTCCTGTGCCACGAGGGTTTTTCTCTGGGCCCTCCGGTTTTCCTCCCTCCGGAAAAATCAAACACTTTCGATCTCAGGCTGTGCTCCGTGGTCTTATATGGGTCGATGTGGCTGGCAGCCAGAGGCGCCTTTACGTGCCAGCGGCCCGACCACGTTGTAGCCGCGTCCTTCGAAATTCAGCATCCCAGCTGCGAGTAAGGATGATTAGCCTCCCAAATTATTATTATTATTATTATTACAAAGATATTCCCACATTTCTAAGTCATCATGCACGCATTCTACACGTCCTTGCAGTGTGCAACACGCACTTTTTTTTGTTCCCACTGGGAGAGATGACGTTGACGACAATGAGCAAAGTTTGTTTTCTGACCAAGCACACTCACCTTAATCGCAGCCTTCTGGCTTATGATGGTGTGAGCCCAGAGCGGGATATCCTGGGCCATCCTCAGGATGACCTGCACGGCCTTGTTGACCGCCTGCTGGACGTCGTCCAGGCTGGGCCGCAGGACGATGCTAGGGATGGCCAGGACGATGTTGGCGGTGAAGAGAGGGACCTTGGCATCCTCGTTCTCCTGGGCTCCTTGGGTGTACTTGTTGGTGGAGGTCTGGAGGCGACGCTTGATGGCGTCCAGGGACAGACGGGTGCCTGGATGGGGTAGAAACAGAAAGTGGGCCATTTCAAGAGTTGGTGGCTCAAGGTACCATACTTGTCCCGCATTTAGAAAAGTGGTTGGCGTATATGTTTGTATAGATGGGTGCCTTGATAGGAGAGATAGGTACATATGATAATAGGCCTTTTCAAGAAGGGTGGTCACTGGGTACCATACTTGCAGAGCATGAAAACAAATTTATGACATATCCAAGTATAGACAGGAGCCATGATGGGAAGATAGTCATTTCAAGACAGGTGGACATTGGGTTCAATACTTGACTCGCATGAAAACAATTGCATTGATTGTGTCCTATGGGAAGGAGGATAAGTGCCCTATGGGAAACTTTATAAATACCACAAACTGTATGTTGGAAAATAAATGCAAATGTGAGTGGATTTTCCACACACATTTGATGGGAGTATACTACAAACTGCATGCTTGAAAATAATTTATCCTTGGAGCTTACACTTGATGAGAGCATCGGTATTCCTCTGGCTGAAGCTTCCCACCATGGTGTAGAAGCAGCAAGGCAGGCACTCCAGGCAGCGCTTGTGCTTGGAGTCGGGGGTCAGGCACGGGTAGTGGTCGTACAGGTTACGACGCTCATTCTCCTTCAGGTTATTCTTCAGAGTGTCCACAAGATCCTGGACCGCCTTCTCCACAGCTTGGCTTTGTCTGGTTCAAGAAAAAGATTCGGTCCATTTAAATTCTCTTTGATCGATCCGTGAATCGAAAATTCAACCTGATCAACCGCTCATTCATTTATCTTCACAAACAAATTGACATTAAGTATTTTCTTAAGGCAATGTTTGAACTTGGTTCTGCCTTACAGTCAAAGTATCTTTAAATTTATGCTTGATCTTGAAACAGAATCTACATGAGTTCATAAGTGAACAACCTGGTAACTACAAGAAGTCGATTGCATATTCGCATGCCGTGTACGAAAAAACACACTTAGGTCGAATACAAATTCATTCACAGATGAAATTCAACTAAAATTGCAGCTTAAATCATACTTTTCACAAACAGTCAACTCATAATGTAAGCTTCACATCCTGTGACTGATTTTTTGTGAACGGACCAGGTCATAGTTTACCTTGAGAGCTGGTCACAGGCCTCCTTGCAGGTCCTCTCAGTATCGGCCAGGAAGTCCTTGGTGGAGGTGGGCTCCGACTCCGGCAAGGCGCAGAGAGCGGTGCAGGACATGTCTTTCAGGACCTGGTCGATGCGACAATCCAAGAGGTCCGAGATCTGCTTGGTCAGGCGCTCCAGGAAGTTCAGCTCCTTGTAGGTGTTGGAGATGTCTGCAGGAAGCAACGAGGATGGAAATTAGAAAGCCACAGTGATTTAAAAATTAGGCTTTGCCCCACTTGGTGCTGTCCACGACTTTTGTTAGAAAACAGACTGGATCCCACGACATCCTACTTAACTCTTTCAGTGCCAAACTCGTACATGTACGAGGTATTTTTGTTAGTCCAAAAGCGCCAACCTCGTACATGTACGAGGTAATGTTCGTGCTTAAAATCGCCAAACCTCGTACATGTACGAGGTAGAGTAACATGTTATCAAAAGGGGGCGCTCTCGCTCTTTCTAATGGTACCAATTATATGCATGTACGACCTGTATTTATTTTTATATTCAAGTTCTTGTGAGAGGGCGTCACACTGAGTTTCGATTTGTTGACAAAATTGCGGCGCCCATAAACCGAGCTCGCGTGTTATCTCCAGAGAAAATCAGTGTATTTTTTCGCCGATTTGGACAGGGTAAGGGATTACTTTTCTGATTCAGAATAATCCATGGATATTTCAGAACTGGATGGTGAGTCAGAAGACGAACATTGGGATACCGATACAAATGATAATGATGGTGCTAAAAGTGACAATCATGGCAATATTTATGATAATGAACAGAGTTTGTACGAGGAGGGGTATCAGACGCGACACACGTATATTCTGCAAAAGTGCGGAATTCCCCTGTGTTCAGGAGAGTGTTTCAGGGTTTATAACTAGGTGCATGACTAATATTGACTTTTGAAGGTAACAAGAATATACCAGAGAGCAAGATACAACAAGTTTGGTGATTACAACTTATTTACTTTTTTTTTATAGAATTTTGAATAATTAACACAAAAGCTCGAAGTTGGGCGCTTTAGGGTTAAACTTTTGAAATGTCGCGGGCACTGAAAGAGTTAATACTAGTGCAGACATCATACTAGCATAGACTTCTTAAATTTTGAGGCATTATCCACTGCATCAATTGAAAGTTAAGACTGTGGTAGCTCTTTGATGAAGAGTCCATCGGGCTAAGATTTGACAGAGGTAAACAGGCTGGAGACCTGATCTAATATTTGCATATGAGGAAAGGCAAACCCTTAAACTTCTTGAAATTCCATTGGTTACTTTGCCCCTTAATTCCACCTGTTCCTTGAAAATATTTAAATTATGTTCACACTGCCTTCGAAGTCATAAAGACAATAATGTACTGCCCGTTCTCTGACTCTATATCTGAGTGAGGCATGGGATGATTACTCACATTGATCCAGGCTGAGAGAGGTCCAGTTAAGACTGGTCAGTCCCGGCTTGAGGGCGTCCTCCACGCGGCGTCTGAAGGGCGACATCAGTGGCAGCACCAGGTTGGGAATGGTAGCCACGATGCGGTCATACTCATGCAGTAACTCCACAAGCCTGTATGAATAAAAAGTTTGTTGCATCAACTGAATTTGCCAACATAAGTTTGGATAGCTTAGTTGGTACAGCACTGGTATGGTGTTCCAGAGGTTGCAGGTGCTAATCCAGCTCCTGTCAAATTCTTTGTTCAACTGTTGCTTTTGCATGGCCTTCCTTTGGCAAATAAACAACCAATATGAAAATAGACAAGGCAATGCTGATCAAGATCCAGAGTCAATTTTGTAGCGTCGCTTGGCACACATGAATACTAAGCAGATTCTCTTGCTAAGCTCAAAGTGGCCGAGTACCAGTTGTAAGCTAGTTATACCCCCTGATATCTCGGCTGGTAACGTTTTAAGCAAAATTTATCTGTGCTCAACAAAGTTTCGTGCTTAGCTGCTCCAGATCACTGGCCTAAATCTTTAACTTGGTGCAATTACATAGAGCATTAAGCAAAAATATTGCTAAGCATATTTCCTTCCTAAGCAAAAATCACATGGGAACCAGTCATAAATAATACACTACCAATAGAATTTTGGCTGGTAACCAGTTTTTGCTAAGCAAATATATTCTGAGCTTAGCAAATTTCTTTCATAAGCAGCTCAGTGAAATTGGCTCTGGTGTGTAATTAAAAATAAATGCTTACGCGATGTAGTTAGCCTTAATCTCAGCCTCCTTCAGGATCAGAACGCCAGCCGACTCAGGGATCTCCAGGTTCATCTTGCTGAGGTACTTGGCCTCGGCGATCAGCTCCAGCACCTGGGGGTCAAAGTTCACGAAGAGCTCCTTGGTCTCTGGGTGCCGGACCAGCAGGGAGGAGTTGAGGCCTGAGCGGATGGTGTCCACAGCCCGGAACCAGCCTCGATGGTACAGAAGCTGCAAAAGAAATACAGAAGATTGTTGCTGAGTGCTTTGGTCCGAGACTTTGTTATTAAAGCGATCTACCTAAAAATATTGCTTAGCGGTTTTTTTTTAGGTAAGCAAAATCGACTGAGAGTAAGCTAAATTGCATAACATTTTGGTATGAAGCCCTTTTCGGCTAAGCAGCTATTTTCTGTACTAAGCCATTTGGTTTGAGCCATGAGCTTCATGAAATAAACCTGTAATAGCTTTTCCTTGTCTTCCAAATCTAATAATTTTAAATTGATACCTGCCAATGGCAATTTGTGAGTCGACTGTTCAACCCCAGCCTGAAAATTTGATAACTTTGGAGATTATCTTACCTCATACTCCAGAAGTACAGCAGCCATCTTGTTGAAGTTACGAATAATCTTCTTTGCTTCTTGAGTCTGCAGATTGAAACCACATTGTCAGAAATTTCAAAAGATGAGAGACGATATCAACGTTCATATCAAGTAACTTCTTAATAATTTCCCATTACATTACCTCCTCATTAGTCAGAATCTAATGCAAGGCTTACAAATAACATTTGTGGTGACACTTTTAATGGTTTAGAGGAGGAGCTGTGTAAACTGTGTGCTCGTTTCATCATCAGAAGCTTTGTGGCTTTCGACAACTTGTTAAGGCATACGAAGGCCAGATCTAGATGCACTGAAGTATAGAGGTTTGCAATAAACCATCCAATCTCATTCTCAGGTCTGCTATTCCTCTGAAGAATCAATGATACTCACCCTGAGAATCTCCGGTTTCTTCTTAAAGGCCCTCATGGGCGTGTCGATCTTCCGGTACAGCTGACGCGCCCAGCTGATCTTGCCGGCCACGGGGGGCATGTTGCGGATGACCGGCGGGTCGTCTTTGCCCTTCTGGTACAGCTTGCGGACGGTCTCCAGGTCCCGGCCGTAGTTGGTCAACACCTTCATGTACTTGTCGGTCAGGTTCAGGTGGGCGCCCGAGATCTTCTCAAACTTGGTGAGGAGATCCAGGGCCCTGTCAGTCTGTGATAGATGAGACAAGTAACTCATTCAAAAAAAATTGTTGGGGGAAGGGGGCAGCAGCGTTGGTTTAAATTGAGGATTGGGGACTTGGGTTGGGGGAGGGGGACTAGAGTGGAGGGGAGGGGGCTCTGATGGGGCAGGGGAAGGCTTGGTTGTTGGTGGTTAGTGGTTTGGATTGGGGTTTAGGTGGTGTTGGAGTTGGGTGTTGGGGTAGGGAGGCTGCGGCAGGGGAAGCTTGGGAATTGGGGTTTGCATAGAACATAAAGTAGCCATTGGGCAGAAGAGAGCTAAGGGAAGTCTGGTTGTTTTAATGTTTTAAAACCTGTGTGGGCTTACAGTGAGGGGTCTTTCAAACCACGAGTCCACGAAGCCTTGCAGCTGGCCATGCACGCTGTCCATCAGAGACCGGAACTCCAAGTAGTCAACGTCAAACTGCAGGGTAACCCAAAATACAAAAAAACACATTATTTTATATTTTATTAAAAGTTGATAACAAAATTAATTAACAGGAAAAATATTGAAGTATTCACGTCAGAAGACAGTTCCAGGAGTAAAGCTTGTTACTGCTGTAAATTTTGAAGGCTGTCACGTTTTTTTTTTATAAGCAGAATGAACAGCGTCAATATGCGGAACATCTTATGATCCATTTTTTTGATCAGAGGTCTATTTCATTGAGCTGCCAAGTACAGTTAATTGCAAAGTTTTCTAAGCAAAACTGTTATCATCTCCTTGGCTACGAAACTGGGGCAAGCCATCTATCACTGATTCATCAACTTACCTCCCCTTTGCGGTGATCGAGGACGTCGTAGTTCTTCTTCTTGTAGGTTCCAGTGATGCCCTGGAAACGGATGAAGATGGATTCAATGCCTTCAATCTTGACTTCCCCTAACGAGCTCATGCTCTCCATGGTGTTGACCATGTCGGCGATGCGCTCCAGACGCTTGCAGAAGGTGTCAAACTTGCCAAAGATGTAGTTCTCACTGCGGGCAAAACGAAGTTTCCATTACAATCTATTACTATGGTCTCTATACACAACTCCTACCCCGGTGGTGAAAATTGATTGAACAGTGACACAATTTTATTTACAATTTCTTTTGTGCATCCACGCTCAAGCACATTCTTCCCACATGAATGCACTACAGCTTTGCGTACAGTTTGATATCGGATAGCTCACACACTGCATCATTTCCTACGTTGAACCACACAGTGACATATGCGATAGCTTTGCCGCACTACGAGGTGACGGATCATCTGTGGACTTTGTGCACAGGATACGTCTCTTCATGATGGCGCACTATTCACTATGCATCACTCCGTTGTGGGACAGGCAATAAGCCTGTTTTAAGTTGACTTTGACAGGTAGCGGTGTTTTGCATTCAGTAATTTAATAACCATGGATTTGCTCCTCACTGAGATACGGTGAAGTGTTATTACCCATCGCCTCAGTATGTTTAGATTTGTAAAAGGCTTGATTCTAACGTTACTGCACACCAATTGGTACATGCCTTTTTACAGCTTAGAGGAAAGTGGTTAGGGTTCGCGACTCATGATCAGAGGGTCAGGTGTTTGAATCCAGCTGCTGGCCATTATGTTGTGTCCTTGGGCAAGCCACTTCACCCCACTTGCCTCTTTCCATCCAGGAGTATAAATGGGTACTGGCATTACCTGGCATCCCATCCAGGGGAATAGAAATATTCTCAGTCATTTCATACCAAGGAAACTGGAGATAAACACCGGCCTGATGGGCCTTAATTGTTCATTATGAAACCCTAACATAGTACCTGTGATTCAAATAAACAGCGCCCTCAATGGTCTCTGCACAGAGCAAATAGAGCATTGTCGACTTACCTGAACTCAAACTGTCTCTCCTCTGGAGTCTCTTTCAGTCGTTCCTTGGTCTTGTGGAAGCATTTCTGGTACTCATCGTTCAGGTAGATGCAGTCATTCAGTCTCTTCAGAAGATCAGATCTGCATCAATATAAAAAAAAAAAAAAGGTTAATTTTTTTTCATTACAGTTGGTTACAGATTGCAATGACGTTGGGATGGTATACGTTTAAGTGGTAGGAGATCTGAGGATGAGTGATAAGGGACCTCTGTTTGCTCAGTTCATTTGCCAAGTCAGTAGGTTACTTGGAGTACGTCAACTTGACAAACTTAATCATTAACTAAATCGAGCCAGGCTTATTGGTCAAGCTGGCACAGCTCCTGCAATATGACCAAGTGTATCTCACCGAAAACGCATGAAATGACGTTCAACACCATATGGGAAACTGCACACACATATACCTGACTTTGATTCTGGAGGTGTGCCAACCAAATGTAAAAGACTGTCAGTCTAGGGGTACTGTACCCCTCCTGACAGATTCCAACAAAACATGCTGTTGGGGTTTGATGGGTTGAGGTCTGTTAGGGTTAAGACAATGAGTGCTGATTGTGTCTGGACTAACTGCTTCATTACAATGAAAAGTTGGACAGTGACCAGATTATCTTTGATACCATTTGACGTATTGTGACCTTTTCTGCAGTTGATGTTTTTGCACTGAGGAGGTGATAATATAATAGTGTGCATGAATTCTAAAGGGGAAATGATTTTGGGGGATATATATTCGAGGATGCCCGGTGACTTGTGGCCTGCTGGAGACAACAGATCATGCTTCACGAAACTTCATTTTTTGTACCTGTTTCATCTCAGATCGCACGACCCTAATAAAAGGCCTTTTCACACTGTCCAAAATCTCCGGGTTGGAACCGGTTCCAACCCCGAGATTTTGTTCAACCCTTTTCCCACTTCTAAAGTTTCAACCCGGTTCCGACCCGGGTAGAGTGCTCTAGCCGGATCGAAATCAACCCTGGGAGGGACCAGGGTTGAAAATCTCAACCCGGATCGAAATTGCATTTTTCGGCGTGAACCGTGTCGAAAATGATAGTGTGAACCGCCCCGGGTTGAGTCACTCACGGCCGATCCGTGTTGAGTTGAGGCCGACATTTTACCGAAAATCTGACACGCCGAGCATAATATTTCCCTCCACCACTATCGCCGTCACAAACACCGATCCCGAAACAATCGCTCCCTAATTATCATCCAATAATGTATCGGTGTATGGAGCATCCTTTACCGAGTCTGGGCTTGTATTAAGTCCGCAAAATGTACCCCAAAAATGTTCATTTCTAATGTTAAATAGAACGAATCGTCTAACGAAATGACCGGAGCCATTTTGGAAATATTGCACACAGCTGCGCTGGTGTCGTACAAAAATCGGACTCCCAAATCGGATTCGTTTACTCTCTTATTATTGGTCAAACCCTTTCACGTGACAGGTCCTTCTCCCAATAGGCATGCGCAATACTACCAATGAGTCCGTATTTCACAGAGTAGTAAATTCACGCTGCACACCGGCCTGTCCGTAAGCCTCGTGCGTCGCAATGCATTATGGGATTGAGAAAATCATCGCAGCGCCCTGTGCCGAATGCGATCCGTGTCGAGAATTTGTAGTGTGAATTCACAGGGGCCGTAGCCGGATTGAACGTTACACGGTTCACGTAGCGGCCGTTCCCGTAAAGGACAGTGTGAACGTCGCGTCTCTCCGATCCGTGTCGAAAAATACTCGGGCTGAACCGGGTTGGATCCGGGTAGGTTTCAACACGGTTCGAAACGGAGATAGTGTGAAAAGGCCTAAAGAGAAATACATCTTGACCATGATCCAAACCACAGATACATGACACGAGAGTGAGATTCACTTCATTGTTTGTCCCAAGCATGGCTAACTCATCGACAGACACCACAGGCCTGTCCACGTTCCTCATCACACTGCGGACTTGTTTCATCACTTTCATGGCATTCCTGATCATCGCTGGAAATGCGCTGTTCATTATAGTGGCACACCGCATACCGAATCTACCTGACAGCACTAAAGTTCTGATGAAAACACTGGCAGCGTACGACATGCTGGTTGGCGTGCTAGCATCATTGAGTATCATCGCCTCCGCTGTGGACAAGTGGCCTTTCGGTCAAGTGCTCTGCGAGATCTACATGATGGCAATTTTTGTAATGTATATGATGACAAACATCACCATCGTCCTTCTGAATGTTGAGCGCTACATTGCCGTCATGAAGCCGTACAAGTTTCCTCGCTGGTGCACCAGACGCCGTATGATCACTCTCGTAATCATGGCATCAATATTCTGTCTGCTTCTCAACAGTGCCCTTAAGTTCCTGCTGGGTATATCCGCCCAGTACTTCCCAACCTCAGCCATCTGCATTTTCCAAGAAAACTCTAAAGTTGCAAGCATCACAGGTCTTCTGTCGGGAGACGTCATTCCCAGTACTATCATGACCTGTATTTATTATCGTCTGATTAAGATCAGCCGGCAGCACCAACTGCGAAACAACAGGGTAAATAATATTTACGACAACAAGGCGCTGAAGACCTTCCTGGCGGTCACTCTAACATATTCAGTTTGTTTCACACCACTCATGGTTGCAAAAACTGTGCAAGCTTTCACCGGCGAGTCTAACCCGAGCTGGCTGGAGTTCGGGACGGTATGGTTAGCCGTTTTTAACAGTATCTGTAACGTGCTTATCTACTGTCTTTTCAACCGATCTTTTCGTCAAATTGCCAAGCGAGCTGTATTTCAGATAATCCCTCGTCACAGACAATCGGTAGCTCCTGTGAACATCTAGACAAGGAGACTGAGGGTGGGTTTACTGTATCGTGTAGTAAGCAAACGTTTATCCACTGTTGGAAGGATTTCACAGGTCTGCTAGCCAAGTGCAATAAAGCAGTGACCGATTTACAATAAATCCAGCGCAGCAATTGCAATGACTTCACGTATAACTTCATAAACTTGTCACAATTATGTGATTTTGTCCGCCAAAACAAATTTGTGAATAAACTTCGGTATTGACTTCAGATGCGACATTCAACAAAAACCTTTAACAATGCTGCGGGACTACTTAAAAGCCACAATAACAGTTGCGACTTAAATGACATGTGTAAGACACGCTTTGTTTATTAAACTACATTTTGTCCTTAAATTAAGAAACTCGGGTAGTTCTGTCTCTGAAGGGTAATTTATACCAGCTTAATGATTTATGATTTAAACTAATAAATCTGTCTTGCTTACTGACAGTTTTCAAACATAAAGAGTATATTCCATCAAGCAAAAACGTGACAGTGGATATTTTTTTAATATGCCACCCTCATCATTGTCAAAAAAGATGGTGGGTTGAACAAGCTTGCGTGACAAAGTTTCCCTGCGGTTGCTGAAGATGTGATGAACACAGTAAACAAACTTTGATCAGAGTTTAATTACTTCGCTGCAACATCTATCAAATGTTTCTTCATGTCAGCATTTAATCAATTCTATCCTATGCTGTCAGGATATTCGTGGTAAACTAAGTTTACTCGACAACATATTGAAGATGCAAGCTGATAAGCCACTGTTCATAAATTTCATCTTTAATAAAGTCTCAGGTGTTTTTTTGCTGTATAGTTATAAGGGGGCGGTGCATTTCAGATCCATTTTAATGATCCAAAATGTTGTTACAATATATTAAAACTGACGGCGTTCAGCCCCAATATCATCAAGCTGCTGCATTGTACAAAGAAAATGTCGCTCAGAAAATTTAGGACTGTAGAAGAAATAAGCGTAGAAACATTCATTAGAAATATGGTCCTGTATTTTTTTTTTTTTTTAGCTTAGAAGCTCCGTGAAATTGGTTTGAGGACTTCAATACATGCAATGACTTGACGGGTAAGGAGCTCATAATCTCACTGGCAAGCCGCAGGCATTCATACAGAGGTGTGGACTAACTACCAAACCATTCTGGATGTGGTGGCACAATCGCAAGTTATGTTCACCACGATAATCTGCGCTCTGAACAAAAACCTTGATGATTGAAACAAGGGTAGAGCTGCAGAATAGAATGCTGGGCAGTGAATTTTCAAGGAACAGGAACAAAATAGCACCAACTTCACTTCATCTTTGATCAAATATGTCCTCTGCGGAATGAGATAGTACCAGCCTTTTGGTGAATCGGAACCCAAACAGCCTTGATAAGTATCTTAGATATTACAGTAACGAGTACGACTGAACGAAATTAGACTACTGGGTGAACATCTGCGTGAAGCACGACAGCTTGATTTCAGACTTGAGTTGAAATGGCCGTCATACTGACAGAACCATGGGGTCTGCCCCCATTCTGGATCGTCCTCCGTACTGCTTTCATCTCTCTCCTTGGACTGCTGATCATATTTGGGAATATTCTCTGCATTGCCGTGACGCGACGCGTACCGGATATGACGGAAAGCACCAAGGTCCTGATAACTGCCCAGGCAGTCTATGGCCTCCTTAATGGTTTTGTCACTCTAATTACCAGTGTCTGCAGTTCGGCTCTGGACAAATGGCCCTTTGGAAACCTGGGTTGCGAGATCAGCACGATTTTGTCCTTCACATGCTATGTGATCAAAGAACTTATCATTATCTCCATCAATGTTGAGCGCTACATTGCTGTCACCAGACCATTCAAGTTTCCTGTGTGGTGCACTCGACGACGCACTGTCATGGTAGTACTGGTTGCCTCGGCTCTGTCTCTGATCTTTGCATTATTCATAAAATTTGTACTTCACGTATCGGCGCAATATATTGCATCTCCAGCTTTTTGTTTTCACGACAAAAGCTCTGCTTTATCAAATACTTTAGGCCTTTTTCTTGGCGACATATTTCCGACAATAACAATGACATGTATCTATTATCGTTTGATTAAAATCAGTCAACAGCACCAGATGCGAGACAACAACCAAGATCAGAATAATGCAAACAACATCGGACACAACAAAGCCCTGAAAACATTCTTGGTAGTCACGTTAACTTTCGCCGGTTGTTTTACACCCGTGTTGCTTATGAGAACAGTGGAAGGTTTCACAGGGGTATGGAGTCCGGACTGGCTTCAGTTTGTGGGATACTGGCTGGCGGGGTCAAACAGTGCCTTCAATATGTTCATCTACTGTCTTTTCAACAAGTCTTATCGCCAAACCGCCAAGAAGATCATTGCAGAGAAGTTTCTCTGTTGTAGGAGATCCGTCGCTCCTGAGAATATTGAACTGTGAAGCCTATGATCGTCATATTATCATAAGAATTGAATTCAGGATCAAACTCATAAAATCATAAATACACTGAGGTGTTTTATCATTTGAAATGAATCTCGTATTTTCGGGGTAAGTAATTATGTTTTAGACTGAAAATTGTTTTGAAAATGTATTGGTCTGGAACTAAATTAGACATGTGATTTGTCTGTAATGTATTCTTGCTGCACATGTATGAATGGTGTGATTTTTAAGAAAGATTATTAATGCTACAAAGCTTTATCACTAGCACTGATGCACGTCTTACTAGCTTATGATGACAGTATAATTTGTCCCACATATACAATTATCTATTAATTATACATGAATCAAGTGGAAACGTCTGCATTTCAGGTACACAATTGCCTTAAGGTGTCCAACAAATCACAAAAACAAAAATTTGGGTTAATCGATTGGAATGTTTACACAACTACAACTGATTGAGATCTCGGGACTTGATTTTTTTATCTCAATAAATTAGTAATCAATCTAACACTGTATTACGAATTCTAAGAACACCGGAGGAATGGCATATTTATCGAAAAAGAACAGGCTTTCGGTGAATATTTTCAGAGAAAAGTCAAGTGGCAAGCCATTTCAGACGTAAATATTGGGGCAAATTTGTGTATGAAAAATATAACTGCACTTTTTTAAATCAATCAACTTCTGATATGAATCTTGTAACTTATATTGCCCACATTTTTCTGTCCGTTAGAAATTAAAATTCAACTGCACCAAATGAAATACTTTGAAGCAAGAGTCAGTTTAATTAAAACTTTCATTGCCATCATTTTTACTGTATAAGCAGGTCACGTCGCGAGCTTGCATATCAAACAGGACTGCATTACGGACTCAGTTTTTCCCCCACGATTTTTTTGAACAACCACAGACGAGATTAACGCCTGATGTGTTTAAATGTCGAAAATGCTTGAACGCACAATGATGCGCAAAGTCGGAACATGTAGTGTGGTAACTAGACGCACACATTGTTCACATACGCAGTGGGCGGAGCCAAATGGATCGGTCCGTTATTTGTATTCGGCAGCTCAATTGAATTGAACCAAAACAGCACCCTCTACAGTTCTCGCACTCACCTGTCCAGCTCCCAGATCTTGCTGGCGTCGCGGTTGATGTAGGCCTTGCAGGTGGTGATCATCTGATTGGTCACTTTGACAAAGAGGGAGGTCATTCTCTCGGAGGTGTTGTAGTAGCGAGAGATGCTGTGGATCATGCGGATGGCGTTCATCAAGCTCGGGATGTGCTCCACCATCACGCACTGAGGAGAGAAAACCAGAATTGAAACTCAATCCAGAATGACAATAAATCTTTTTAAAACATGCAGAATTTGTCAAACATTTTATAATTGTTCATAAGAGTGGTAATACTTCTGCCAAGTGTCGTAACAACTGATTTTGAAAAAAGTAGAAGCCAAGAGGAACTTCCCAAGTACACTTCTTCAGAAAATGTTTCTTTACAGGATTTACAGAAACATATTAAGAAATTCTGCTATAAATAAACACAAGGTAATTTTGAAACCAAAAAAATATGAAACTCTTCAACACTTCACTTGCATTAAAAAAAACTCTCTCCATTTGGTTTGGCTACTTACTGGATCACACTTGACCAGTGGTCCGAAGAATTTGTCCAGGGTGTATAGGTACTTCACATTGTCCTTGGCTTCATTAGCTGCATCTGTGATACGAATGTCCTGAAAATAAACAAAACGAAGCTTATCTATAGGTACAAAAATGAGAATCCAAAAATAAGCAGCTGGTCGAAACTTGCCTGAAGTCTAAACATGAAAGCATCAGCTTTTCCTGGTTTGAACTAGATCAAAACTGGACCCACTTTCCTTGAGCTGCTAAAGCAGATTTATATGCTTTGCCAAAATCTTCCAGGAGCCAGTCGCAAGCAAGATACATTGTATAATACTTTGGCTGGTAACCTGTATTTGCTAAGCAAGTATTTTTTGTGCTTAGCGAATTTCTGTTCTTGGCAATTAATGAAATTACCTCATGGTTCCTAAATCAGGGCAAACTCACCAATTCCTTCCACTGCTTGAGCACTTTAGACTTGGCGGCGTGCAGCACCCCTACCACGGCCTTACACCGTGGGCTCTTGATCTGCTCCAGGAGACTGTTGAACTTGGCCATGCGTTTCTTCCAGTGGTCCAGCTCGGCCGCCGGGCCGATGTCGTCGGCTTCTTTACGCATCTGCTCACTCTTGGCAAGGACCTGCTCGATCTGCTTAGCCCACTGCAGGATCAGCTCCTCCAGTTTCTCCACGGTGTCGGGAACAGCAGCTGGGGGAACAAATGAATCAAGATTTAAAAGTCAAAATTCAGATTAATCCTTACAACCTAGGCTTGTTTGCTCGGTGATGAAGTCAAGAAACTTGTGATGGAATCGCAAGTCCAGTCACAAGTAAATCACAAGTTAATTCAAGTTAATTTGGGATGAGCAATAACAAACAATGCCCAATTCATTTAATTAACTTGTGGGGTTGACTTGGGACTGGAAGACTTGTGATTGAATCGTGATGATTTGTGATGATTTGAGATGAGTTGTGATGATCTGTGATGAATTGTGATGATCTCTGATGATTTGTAATCATCTGTGATCCATCACTAAGTACCTCAACTACAACACCAACTTTGCTAAAATCTTTCTTAGATCTTTCCAAAATTCACAAATACACTAATATTCTTTGAGACCTAGCAGAGGAGTTTGCATAATCGGTGACCTAATTACAGCCGTCTTGGGATGGGGGGAGGGAGGATTACTAACCAGCCTGCTGGAAGTCGCTGGCCGTCTTGAGTGAATCCAACATAGACTCCAGGTGTTCGTGTTCACACAGCTGCACCTTGCCCTCCATGTTGCCCTTGGCTATGGACAGACTGTTGATGAAACGGTCCAGCTGGTCAAGGAAGTCCGATATCTGACCGTTGTCTTTGATTTCGCCCCAACTCTGAATAAAAAAGGAGACAAGATTCTTATTTTAGTCCAATTTAAACCACATATATGTGATGCGATCAAGACAGCGCATATGTGATGCGATTTTTACAGATTTGAAAAGAGCACAATCTCAGCATTACTGATGTGAAAACCGCATGCTGATAGCATCTTTAGTTCAAAAATTATGAAGTCGGAACACCAAGAGACGTGATGAAGTGATGTAATGAAGTGACTTTATTTTGGTCTGAATCTCCAAATGAAAGTTCCCGACAAACAACTCATTTAACTTGATCGCATCACATAACCCTCTGCACTTGTTATTTCTTAACTTAAATTTTACAGTTTGAATGTTTATTATTTGTTTAAGCGCCTTGAGGTGGATTTTTCTGCGATTGTCTGCGCTTTATAAATTTCTTTATTATTATTATTATTATTATTTCAAAGTTAGCCCCTCCCTGCCACTGCACATTAAGCGTTTGAAGATGGCAATTGTACTTACAAAAAAGACAAGTCATTAATTCTATGTTGCCAGCTATGTCATAATGGACTTTCTCCAATTAGAAATTAAGGTTTCACTGATATGTCGGCTCACTGTGTCCAGAAAGAAGAGAGATAACGGTGCTCAACCACTTACGTCTTGGGTCTTGAGCGCAGGCACCATGACTTTCTTCAGCAGCGTCTGCAAGCCATCCAGGATCTTGCCTCCTGAGGCGTCCATCATGCCGAAGTTGACCTCCTGGGAGACATTCTGGACGGTCAGTGGCTTGGAGGTGGTGCGGATGAAGAAGTAGCACATTCCGTTCAGACCCTCCGAGGTCCCCGTCGTCAGGAAGAGGCGCTTCTGGAGGGGCTGGTGGGTGGCTATGCTGGAAGTATCTGATTAAAGTGGGGAATAATTTGGATTATTAAGGGTGGGTGATACTGAGGTCAGGCTTGGACAAAATTGTTTTAAATTCTTTTCAGCAGTGTTATATACCGTTAGAAAGCATTTCACCTGCTCAATCCAATGAATTTATGATCTCCATTTTTTAAAAATTTTTGTGACTATACTTTCATTTTTCTTTGATCTTGGCAAAATTATTGGATTTTGAACAGCCCATTTTGAGTTCCACTCAGCCTGAATCTACCTGTCCTGGAAAAGAGCGTTTCTCTCGATGCGGTTTCCTGGTAGTAGAACATCAGCTTGCGTGCACCGTTGTTGGCAAAGAAATCCTCGATCAGATCAAACTGATGAAATGAAAATGAAGAAACAATTAAGAACCACAAGAGAGAACTTCATTTGAGTACATTCATTACAACTCATTGATAGGATTCACTGCCTTCAGCTCATTTGAAACTACACAGAATTGCCGAAGTAATAACAAGAAATGCATTCAAGTGCATAAAATCCTCAACTGATATCTGAACAATGTTTCGGGAACACGTCTCATTACATCAGTGACCTTTTAAAACAAATTTGAACCAATAATCTACCCTCTGATGCATAAATCAATTTTGATTTCAACTTTTTCTATCTGATAAGTTCGTAAGAATTAGACGTCAGGATTTTTTCACCAACCTACCTTGTCATCGCTGAGGAGATACTCCTCCACCTGGGTCACCTCGATGCCAATAGCCTCAGCAAGCTGCAAGGACAATCAAGTATGAGAAATTTAAGAAATAACCAGGAATCAGTGTTTCCCCTGCCCATTCAAACGTGAGGCGGCCCACCTCGCTACTTTCAGTGACCACCTCGCTCAATTTTTGCCAATATCACCACCTCGCTGTGAAGATTGGCAAAAAAGGAAATATCAATTGAAAAAAGATCATTTTGTGTAATATATGAGCGTTTTCCTTTACCTCCATGTATCAAGAACTCACAGATTCGATGTGTTTTTGGAATCATCGCGCATTTCTGTGAGTGCTGCATTCTTTTCAGTTTGCAGACTGGATAAGTTTCATTTCAATTATCTTGTTACCACCTCGCTCAGTTCATTAGCCAGGGGAAACACTGGCAGGAATAATCATTAGCTTTCATTGGTAATAAAAAGAACTTGAAAAAACTTCAGAATGCCAACTTCATTTCACTGATAATAAAAAAATAGCTTGCAGTGATCTTCACGTCAACAAAAAAGTAACAAATGATGTATTTTCTGTCACCATTACTTACCTTGACAAAAAGAAACTGGTGTCTGGCATCCATCTAAAAGTAAAAGACAAGAAATATGAATTTATAAATACACTATAAAAAGAGGCACAAATGTTGCGATTCAGAACACACAAAAACACATGAAACAGAATAAACAAACATGACAAGTGCAGTTATGTCAACGGTAATTTGAAATACAGATGGTAGGATGCATGCACAAAAGCTGAAGAAAAAGAATTTTCAAACTTTTCCCATAAAATTTCATGTGACGGTATGACTCCACGTTTCAGTTAGGATCAAAATCTTTCACTGTTGGTATAAGTACAACCGAATCACTCAGGTAGCATAAACACAAACATAATCATGAACACTTTAGGTTAATGTTTGAACAAATTGATGATTACATAATTTTTTCTTCTTAATTGGAAAGTTTCCTTGCAGTCAGACTTACTGCTGTTCTTCTCTCGTCCCGGTTTGCCTTGGCCTGCTTAGCCATCTCCTTCATGGCCTCGGTAGACATGACCACGTTCTTCTTGGCTACGGACTGTGGGAGAGAAACACACCATAAACTGGGTCAACTTTGACGGCACAGTCAAGATTAACTAGCTTATGCACCCACAGCGTCCGTATTAGTATTTGATCTGAGCTCTTGATTTTCAATTTACTCACTTTGCTGGTGAAATTTAAACACTTCAAAGTTTCCTTTTGATATCTTGAGAGCCTTTATATAAAAGCCTAAATTCTTAATGTTCCTTTAAGTTTTTTAGGAAAGAGTTTAAGACTGGACACTATTTTTGTTTTGTCTGACTGTGCCAGCCACAGGTGTAGCGTTACGCTGAAACAATTAAGGAACACGGTTTTGGGTAGAGGTTACAAAACTTGATACTCCGGCTGAAATGACAGAATGCCTGTCCAGCTTTTGTTGATTAACAAAGCATTATAAAAGTCAAGTTGGAAGAATGCTCGGCAGGGCAGCACACGTAGGTAGTCGCTTTGATTTGCAAGAAAAGGCAATTTCTATTAAATTGCAGCCCAGTTCACTCTTATTTGTTGCTGAAAATGCTAGACCCTCCACCATTTGTGCACAAGCTCTTTACCATGTCTACAATCACTGCAATCCAACTGAAGCACTAATGTTGCTGTACTACGTTGCTACTAATACTAAACATTGGCACATGTCTACAGCACTACTGCATTTTGTTCATAATTCACACTACAACATGATGAACATTCTACACTATGCAAAAAAAAATCTGATTAACTGTTACTTTGTCTTAGGAGTTCAGTGTACAAATTTACATTGTCTAATTTACAAAGTTGGCAGATAGTTTTCTTTGTGTGAAAACAAGACGCATAGTTTCAATATTTTAGGATAAAATGCTACTGACTTAAACTGATTTCAATTTTCTTTTATTTCAATGTTGAAATATGCATATTTGAAACCGTCTGATTTTCACAAAGTTCTACAATATCACTGATAGAAGACAGTCTGCGAATACGCGTTTCGTTGACAAATATTTTGTGTATAAAACCTTGTAGGAGTTTGCAGTGGATTATTTGAGTTTGCAGTGGATTATTTAAGGTATTTTATTAGCTGTAAAAGAAAACATGGGTTAATAAGACAATGGAGTGAGCATTTCAGCTTAGAGAATGCATGATATGTAAAGATATGAATAAGCATGCACTTGCAGTTTTGAGATAATGTACATTCTGGAGCCGATTTGACAGTGCTTTTTGAAAGAAAGACGTAAGAAAGAAAAATCTTTGCCTTAAATTCAACAAGAAAACAATGCTGTGTTGTGTTGTCCTTTCTTCACTATTTTTGTTTTCTATTCTACCGAACTTTCAGTAAACAACTACAAAATGTGAAATGATAGATGGGTCGTTTGCAATGTGTTATTTTTGCCTGCATGCATTTTGGAATGCGCATGATCACATTGCATGATATGACCAGACAAAATGAACGTACAACTCGGCGGGTTCGAATTGGATCACTCGGGGCATCCAGCGATGCTCGACCGATGGTCACCTGAAAAGAATGCAACATTCATGGGGCAACATACACTGGCATTTCAAGCACATGGTGCTTACAAGCAATGCCACTGACGATGCATGCATTTTGTTTGCTTATATTCTAGTTCCACTACAATATATTGTCATGCATTTTTACACTTAATTTGGATTCGTGATTTTTTTACACTATATTTTAATAATATATTTAGCTAAGAATATTTTTCCAGAAAAAAAATAATAAAAAACAAAATATTGGCTGATTCACAATTATTTGAAAATCTGTTTAATTTTCAAACTACTCTCTCCAAATTCTATAGTAAATTTCAATGTCAGAAAACGTTTACTCAAATTGAGCCAAATTTTTTTTAAGCTCTACATGTAGGCACTGCATACAGTAACTTAACTTTTGAAACACGGCTTAAAAAACTTTCCACAACACAATTGAAAAACTCAGCAATTTTGTTAGCTATTACATTCTCTGACGGACATTTTCATGCATGTTGAAACACTTTTTTGTCAAATTTGCTCATGCTACAATGTTCGTTCAAGTACAAATTTACAATGTAGGGACGCCAGTCATTGGTCAATATTAATTACTAAACTAATGTTCTTTTAATATTGCACATTTCTGTTAGTAGTGCACACAATTGATTGACGTTCAATGTCAATCCGGCACTTACCGAAGGCCCCTTCTGTGAGAGCTGGTGCAAAAAACAAGATTGGGGTTTGTGTGGTTAAAGGTAGGGTATAAAAACAGACATCGGATTTTCAGGGGATTTGTAAAAGTCTCGAAATTTAAACCAGATTTGAACCAGATTAATCAAAACCTTGTCAAAAACAAAGAAGAAGATTCATAAAAAAGTTGGTACATGTAGATAAAATAAAATGGAGACATACATCAATGTTTAAGACTTAGACATCAGTGGAATTACAAAAATGGTAAGTGAAACAAACGAAAATGTGCATTTTTCCCCCCGATGGTTTCCAAAAATTGACTTCTTTGCATGATGGACCGATGAAGCACAAAGTCAAGTTTGTGATGACTTAGTCCAAAAATAAACATCACAAAATATACATTTCTTCCATGTTATCTGATTTGTGGAGTTTTCAATTTTCTCTTCTTTATTCGAAAGTATTCAATTGTTCGAAAAGTCCTATTGATGTTTCTGTCATATGAAAAATGTAGCAGAATCATATGAGGCCAGGATTTGGTGAAAAAAATCATAATGACAGGAAATTAGAAGGTAAACAAATTGCATGGTGTGTGACGAAAATTCACGATCCATTTTGTGCATATCGAACAATTGAACAATCAATACAATGTCACTGTTTGTCTTACTGGAGGCGGTGGACCACGTCTGCGTTTCTCAGTGCCCCCCTCAGCAGCTTTCTTCTTCGGCTCATCTTTCTTGTCTTCCGCTAAAAATAAGAATAAAATTCAATACAGTCAGCAATTTTTTTAGACAGTAAATAGAAAGGCCTCCTACAAAATTGTTACAAAAAAGGCATCAGGCCTACAATAAAAAAAAATACAAATGTCGCCAATAACAAATAGGCCTAAAACATTTGCAAATTTCATTTGGGAATTCAAAAAGTTTCATTGCAAATAACTTTAACATAAATATGATTTGCTATTTTTCATTGCTATTTTGGTTATTGAAAGCTGGTGAACGACCATGACGACCAAAAAATGTATTTGCGTTAACAATATGAATGCTGGAATTTACATAGCTGGAGTTACCCAGCCCTGAGTTTTATCATTGGGTTGTCATCTAGGGCTGGAGCGCATTTTTCTCAAAACTTGTAGTATTTGCAAAAAAAATTTGGAAAATGTTCAATTTTGTCCCCGTTACACACTAATTGCAACTGCAACTCACCCCAAACTTGCCCGGAATAACCATTACACAGGTCCTTGAAGTAAAAAACGATCCACGATGAAGATTCAGCCTACAATTGCAGTGAAAACAGGAGGAATAACCGCTAACTTGACAACCTTGCTGGATTGGCCAGGACCGCTATTGGTTTGTGCACAAAAAAAATTGTGTACAATGAATGGCGGTCGATTAACAGGCACAGAGAGCGATCGCTGTCAACTACTCGTTTTTGCCGGCTGCGCTGGCTGTTGGCGCGTGACATCACGCGGAAGCGTAACACCCGATGACTGTTTCATGCACTATTGGTTGCGGTTCCAGTACCAAAGCTGTGATGCGAGTGGTAAACCTTATACTAGTGCATGAAACAGTCATCGGGTGTTACGCTTCCGCGTGATGTCACGCGCCAACAGCCAGCGCAGCCGGCAAAAACGAGTAGTTGACAGCGATCGCTCTCTGTGCCTGTTAAAGGGAATATACATCATTTGCTTTTGCTGTAATTTTCAGAAATGGATGGAATTGGAGGGCTGGAAATATAAAGCAAATATAGTTACACTGACTTTTGGAGGTTTTGGGTTCGAAAATGCTATAAAAACCAAGAAAAACGATCATTTTCCTGTAGTCTGGTTCCCTGACTCCATATAAGAAGAAACAGAGCAGTTTACATACATTTGGGAATTGTAAGGTCAGGGAACCAGTCTAGCTGGCTCGTACCCGTTCATAGGTTTGTAATCGATTGCAAACAAGTGCAATGGTCAATTGGGGCCAGTATTTGAAAAAAAAGCCAGTTGTTTCCAACGCTGATCGGCCGATCAGCGTTGGAAATTGATACAAAAATACAACTTTTCTTGAAAATGACAGTATACCAGGTGACATAATTTTACAGGATGCTTTAGACTGTCATTTACCAACATCCTATTAAGGTATTTCGCAAAAACTTGGTAGTTTTATTTTTCGATGTTTGCAAATGTTGTATATTCCCTTTAATCGACCGCCATTCATTGTACACAATTTTTTTTGTGCACAAACCAATAGCGGTCCTGGCCAATCCAGCAAGGTTGTCAAGTTAGCGGTTATTCCTCCTGTTTTCACTGCAATTGTAGGCTGAATCTTCATCGTGGATCGTTTTTTACTTCAAGGACCTGTGTAATGGTTATTCCAGGCAAGTTTGGGGTGAGTTGCAGTTGCAATTAGTGTGTAACGGGGACAAAATTGAACATTTTCCAAATTTTTTTTGCAAATACTACAAGTTTTGAGAAAAATGCGCTCCAGCCCTAGATGACAACCCAATGATAAAACTCAGGGCTGGGTAACTCCAGCTAGAATTTACACTAAATTACAGAACAGTTTGCACACAGTTGTGTAGCAGCACCCACCCCCTTCGTTTTCAAAATCCCTTATTCAATTGAATTAGCCTAATTGGCATTTCTTCCCCTCCCCCACAAAAGAAGTTCTTTCAATTCAAGGTCAAAACTCCACCCCTCCCCCTCCAGTCCCCTCCCCCCCCCCCCCCCCCCCCCGAACTGACACCCCACAGGGACTGACTTAATACATGAAACATTGATAAAAACAGCGGAGTTTTTAGTGTATTTATAGAGTATGTTTTCGGTATCAACACCCTCCCCTTAGCTTTTCTTCTTACGTTTTGCTGTGGTTATCAGTGGCGGAGCGACCTCCTGATCTGGCTTCGGTGAGTCGGGTTTGCTGGATTCCTTCTCGCCCGGAGCTCCGTCAGAACCCGGATTTTCAGCTTTTTCTACCTCAGCACTCTCCATTTCTCACAGACTAGGATCGTCCAGGGATGATCCCGGCCACAAAAATCCTAAAATCGGATATTGTCAGGATCTGCAGCGATGAATTTGATACTTGAATTTACACAAACTATTCTGCTGCCGAGCAAAGTTTACATTTTCCCGTACAGTTTCACTGTTGTTTATCAACCAATTAAGTAATTGAGATTACTCCGCGAGAAATAGGTCGTTCACAACAAACTAAAATTCTACTTTATTTCTGAATGTTTTGTTTAAAATGTTTTCATTCCTCAAATAAAAGGCTAAACAAAGGTATAAAAATGCAAATTTAGAAGGAAAACGCTGGACAAATGCGTAAGATATGGATGTTATTTTCGGCGGATGAACACAACATGGCGGAATGAATTTCCCGCAAGGTTGTCTGTCGCCATAGCAGCAGCAGCAGCACTCTTCGGTACAATCTGTCGGTACGCGATTGAAGTTGGACAGGTGTACAAAGCCCCACACTGAGCGCACGTAATCAAAATATTGGCGAATGAGAAAGCAAAAGTTTGTTGACACTTGGTGTAATAATTTTACTCCCCTTTTCCAGGTGAAAATATTTAAATAATTATCATTAAGAAGAATTCGGTCTTTCGATGTCTGTGTTTTTTTTCCAGATAAGTATTTGGTTGTCACTTCCCGACTTCCATCCAGCTGATAAAGTATCGTTTAGTCTTTGGCTTAATTATCTGCTATTTTCTGCTGACCGCAAGTCGAGCAGATAAGTGGGATATTTTTGGTGATAATAAATAGCGCCCTCATGGTTCAGAAAGAGTTGGAATACATGTACTTGGAATTAAAACAGGGTTTTTTTTAGGGGGAGTTAAACAATGTTGACAATTAAATAAAAATATATCAATTAACTCAATTTACCATTCCTGGGTATTTTTTTATTCAAAATTGTTTAGAATTCACATTATACCAGATAACAGTCATTGGAACATTATTCATTTGCCACGAGGCAATCAAATGGCAAATAAACAATAGTTTGCAGTCAATAACATTTCAAATTAAAAAATACAACTACTTTTGGATCTTCCAAAAAAATGGGATACTACAGCAATCCCTTTAAAAATAAATAAAATTACCACTAGCATGACTAGTTTTATATTTTGCAATTAATGTCAATGTCGTCTAAAATGTGGAAAATTCCTGGGAAAGAATGTTACAACCTGACACCGTTTTTTTCTTCATATATCATCTCAGTAAAGGTCAGTCATTGCAAAAATATTGCAAAGACATGAATCTGGGACCAAGAAACATTTCCAAATGTGTAAGGAAATACTTTCCTGCGAAAGGACTCCGCGGGTTTCAGCAGGTTTTTATACATGTATGAGGTGGGTTTTTTTAAACTGTAGGCAGTTTTGTAGTCAAGATACCTTGTGATGGTCAATTCAAGGTCACAACTAACAGGGGAAGAACAATAAAAAGGACTATTTTTGTCTCATTTCATTTGGGAGGAAAAAAAAGTTACGACGACTTGAGACTGGATTGACAAATGCGGACTTGCAACACATCGAGAGTAACTCAACTCAATCACTAACTTGAAGGTAGCCTACACAAAGAGACTTCATATGAAAACTGAATATGAAAAATATACCATCACACATTCTTTTAAAAAAAACAAGTTTTACAACCTCTATTCAATACATGTAAAAATGTTGATTATATATTTTATGCAGCTTTTGATTTGCTAAGATATATGATTGAGTGAGATTCTGCCACAAGAACAGTTGTAGCACCCAAACTTTAAACAGTGGTCTTGAATGAGATTGAGACCAGTGTTTTATTGAATTTTTGGGATGAATAATTACATGTCCTTTACAGAACAGCACAACTTCAACCTCAACTATTCCTTACAAAGTACACCACAAATCACACTAAACTCAATGCATCCATTCATGTAAAATTGTCCTCCTTAGTGGTCTGTGCCCATTCTACCAGGGGTGCCACTATACCGGGAAGACTGCCTCTAATCCGGGGGGAGCCACACCTATCATCACATCTTGTTATGCTCTCTCTGTAATCGCTGGTTGTACGTCCTTGAGACTGTGTTCCAGGCATCCATATATCTGTCCATGCAAAACGCTAAGCATTTCTGAATGATAAATCCAAAACAAAATAAACAGCGAAATAAAATAACCTCTATATTGCACTTGCAGCAAGTTACAAAAAAAATTAAACAATTTTGGTCAGTAAATGAGAACTTTTTGGGTCATCTGCATATTCAAGAATAGATATCAATAGTAAAAGTTTAAAAAAATTTAAAAATTTATCATTTCACAAATAGGGGCCTAGGCATGCTAGGCCTATCAACATGATCAACGGAAAATTAAATAGAGGTGACTGAGTATTCAAATATCAATATATAATTATGGCAACAACATTTTCAAATATTTACCTGTTCAGAGGAATCTAATGTTGTGCCAGGCTTGTTTACACATTTCTTGAAACACTTGTCTGTCATTCTCTGCAAGAGCAAATAAAAAAGAAACTGGGGTTTTTCATTTTTCAAACAATTTTACAAGTCAATCTGGATGTTTGAAATTGAAAATTCGTTGAACACGTTTTTAAATGTTGATAATTCATATTCCCATTAATTATCAATGAAGCAAGGCCAAGGATAATCGTATCTCTTAGAAAATATAAGTTGTGCCTTTTTATGTGTCGGAAATAAACAGCTTATCATACATTTGCCGCACACATAAAAATATGATGTAATTTTCTATGGACGAACCTGAAGAAGTTCCTGTGCGTTGGCCAGTGCGATCTGTGTCTTCACTTGATCCATGATCTGTCCTCTTTGTGCACTATCTAATTTGCCTCCAGACGGAGGTGATGAAAACGAATCCATGCCTGTATTTTGTTTAATCTTAAATAGTAATTCTATCCGGTTTGTTGAGAAGAAAATTAGCTTTTACCGGCAAACACGACACACGTGAGATTGAATTGCAGAAGTGCGCCCTCTACTGTGCCGATCGGGTAATATTTCCATGTTTGGGGCGGGGCTGGACTTACGAAGGAGGGGTTGATTTTTTTTTACTAAATTCACATTAATTGGGCGCTTTAGTAACTTTCGAAATGTGTTTACATGTACATACCTTATTTTGTTGGGAGTAGAATTAAATGTAGCCTAAATATTACAAAATCGAGTCCCCACCCCTGCATAAAAAGCAAGGGGTGGGTGGGGCATGGGAAGGGGGGGGGGGGGTAGCTCCTTTCTATTGTTCCTGGGATCTGGTATCTTCAATTGTTTCATACTAATTATATTTAACTTGAATTTGGGAAATGTCCTGCATCAAATCTTGCAGGTGATAACTAGAAGTTCACTGAATTACAAAAACCTCATACAACAGTAAATACATGATTTCTTTGCCAGTTCTGTAAAGTCTCGTTTCTCATTCAAATTCTTTTATTTGAATATTATACATCACTATAATTATATCACCTCCAAATTTGTTTTTCTTATTAAAATATTTTTTCAAATTATTTATCAGAATAATAATAATAATAACTATCTCATTGGAAAGCAAAATATTTGGTGAAATCATAACCTGTACAACGAGGAATTATTGGTCCTAAACCTATTGGACTAAGATTAGCAGCATTTTCCTGAAAATGTTTACGACGATCTAGAGAGGAATTTCAAAATGGCACTGAAGCCAAAGGCCTCTGTGCTGTCGTTTGTTGAAAGGATTAAACAAGAAAAGGTCCTCAAATCATACAATGGCTTAGCACTGGGAGACTGGGTTTCAATGCTTGTTTGAAATTTGTCTTTATATTTCACTGGAAAACACAATTTCAATCAATGTGGAACTCTTGAAAGACGTAACTTCAGAAATTAAAACTCTTGGATATCTGTGAGGTGAATCTCTTTGCAAGAGAAAGATAGTGGTATACTTTAAAATTACGCTGAAAAATAATGATAAACGGAACCTCGTTTGGAAAGAATGTTGCGGTATCCTGATGCCACTTTTTTATCATATATTATCTCAATGAAGATCAGTCATTGCAAAAATGTTGAAAAGACATGAATCTGGGACTGAGAAACATTTCCAATTTTGTTTTAGAAACTACTTTGAAAGTGCACTGATGTCTGCATAGACTTTGTACACAACCAAAGAAGTGGCGTCTGGATACTAATAAAGATTTGGTTGGTATTTGCATTGTTACATAAGCTTGCTAAGCAGTTTGGTCTCTCGCTAAGCCACTTTGTAATTGGCAACAATTAAAGAGTGGGTCTTTCAGCGTTTGGAATGATTAATTTTGTGCATGAGAGCATTTTAGTAAACATACAACTCATTAATAATGCCACTCTATAGTGTTCCACTCAAAGTTAAAAATATTTCAAACACTTTTGCGTAAAAAAAACCCCAAATTAATGCATTTTCTGTGATATTTTAAACAGCTTCTTTTGCAATGCCACTTTTACAACCAAAAAAATTGGTTACATTTTTTACTTTTTTTTTAATTTCTGAATAAAAAGAAAATCTAGGAACAACTGTTCTGTGGATGCATTGTTAAAAAATGTCTGCATCCAAAAGAGTATTATAAATCTATAATTTAATGCTCTTGGAATATATACAATGTATCACTTACAAACTCCAACAACAAAAAATGTAATTTTACTATTCATGCAAATCCCCTATCTCTTCAGCTGAAACACATGCTTACTAAATTTTTGTATTTTCCAACAAAATTCCTATTTTTAACAAAGCTGAAACCATTCTATTCACAGATTAACAACAAACAGCTACACCAGTGTTGCAACAGTTAAATACAGATTTTTCATCTTTGCACATATGATTACAAAATTTCAAATAAAAAAAGACAAGAAATCAACATTAATTCATTCCGTTTTTCTGATTAATCATTTCCAAGGTTTGAAATAAACACGATCAAAAAAGACTAACTTTACAAAAATCCTCAGACTACACATATTAAATAAAAATATATACACCATTTCTGCCAAATCTGTCGACCTTTTTCTCTGCCAAAAAAAAATACATTTTTAGCAGCTTTTGGCAAATTGAAAAACTCAAAGACGGACATGATACATTTAAACTCAGAATTTTTAAGTTTATCTGACAATTTCCATTCTCTATAAAGGAAAAAAATCTGTTTTCGTGCAACCGTCTTAAATCTAATAGGTTTTACCTTCAATTTTTCAATTCAATTATGTACACATTCCTGTCATAAGGCACATTGTTTAAGTATTTTTCCTGCAGTATGTAGTAAAATTTATGGAATAATAATGTTTTGGGAATGGACATCAAGAAATTAGTGAAATGAGAATGTTTGGATTTGGACAAGTTTCATTATTTGTCTGCAGGCAATGTTCCATAGCAAGAGGACAACAGCAGATAAATAAATGTTGGAATAAATGTTGGAATAAACTGGAATACTGGAATGATTCTGAATCCCCCCCCTTTTTTTCTACAAAATGAGATCACATCATTTTAGAAAATATGAAAAGTTTGATGATGATGTACATGTGACCATTGTAGATCCTCAAAATCTAAAAATTTGATTCAAAATCTAAATTGTTTCCACGGGAGGGTGGGGCAGGTTAAAATTCACGATTATATAAATTGGGGGTGAACTGTCTCATTCCTGCACTTTTTCACACAATAATGAAATGCAATAGGCATCTCCCCCCCCCCCTCCCCCCCATTTAACCATCTGACTCCGCCCACCTCTTCCCCTTGGTCCGCTATCAATCTCTTTACTTTAATAATACCAGTGTTGTAATAGTCGTAATCATACTCGTACATTTTTGGTACATATGTTCTCCACTGAGTAAGAAATTTTTTTTTTAACTTTAAGAGTTACAAGCAGGAAACGAACCCAATTAATGTTCTACTACTTGGGAGACTTCTGCTCTGGTTTAATCCTCCTATGCAAACATACATTCTGTGCCAAGTTGTCCTTGCAGTCAAAATCAATCAGGGGACCGTTTTCAGCAGTTTACAGCTCCCAGCCTACATAAAGCAGGATGGACTGGCTGGGACTGTTTATGTAACTTGACACAGCTATGCTTTGACTGAAGATGAATGATAAGCCAGCTGTGTCTACCACTTGCCCGCTTTTGTCTGTTGACTGAATTTGACTAGTCAGAGTGCTTGCTTGAAATATGTTCTAACTGTTGGTTACTAGCCTGTGTAAAAGGCACGGCAGAGGAAGAGGATTGATTTTTTGACTGTCTGTGACTGTTCAAACAGCAGGAGGGTTAATGCCTAGTTTGGCAGCAAAAAGCCCTTGAGAACACGTGTACCCATTGACATTTGCTCCTGCTCATGGAAAGTACTCGTACTCGAATACATTGTTTGGTACTCGTACTCATGGGAAAAAATTGCCTCGTACTTGTTCTCAAGACAAAGTACTGGCACTCATACTCGTACTCACGGCAAAGTACTCGTAAATGTACTCATGGGAAAATATTGCTTGTACTTTTACTCGTGACAAAGTACTCGTACTCATACTTGTACTCACGGCAAAGTACTCATCCTCATGGAGGACTCGACTACAAGAAAGCTTTATAACTAGATATAATGGGGATTTGTATGTGTTCAGGATTTTCAACATCCACTATTTCTCCAGGACCAGTTTCTTGAGACGATCCAACTCCACCTGCATGGCCATCCTGTGCTTCTTCTCCTCATCCAGCTCTGTCATCAGGTTCACGACCTCCTTCTTGAACTCTGACCTTATACTGGACAGCTGCTCCTGGAGGGATTTCACTTCTTTCTTGAGTTCCTCCACCTGGGGGAAAAAGAAATTTAACAGAATTTTGAAAATATTCATGCTCCCTTGTTTGCTACCTCTTAAACTCGCATTGTAGTTTTGTCTGTCGTATTAACAGTTTAAATGAGGCCCCTCGTTACCTGTGCATTGGTAGCGTTGATAGCCGCGTCAGAAGCTAGACTCGTAGGCCTGCTTCCTGCCGGGCTCTGTGCGGGGCTGGGCTCTGCCGGCGCCTTGGCTGCCGGTGGCTGGGCCTGGGTAGGTGTGGCTGCTGATGGGGCTGGTGCTGGCACCACCACCGCCGTGGGGCCAATCGGGGAAGACTTGGGCCGGGGTGGAGGTACTGCGCTGCCATTTTCGACGGGCTGCTGTAGGGTTAGCGGGAAAAAAAGTGAGGGGAAATTATCATGAGGGTCTTGATATCTCTGTCTCAGTTGAAATTGAAGTTATAACTTTGTCGTTTATACAGAAAAGATTTGGTGCAAAAATCCTTGGAATTAACAACTCTTTTGCAAATGAAAATTATGCCTGGTAATCACTGCTCAATTACGATTTATTTTTAGTCCGAGTTTCATACTATGGAAATTACTTTCGTGAATTCACAGGAAAGGACAAAACCACATCAGCTTGAATATCCCGTCGAATCTTATGACCAGATTAAGCATTTAATTCTCAAAGCATAAATGAAATCTTCTTTTTTAATTTTTCACCGTTGAATAATTTTATCTCCTGCTACATCAAAAAGTCACTTTCAGCGCACAAGATAATAAACGGAAATTATTTTCTTAATAAATGAAAGCAAAGAACATAATCAAACAGAAATCTTTAAAAACAAAAACAAAACATAACCAACCAAATCACTCGGCCTGAAAACCGTAAAACTTAAAAATCAAACTCAAAATACAACATATTGCACCCTCCCCAATTAATAACCAGATATTTTGCGAGAAATTAGTGCAGTAAGCATGCTTTTTATTCCTATATTACCAAGTCTACTTACCTTTCATGTAGTCATTTTCCTTTAGAAAAGTTCGCTACAAACTACTTAAGCCAAGCAAATCCAGGGACACCACAAGGAATTTGCAAAAATAGTTGACCAGAGGCAGTCTTAAAAATGCGATTCTTATTGGAATCTCTTTTTGGTCCAAATTGTCAATGTATGTGCATATTAAAGAGACCTTTCAGATTTGTTTTGTATTATCTATGAAGGATTCAATATCTGGTTTTGCCCTTCACTGACATATTTTTTTTATAAAGACTTTTAATACTCAGTGTTGTCCCGAAATATTGAGAGAGAAAAAAAATCACTCGGGTCGGACTCGAACCCACGACCTCCTGCTTTCTAGTGCAGACGTCTTACCACTTGACCACCGAACTTGCCAGGGTGGGCTGGCTGGTTTGAATCTGATGTAGCAGCGTGAACCGCAACCAAACTATTCATAAGATTTTAGTTTTTCTCTCAATCACTCGGGACAACACTGAGTATACAGTGTTTATAAAAATACGTTGGTGAAGGGCTAAACCAAATATTGAATTTACATCACCCCGACGCACGTTCCGTCTTATGAATCTATGAAGGAGTTCGAGCGTCGAGACATATAATATTCTGGAGCAAACCGTGGAACCCTTAACTCTTTGCACCTTGTCCCTTATCTTTAAAGTCTAGAAAACAAACTGAATTGAAAAATGAAATTTCCTTTCGAATTGAAAAAGGAAATTTGAAATGTGGGTTGGGTCTTCGATTTATCACCTGGGGTTCTTTGGCCAAAGAGGGCGGCCGCTTTAGTGAGCGGGACTTCAGCTCCCTAACCCAGGGGGGTTGGCTAGCGTTAGTAGGACTAGTCGGTGAGGTGACTACAGTGGTTGACTTGGCAACGGGAACGGCGGGGGTATCGGCTTTCTCATCATGCGGCAGTGCTTTGAGTCTCTGCATACAGCGACAGGAGGGTTAATACGTGAGAGAAACAAAAAACAAGCAAAGCCCAAAAAAAATTCACTGGAGGAAACATGCACATGCAAATAAACAAGGTGGCAAGGCATTGTGGGTAATCAGTGATCACATGCATGATGGGAAGGAATTTTTAAAAACAAAATTGCGGATGTGGAACAGCCATACGGAAACAGCACCTTGCGTGTAAATATTTTTTTCTCGATACGAACAAGTGAAGGCAGTGATTTTAGAAGCAGCGTACCAATGTCGAATTACGAGACAAACCTGCGATTCTACGACGGGATGACTATGTATCAAAATGTGGTGAGGAAAAGATAATAATATAAGGGCTTATGAATGAAAAAACTTGAAATCAAAATTCATAATCTAGAAAAGCAAGAAAGCAAGAATTTGAAGGATGCGGAATTATCACACACGAGATGGAGCAAAATTTAGCAAGAGTGTTGAAACAAAGGAATATCAGAATGTTTTAAAGATCGATTTGCACAATGAATTTTTTTCAATTAAATAAGAACTGACTGTCGTTTTTACAATGCGGTGGATTTTGATAGTGCCCTGTCAATATAATTTGAATGGTGTGATGTTGCAATGGTGAAGTTTCTCCCAAAGTCGACATGAGAAACATGCAGATGTTAGTAAAGATCAGGACACAATGCAGGAGAAACATAGAAACAATTCCACAAAGAAACGAGCCAGTTGGTTTTAAATATACATACAAAATACGAAATGCATAACCAAAAGTTTGGCATTATTCCTTTGTCTGCTTTCTCAAATACTATTATTTTAATTGAAAACTGAAATCAAATGTAGATAACTGCAAATGTACTTGGAAGAATTTCCATAAAAGAATTGGGGTTTTTTGGCCATTTTTGCAAGATTTAAATTCAGAAACAAAATTTTTGAAATTTGCATTAGGTTTCAGCGAAAAAGAAAACAAAAAGGAGCACAAATGTATAGGTGTATGCGATGTACTGGAGTTAGTACGTGCATTTTTTCTGAATGCTTTACCGAAAAATCTATAACGGCCATTTTTGGGGGTTTTTTTGTACTTACCGCCTCGCTCAGATTTCCGCCCTGACCACCGAACACCGAGGGCGGTCTTCGATTGGCATTCTTGGGCCGGGATAGCGTGATGTGAGTGAGTTTCTGACCGCTGTCAGTTTTGAGGTCTTCAAAGCCTCCTTCTGCGATTGGACATATGTTTACAAATAACAAACGATTAGCATAAACTCTTTCAAAAAATCACTTTCAAGTGAGTTTCCTTAAAGTTATTACACTTGAGTTTCTAAAACATAACTGCCGTTGGGATATTATTTTCTCAGTGTCATCCTCTGACCTTAATTACTTTTTCACATGTCTTTCACATGATCTTTACATGGCTACACATGATCTTCACATGGCTTTCACATGATCTTCACGTGGCTTTCACATGATCTTCACATGGCTACACATGATCTTCACATGGCCATCACATGATCTTCACATGGCTTTCACATGTTCTTTGCATGGCTTTCAAATGATCTTCACATGGCTTTCACATGATTTCACATGGCTTTCACATGATCTTCACATGGTTTTCACATGATCTTCACATGGCTTTCACATGAGCTTCACATGGCTTTCACATTGATCTTCACATGGCTTTCACATGATCTTCACATGGCTTTCACATGATCTTCACATGGCTTTCACATGATCTTCACATGGCTATTACATGGGACTCCAAAGACTGCAGTCAGGGCCTTGGTAACAAAAATGCAGACAGAGAATATCAACACACCGACCTGTGTTTTCTTTCTTTTCTACTGGCGGCTGATGCCTTAAGATGACTGGGGGCGTGGCTTCTTCACGTTCCGAAGGATGCACAGCTGGCTTCGGAGGCGGGGCCTTGGGTTTCACACCCGGTTTCTTTGGAGGAACAGGTAATACCTGGTGGTTTGGGAAAATTTACGAACTTGGATTAACTTTCATTTCTAGAATGGAAAGCAATCAAATTTTAACTGAATGAATATTACAGGTACTACATGTATGTGTACACAGACAATAAAATATTCTTATTTGAAGTCATCATTGTGCACTTAATTTTAATGTATGCACCATTCCCCAATAGATTTCCTTTTCTGAACAATCTTGCTTTGTGTACTGATGGTAGATATTACAGTGACCTTTTATTTCGGTGCTGCATTCTTGTACGTGCTGTATGAGCTCCGCGCACAAGTACCCCCTCAACGGTAAGAAAGGGAGAGTTGGGGGACATATTAACGCATAGCCGAAGACACCTTACGCGCACGCAAAGACACTATGACTTTGCGCACATTCAGAATGAAATTAGTTGTGCGCATGCACTTTGCACTATACGCACGAACCAGTACGCGCACATGGTGTGTTCCTTGCACTGGGCCCTCCAACGTGGTTGAAAAGCGCCCTCTCTTGTTCACGTACGGAATCCAAATAAATCAAATGGATTCCTCGTGTTCACTAGCATACTCTGATAAAAAAGACATCACTGCTTTGTCGTTTGAGAACACTAGATACCAGATATACTGAGTGTGCCACGTACACAAGGTAATTACATAGACTAAACAATAACATTGCAACACAACTTTACTACACTACAACTGACGTTTTAAGGCGATTGTGTAGTTACGGGCCCTGTTCCTATACGAGAACAAAACCCACTTTTAATTTATTTGACTTACCAAACTAGTTGGCGACAATTAAAAACAAACAGGTATGTCGTAGATAGAGGGCAGGGATTTGAATTTTTAAGGGAACTTTGGGGGTAAAACGACAGTGAAGGTGGCAAAACGATGTACCGTGAACGCGCAATACTGCGACGAAAAACAGGTACGAAATTTCTACCCCCAAAAACTGGTCAAAATTACAAAAAAAAGTGTCATTAGAATTAAGAGAATCTGGTTTAGGTTCAAAAAGTCATTTTTGAATGATAACGGCATCCCTTGACCAAAACTAAAATGGGGGCCCGTAAGTACACAATCGCCAACATTTAAGACAAGCTACATGTGTCCTTTTTTTTAACATGCATAACATAATATGTGCTACGATAACAACAAAAAGACGACTACTGAGAAAATATGAGTAAGTACATGTGTACAAATAAGTCAGTTTTAAATACAGCAAAGCCAAGAAACAATAAGCACAAGAACATTTTTTTTAAATAGCTCTTATGATTTTGTTGGCAATTTTGAAACAAAACAAGATCAAGAAAACCAAATTGACGCTGTCAAATTTTACTTTGAGTAAATCTAAACTTTTTTCCCCAATAAAACAAGAGAGGGAAACAGACTTGGTTGCAGGTTCCAACCCCGCTCCAGTAAATTTCTTTTGTTCAACTTTGACAAAAAAATTATAACACCGAACGTGGTGGAAAGTTAAAATGCAAACTAATGACGTGAACAAAAACCTGGAATGCTTATTAAATATATTCTAACTCATGTTTGAGTCGAGTCCATCACAAGTCCATTTTTTTCAAGTTGGGCCCCAATTTAAAAACAATAAGTCCATTCATAAGTTCGGTCATGGATTTATTCATTAATGGCTCAGACCACATGTGAGTGGAGTTGTTCGTTGATTCTCTCCTGTGGCACGAGGGTTTTTCTCTGGGCTCTCCGGTTTTCCTCCCTCCACAAAAAAATCAACACTTTTGATCTTTGGCTGAGCTCTGTGGTCAGACATGGGTCATATGGCGGTAGCATAAGGCGCCTTTTCATGCCTTCAGCTCGACAACGTTGTAGCCGCATCCTTCGCAATTCAGCTTCTCAGCTGCGAGTAAGGATGTTTAGCCACCCCCCCCCCCCCCCCCAATTAAGACTTCTGAGGATATGTGATGGACTTGATTACGACACTATTAAATTCTAACACTATTTGTCCTGGCTATGTGCAAAACAAGAGATAATTTGAACCACTTTTTGAGAAGCTGAGCAACAAAAATTTAAGAAAACTTAAACAAAAAATAAATTGTAAGTAATTTTTGCTTGGTTCTATTTATTTATAAACAAAGAAATATTCCATTATAATGCATTCAATGACATGTTTCAATTGAAAAGTATGTGAGCTCTGAAATACCACAGAAAACCCGGAAGTTAATGTGCAGCAGATTTGAAATAAGCTCGTTTTTGTTTCTGATTTTTGTTCTTTTCGACTCACCTTCTTTGGCTGGGTTTGCAGACAGTTATGTGAAAGAAAAGCAGAAGAAATTTGAAACATTTTATCATCAGCATCAAGTGAACCTAAAAGATGAGTCTAGTATAAATTCAATGAAATTCAGAGGGTCACAAATAAATATGACACCTAAAGAGATTCTCTGGCAAATTGAGAAGAGGACTGGAGTCGTTCTGGTTAATTATCAGTTAAGGTTTTCTGAACAAAATTTTTGTTAATATTGTGTTGTCAATGATTCGGTAATTTCTGGTTTCTGACGAATTGTGAAGGATCTTGTGATCGAACGAAGACTGGATGGGACTAAAACATTGGATAGAGGGCGTGATACTAACCGGTTTGGGTGCAGCGATAGGGTGGGGTTTGCGGGCTTGCGGTACCATTTTCGGTTGTGCATTGTTGACCGTGTCGGCCGACGGCCTGCGTGGCGGGGCATGGACTGCTGCAGGACTGTCAGTGGGCGGGGGAGGAGGTTTGGCCGGCATGGTCTTGGGAGGAGCTGGTTTGGTCTCTGTGGGGATGACTTTGGGTCCTGCTCAGCCAAAAAAAAAGGAGAACAATAAACAAGTTTTGAAGACTGCTTTTAAAAATGTCTAAAACCAAATCCCAAAGTATCCCACATCAATTTATTGGTCGTTGAATCGGCAAATTTCTCAGTTTATTGCAAAAAAAGGGGCTCTATTGTAAAAAGACCAAGTATTGTAAAAACAAAAATGATCTTTGTAATTTTCTCTGGACTCGTAAATTTCTTAAGCTACTAATTTTTCCTTAAAAAATTTAAACGTCCGTTCAGGGGAAACATAACGATTTTGGTCTAGACCGAAAACAGTACCTGGCTAAAGAGGAATTAAACTGCTTGTACTTTTGATTATAGAGGTTTCATCAGAGAATTTTTTTGGAAAATCTGGTTTTACCTGAGGCTGGTCTTGCTGGCAAGGGTGCTGGACTCTTTTTCTTTACTTTCTGTGAGAAAAAAACAACCAAACAAACAAACAGGAAAATATCAGACCGATTTGAACTTTTTCCAACCATAAAAGGGAATGGGAATTCTGTTACCATTTTCATTAAAAAAGAAGAAACCTGAATTGTAATGACTGGCTCAGCACACAAAAAATTCCAAATTTTGAAAATAAGTGAAGACTACTATTTAGTGCAGAGCTTGGTCCTTGTTTATGAATCTGCTAAGCGTGGAAAAGAATGCTTAACAAATCTGTGTGTTACACAGAAATCAGCTGGGTACCAGTCACAGATGATGTACACAGCATGACATTTTGGCTGGTTGCCTAATTTTGCTTAACATTAACAAACAGTTGAGTAAACGTATGCACTAAGCAATTTTGTCGAAATTCAGCTGGCTACCAGTCACAAGTGATTAAGACTGCATGACATTTTGGCTGGTAACCCAACTTTGGTGACTAGTTTCTGTACTAAGCAAGTTTCAGAATATCGGTTCCTCTTTAATACCTCTTTTTCCGGGGGCAGCATCTTGACAAAGTTATCGGGGAAGAGCCCCTTCCTTCCGTCCACCTCACCGTACCACCATCCACTGTCTCCCGCCTGCTTGTCAAGGACCGTCACGACGTCGCCGTCTTTCAGTTCCAACTCGTCCGCGTGCTGAGCCTCATAAGGGTAGGTGACCTTTGCCCTTTCTTTGACTGTGGAAGATGGGGGGAGGGTTAAAAGGGGGGGGGGGAAGAAATATGGAAACAGTTAGGTTAGCCAATAGCCACGTGCAGAAAGTCAAGTTCCTAAAGTCAAGTTCCGAAAGTCAAGTTTGACGAAGGATGGTTGGACGACTCTAGTCAACTAGTTGGAATTATATAACTGACATACAGATCCTTGTCATTTGATTGGTATAACTCACATCACATGGCATTCGTTATTGCTCCCATTCACGCCGGGGCTCAAAAAGTCCCATTCGCCCATGGGGAATGGGATTTACTATTGAACAGTTAGAATCATCATTGTTCCATGGCGCGGCATTTGTGTGCGAATGCATGCTTGTGCGCGTTGAGCATTTCGGGTAGTGCGTATTGTTCCCAAGAGCCAGTAGCTACAGAGTTGGGTTCAAACATTTCGTGAAGGGGTTTGGAAGAGAGAAATTTCATTCCCCACCAATTTTGAATTGAAAAAGAAGTTCATTTCAACTGTAAATCAAATGACAAGGATCTTTATGTTAGTTATATGAAACAAATACTGAGTGGCTTTAAATTAATGAACCACTCAATATGACGTACCACGGGCACAGTTCTATCACTGGTAACCAATGGCCCTACACACCAGAAAGCACTTCGGGGAGCCAGGACCAAGTAAGTTTCGTGACGAAGTTTTGACCAACGTTTAACGAGAGGCATTCCCACGTTGCTATTAGTGTGCAGGTGCAAGGTACGTCACAAATTGATCACTAGTCGACTAATGGTCCTCGCCCCAACTTGCTGTTGTAGTTCCCTTTCTGATTTTTTAAAACCGAATTCCAGATAAAAGTTTACACAACCAAAAAAATTCACTTCAAAAATTGCAATTAGAACAATGTTTACTTGACATAACTCGAAAAAAAAGGAACTAAGGAACAGACTTGTAAGAAATCCAAATCACGCGAAATTTCAAAATTCCAAACCCCATGAATTATGACTACAGTTGTTAAAATGCCGAAATCCATGTGTCCGATTTCGATGTGTGTAATGCACTGTGCGTTTACCAGTTGCCTATCTCGGAAAATCCATGTGTACCTATTTTTCTGCACACTAGACAGCACGCAGCAGTTTTGCAAGTAGAAAAATCAAGCCTCAATCAAATTCGGATTAGCATTGGCAAAGTATGCATTTTATGAAAATAAACGTTGACAAGATTTACTTTCTCAATAAAATACAAAGGGTATGAATATTCAGTGTTTTATAAATGGACAATTAGCTAATTAAAATCAAGGCAGGCCCTAGTTTGTTTCAATACGATTCACATATAAGCCAATTCCTTTTAAAGCCATATACATGTATATTTTTCCACTACTGCATCCTTTCTTTCAGTTTCACATAAAAAACCTTACGCATATTGTCATGTGTCATCCATTTTAACCACTACCTGAAGCATACATAGAACTTCAATGGATAACGCAGTACAGATAGCCCAATGTGTAATACAGACACATGGACATATATGGGCGTTGCTTTTTGAACAACCGGTTTTAAAGCATCGCGCAGTGCGCACTACGCTTAACGCATTACGGACATATAGATTTTCGGTCTAATAACACAATAAGTTACCATTCCAAATGACACTAATTAAGGCCAAAAAAAAAAAGTCTCCGGTTTCTGGTATGCGCGCGCGTCGCCGTAGCCATGCGCGTCGGCAAAATGAAAAAGTTTTTTTTTCAATGAAAGATGATGTCGCAAAACCGCCAAACTCACTGGTTTGACTGGAATCCTGCTGCTGCACAATTTTAACGTGTTTTTAGATTGGGTTATGGTCGAGAATAAGCTTTATGCGGCCTCTCTGGACTCCCATATATTTGCACTAAGTTTAGTCGGGCACCATTTGCAGTCATCAGCCGACATTTGAAGCAAAAAATTCAGGTAAAAAAAAAAAAAAGCCGCGTCGCCGCACCACTTTCTGGGCAAGCTCCATACCAGAAACCGGAGACTTTTATTTTTTGGCCTAAACATACCTTTAGATTTTCCAAACAACATGATGTTCACTGGCAAAAACAAACTAGCAATGCCTACGAAAAATCGAACTTAAATACTCCAAAACAGAAATATTTTGAGTGATGACTATGCAACCAGATGCTGGTCTTCTTATATCAACACAGGAAACACCAAGCCTAGTGTTGACGTGTCTCTCATTCCATACACTGGAAGCAAGGATTAAATTACAATTTTCCGTATGTAATTTCTAATACACAGGGTTTAGAATAGCACACTTAACACGGAACCAGTATCCTATATCATACTTGTGTTTTAAAGATATCAACATAAGCTTCAAAGTATTAAAGCTATAGTCCATCATTTGTAATTAGTGCATTTTGTTCATTTGAAGCAACAAAAGTGTTCAAAATCTAATGAAGGATACTGAACAACTAACCTGATGAAGTTTCAGCTAAGCTTCAGCTTTACATTCCGAGAAAAGCAGCAATCTAAGATCTCAATTTCAAATCAAAAGTTACTGAATCATGTTTTGAATTGTTTTGAATTGCAGCTATACGCGGCGTCGCGCACTGATCCGACGAATTATAACAACCGCGCGCGCGTGTGCGTCGTTCCAATACTTGTGCGCGCTGCGCTGAATAACAAAACGAACTACTAATTTAAATTTTCCTACGGTGCTTCTTAAGAATCACCGTTGGAAATGCCTTCTTTCGTTGATTACTTCTAAATTTTCCGTATGTAATTTCTAATACACAGGGTTTAGAATAGCACACTTAACACGGAACCAGTATCCTATATCATACTTGTGTTTTAAAGATATCAACATAAGCTTCAAAGTATTAAAGCTATAGTCCATCATTTGTAATTAGTGCATTTTGTTCATTTGAAGCAACAAAAGTGTTCAAAATCTAATGAAGGATACTGAACAACTAACCTGATGAAGTTTCAGCTAAGCTTCAGCTTTACATTCCGAGAAAAGCAGCAATCTAAGATCTCAATTTCAAATCAAAAGTTACTGAATCATGTTTTGAATTGTTTTGAATTGCAGCTATACGCGGCGTCGCGCACTGATCCGACGAATTATAACAACCGCGCGCGCGTGTGCGTCGTTCCAATACTTGTGCGCGCTGCGCTGAATAACAAAACGAACTACTAATTTAAATTTTCCTACGGTGCTTCTTAAGAATCACCGTTGGAAATGCCTTCTTTCGTTGATTACTTCTAAATTTTCCGTATGTAATTTCTAATACACAGGGTTTAGAATAGCACACTTAACACGGAACCAGTATCCTATATCATACTTGTGTTTTAAAGATATCAACATAAGCTTCAAAGTATTAAAGCTATAGTCCATCATTTGTAATTAGTGCATTTTGTTCATTTGAAGCAACAAAAGTGTTCAAAATCTAATGAAAGATACTGAACAACTAACCTGATGAAGTTTCAGCTAAGCTTCAGCTTTACATTCCGAGAAAAGCAGCAATCTAAGATCTCAATTTCAAATCAAAAGTTACTGAATCATGTTTTGAATTGTTTTGAATTGCAGCTATACGCGGCGTCGCGCACTGATCCGACGAATTATAACAACCGCGCGCGCGTGTGCGTCGTTCCAATACTTGTGCGCGCTGCGCTGAATAACAAAACGAACTACTAATTTAAATTTTCCTACGGTGCTTCTTAAGAATCACCGTTGGAAATGCCTTCTTTCGTTGATTACTTCTAAATGACAGCTTCCCAGAAAGAATAATTTCACAGGGAGTTTAGTTCCCTTACTATCTTTCAACCAAGTTTGTTTTTCAACAGTAATTACGCCAGTTACTTTTCGGATAGCTGCAAATGATGGACTATAGCTTTAAAGTAAGAGTGCTGTATTGACGTTCACTATTTCTTCAAGGTCAGTTTCTGTTTTGTATTTGTTAGGCCGAGTTTAAAATAACAAACTAAACACGAGGAGTCTCCTTCGTCAAATTTCAGTGTTGCGAGCCCTGGTTAACTTTTTTATGCAACGCCTGAATAAATCCCCGTCATCTGATTGGTAAGTCATTGATCACATGTCATTGAATTATTCGTCCCAATCCACGGCCTGGCTGTACTGTAAAAATAGACGTTCTATTCCATGGCAAATGGAAGTTCCATTACACAGTCACACTACTTGGTGGATCTGACCAATCAGATGACAAGGATTTATTCAGGTGTTGTATAAAACAAATAACGAATGTTTCACATTCGTGCAATGGAAAGAATAATTCCATTCCACTACATTACTCTTACCATTGCAATCATAAACATTCATTTGTTTGTATATTAACCACTTTAACTCTAACCCTTCCAGATCCTACAAACTGCACAATGTTTTTGGAAGATTTTGTAGGATGGAGGAAGACACACGTACCGCCTAACCCCTATTACAGTCGAGTCTCGTTATAACAAACTCTTTCGGACCTAGCCAAATTGTTTGTTATATCAGAATTTTGTATTAAGAGGAACATCAGTCCCATTCATTGTGCACATAAATGCACAGTCGGGACCGAGGCTTTATGTTTGTTATAACCAGAATTTTGTATTAACAGAGTTTGTACTAACGAGAGTCAATTGTATATAGGGCTTGAAAGCGCTCCTTGATAATTGGTTCCTTGCATAGTGGAGGATTTTTGGAGAATTCAGGAAGATTTCTAGCAAAAAATGCCTTCAAAGTTTAACTGGTCTTGCCCAACCCAACCCTGTTCAAACAAATTCTGCTTGTATATCAAATCTGAGCTTCACAGTTATAGTACTGTGTGAAGTGCATTGTCACTGGGTCATTGTGTTCCCAACAGAACCGCAGGAACACTACAAAGATACCCAACTTCCGCACACAATTTTTACCCACGAAGGACACGCATATACACTCTTCCAAATCCCACATATCAAAACAGGCCCAGATTTTGCAACCACTCCATCAACAGGTTAGCCTAACCCAAATGACCTATTTGCAAACTGACTCATCATCAAAGCATGACCGCGTTTACCCAGAAAATCGTCATCAGAAAATGACACAGCAGACCGCTGTGAAACCACCCACCTTGCTTGACCATGTGACAGAGGCCTTCTCCGGATGACGACCGCTGCAGCAAACACTAATCCAACACTTCTGGTTAGTGTCACACTCGATTCCGCTCAACAATTCTTATTCAGCATATTTGGGCACGGCTTTTTTCTTTTCCTTTCTAGGTATTGTTTGATTGTGTGCATACCGGACACCGGCTGAGGCCAACTACCAGTTTGTTTTTGACTTCCTGATTTCATATTCAGGAAGCCGTCCCTTGAGGGAAAGCCAAACTTCCTGGACTGAGGGGGAGGAGGTAACCATAGCAACGACCCCTGACCTTGATTGACAGTACTACAGACACTTCATGAATGAAAGAGAATCACCGTAAAATTTACTGCTACTTTGGATTGTAAGTATAAATGAAAATGAAACAAGGGATATGAATTTTAATGTAATTACATTCTAACTCAACCACTTTTTGCCATTATTTTCTGCGCTTAGTAACTCCATAAGATTGGGGTTCACATTTTTGGAGAGTCTTACCAATTTCTTCATATTCTTCCTCCTCTGCTGGCTTGGCATCTTTCTTCTCCTCCTTCTTGACTTCTGCTTTGCTCTCCTTCTTTGGCTCTTCTTTTGCTTTTGCGTCCGCATTGGTGGATGATGTTGGGGTCGGAACGGGCTCGGCTTTTTTCAAAGATAGCTGGTCAAAAGGAAAATTCAAATTAGTAACAAACCACCATCATATTTTCAATGAAATTTGGTACAGTCCGTAGTCCCAGGGACATTTCATAGTCAAGAATGTCTACCCACTATGAGCATTATGACTAGACTTGTCAGTGTGCATAATCAGCAAGGCACCAGACTATTTAATCATTGGTCCCAATGCAATGTTTATGCAACAAGGGTGGCCATCTTGGTCTAGTTTCCTGAGGTCAAGATGAAAATTACAAAATAACACATTCTAGATTACTTATAACCTCTACTTATACTGGACTTGCTGTTTCAATTTTTATTACAAATTTTGAAAATATGTTATTTACCCTTTTCTGTGCTAGTTCACTCTGAGCGGTAGATTTGGAATGCTCCTTTCTGTTACTGTCTGCTGGTGAATTCCCGGCCGTTTTTCTCAACTTCACTTCACCTCCAGCAAAGATGTTGCCGAAACCGACGCCTTTGATTTTTTGCTTTTGTTTGGGAGGCTCCGATGGTATCGGTGGTGGCTCATCTTGAAATTCGATAAAAAAAGAAGTAAAGACAAGTCATCACAAGTTAATCACAAGTCAATCACTAGATGCTCATATGCACTACTGTTCATCCCATGTTACTTGTGACTGGACTTGTGATTAACTTGTAACCAATCTAGCTGCTCGCCATATGTAGTGTCCTTGGGCAGGCCACTTCACTTGCCTCTCTCCACCCAGGAGTGTAAATGGGTACCGGCATTAGCTGGGGAGTAACCTGCAATGGACTGGCATCCCATCCAGGTGGAATAGAATTATGCTTAGTCGTTTCATGCCAAGGAAACCGGCGATAAACGCCGGCTTGATGGGCCATATTGGCTCGTGACAGACTGTACTTTATATTTGTGACAGACTTAAGATATTTTTGTGATTCATCACAAGAACCTCAAGAACCTCAACTACAACAACGCCGCCGCTGTCGCCGCCGCCTACCGCCGCCGCTGCTGCTGCTGTTGTCGTTGTTGTTGATTTTTAGTTTCTATTTATGTTGATTTACCTTTCGGTAAAGCCTCATGTGTTGATCCCGCCTCCCCGTCCCCCTCGAGGATCTCCACAAAGTTGGAAGGGAACATCCCTTTATGTCCCCTCAGCATCCCCTCCCACCAGCCGTCTTCTGGTTGGCCGGTCACGTCGATGATGTCATTGACGGCCAGGCTGATCTCGTCGTCATTCGATGGATGGTAGCTGTACACCACTTTGGCCCGCAGCTTTTTCGGCTTCTCTGAGCCCTCTGCGAAAAAGCACAAATTATCAGAAAAAGATCTTTTTACTCAAAAAAAAAAAAAAAAAAACAAATTCAAAAACAAATCCCTTATCTTTTAAGGCAGGTTTACATATTAAAGGATTGATTTGTAACTGCTTGTTTGATTGTATTTATTAAAAATAGTTTGTTTGTAACAATGTTCAACAGTTGAGATGTTATTTTTAACAGAAAAATGAATTAATAAGTACTCAATCAAATTAATCTGTCTGCGTACATGTGACAGCATGGTGTTTAAACGAGATTTCTACTACAGCCAAAAACAATTGGATACACCATTTCTTAATTTGAAATCATTGTAGTAAGTACCTGATATGTTCTATCAAAACTAAAATCCACTTTAGGATTATAATTTTTATTATGCACACTGTTGAACAGTCCCAAATATATGTCTGACACCATGGAAGACCGGAAGTGCCAAAATACGGAAAAAGAAAGACTAGTTGTGGTGAGTGGAGAGATTTTCAAAGAAAGCAAAAGATAGAACAGATCAAGTCAACAGTGCAGTTTTACCAGATGGAAAGTGTCTTTTCTCACCTCTCTTTGGGACTTCCTGTGAGTCGCCATTGACGGCCGCACGGGGTGGGGAGGGGGCTCGGGCCGCAGGGGGTGGGGAGGGCTCTCGGGTCGCAGGGGGTGGGGAGGGCGCTCGTCCCTTGACTGACGGGGGCTTCTCTTTCTTGATGGGCTGAAACAGCAAGTTAAGGAAATGACATTACAGCTTGAGGCATAAACTATGAATTAAACAAAAAATGATGACACAAAAATGTTCTGCTTAGTACCTCTGTGAAGCTGGGCCAACATGCTTCTACTAGAACTCTGTCACTTTTAAGACCCCTTTCTAAAAATTTAAAAAAAGTCTTCCGTAAAAAGCCGGCAATTTTTATTAAAACATCCCTTTAATATCCATGATCGTGATGACTCAAGCCAAGAGAATTAAGTACCTACAGGCTCAACTTTAACCAATACAGCAAGTAATTTTGAAGAATTACAATGGAGTATTGATTTTACTTGTAGGGGGGCTGGCCTAGTGGTTAGGGTTTGTGACTCATGATCAGAGGGTCAGGGGTTTGAATCCAGCTGCTGGCCATATGTTGTGTCCTTGGGCAAGCCGCTTCACCCCACTTGCCTCTCTCCACCCAGGAGTATAATTGGGTACCGGCATTAGCTGGGGAGTAACCTGCGATTGAGTGGCATCTAATCCCGAGGGAACAGAAATTTGTCAGTCATTTCATTCCAGTGAAACCAGAGATAAAAACTGGACCGGTGAGCCATATTATTCAGCCAGATTTCACTAATGACTGATTTTACTACGAAAATTTTAAAAACTCTGAGCCAGACTTAGGAAGGGATTACTTCGCAGGAATGACAACACTTCACAGATGTGAACAAATTCTTTTTACCGGACAGCATTTTTTTTTATGACATCACTCAGTGTCATAAAAAAAAATGACGAGCCATCACAAATGACCATTCAAGGCAATTCATCCCTAACCATCGATGTTTTGTGACGTTGTTAGAGATATCCTGTCTGTGGCAGACGGATGACCCCGCGCTGACCTCATTCGGTGCGCTAGGAGGAAATGCACCCGTGTGAGTTCAAGCCAATTCACCTGTATGTGTAATGCAATATTGGGATATCATCCGTCCAGCAGGAAATCCATCACCGACGCTGATTAGTTTTGACAGAGGAGGGGATGCCCCCAAGGCTCCTAACGAGAATTCCAATTCTCGTTTGGTTCATTGACCAAAGGTCATAGTAAACGGGCAAAGTTCTAAAACATCTTTCTAGTACAACTTTCATGAATCAAAAACCAAAGCTTTTCAAATTCTCCTATTTTTAAGCGTATTTACAAACTCAAAATATTTCTATGTTAACCAAAACAGCACACTTGACAATTGACTAAGCTAAGACTAAAGTATTTGGGAGAGGATCTAAAATTTCATTCTGAGAGTTGGTCGACAAACAAACATACCTCCTCCATCATACAACCAACAAACAAATGGTATGGTACCCAACCTACCTCCACAAAGTTGTCAGGGAACAATCCCCTCTGACAGGCTCCCCCTCCCACCATCCCTTCTCCATCATAGTAAATAAATAACCAACAAACAAGTGGTATGGTACCCAACTTACATCCACAAAGTTGTCAGGGAACAATCTCCTCTGACCGCTGACCTCCCCTCCCACCACCCCTTCTCCATCATAGTAAATAAATAACCAACAAACAAATGGTACGGTACCCAACTTACATCCACAAAGTTGTCAGGGAACAATCCTCTCTGACCGTTGACTTCCCCCTCCCACCATCCGTCCTCTATCATAGTAAATAAACAACTAACAAACAAACAGTATGGTACCCAACCTACCTCCACAAAGTTGTCAGGGAACAATCCCCTCTGACCGTTGACTTCCCCCTCCCACCATCCGTCCTCCATCATCGTGATGTTGGTGATGATCTGACCCTCCTTAATGGTCAGTTCATCGTCCTGCGCTGCGTCATAATCAAAGGTCACTACGGCCTCCACTGTGGGTCAAAGGTCAGAGAATTACAGGTCACACTAATTCATTTCCTGAATGAAACACAGGCCGTGTCAAAATTACTTGGCTATGTGGCTGGAAATAAGCCTCTGTACTGATGACGTCACACTTTGTTTACATGTGCGCTTTTCTATGGGCTATGAAACCATCCTCCCAAACAGGCTCATGTAAGCAAGCACAGTTGTAAACAAAGTGTGATGTCATCAGTACAGAGGCTTATTACCCATGTGCTTATTAAACACAACAGTAATGACTGAACTTTTAAAAAGTTCTTCCTGTGGTCAAGTTTCTAAAATTTCTGAAAGTGAAATTCTACCAGCCAAAAAACCCCAAAGTCTAAACCGTCTATTTATAAAACAGTGACACTTGCTAAACTGAGATGTGACGAACAAAAATACATATACATGTAGTCCTTAGGATAAAAGTAAATATACAATGTAATTATAGTATCATTTTCAAGTTTTAATTTAATACATAAACTGTCATATGAACAAGAATTTACAAGATGTACATTTGGTTTCACAAAGCATGTAAACAAAGATTTGCCAACAACTGCTTGGAAATGCCAATGCAAGCTGTGCTAATAACTATCCACAGTTGCCGGCTTAACAAGCTCTTCAATAGAGTTTCTGGGGTACTTGCATCAATGCAAATTGTGAAAGAACACACCTAAAACCGAGGTCATTATTGATTATGAAAGAGTAGGGGTTTTCCCTGATGTCACCCGTCAAACTAAATGGGTGGAAGCATAGTATGCAGGGTTATCTTAAAAGGTTAAAAATGCCTATCTGTTGATAAAGTAACATTCTCAATTCTACTTCATCAATTCTATTATTGAGTGTTATATTTAGGGTTATGAGTGGCTATAGACAATTGACCTATCGTCGTTTGTGAGTTAGCCACGCCCCTTAGACAACCCCATGGAATTTTGCACATTTGTTCGTCTCAGGTTTTGCATATTCTGCAACCTTAGGTTGTAGAATCAGTCTGTATATTTAGGTGCATTTTTTTACTGAAATTACATTTTGTAAATTTATTCAGGGACCTCTGTCTCAAGAGTAATGATGTAAAGCAAAGCACCTGATACTAAACAAATAAAAGAATAGTTTGAAGTCAATTCTAATGGTACTTGTATGGTACATTACACAGGTCAGGTGTAACATGGACACAACAATGTCACACTTTTGGACACTTATGAACTGACACAGTATCACAACCCTAAGGTGTTATTTGAAAACCCCACGTTTGTAATTTAATCCTTGACTATGCTGACAAGCTGTCACCCTATCCACACATCTTTCAAGCCCAGTTCAGATTCATCTGCTCCACCTTTACGGAATAAATCTTTTGATCCACGTACGCCTGAGTGATTCAGGGCAACAGCGAATGATCCATCATCCTGTTGCGGGATACATGCATTGTTGTGGTTTTTCTTTTACACATTCCACGGCACGTCACAAAATAATCCATTTGCTTCAGGAAGTGGAACAGATATACAATTGTATAAATGATGCTCTGCACAATCGCCAAATAAGGCATGGCAAGAGGCCGCATTTCATGAAAATATATTTCAGTGTACATCTAACTCATACATACGGGAGTAGAAACCATATTTTCTAGCTCCAAGGTATTAGGTTAAATTTTGTATTTTTTTCTTTTCAACTTGATTTAGCAGCCTACTTGAAAAGGCTTCAAAGATTGTTAAGACATATTTAGATGCCTTTTCGGAATCAGAATTATTGCAGCGATGTAGCTTTCGAAATCATCCTGACATCTTCATTTAGCGCGATCGCCCAAAAGGTGATTAGTGATCACATGACCGGAGTGGTTTAATTCACTACGCTGAATGAAGACGTCGCGATGACATCAAAAGCTACGTCGCTGCAGTAATTCTGATTCCAAAAAGTTGTCTAAATATTTTTCTAATCAACGTGATGGAATCCAACATCAGTACTCATGCTGCTACAAACATTGTTTTCATAAAATACCAGGCACTATACATGTATATGCTATGGGATGGACACTCTTGCATGGTGATGTTCAAAGAGAGGCTAAACTTGCGAGCTACATGTAGTAGATTCTAGTGCAACAACTAAGCAAGCTACAAAGTAAAGCCAATGAAGATTCTTAGAAAGAACTGTAATTGCAGCCTGTTTCTTTTGTTCTGACGCAATGAGTAAAACTTGGAAAATGATTCAAATTGGTCTGTATTTCTCTCAGTTAGGTGAAATTTGGTATTTAAAGGACATCATTAGACCCATTGAGGGGTCCTTGCTAAAACATGTAAATATCATGCACACCACTTGACCTTTGGTCTGTAGGCTGTGGCTGGTGACTTTGGTCCCTGGTACACATTTATTATCGTAATGTAACATTGTGAGCGTAAGTGTTTGAGTATGGTGTGTAATGGACGATTATTAGCCATGAAACAACAATGGGCAAATCTCTGTCGATTGGTGCACTGTATTATAAGCAATTGAATGCACTGTGTACTGTGACTTTGCATACACATTATTTTAAATGCAAAGTGAATTATATTTTTGAGTTTAAGTTTTCTAAAAATATAATGGGTAAACTGAATTAATTAATGAATACAATTATCATTATCTGTATAAGAATTGGGACGCCAGGTAAATTATCTTGAATTTTGCAAACAAGAGGTATTTGCAACATGCAATTAAAATTATAATTTTGACAATTTCAATTAAGCACGCCCATATTGACATAAATGTACAAATGTTGGTTAGAATACACAGTTCTTTTTAAAAGAAAATCTACAATAAGGAGAATTATAATTTTGTTTTTACTAATAAATATCACACTAGGTCATTAAAACTAGTGCAATTATGAGATCAAAGGGACATTATGGCCTGACATCCCCGAACATTTCATGTTTTGGATTGTTCAAAGGCTTGGTTGAAAGGAAACTAACCTAATGTCTTACCGTTCCTGAGAAAAGACCCCCCAAAATTGTGCCAAACGCATGCGTATTTCCAGCCGCGTCCATCCAGTGTACGGTACACGTTGTGAGTGCGACACATAATACACACAGCACCAATACCCAAATTGTGTTTCTTGCACGTCCACAGAATGCAATGCACTGGTGGAACATGTGCGGCAGGATTCAAAAATAGCACCCACCAGCTTGATTTTTGAGAGTCGAAATATTGACTCCCGAAATTCGTTTGCGCAAAAATAATCCAAAACAGCCAGCTTTTAAAAGATGGTTGTAGGATCGTTGTGTGGACGTTTATATCCTACTTTTAAATGCTCTTTCCAATATATATTTTTTGAAAGATTTCCATATACGAAGTTCACTAATTTTGCTCTGTATTGACTAACAAGCCCCCAGATAGCAATTTCATGTCAACAAAGTCAATTTGAGCAGTGAGAAAATACAAGCATTTTCTTAGAAAACACTTAGAATTTTTCAGTCCAATCTCATAGGGTTTGTACACAGGGTGTTGAGTGAACTTCGTGTATGGAAATCTTTCCATATTTTTTAAATGCCTTTTGTAGCCAATTGGATACATTACAGGATGTAATGTCCCTTTAATCAATGGGCAGCATTTATAAACACTGCACCCTCTAATATTTCAGCCACTATTTAATGCATACAAATAGGCATTCATTGAGTATGCACTACAATAATCATAATGCCTATGATGGGAGTCTAGCCCCAGGGTTTTTGCTCAAGCCAGCTTCTGAATACGGTTTCTCGATAATTAAGGCAATCTGGGCATGGATTATCATTGCCCCTTGAGCTATGTACATCAGATCAACCGGCTAACCAGCGTGAAGAGTCCCTAAAGCCACTTGGTGAATGCGAGCGCGGCCAGGACATAACAGAAAATCCAAAATTATAATTTTTAGAAATTGGTTCGCAAAATAATTGAAATGAAAACTCCAGGCTGAAGCTTTAGCTCGTCATACATCATTGCTCTCCATAACATGTGTACTTCAATTCACCGACAATGAAAGAATAGCGTGCAATGATTTCCTTATTTGGAATTTGTTTCCTTTTTTGTCATAATCTGGTTTCCTTCCTTTAAAAAACACACAATGGATTTCAATGTGCAAATTTGGTTTGATATATAAAGTTGTTTCAATGGTTTTATCAGGCAAAGCATTTCCCTGATGGAAGATATGCTAGGCTTAAACAAAACCAGCAAGCATATGACCAGCCATCTAAATGTAGTGATGTGAATGTTTTGCTAAAAATCACAAGTCATGAACACAAGTTTGTTATAAAGGTAAAATATATTAACATTTGCTTTTCCTATAATTTTCAGAAGTGGATGGATTTTGGAGTTAGTATTTTATAAACCTGTCTAAAGTTTTGTCTTCATAGATGCTAGAAAAAGCAAGAACAAAATGCTGTTCATGTCAGACTCACTAGTCTGGTTCCTTGAAACAGATCAATTTATAGACGTCAGAGAATTGTCAGGTCGGGGAACCAGACAAGCTTGCTGGCTTGTACCCGTTCACTGATGTGTAACCATTTGCAAACAAAATGTGGACTAGCTAAATTTGGCAAAATTGGGGCAGTATTTAAAAAAGTCAGTTTTTTTTCCAGTTTTTTTCCGTTGGATATTGATACAAAAATGTACTGTTCTTGAAAATGACAGCACACCTGATGCCATGCTTTCACAGGATGTTTGAGAATATTATTCACTTACAGTCAAGTACTTGGCATTTCGTTTTGGATTTTTGCAAATGTGTATTGCCTTTAAAGGGAATATACATCATTTGCTTTTGCTGTAATTTTCAGAAATGGATGGAATTGGGGGGTTGGAAATATATAGCAAATATAGTTACACTGACTTTTTTGAGGTTTTGGGTTCGAAAATGCTATAAAAACCAAGAAAAACAATCATTTTCCTGTAGTCTGGTTCCCTGACTCCATATAAGAAGAAACAGAGCAGTTTACATACATTGGGAAATTGTAAGGTCAGGGAACCAGTCTAGCTGGCTTGTACCCGTTCATAGGTGTGTAATCGATTGCAAACAAGTGCGATGGTCAATTGGGGCCAGTATTTGAAAAAAAGCCAGTTTTTTCCAACGCTGGTCGGCCGACCAGCGTTGGAAATTGATACAAAAATACCACTTTTCTTGAAAATGACAGTATACCAGGTGCCATGATTTTACAGGATGCTTTACACTGTCATTCACTAACAGTCCAGCAAGGTATTTCAAAATGATTTGGTAGTTTTATTTTTTGATGTTTGCAAATGTTGTATTTTCCCTTTAACTTGATAAACTTGACAGGAACATCCATGCATACATGTACACACTCTACATGTACAATATACATGTAGATTCTATGAAAACAAATTCTGTAAAATGATAATGCACAAGTTCTCGTAAACAAAAAAAAATTTAAAGAAAGGTGGGAAAGCTTTCCATATATACGAAGTTCACTAATTTTCCTCTGTATTGACTAACAAGCCCCTAGATAGCAATTTCATGTCATCAAAGTCAATTTGAGCAGTGAGAAAATACAAGCTTTTTCTTAGAAAACACTTAGAATTTTTCAGTCCAATTTCATAGGGTTTGTACACAGGGTGTTGAGTGAACTTCGTATATGGAAATCTTTCCGAAAGGTGTTTGAGTTCATTACCAGGGACAAATTTAAGAATCTGCTAACCACACAAATCAGCTTAGCACAAACAAAACTTTAAAGGTGAATGCATAGCACAGGATTGCGTAGTTTTACATGTTTTACAGGGTCTGAAGATGTGATTTTTTTTTATACAAACACCAGCTTTCAATTATGAAAGGAAGTCCATATAGCCAAATAATTTATGTAATTTACACATTTTTTTGCAATATTTTGATAAAGATATAATATCATACATCATGTTATTAAATATACATCAATAATATTGCTTTAAAATAATGTCATAAGGACGTGGAAAGAACAATAACAGTCATGACAGTTAAAAATTATTAGAAATCTCATGCACTTCATAAATTGACACAAACATGTCAGCTACACCGTAACGCTTTTACATTTCGAAAAGAAAGTAGTATCCTGACACAACATCTTTGGTTTGTTCAAAGTCTATGGAGAGCGAAGCGCATTTTCAAAGTATTTCCTTACAAAATTGGAAATGTTCTCAGTCCCATCGATAGATTTGTGTCTTTTCAACATTTCTGCAATGACTGACATTCATTGAGCAATGAGCAAATGATGAAAAAAGTGGCGTCAGGATGCAACATTCTTTCCTTGATTCCCATGAAATAATACCTTTTCCTTGCCTTACAAATTTTCATTTCATTCTTCCTTTTTCACGAAACCAGTTGAATAACCATACGTTTGCGCGAACCACCTGTTTTATTACACACGCAATGCCAATACGTTTTGTGTACAAAACTACCATGTACATAGCGAGTGCGTTATCGCGCGCGGTGGGTGTTTCTTATTTGCATTAATTTCTCCTCTTTTCCCAGCTAAAAAATCCACAAAATAAACTCCAAATGCCCTTATTGCCTTACTGACTTACCCATTTTTGCCTCCGTTAGCTGTGACACATTTACAAAGAGCAGTAAAAAGAAGTAAACATCCAAAATTTGAAGCCGGTCGCAACAGAATTTTTGGCTGGTGTTCAATGTTGTTCACTTCCGCAATTGACATGACCCCAGTGACCTTTAAATTTAAAGAGGTCATAAGTCACGTGATCTGATCTAGCGATTACACGTACGCGAAAAGGGGCGGTGTCCCACACACAAACTTGTATTTCCTTAATTTTATGAACGAACAAAAAAATTAAAGGAAGTAATTATGCATGTGTCAGAGGTCATGATCTGATCAATCTATCATGAGAAATAATTAGGGGCGGTTCCCAACTATTGAAATGTCCTAATTTCATGGCAAATAAACTAATGCCATTCATAGACGTTATGCGTAGCAGCCATCTTAGAGGGCAATGTCTTTGTTTTTGCTGTGATACACATGAGTGAACCTTTTGTGCATATATTGTTACTGCATTAGAACAAAAGATGCCCTCTACGATGGCCGCTACGCATAATAAGTAGATTATGTTGGAAAGAAACAAAATCTAATGTTCATATCTCCCGGAATTCGTATTGTCCTTCAATAAGTCAACAAAAAAATTAATAGAGTGAAACAAGCAATTGAAATAAGAATAACAAAACCAAAGAAGCATATAAATATATATTTCTTAAAATCAGTACTCTTTTAAACTTAAGTTTAGCAGACCTGTGGTCTGAATTTATGTCAAAACCAAATTTCAAAACACAGACCCGCCCACTGGCCCAAAATCGGAAAAATACGCCCTCTACATAAACTCCACTTGAAGTAAACCACAGAGGGCGTTATCTGATCTGCTGGTGATAGCTGAACAATTATTGTTGGCTTTATCAGATAGACACACGTTCCTATGATATAAAGCTTTTCAACATTTTAAGAGGGCTTAGTCTTGACAAAACAGTTGTTACCATTTTTTTTGAAGAATAATTCAGCAAACGAAGTAAAAAAAACACATAATGAGCTTGACTTTCAGTTGCAGACCAACGCGGGCGCGCTCGTACAAAGCCCTTGTTCAAAACAGTTCGTATACATGTACATTTGTATTTCGGGAGTAATGACACTAGACAGCGGTATTTTTATTAGGAAATCTTCAAAAGGGTGAATTGAAGTAATGGACAACAGCCTCATATAATTACACGAACCGGAAAATATAGCCCCGATAATTTCCAAACGAAGCCAGTTTTGCACTTTTCTATTTGTCGTGATACTGCCAACTTTGAATAGTTTGAAAAGGTGACCGAAGTGTGAACTTCAGCCATTGTGAAAACGACAAATGTTACGACTGCGCTTTGGAAAAAAATATCAATTGGTTTTGAATGATAAATTTCAGGTTGAGCGTAGTAAATTTAATCAATTAAAATCAAGTTTTGGGGAAAAGGATTTGCTGCAAGCTCTTATCTGGAGCAGGTGCGTGGAAGCAATAAATGATAATGTACGTCATGAATTTAGAAAACGAAGGGCACTTTTTCATGCACCATTTGTAAAGAAATTATGTGCAAGTCGCTACTATTGAGTAAACTCAATGAATTAATGACAAATGTATCTCCTTTAAGTTGGTAAATTCATTTTATTAACTCTGTATCTCAAATTTACAAACAATATTTACAGAAGGAATGAGAGGTCACATTTAAACCGGGGGGGGGGGGGGAAGCTGGGCTGGAAGAGAATCGTTTGAAAGTTTACATCATTTGTTAAAAAAAAAATGTAAATCATATGTTTATTTCATCATATGTTTATAAACTACGTCTACATGTAACACATTGAATGCACATGAATATTGTGTCAATTTCTTCCTCCATCTAGAATAACATTACGATGCTATAACTCAAAACGTTGCATTAAAATATTGCGAAACCTAGAAATCTTCACATGTAACAGTCGCAGAAATCCAGCTGCAGTTTACATAATGCCTACCTTGAACTTTTTGTACAAAACGACAGCTATTATATACACAAACTGTTCTCGAGTTTAAAAAGGATATTCAAAAACGAATGTCAACAATTTCTCTTTAAGACAACTGTACATAATGCCTATAGCTGAGATTTCATTATCTATTTTTGTGTGCTAAATTATACTTATTAATTTGGATATGGAATTTATTGAAGATGGTTCTAGTTTTTGACAGTTCAATTGACATTCAAATGATTTTGATTATTCCAAGGGTATTAAAACTGTCCTTCTAACTTAACTTACAAAAATATATACATTCGTGTATGTACCCTGTCTTGCATATACATGTACCATGATTGGCCATCTATGTTAATTGTACAATAACTTAACAAATAAGTTCCAATAACAAATGAAGTAATGCTAATTTTGGTTAATATTTTGGGGAACTGTTCCTAGAAGACGATAGCCTGCTATCGTTTTTGTCATTCGGGAATCGACAAAAGTACAATGAATGAAAAGAGCTACATGTACAGTGTATTAGAACAAAAAAACATCAGTCGACAGAAAATATATAATATAGTACACTGTATTAAATGCATGATCACCGCAAATTTTTCAGCATATGCCTTAGTGCAGCTTGTCTTTCGTTTGAATTTCGCTTGGGACATGCAAAATTGAGGTATTTTTTTTAAAAATCTGCCGGCCTTGTTTTTACTGTTAATTGAAACGTATGGAAGAGTTCATGAATCTCCAGTACCGACTTCTAAACTCCGGGTGAGGGTGGGGTCAGCGGGCTCCACGCGCCAACCTTACCGGTGTATAGCTGATTTCCAACGGTTGGGTAGCTCCCAATCGCGTCGGTCGAGTTTAAACCTCCGTGGATTTCGGATGGACTGTTGTAGTTTTGATACCCGGCGCAGGACGATGACATGGAGCCAGCCGGCGGGCGTGGTACCCCTGTGATGGACGAAGTGCTAGGCTGGCTGTAATTGGAGTAAGCTGCGCGGAGGAGTGACGTGTGCACAGGGGAACCCACGCCGCAGCTTGAGGCGGGTTGGACTGCGGAGGAGGTAACGGGAGCCCAGACGCCGCCGTACTGGTGGGAGGGGGAAGTTGTGATGTTGCTGGTGTGGTGGGTGGAGCTACCGAGGGGAGACCATGCCTCGTGGGCGGGGAGAAGTGACAAGGAAGATGCCGTGGAATCTGTAGCATATGCGCCTGAACAAAATATGAAAACAATAAACGTTGTTAGTTTTTTCTGACACGAAATTTAGCCATTTAATTTGTTTTCTTTATTTCTTCGAATTCAATGCTTGTCCATGAGCTAACCACTCCCCTGTGCTTTTCGCATGTTAGCACAGTCGATATAATGATATGCGTCGATTACGCTGTAAGGTAAATACATGTACTCGTAAAACTCGCGCCGCAAAAGTCAAAACATGGCCGACCAACAAAACAAGAATTTTGGAACACCCACGGACGGTAAGATAATGAGAAGCCCTCCCTACAATATTTGCAGGTCGGCACGCTTAACAAGTGGTGTTTACTCGTTTATCGGTAGCAAATAAGAACAGAAGACTGCAAATTTCCGATTAGTTTCCGAGGTTGGATTGCCTACGTGACTGGCAACCGTCAGCAAGGGCTTAGATTGGCGGGGGCTTCGTGCTCGAGTCACGGCCGAGACAATTCAGCGCCGCGCGCTGCTGTTTGCACTCGCGTGAAACCCCAGCGTGGGCAGTCCTTGTTTTTGCCAGGACTATTTGCAGTTGGGTGGTGGTTATATTTCTTGAAAAACATGCACCAGAGAAGATGGTGGGGTGAATTTTAATTATTTGGCGTAGTTTTTAATTAATTCCGACGAGTTGTTGCAGCCAGGGGGAAAAGCAACGAAGGTGTTGACTCCCTCATTTAATTTGGTCAAAAACAAAAGTGGAATCGCAAAACCCTTCTTATTTCTGGTCTTGATAACCACAACTACTTCCAATAAACTTCCGAAATTGATCATACCCGAAGTTGAAGACGTGCTTTTTTCATCAGTAAGCCAAGTTCCAACAAAATGATTTTTTTTCCAGATCTAGAACCGCTTCGAATCCGCAAAGTCTATTATTTGTGATCGATGAATGTGTTCAGAGAAACATCTGGCGGACCTTTAAAGAAAGACAAGGGAAAACCATCTTTCCAAATGTGACCAAAAGTTTTGGTCATTTAGTAAAAGAAGCCCCGTAACTACTTGTATGTATTTATTTCTGAGCAGGGTTTTCTGTTTAGCAGTTTCCGGGCAATTAAACCCTTTCATAAGACGATTGTTAAGTCATTTTTTGTCGGCACTGAAATCTCCTTTAATCCGGTTAGAAGTCTTGCACACCGGACCTTTTGGTACGATGTAAAGATTGTGTTTCATCTACAGTTTGACTCAATGTATAGTAACTGTAGTGAGTCATTTCATTATTAAAAACTGAGTAATGAGTGATAAAATTTAAAATTGTGCATTTGAGAAGTCACTTGTCATTGGTAGACCCAATGCAACCCATGCTTGATCATGCGTGATCAAAATTATTTGAAGAAACAGATTTGAAGAAAAAAAAATCACATACTGGGGATGACTCTAAAGAAGTCGTAGAAATGTGTATAGAAGCCCCGTGTTTAAACACCGCGCTACCGTCAACAAAACACCGCCCGTCCGTACCGGGGTAAAACTAACACAGGTGCGCTCGGGATCGGCCAGGGGTGTAAACTCACAAAGTCACAGACTCCGAGATCACCTATAGAACTCATTGTGTGGGCTACGGTATTTACTCCATGCTACAAATGCCATTTCGCACTCTCGAGTTTACCGTTCGGAAGCCGATATTAGGATGTCAAATACGGGGGGACAAAACAGTCGGGAGAAAGGGGTAAAGAAGTTAAACAGTGGCTTTTTGCTGGTGGCGTGAAAAAAAGGAGGGGAAGGCTGGCGGGGGAGGGAGGGAAAGTGGGCATCGGTATGTCATGGTCAAAGAAGGGGGTGGGTTGGAGAAGGGTATCAATAAAGTATCACATGCCACACAATTGAATCCAGATTGGTGATTTTTATTTAATTATGGAAACTTTTGATAAGGGAGAAGTCTCCGAAACAGGAGACAGAGGTTGTTACAGATATGTATTTTTTTTTTTCAGAGAGAGGGAATTGTCTTAAATTTTATACAAATATCGTGTTCACGACAGACTCAACTTTTGACGGGATGCGCGTATTCCTTTTACATGTCTATTCAAACTCCATCAACTTCTTTTTAAAAATGCGGTTGAGAGGACTACGGCACACGACAATCATAATTTTTAAAGGTGAAATTTACTGAAATAGATTTTGTTTCGTAAAGTATATTGTGGTTTTGAGAGTAGAACAATGATGATGATTCGTGCCGGCACTGTGCCGGTTCCAACCGGCAAAATGCCGGTTACGGGCAACCAGTCTTGGTGGACAGTTGTCATCACAAGGAAAGACAAAAATCATTGTGGGAACACAGAATGATGTTAAACCAAAGAAGATAAGAGTACATCAGGCTAAACTGAAATGAATTCTCGACATTAACGCCGCACTGTTCTTATTTGAGTACATGTACATGTACATATTTAGCGCCCTCGACCAGCCAATCACTATCTAGAATTGACCGCACTGCGATACATCATGTATACAATCGTCATGAATTTTTGAAAACACTACTTTTGATTCAATCGGGAAGTCATTCACTATTACACAATGCACAATCATTCTTTTGCACATGATGACGGAATACTATCGGTATGTGATGAGCAGTTCAAGACATTAAAAACAACCAAGACAAATTGGCGATAAATCAAACAGCGATATAAAGATAACGAGGCACGGGAATAAAACGGAAGAAGGTGTGGGGCCCATTGAGCCAAATCACGGCCCAGGTGACTCACTCTATTCACGGTGAGAGTCGTATTCCCTCGTAAAAACCAAATCACAACAAAGGTGTTTACTAGATTTCGTCATTGGAGGTCTAACTTTTGTCGGCCTCAAATCAGAATAAAGTCGAAGGGGTTTTTGTGATTTAACAGCTTTTTTGTTTTCGATGACGATTGGTGACAAGGCAAATTTGATTGAAATATAAAAGGGGATTATATCTCGTTGGAAATGCGGACACCTTTTCGGTGGAACCGCACGTGGGATCAAAAGGCACCGACTAACCGAGTTCGATCCGGGGTTCCGGGCAACAAAGGCATTTTTACAGGCCGTCGTTTTCCTCCGTTTAACGGCCCAGCTGCATTTCCGATTTTTCCTCGGTAACAAATAAAGTTGATGATTGTAGTTCTTAAAAAAAAGTGCCTACGCAAAATCAGTTCATTTTCTGGGCAGTTATTGACGTTTATCTAAGCAACGTTATTTGGTCAATAGTTTTTATGATTTTTTTTCTTTTGTAAGAACTGTGAGTTCGGTTGCGTTGGAACGATGCACTTTTTGGGTTGACTCTTTTTGAAAACATAAAAACCTGAAGTTTTATTGCGGAAAAAGTACATCTGCATCTCTGACCTCGCGGTAAACTCGCGTTAAGTCACGGCGGAAATATTTATATTTCTTTAGAAGAAGTTTGTTTAGAAGAAATGCTTTCGAAATTTCTGTCCGTTCCTGCAATTTTTGAATCTTTTCACAATCTAAATTTGAATTTACGACCGTGCAGAATCGAAAGGCTTTTTTTTACTGAAAGAGTCAACGTTTCCTCTCGCAATTTGAGCAATGCGATAAACACCAAAAGAAGAGGTTGCTGGAGTATGAATGAAAAGTAAGATATAATTTTAAAACTATATACAATAATTATAAACATAGGAAGTTATCAAGATAAGATGTCTAGCAGAAACCTGAAGCCATAATTGAAGACCCCCCCCCCAAAAAAAAAACACTGATAAAAAATCAAAGCATTTACACCTTTCTTAATAGATATGATTCTTGACAAAAAAAGGGAATCAGGTTGGCGTAGTGGTAACTTATACCGTCTCTCAGCTCAGTGGCCCGGGTTCGAATCCCACATCCTGCCCAATTCATGAGGTTTTCACAGGAACATCGTTAGTTGATGTCTCTAAACCCTAAACTAAATAATTCTTCGTCACGTTCACTCTTTAGATATCGTCAGGTTTCAGTCATGATATTTGACCAACAGGAAAGTGTATAATGTCTCAACTACAAAATGCTGGAAATGTTAAAATATGAAAACTATCATGCGTCCAGTTCAGTCCAAGTTATACAGTGCCTCTCACTTTAGGAAAACTTCAGTTTCATTATTAGAAAGGAATACTGTCATAAAAGATGAAATTAAAGGGTTATAAAAAGTCGGGACTTACTTGTAGGGGAGTACTTCTGTTCGTAAGGCGGTGGAGGGTAAGGTGTCGAGCGATGACTCCGGAGGCTGCCGTACCTCTCTACGGCACAGCTGTGGGAGACCGGGGAAGGCATGCCGAGTGACGGAGGGAATTGGTGATGAGGGCTCGGCGGACATAGGGTCCCTGCGCTCGGTAAAAACCAACTGCCGACTATTGGGGAAAAAAAGGTTAAAGACACTGATTAGAAATTGGAATTTTCGGTTATTCTTATTAGAAACATAAGATCCTTTTACGTCTTTATACTTCAAACTTGAAATTACACGATGTTTAAAATGACTATAGGCAACATGTAGTTCGTGGTCTGGCAAGAACATGCTCTCTTGTTTTCTGTGTATGATTTTGGGAGTCATTGATTGACGGAACCAAAATGGAACTGAATATGCAAAAATGATTTCAAAACTTGCTTACGTTGTGGGTATCTTGGCTGTTGGTGATCATGACAGTCTTCAAATTCATGCTCGCCCCTGAACATGGAAGAAAAAAAACCCTACAAATTAAAGTAGATGTTAACAGGGTGAGCTGGATATAAAGGCAGTTCCGATATTTGCTACAGGGATCAAAATGCACCAGTGTGCACTCAGATTACGGAGAACACACACCTTATTCTCAACGAAAGGCGAGTTATTCGAAAATGTAAATGCTGTACTCACTTTTCTTTGATGTCCAGAAAGGCTTTCGCAAACGGGTTGTACTTTATTTTGAGCTGTGTGATCTGTACATGAAATATCAAACATAAATTGAGATAATTTCTTAAAATAAAAACAAGATATGTTGTCGATACCTTTTTGGAAAAGCTTAATGAGATCATTAAGAACGAAAATGAGATCATTTCTTTAATAAAAACAAGATATGTTGTCGATACCTTTTTGGAAAAGCTTATACAGTCGACTCTCGTTAGTACAAACTCTGTTAATAGAAAATTCTGATTTTAACAAACGTAAAGCCTTGGTCCCGACTGTGCATTTATGTGCACAATGAATGGGACTGATGTTCCTCTTAATACAAAATTCTGATATAACAAACAATTCGGCTAGGTCCGAACGAGTTTGTTATAACGGGACTCGACTGTAATATGATGGTACAAATAAAAGCATATAAACACTGTCGACTGAGATTAAAAGTAAATATTAAAAAGTTTTTTTTTTTAAGAGTGCAGGGGATCTGCGGATTTCTACAAAGCTATCATTGTTGGATCGTCTTAAGGGTTCGGAGACTCACATCTTCGTTCTGGTAGGCGGTGACGGCAATGAACTGCGTCTCAGGGAAGCTGAAGCTACGTATGAGGCGTTGCTTCTCCGGCCCACCGACCCGTATGACGTGGATGCGCGGCTCGTACTTGTGAAGAGAGTTCAACATGATCTGTGAGGGGAAAGGAACATTTCCAAAAGAGAAACTGGATCAATATTGTTTTATCTTTTTCTGTTAAAATGATTCAGGTCTTAGCTCGATTTCTTGCAGTGGTTTGTGTTCTGTGCCCACTCCGAAGGCACCGAAAATACGAAGTGCTGTACAGAGGAATGGACTTCTAAAACTCTCGAGGAAATTAATTTAAGAAACATGGGTTGGTTTCAGGGTTTGGAAGGGGTGCGAAATAGGAATCAGAGCTGATCAAACAGGAAGAAAAGAAATGTTACATCTTTCTTCTGAGAATCGAACTGAACTCAATGTCTTAGAATCTAGTGACTGCATTTAGAATATTAGAAGCGTGGGAGCAAACTTTTTGCGTTCTTCATATCTGTTCTGCAGCAGGGAATAAAGTTTTAGAATGTGGATAGTACAGTCCACTTAAGATTTTTTTTATTAAAGAAGAATATTTTGGTGTATTACTTTTCTGATGCATGGGTTGTTTTATACCACTCTGTAATTGTTTGTTCATGTTTCATGATTAATATTATTTCAACTGTTTCTAATATTCTGGGAGTAATATTGGAAGAAGTGCGTTTACCTGTCCAGTGCCGTTGAGTTTGTTAGACAGCTTGACTTTACTGAAGGAGACGCTTTGCTTCATCCAGTGCGCACCGAAGTTGGGCGAGTCGGGGTGGATGTAGGCCGTGCTGGGCGGCGGGGAGTCGGGCTTACCGCCCGGTACCCACTCCCCGTTCACGTACTTCCACCGGTGCTCGTCGGCTGGGGTGAAGTCCAACAGAATGGAGTACATGGCGTTGGGGTTCAGGCCGGTGACTGAGGAGGAGAGCACGGGGAACATCCGCCTGGGAGATGAGAGGGTTGGGGGTTAGGTCAAGTCGGTGTTATATCGAAACGTTTCGGGTCACAAGTGGCCAATACTTTCTCAAAGTATTGCTCTTTAAGGTTTTAGAAAAACACACATCCAAATCCAAACCTATTTACACTATATTAATGAAAATACACGCATATGAAAAAAAGAAACGATTGCACGGGAAACCAAAATTTCAAGATAGAGTTAGAGGGTTATTAATAATTTAACAAGTACATGAATTTAACATAAACCATGAAGGTAGGAATAGCATGGAAAAGGTGGGATATCAACACAGCTTATCCTCCATGCATATACACCAAAATATTTATCCACACATGAGTACAAGCAGTGGGCAAAAAGGGGGGAAAGAGATTTTAGCAACTGGCTGTGTAAATGATATTCTACAAAAGGTAACAGGTCATCTCGTACCTTGGGCAACTCGTACCTTGGACAACTCGTACCTTCAACTCGACGTCATTATACCGAGTCGTACCTTGGACAACTCGTACCTTCGGCAAGTCGTACCTTCAGTTAAGACGACTCGTACCATCACGCGTAAGACAAGTCGTACCGTCAATCAGGATAATGATCCGAGGCTGAAATAAGTGGACCGTAACTCATTGGAAGTGGACTGCTTATTAAAATAAAGGTGAATCTCTTTTTGGTATGGGGTCTCTTTCCCCGGGCCCCCAAAAAGAGGAATTTATTTAGCGCGAAGCCGGCCGCGGCAGCTTACACGCACTGTGTGCGCGGCATGCACAGGCCCACGCGGCATCCGTGCAAAGTGACACGGTTCTTGCGCCGCGCTGACCGGTCAATATGGACGTCTGTGCACGGTGACATTGATGCAGTCTGCCGTTACGTTTAGAGACTTAGGCTACGTGAAAATATTATGGAACTGATGTTTTTATCCAAGATTCACGTCTTACCATCATTTCTACAATGAATGACCATCATTGAGATGATATATATATGAAGAAAAAAGTGGCCAAACCCCCGCCCCCAATTTGTAAATGTTTCGAATAAACCAGTTGATGAAAAAACCAACTGTGATTTTTTTTTTTTACATTTTAGACTTTCAGACTTATAGCTAGGAAAGGACTGAATCATTTAAAAGTACTGACTGCTCTTGTATACTTTGGTTATTAGACTTCACAAGAAAACGCAGAAATTACTTTATTTAGACACATTAAATGTTTAAATTTGATTTTTATAAATTTTGTCGGTTGGTTTTAATAGAGTTTAATAAAGCTCGCTCTGGAAACAGGATGTTACGGTGGTTAGGCTGTATTGCATAATTAAACCACACCAAATCTGCATCTGAAGTTTCTCCACTATAAAATTCAATAGATGAGTGACACTTCTATAGATGAGTGACACTTCTATAGATGAGCGACGCTTCAATAGATGAGCGACACTTTGGGTGTACTTGTTAAACCGCCGGCCGCTTCCGAGTCACCGGCATCGGTACCGCGCACGACCGACCGCTGCTCGCGCCCTCGGAGGCCGGCCCGCCAGGCCCAATGCGTAAACTAATGCTGCCTGGCAAAGCCATTAGATCTTGAATGTGGTTCTGTGAGAAGGAAATTAACTTTGACTTGAAAAGAATCGTATCGTTTGGGAGTCAAGGAACCACACACTAAGTCGCGCACGTACAGTGTACATGTACTCTACTTTTTATTCTGATGGTACGAGTCGTCTTAATTGAAGGTACGAGTTGTCCAAGGTACGAGTTATCCAAGGTACGAGATGCCCAAGGTACGAGTTGTCCAAGGTACGAGTTGTCCAAGGTACGAGTCGCCCAAGGTACGAGTTGACTCGAAAGCCTACAAAACATCAAACAAAAATGTTAACAAAAACAGTAAAAGGGTATGTCATGAACATATTTGGTTAAACTAAAACAATATAAAAGAAGATTGATTAATCAAATAAATATTTTAACAAATTGATATCAACACAACTAATTATCTTTTACTCATCTCCGAGAATCAAAAATGTGAAGATTTCTTAAAGACTTGGTTGCCAAAAACACTCCATTCCCACAGTTTCTATCGACCCTCCCGCAGCAATCAGAGATACCTTTTCTTAAAAGTAACTGATAAGTATATTCTCAACAACATTAATTCTAAACTGTAGTAATATTAGCAGGTGTCGACAAACTGCTCACCTGCCGGTCTTGGTGACGATCATCTCGTTGGTCAGCTTGCTGAACCGCCGCCACAGGTCCCGGTCCTCCAGCGTGACTTTCAGTCCCTTCTCGCTCGGGTCTCCCTTCTCGCTGCCCCGCGTCATCTCGGTCTGGACCGCGCTTAACAGGTGCGCCACGTTGTAGGTGGGAGCTCGCATCGTGTCGGCACTCATGGTGTCTCAAAAATACGCGAATTTCTCTCAGAACTTTTGAATTTGTAGGCGATACACCAACTATGAATTGTAGGCGCTATAACAACTTGGATTACGTTTGCTTCTTTGCTCTGCGAGCCGTGAGTCCGGAACTAAAAATGTTGCTCTTAAGTTAGACTTGTCAGAAAGCTAAACCAGCACGACAGAGTGACGAAGTTCTGAACTCATCTCATGAAACTTTGGGAGTCAAGTGTCTAACTTATGTCCAAGAGGTGTCATGCACGTGCACTAGTCGAGAGCTGACTGTCGAGTTTCTGCTTGCAACGCTCGCCCCGCAAATCGCTTTGGCTGAACTTGATTGTATAATTCTGTCACCGCACTGAGGATGGCATTGTGGAAGCGACGGCGCATCAAAGGATGGGAACCATTTGAAGTTAAAAAGTCTGCCAACATCGTAACCCTCCGTGTTCAAACAAATGCGGTGGCGGTGAGTGCTGGCGGAACTGCTTTGAAAAGCTGGCAAACAAAGGTGACCTATAGAATGGCTTTTCTGGTTGGCTATGCTCCGTAATGAATATTCAAGCCGACCAACTACTAAATGAATATTCATAAGCGTGTGGTATCTTTATTGGGCTGTAAAGACATGTATATGCATGAGTTGAGGAGTCACCGCGGCATCTGATTGGTTGGAATGCAATTAGGCCGTCTAACAGGTTGATTACTGGTGTCAGTTACAATGAGCTGTCAGCGTTGCGATCTTAATTACCGGCCTGACGGGGGGATTGTGGCCCATCGTAAGCCTCCTTCACACTCCATACACAGGGCTTTTGCGGGTTTGTTATCTCCTTTAATGGGATATAAAGTTGCTGTTTGTATACTGGAAATTGGGAGAGCTGTAGTCTTTAATAACGGGGAGGTGCAAGGCCGTCTAGAGAAACGACTGTGCACATTCTCTGCTATATACATGTATTAGAAATGGAACATTAGAGAAATCGTACAGCACATGTAGAAGGAGACACTCTTTTCCTACCTCAATGCTCTAACCAACTAAATACTTATCAAAAACTGAGTCATTCGTTCGTGCCACGACGAACGACTTCAAGTAACGACGTAAACACCCTGACGGTCTCTGTTTGCTGTGTTTCTTCCTCCACGCAGACAGCTACAGCTTTTCCTAAGGTGGAATTAGGTTAAACCAAACTCTCGTTTTGATTGGAAATTTCTTCAAATTTTTAAGTTTAAGGGAAAAATATTACTGCCTTAGGGCCTACTGTAAACGAATACAGTTTGATGAAATATTTGTGATGCTTCACAATAAAGGCCTATAAATAATCGCAGCCTTTTAGGGATCGTAAAAGTAAAAAAGGAGTCAAACTTTATTTCGATCCAAGCATAATCTTTCTCATTTTTCATAGGGCAAAGCATACAGAATTCTAACGTAGTTTTTCAATAGTAAACGTAGTAAAACAGAAAAAAGGAGAGTCTGTCACGAGCCAATGTTACCCATCAGGCCGGCGTTAATCTCCGGTTTCAGTAGCATGAAACGACTGAGAATATTTCTATTCCCGGCCCTGGATGGGATGCTAGTCCATCGCAGGTTACCCCCCAGCTAATGCCGGTACCCATTTATACTCCTGGGTGGAGAGAGGCAAGTGGGGATGAAGTGGCTTGCCCAAGGACACAACATGATCAGCAGCTGGATTTGAACCCCTGACCATCTGATCATGAGTCACAAACCCAAACCACTAGGCCACAACCCCCACTGAGTTTTACAATAACCAAACGCAACTTTTTAGTTAAGGCATGATTGGGGTGTGTGTGGGAGGGGGGTGTCAAGCAGCAACAAGACCAGAGTCCGTGAGACGAGAAGACAAAAACGGGAGGACCAACTGCATCTCAAATCTACCCAGGGAATTGAAGGGGAACGAGTTGAATGGTCGGTGAACCTTTGAGTTCATAGAACCTTTTGCTTCGCTTTGCCCGGCAGTAGAAAAGAGGTCCTTCTTGACCGACTAAAGTCGCGTACTTGGGGCTAAATCTTGGGGTGAAGTACTGTCCGACCGTCTACCCAAAAAAGCACGGTCCAAAAGGCATAAACACTTGAGCAGAGTGGGCCGTTTTCAGCGGGGACAATGCCGCACCAGCCCGGGATGGTTTTATGGCACTCGGCGGTGCCTTTTAGTTTTAGGCCCACGGTAGAGGGTCCTTCGCGAGGTGTAGCCACCCCACTCTGAACCTCTTACGTCCCGGGATTAATTAGTTTTCAAGAGGTGCTTCTCGGCTTTGGAGGAAGAGAGGAGAGTTGCCTTTTTGTTTGAGGTTGTTTTGTGACAACAGTGGTCAGTCACTCGGGCAGATTTTTTGTCTAGCAGCTCTGGGGAAAGCCAGCCGGTCAGGGCAAATTGTGGTTTCTCTTTTAAGGATGACCGCGTAAGGCGGTCTTATTGCCTTCTTTCTTTTCTCCAAGACATTGGTGGCTGGTGTTCTCAAGAAAGGATGTCCAACACGATTCCTGGAATCCTGTCATAGATCGTTGGTTAGAGACTCTCATTGATGCCTTGAAATGACCGCGGGGTGACCGATGAGGAATGACCGACTGACCTCTCGTTCGTTACGGCCAGACGGGCAGCAACCTACCCCCAAAGGATTCATTGTGTTTATAACACCCCGACCACTCACAAATTTAAGTTTCTAAAGAGTGCATAAAATATGATACAAAATCTTACAATAGTATTTGCTTTAATAAACCTCACGACCACCACAATATTTACGCCGAGTGGCTTTTTATGTAGCAAAGGTCTCTTCAATTTTGATTCAAGTTTTCGGATTTTCGGTTCGTTGCATTTTACGAGGAGAAGGACCTAATTCAATATGCAGGATATTCTCCATATGCTTATAAATTCTTTGCTCGAAAAATCGAATTTTCACAGAGAGCAAACTCATAAATTCTCACTTAAACCGCTCGGAACTTTGTAGCGTGCCGCCAACTAGGGTTTTAAATTTATGACAGTGATTCTGATCTGTCATCCGATGTAAATATTAACGGAAGTCGATACAAAAAAAGAAAGGTAAATATATTTGTTTGGAAGACTTTCCACCGGCCATACGGCAGCCGTCACTTTCGCCATGTTCCACCGGGCTTGGTTACTCATGGACGGGCCGGGGCCTCTCGCCGTAGCCCGGTAGCTTCGGAGTTGAATTATCGGTACTCGCGAAGGTGTGAAAATAACGCCTCGATGTTTGCCCAGAACCATAATATAGATGTGCTTCTGGTTTTGCTTTGCATGACGTGGGAAAAGTCTACATACATGTACTTGGAAATCCGGGCGCTATGGGCACTAATAACGTCTTCAGCAGAAGAACTTTATACCTTAAAAGTATACATGCTGGAGAGCCAGAAGTGGTTTTTTTTACGAAGAGGTTCCAGAGCTCGTCACGTGACGCACTAGTCATCACATTCATTTCCAATTCGTTCAACAACAAAAAATAATCTACTTGCATGAGAAAAGACAGCAAATTGATGGAGTTTATAACGTTTGGGGATTAGTAATTTCTCCTCAATTTGAGAAACTTGTAATATTTTAGAGTTTTAGAGTTTTAAGCAAACATTGAACAAACTTAAAAGCATATGCTTCTAACGTTGTCATAATATAATATAACTTGACAATCGCGTCACACGTTTTACGGCTCGCGCTCGTCATATTAATCTCGCTGAAATACCAGAGTGCAGTCATAATAGTCATGTTTAGAAAGGCCTGTCTACAAACTTTGGGCAGAGATTCGAGAAACAGTCTAAAGACTCGCAGGTGTCAATTAAATGTTTCTCCGATGGTCTTCTTTTGACCGGAGTGTTTGTTCGCACCTACCCGTCGAATTGGCTCTGCCGACCGGGCGGTCTTCTGGCGTTGGGCCGGTCAGAAAGCATACGTGAGGTTCAGAATAGAACACGTACATTTCTCTTTTCGGTTAGACAATGTGCCTCTTGACATGGTCCAAAACTTATTCAATTAATCAAACAGGGACGAGTGGACTGTTTTCGATAGTCGAGTGCTGTTGGTTGGACTGACGATTCACAGGATTCTGTTTTCAAACAAACGTGCATACAAATGATGATGTCATGGTGGTCCAATCAAACAAATGTTGGAAATCAGATAAAATGGTCGAAAAGTCAACAAATTCTGGAACCCAGGTTTTGTAACTGACTTTACATCCATGAAATTTTAAGGCATTTCAAATAGAAAAACGGAGGGAAATGGAACCAAATGTAAGAACAGAAACGGGCCTCAGATACAGGACGCAAAGGCTTCAAGATTAATTTTGTCTGAGAGTTTTTGTTTTACGGTGGACCTGATATCAGACTAAAACTGTTAATTATACTAATTCAATTTAAAAAAAAAAATCTGCTAACACCTTTAGGAGATTAGCTGGCAGCTTTCGATTTAGGCAAACAAACTCCTCCAGTAAAGCGCTGACTTTAAGGGTCCATGAGAAGATTTTTTGTGTGCAACTTTATACTCCTCTGAAATGTACTACGGAAACTATTTGACATCCCTTTTAGATTGATTTTTATTGAAAAGTGCACTTCTTTAAACATTTATTAAAAATCCATGCTGAGGGCGCTGTTGCTGCGATTTCATTTCAGGAAGACACTGTTCAGTTCAGGGGTTTTCTGTTTAAATTGTGAACCCAAAAAATTGTTCATTGAAAACATTTATGATAAAAGTTTGCTCATTGGCTTACTGCCATGTACTGAAACAACAACGAATCTCCAGAAAAAAAGAAAACGTACAACTTCAGCAAAAACATCCAAAATTTTGGCAACCTTTTGTGCTGAAATAGCTGTAACATTGAGGTTTCTGCCTGAAATGACATCACACTTTTGCTCACGAATATGGAAATTTGCATTAGCATGAAAACCAAAAAGACAAAAAAACCTTGACAAGGGCAAAACGAAAATTGGAAATGAGATTAAATCACACAAAGGTGCATTTTCAAGGATTGCATTTTTAAAAATTATGTTGCATGTGCCCTTTAAATTTTGAAATTTAGACCCATAATGCCCAAGATTCCTAACTATAGGGCCTACATCATCATTTGACGTCAATACATTTTCAATACACATAGCCCACGCAATGACTTATGGTTTGGACCTGCGTTCTCCACGGGGGAAATGCGCAGTGAAAGTTTGATCTTATCCACCTGTGTTAACATACGCTGTTTGCAAGGCGGATCACTGCGCTCCCGTTTCCTCAGTTTAGGCGGGGTTTCCGTCAGATTCAAATAATATCCGTTCATCTTTACAAAAGAGATGGTTCAAATGTCTTAACCGATGACTTTTGCCACTTTGGTGTTACATCTTAGATCATTAATGACTTATGAAAACAACCGTCTAATATCGTCGGGTTTGATTTATTTTAAGAGACGTTTTGGGCTAGGACTCTCACGACAAACACCCACCTCTTTTTTGTAAGACTCTCACTGATATTGCTTTTCTTAATCACTTAATTTAGAAGGTATTTGAGAACGAGAATTCTCACTTCAGCGATACTACGATTCGTTCTTAAAGTATTTATGAGCAAAGCAATTAATTAAGTGTATGTGTTTGTATACGAACAGGTGTTTTATGTGCTAGTTACTCAAGCCATACTCTTAGAGTTTTTGAAGCAAGGTTCTAAAAAAAAATAATAACATTTGTTAGCTTATTAGTCTGAGACATCAGATCGATATTGACAAAATTCTTATTTTGTAGTAGAAATATTTTGTTCGTGAGCCAAATTTTTCGAATGTTTCAAAATTAGCAATTTCAATCCATTTGATTTGTAATTCACGTCACATTTTGCACATGACGTATTAGTTACATTGAGTGTTAATATATGTTAATGCTCTAAATTACGTTTACATAATGAATAAAAGACAACTAAACAAAATCAAAAGAGCAATTTAGTTCCAAAAATCTCCGAACACCAGATCCGATTTTGCGAAGACCCTCCGAAGTCAGCGCTTAGCGTGTAAGCACCAGCACTTGACGGGTACTTGTGGCACGAACGCGCCGTGAAAGTCACGCCAACCCTCCACGACATTTCGACCCAAGCACCGCTCTCACTCGGGGACACTTTCTTTTTCAAACTCGCCCCGGACAAAACAAGCAACACCCTTCACAATCCTCCTCTCACTTGGCACTTCTGTTTTGAAAAGGGGAACTGAAGTGGTCTGTTTGTTCCCCGACAGTTCCGAAACAAAAAATCGATTGATGATTTTCAAAAGAACAAGCAGATTCCATGGCCAGGGGTTAGAACAACTTCTATTCTCCGACCATCTCACCTTGTTTTTGTCTCCACCGGTATCGGTTTAATTGTCCCGGGCGATTTGGCTGTTCTTCCCCCTCTCCCTCAACCAGGGAGAGCCCCCTTGCCTCTGGGCCCCGGACTAATTCGTTAATTACAGAGCACACACGGGAAGAATGGCTCTGGACAAACATTAATTACGGGGAGGTGTTTGGGGACCGCGCGAGAGAAGAAAAGGAACGGGAGTGAGTGGCGTGTCGGCCGGGCAGGGATGCACCCGGTGCCTGGCTGGCTGCTTGCACAGGTGTGGCGCGGAGAAACTGGCAAAAATCTCCCTCACTGTTTCATGAATTATCATTTAGTACTTGCCATTTATTAAAAACTCATTAGCTATTTAACCATGCCAATTTAGGAACGAAATCAAGGTTTTTGTTGTATGTTGTTTTTTGCTGTTTGTTGATTTGAATAATCAGTTTCAAGTTTGAAAGGGAAGATCATTTACAATTTGCCAATTTGAATTAAATTCAAATATTGAATCTTGCCACCAAGCGTTATGCTGGCACATGTAATTAAAGTGTCGTAATTCTGCCTAATAGTCTCCCTATTATTTTGTTTTCTAAATTTGAAGAAGACATTTCTGTTGAATTTGCTGCCAAATTTTAATTGATTGGGGAACTTTCCTACGAACGTCGCAACATAAAATTTGATAACTTCACTGACTTTATAATACAGGCTTGAGACTGGCGCTAGGTTCTATTTGTTACTCACCTGGAAAATTCACAACTAGCCTAGAACCCAATGAGCTCGCAAGTCTCCTCTGGAAACAGCCGTCTGTCTTCATAATCCAAAAGACCACCTTCCAATACGAAACAAAAAAAATAATTCAGGAAACAATAATAACAGGTGAAACTGCCGTAGAGCGCTCAAACAAAACGTGTTAGTGCATGGTCTCCGGCTGATTATGCGCATTCAAAAACACTCCGAGCCAATTGCTCCGGGTCTCAAATCAAATAACAATTAAAACGAGTACAAATATCAACTGGTTGTCTTTTTTGTGTGTGTGAAGAGGCAAATCAGATAGAATGAGTGGAGTTGGGGTGCATCATGGTGGGGGAGTAGCCCCGGGTGATATGGGATGAGGTGTTAAGTCTTCCCGGTTGAATGGGAAGGTGTTGGTGGGACTATCAGCTCTGAGGGGGAGCCTTAATTGATTGGGTGGGCCAACAGGTTGATTGACTCAGGGTGTTTGATGATGGGCTGGCAACTATACTCCAGGCGGGCTTCCGGGAGGAGTGAGATGATGTAGGTTGTGACTGGCGTGAGTTATGGATGGGGGCTGATACAGAAGCCTTGCGCAGGGCGCCCTCACTGGGGACTATGCGCCCTCACCGGGGGAGGCTGGACTGTGTTCCTCTTGGAAACTCAAGAGAGGCACTCTGAACTAACTGTCGCTGAATCGATATGAAAACCTGCTCCTCTTACAGATCTATTGATATTTTTTTTACTTGCATTTAATTCTTACCCCGTGGGTTTTTCTCAAAGTGCACTATATCTTGGACGATTAATTGAATCTATAGATTTGAAACAACTCATTAAATCACGATGAAGTGATGCTAGTTTAATTAAAGGAAGATCTATTACCAGGTAAAATCCTAGAGTAAGATAGGCACGGAAATGTGAACCCAAGTCACTCGTCAGGATTCGAACCCGAGTCACCGAGTTGGTACGCGAGAAGAGTACCGCTAGGCTAACCTCATCCCATAGTCGCCGTCAACAAAATATTCATGTAACATATCAAGGTGACGGTATGAATCAAATGGCATGTTCAACCGAGGGAAAATACACTTGAAAAAAGTTAAGTGTTGGAATGTCAAAAAGGCCAGTGTCACATGAAAATCCGACTCCTATGAAAATCGGACACCTATATTTCCCTATTATTGGTTGATCCCTCACACGTGACAGGTCACTCTCCCGAAACGATCCTAAAAATAGCATAGTATCGTACTCACGCGTGCGCAGTACTACCAATGAGTCCACATTTCATGGAGTCGGATATTCACGCTACACCTGATCCAAAATACAATATAAAAAAAAGGAGGGACCAATTTTTTAGGGGGGGGGCAAAAAAAAGTGGGTCGCAAAATTTTCCGCGCCAATGATTTAATATTAAAAGCAAGGGGAGCCTACTGGGGTGCAAATGTATTGCTTTCGTTGAGTTTTGTGGGTGGTGCATCAATGGGTGCCTTTTGCAACTTTACTAAAATATAAAAATTGAGTTCGGTTTTTTTTTTTGGGGGGGGGGGTTTCATGGTTGGTCCCCCACCTGGATCCGCCGTTGAATATCAATTTGCCAAAGTTTCCTCAGGTGTTCTGTAGTTGTTAACGCCGCCCTCTTTCGGCAGCAAACGAGTAGATAATGCCCTCTACACTTAAAGTGCAGAGGGCATTATCATTATTTTGGTACTCCCTCCCATATACATGTACATATATACGACCGTGCACCACAACTACGGAATGGACATGGTTGATCTGAAAGACTACCCTGTCCCCCCACCCCCAAATCCCGTATCATAGGTCTGTCTTTATTGAGTAATCATGGGCGTCGCCAGGTTTTTTCTGGGGGGGGGGGAAGCACATTGTTTCCCCAAATCCTTGAACTTTCTCTATCATATTCTCAATTTATAATTTTTCGAGGGTGGGCGGCCGAAGGGACATTTGCTCACCCCACCCACATTGACACCCCGCATCAGATTAACAGCAATTTGTCTTCTTTTTATTTTCCCCCTCCTTTCCCCCCCCCCCTTTTTTTTTTTTTGGGGGGGGGGGGGCACGATCCCCTCGCCCCCACTCGCGACGCCCATGTTAATAATCTCTTTTCGCTAAAATGAAGTACAGATATTCATAATTAAGAAAGCAACCCCACCCATATCAACATTTGCTACTGAGGAATTTCTGAATGAATCTACTTAATTTTGTGTTTCATCCAACAAACACTGAATCTTAAAATGTCAAACAATGTTCTTGAAAACATTGATCAAACTCATCTTTGTTTTGCTTATTTAGCCCTGACCAAACCTCTTTACTACTGACGAAAAAGTATGGATACAAACTGTCGAGTATTTGTTGAATACATCAGTGTCCTGAACATTGCGTTCGCACTCTTAGAATTGTATCGACATAACTTGTCAAAATGCCCAATTTACATTCGACCAAAATTAGCAACACTTGTATGAAACAGTACAGTTAGCATCGTAAAAACAAAATTTAATGCAGTAAGTTACATCAAAAGTATTCCAGCAAAGTATGCGTTCACTCATAATTACAGATATTAACAATTAAAGCACGTATTTAACAGCAAAGCGTACACATACAACACCAAACCATTAGAGTCAATAGCAAATGAATTAATAAGAACCGATATTTCTTAAAACCTCAACAAGTTTACGAAGAGAAACTTAGAGAAAATAGATTCAAATGTGAGGGTTTTGATTTCGTGTCAAATATCTTAATAATATACATATAGAAAAACATTTCTAAAGCTCAAGAATAAAAATGGGTTATTGCAAGCAGTTACGAATAACTGTTTGAAAACAAATTTGACCACACTGTTCCCGCATATCTACACAGGTGTTTGAATAATATGCATAAGCTCAAATGTACACAGCATAAACAAACTGGCCTTATTATGCTTAACTTCATAGCTGTGGCATAAAAAAATGTCAACGGTGGATAGCCAGTGATATTAGGGCTATTTACATAGTCCTCTGTAAAGATCCACTATACACATAGAGGGCGCTGTCCAGAGTTTGGCAAATATTACAGGTAATCGGGCACTATTGTTTGATTATTCCATCCACCACAATAATATGTATATATTAAAAGAACAAAGAAAGAAACGGCTGAGAAAATGCGCATTTTCAACTCCGTTATAAGTAACGCGCGGTCGTTTGTCTAAAATAATTATTGATCAATTTTTGGACCTCGGTGCTTCCTTTACCGCGACTAGAAAACAGAACCCCTCTGACTTTATCAATGATTTTCATTTTCTACAATGATCTTATTTCTGTAAAATATCATTTGCCCTTCTATCGAATAATTGCCTGTGATGAGTTTATAAGTAACATCTGCATGTTGGGCACATACATTTACCGAGCAACATTTTATGTTCCTTGAAATTGGGCCGTGAAATGAATCCAAACTTTTGGCTTTCACAACATCAAAGTAAAGTAAAAACCAGTTATGTTCATGACGTGGGGAGCTCTACTGAATGTGCTCTATGCATTCCCTCTGTCGGCACCTCAAGTGCCGACCGCGGGCGGGAAGTTGAGCTTGTTGGTAGCGGGGTCCCAGCCGGTAAATCAGGGGACGCATTCTCCGTCCGAGACTCGGTGGAGCGGGTGCGATCGGGCTGGCCGTCGTCCGTGCGGTTCCGCATGATCTGAGCGTACACGACGCGGTCGTCCCGCGGGGTGGGACTCCGGGAGTCCATGGACGACGACGCGTTGAAGTCCAATCCGGAGTCGGACAGCGCGGAGTTGCGAGTCGCGCTTCGGATGTCAGAGTCCGCGGGCTGGATGCTGCCGTTAGCCGGTTGGCCGCTGCGACGGAAATGATCCCTGGTTCTGTCGTTCCGGGGTCTGCGCTGCTCGTAGTGAAGTCTGGTGTCTGGGTGTCTGGACTGATCTCTGCTGATGAGTGGCCTACCGTTGGGCGTGGAGTGGTAATAGTCTGGTGATGGAGTTTGGGTTTCCGGTGATGGGGTCCGGTAGTTGGGCGAGCGGCTGCGATAGTTTGGCGAAGGGGTGCGGTAGTTACTCTGCGGACGATGGTCGGTGTAGCGATCCGACCGAGCCCGACTCTCACCTGATGAATTATGATGCGATGTGTCCCGGGTTTCATCCGGGTGCGGTGTTCTGATGGCTCGGGTCACATAGAAATCCGTGGAGTCGGCGTCACTCAGTCGACGAGCCATCGGTGAGGGCGACATACCGTAATTCTCGGCTCCCGACCAGGTACTGTTCATGCTCCGATCGGGGGATAGCGGCCTGCGTCTGCCTTTCTTGTTGCAGAAGGTGTAGCAACACGGACAACAGTCCAGCACCACGATGCCTAGGAAGATTAATAAAACCACGATGGTTACCATCACCGAGATGGGTACCAGCCACAGAATGAGTTCCTCACTGGAGATTGTGGCGATTTCGGTTTCTTCAAGGCTGATGAGACCTTCAACTCTCGATGTACCGACCTCGTTTGTTGCTTCACAGACGACTGAGATGCCACCTGTTGGGTCCTCCAAGTTGTTGATGAGGATTTGAGAGTCTCCTTCAGAAGTCTGGATAAGATCGATGCCAGATGAGGAGGTAGTGACAGCGGCTCCACGGTAGTACCACTGGTAGGTGACGGTGGGTGGGTTGGCTGAGGAGAGACTGCAGGTGAAGCGAGCATCATCACCCGTCTTAGCCGGGAGAAACAAGGGGGAGACGGTGATGACCGGACGGTGTCTGACGTTCAGGATCCCCGTGGTGCAGGACAGAGGATCCCTGCCTAGCCTCGATGCTATGCACTGGTAAGATGAGGCATCATCTTCCACGCCCAGTGTGATGGTATGTCTCTTGATGAAGTACCCGTCTTCTCGAGATATCTGCTGGGAGTTTGAGAGATCGGCAGGTGTACTGAGCCGCTCCCATGTCAGCGTGGTCCTGGTGGTTGAGTTGTTGAGATAAGCGCAAGTCAGTTCCACCACATCGTCTTGAGTGAGGGCATCCCTGATGCTCATCACGCACAAGGGGAACTCCTCCCTGGGTAGGTCCAAGACGGTCAGAAGAGCGGCTGAGGATGTCAGGTTGGCCGCCTGGGGACCTGAGGAGGACGTCACTTTACAAACATACAGTCCCTGGTCGATCATACTGACCTCAATCAGCTGGAGGTTGAACTCCCCTTGTGAGGCATCCCCGAAGATTGCCCAGGGGGTCGAGGGTCCGGAGAACCCCGACCCTGGGCCGTTCTCCTTGAAGAGGATGGTCGAGTCTTTCTCCCAGAAGACGATGCCGGTCTTGTTGGCCACGTGGCAGTACAGCGTGGCACTCTCCCCGGGCAGGACGTAAGTATCTCGAGGTTGCGCGGTGAAGCGCTGCTCTTGTCCCGCGACGGATAAAACCAACACTCCGACCATCAGGAACATTTCCCGCAAACTCCTGTCTCTCGCCATCTCATTAAACCGACTTGTTGTCATCCTGAGTCCACAATTTCACAAAAAGTTGGTCACTGAAGAAATCTTATCTCGATGCCGAGTTAAATGTCGTTCTCAATTACGGCCTTCCTCCATGATTACATCAACAAATGACTGCTGTGTTTTGCAAACACAGTCGTTATAATCGTAGAGTAGTTGTTCACAATAACGCCGCCATTTTGAGTCGAACAAAGGCCGACTGCTTTGCTATTGTGTTCACCGGCACACCTGTCGCTTTTAACCGGAGAAAGTCAGCAGCCACTGTGGGCAATATTCCATAATCGACCGCTTACGACCTCCGCAGATTCCGCTGAAAATCCACGCTAAACGAGGCTGATTAATCCACAAATTTTGTCTCCAGATAGTCCCAGAATCTGCTTGAACTCAACTCAGAAAACAGAGGCAGATCGGAGAGGGAAAGCGACTGAAATGTCGCAGGAAGCAAACACAATTTTAGACCGCATTAGTCATTCTCAATGCCGTTCATTATTAAACAGCATCAGCATACACACGTAGCGTCACATAGCGACTGCGCTAACCAGCGTTGCTATAGAAGGCCATTCATTGTGAGGTAACGCTCCATTGCACACAACCTGTTACTCTACTGGCTACGGCTGTTTCGTGACATGTTTTTTGAAACCATTCTTAAAACTCTTTATCAAAAGAATTAAACCGAACAATGTAAAAGACTTGGGTTATTTTTCAGAGCGTCCTCTGAGTAAATTCATCACTCTTGTTTTTACTTGTTAATTAAAAATTCTCGAATTTTCTCATTTCAGACATGACGATTTTAAATGATACATGAATCGGCCGTCGTAACAGATCGATTTTGAAGGTTAGTAGGTGGGGCTCACTTTTGTTCAAGTAATTCTTATGATAATCATTATATCAAAAGAAAAGCAAGAAGTCGATAGTCATACAATTATTCTTACATCCGATGGATTAAAAGTATGATTTTCGTTGAAGATTTTTATATACAAATATGATTAATGTTGTTAAACACAATGTCATTGATATTATCCTAATATGTATTTTAAAATCTATTTTTACGGAATTTGTTATGGATTCGGAAGAGGCTCTTTTAATTTTGTGCATATATTTTATCTCCTTTGACTTTGTCAGATATCTTCGGATATAATATTCTTTTCGTTACTAATATTAATAATGAGATAAAATGGAAAATAGGATATGGTATATATGCGACTGTCCTCTTAAAAATGAACACCGAAGACAAACCTGAAAATTATACATACTAAAAGTACACATTGTTTGTATTCTTCGTCCGTACAAATTTGGCAAAAAGGCAAGCAAATGTTTATATCCGTGTAACTGGGCGTCTGTTTTAGATTTATAATCTGCTCACTCGACACAAAAACACGAGATTATAAAAAAATACCAATACTTCTACTAATTGCACAGCAAATGTTGGTCATGTGTATGTATTCAGCTGATTTGGTTCTATTTAAACAATAATCATAAACTATTGGCAAAACGAAAATCAGTCCAAAACGAAACCATCATTATATGCTCGCATCAAAGTGTTGGGATTTTTTGTTTTAATACGAGAGGCCTACACCGGGGGGGGGGGGGGGGGGGGGCTTCTGCCTCCCCTTACAACCCCTGAAAAAAAAATATGCTTGTGGCAGGAACTTTACGACTTTTCCCATTTTGACCAATTTTGTATTTTTGACTAATATTGAACATTTCCTATTTATTGCAAAACATCAAAGATCATTCCGTGTTTCTGTCCAAAGTGCTTATTTCAAAGGCGAGGATCCTGTGGGATTCCACTAAATAGTTTGATGCAACATAGTCACGATAAATTGACACAGCAACCCTACATAATAATTTATTACAAGCACACACAAAATTATAAGCACACACACAAAAATTGGGTAAAACACTGTTGGGTAATGTTATTTACCCTGACATGAGGTTTCGTCATTCTTGGTGAATCCGGGTAACAATTGACAAAAATCGGGAAGAATTTGCCCAAGAGTGTCGGCAGTTCGTATGCCACTCATCATTAGGCAAAACACCAGCCCGTTTGCCAAACTTTTTTTCAGTGCTATATAGTTTTAAAGTTCACAATAACATAATATTCACTTCATATTGGCGCCATTGTTACATCATACAAGATGAACTATGTCCATGCCATCTGCAAATGTGTGGTTCCATCGCCGCCTCTTTTCGCATCGTTCTTGAGTAAAACGCCCTCTGTTGTCTGACCGACATTTTTACCAGTTTCAATGTTGATCATCGATGTCTCGTCGACGTCTCTGGCGCACTCGCCATCGGGTGAAACACTCCCTTCGTCCGGGTCACGCTTTCTGATGCACAGGCAACAAAAAGGCTTACAGTACCGTTTCAGAATGAAAATCACCACGAGTCCGATGATGGAGAAACAGGCCAAGAAAATCAAGTCGATGATGAGCACTCGCTCGTAGTCGTCAACCATGGTTGATGAATTCTCCTTCTTCTGAAGAAAGATTGAAACTAGTCGCAATCTCCCGTCAAAAGACCCACAGGCACAGGGTTTAAGTCGTGCGTTCTGTTCAATGCCAAATTCAAGTTCACCTTATCCAACTTGCTCCATGCTCGTGCATTCTGTTGCCAAGTCCTGAGTTAACTTATACCGTAAACTTATACCTTTTGCTCGCTCTTGGGGTCAGGAAACGAGAACACCATTCAAGCGAGGAAATGTTCACCCAATTAACCTCAGTAGTCCGTAGACACAGGCAAGCCTCTGGCAGTGCCCTTCCGATTCAACTTCAAAATTGATTCGTACACTTATGATGTGACAAGCAGAAGTGGTGCGAGTTCAAGAGTTTGCAGAGCTCCGTGGGTAGGCCTACAGCATGCTCCGTGCTGCTCGACACGTACCGTACACTCTCAAGTTTTCTCAGTATAGGCTATACAGCATGGAAGTTCCACCCGAAGGTGAAGGCACTTCACACCCGCTATTACACATAAAATAGCCGGGACCAGGAAATATACTTATTTTCTCTCCGGGTCCTGCGTGTAGTTTTGTTTTCATTTCCAACCTCATGTCGAGGCATTGCGGGATTACACTTGTTGCAGAGTCTTCAGAAGGATGTCACTCCCAACCATAGCAATGGCCCAAGTATAGTTGGGACAGACCCAACTACAGGCCCAACTATAGTTGGGGAAATTACCAACTATAGTTGGGTAACGTCCAACTCGATCGCAACTATAGTTGGGACGATGCTTCAGTTGGGCTCAACAAGGATGGACAACCTGTTGTGTACTATGCCCTGTTGTCTAAGTTACTGTTGTGTCATTGTATGGTTCATTCTGATTAATTACGCGTAGACTTTGGACGATATCTTTATGCATCAAAAACGAAAGCACAGTGTCTATGGTCACTGTTCGGTTTTTATTACTACAAAGGTCGTGTTGGTGGTACCCCGGGCCGATTGGATTCGGTTTCGAGAATGTGAGCATTCATACTGATGAAATTTAAAGGAAATATACAACATTTGCAAACATCGAAAAATAAAACTACCAAGTTTTTACGAAATACCTTACTAGGATGTTGGTAAATGACAGTCTAAAGCATCCTGTAAAATTATGGCACCTGGTGTGAAGTCATTTTCAAGAAAATGTTTTTTTGTAAACATTTCCAACGGTGGTCGGCCGACCACCGTTAGAAAAACCTAACTATTTTTCAACTACTGCTCCAACTTTACACTTTTTTCGGTCCAAATTTTGTTTGCTATTGGTTACATGGTCATGAACGGGTGCAGGCCAGCTAGACTGGTTCCCTTACCTTACAATTTTCCGGCATCTATAAATTGATCCATTTTATCTTTAGTGGAGTCAAGCAACCAGACTACTTGAACATTTTTGTTTTTCTTGGTTTTTCCAGCATTTTCGAACACAAAACTTCAAACATGTCAGTGTAACAATATTTGATCTATTATACTAACCCCTCAAATAGTTCATTTCTGAAAATTACAGCAAAAGCCAATGATGTACATTCCCTTTAAGTCGAAAGTAAACATTTATTTCCTCAAAGTTAAAACGAAAAACCTTGGCAAATGCAACACTGACGACAACAGGAAATTGAAAGTACCAGTGTTAATATGATGACAATCCGATTCTGTTTCTACGAAAGTATGAAAAAGTAAAACATAAAAACAGACAAACAATATTCTTTAAACGTTTAAAATAAAATAACAATTAGAATATGAACATTTATCGGCGACTTCTTATAAACTCACAGAGGCTATACAACCAGTTCGTAGCATGGGTGAAATTTAATCATGCATATTCATTTAACGAAAAAATACTTAGCTTCACAATGAATGGTATAGACACGCCCCGTAATTAATCACCATAGCGACATAAGACAAGGCCAGGGGCGATACCCGGAAGTTAATTAATTCATAAAAAAATACATCTATTACTGTAACAATAATTAAAAAAAAAGGACATCTCCGATATTAGTCAGACATCAGGTCTCGTTCAATGTCGCGTGGTTTTTGTAGTCCATCACAATTAGGTTTTATTCACAGAATTGCTATTATTTAAGAAATAAGGAAAAACGTTCGAAACTCCAAGGAATGTCAGATGCTCGTCGGTCGTTTCCAAGGGCGTAAATCCATAGTGGAAGGGGGGGGGGGGGAAATCCCCCACTTTTAGACCAGGAGGATGGGCCATTGGATCGTCTCCCACATTTGTGAGGTGAGAAACCAAACAAAATGCTGATTTTGGGTTTTCTTTTAACTTTCCAGCATTGCAAGTGTATTTAAATAGTTATGAAAAACGGGGAACGTACAGTACAAAAGCTTTAAATCCACGGTGTTGGTGTTTTGATATTTCGACACTTCTAAGTTGCAGTGTTTGGTCTTGTGTCCATTTAAGTCATTTCGCACCCAAAGTCATATCCTCCATCATCGCGGTATCCGCTTGAAACCCCGCCCCCTAAAAGTTGCCATCAGATTTACCGCCCTCTCCCGACAGGTCATCAAATATGGTCCAGCTCATTCAATTTTTGTTCGACACGGCGGCGTCGATCTCAACGACGACCTGTTCATCCAAGACGGCTTTCGTTTCACCCTGTTTCCCTTCCGCCTCCTCCGTACGAGTTTGCGTCGTCTGCTCCGCATCGGTTCCACTGCCGCCATCTTGGTTCCCTACACCGCCCTCTGTCGGCTGGAAACCGCTATTGCTCGCCCCACCCGTTGCTGCCTCACCTTCACTGGTGCCCTGTCGCTCTACCATTGGTTTGCCATGGTCGTCTTTTCTCTTGCTCATAAACAAGCAGCGGCCGGGCCTGTAGTACCTTTGACACAGTAAGGTTAACAGGGATCCAAACACTATAATGCTCCCCAGTACAATCGCGACAACAATGAGGGCGTCAATGTACTCCTGCTCCAGAGCCATGGCGAGCAAATTCCTGAGAGTAGTTCACAAGTTTACAATTTCTGCACTGCCGTTGAAAACTTTGCCGGCGCTGGTGGACCTAGATGTGTCCGATTGTTGGTTGAATTCCGGAGCTTTGCTCCGACACGACCAAGTTCTCTTGAGCTCCTGAAATCTGACCACAGTTTAGAGTAGTGCCGATGATGTGAAAACAAACTGTTGGTTGGTCAGTTTATAGACTAATATTTTTCTCCGCATTTGACTGACGTTTGCAAGATGTACCCACACTCGATGAGCAGGTTGATGTTTCCATTCGTTCAAGTAAAATGTATAATGTTCGAACGCCCAACCTGCACTGCGAATTAAACCCACCACTCCCGGAAAAAGTCCAAAGTCCCTTTCCTTGAAATCCAAAGGATTACCATTCGATGATGTAACTCAGAGAGATATGAAGATACCCCCAATCAGTTAAAAAGAGGTGCTTTAATACGAGCTGGAAAGTTTCTGTACAGAACAACCACTGAAGAGATCGGTCTGCTCTGACGTGAACAAAATTCTTCTGGCCTCTGATCAGGACTGCAGAACCACATCACAACGTCTGTAAAACCAAATTTAAATCCGAGAAGCCTTGTATGCCGCAGTCCTATAAACAGAGTCCACAAAAGATTGTTTGATTAAAAGATACATGCACCACCAGTTCTTCCAACGATAATCAATATTTATTCCTCAGTTTTGTAGCAGACTCATGCGCGTCCCTTTTCGATGATTCCTAAAACTGTGTCAATTTTCCTAAAAATGAGGCAATGTACACACAAACATCCACAGTCAAAATTGCAGCACAAAAGAGGAAGTTTGTTTGAGAAATGAGAATGACACAATGAGTGGATTTTTATTCACATGGCGATTGAAGCATGACGTCACTGCTTCTTTGTATCGCCAGACGAGGAAATGTTGCTCAACTTTCATTTCTATGCGAAGGTATACTTTGTTGACTATAGTAAATCATTGCTTAAACAGTTTGCCTGAGCTGGAATGCAAGGGGAAGTTGCATAACGTACCCAATATTGCAAAATACCAAATCTGATATCATATTCAAACAAAACCTTCAAGCAATTCCTTTTAAATAAATACGCCTTAGCCTTGTTCGCTATTTATCTTGTCATATTTTAATGTATATGCTCCAATAAATTTGTGATCATCTCATTCTAATAAAATTATTGACATGTACGTCCTCTTTCTTTTCACTTTATAAGGAAATCGATTTTTCTCTTGTTTTGTTCAACTTTGAGTCTTTTTCACAATTAACGTTAAGCTACTGATCAGAGGTGTTCTTCTTGATTGTGTTAATGATTTTGTTCTATCATCATTTTTACCTACATATTATTGTAATTTATTTTCATTTGTTCCGGTTTGCCTTCCATCCCCATTGTCTTGTTTCGTTCATGTTTGTTGTGTTTACAATCCATTTGTCTGTGTATATAATCATGCTAATTATCGGGGTCCATACCCACAAGCTCAGCCTTCTTATGGATTCCACATCTGTATTAATTGTATTTATTATCTGCTTATTACCTTGTACTCATGTAAATTATGAGATGAAATAAAGTCAAGTTCAAGTTCAAGTTCAAATGACAAGGAAATTCCGCTTCTATATGGAGAATATTTATTTTATACTCAAAGTTACAAGATCGGTTTTGTGTAGCTCTGCACACGAGCAATAGATCGATTGCATCATTAAAGGGAATGTACATTATTGGTTTTTGCTGTAATTTTCAGAAATGAACAATTTGAGGGGTTAGTATAATAGATCAAATATTGTTACACTGACATGTTTGAAGTTTTGTTTTCGAAAATGCTGGGAAAACCAAAAAACCCAAAAATGTTCAAGTAGTCTGGTTCCTTGACTTCACTAAAGATAAAATGGATCAATTTACAGATGCCGGGAAATTGTGAGGTATAAAGGGAACCAGTCTAGCTGGCCTGCACCCGTTCATGAACATGTAGCCAATAGCAAACAACATTTGGAATGAAAAAAGTGTAAAGTTGGAGCAGTAGTTGAAAAATAGTTAGGTTTTTCCAACGGTGGTCGGCCGGGGGGGGGCGTGGGGGGGGGGGGGGGCAGCCCCATGAAACCTTGTCGCCCCCCAGTCACCCCCCCCACTGAGATTTTGAGTTTCTAAAAAAAATATCATTGATCTACATGACGCCCCCCCCCCATGAAATGTTCCAGCCCCCCCCCCCCCCCCCCAGCGCCCCCCCCCTCCCACTGAAAAATTCCTGGCTACGCCACTGCTTTAATGACACGATGGTTTCTAGTGCACGACATGAAAATGAGATCTCAGTGGTACCTGTGCTTTAAGGTAAAGAAGGAACACCTAATAACTTTTTAGGCAAATATCTAAACCGATGAATCGGGAAAAGGTGTAGGCCACATTCCCCCATGTGAGGCGGCAGCACCTCAATCATAAGAACAAATCTTTAAAATCTAAACATTTATTGCGTTTCATACAAGATTATCAATTGTTTCAAATTTTGTTTAATAAGCGAATAAACGACAAAGTTAATTGGAAGTACTAAAGTAAAATCACTAAAAATCACGATGCAAAGACGTGAGTATTTATTGGAACTTTGTTGAAAATATCATCATTGTTAACAATATGGTCAATTACATTCTAGCTTACAATTTTGGATAGAAGACTAAAGGAAATTGCGTGAATTTTTAGAAATTACGAAAAAAACTACATCATTCTTTTAAGTATTTGAGCAATCAGATTTTTGCGTTCTTTATTTGTTTCGTACCATTCTGAATCATCAAAAATTTAACAAATTGAGTTTAGAGTATCGTTCAGTTACTGGTGATGGTGTTGTCAATTTCGACCACGCAATTGCTGAGCTTGGAGCAGCTTGCCGTACTCTTTGACGAAATGGACTGCGGCTTCCCCGCCTTCTCTCTCCTCGAATTGGTCTTCCGCGGTATCTCGTAGTTATCAAACGCGGTGTTGGCGTAGTACGCGGTCGACCCTGCCTTGCGCCGTGTCGAAAGCTCGAGTTTCCGGGCCTTCCGGCTCCGTTTGCGGTCGAGTTCCAGCTGCGCCTTGCGTTGGTTCTCCCGGCGTCTCCGGCGGCAGGATTCGCACACGAGACAGCCCAGATGCGGGGCAAGCAGGCAGAGGATGCCGAAGACGATCAGCCCGCCGAGTGCTGAACCGACGACAGCGAGGAGAAGTAGAGGGTCACCCGCTATGCCATCAGTTCCTCCGTCTGGATTGAGGGGTGGGTTCGGATCTGGTGGTCGGATGGTCACTGAGGCATTTCTGGAGGAATTGGGACTCTGGGCTATGCAGGTTATCTGGAGACCGTAGTCTAGTTCCCCGACGTCTGAGATGATAAGACGTGACTGTAGGTGTCCAGTCAGGTCCTCCTCGTCATCAATGGTGAACCTTGATTCGAACGAGTTTGAGGAGGAATTAGCCATAGGGGTTACAGTTTCGTTCCCGACTATCCACTGCACATTTTCAACCGGTGGGTTGGCATCACCTGAGCACGTGAGAGTTACAGAGTCGCCAAGACTGGCTTGAGGGTTGGAGGGTAAAATTGTCACCACAGGCGCGTGGAGTACCACAAGAGGGCCTACAGTGCACGACCGTGTTCCTTCCAGCGCTAGATGGTTCTCCTGGCAGGCAAAAACGGCGCCGTCGTCCGCCGGTGCAGCCCGTAAAATCGCGGTAAAATTCGGCCCCGCGCCGGCACTGATTTTGTCATCATGTCTGTACCACGCGAGCTGGGATTCCGGTCTCCCACCGCTTCCACTTACGCAGCTCAGCCGAATTTCATCTCCTTCCGACAAAGGCTCGCAGTATCCCGCGAGACAAGACGGCCCCTCCGGAGGCGCAACAGCCTCCACAACCTCCAACATCCCAGGCAGCCCGTTCACAGTGCGCACTCCATTCGACATCAAACATTCGTATCTACCAGCATCAGATGGCACCAAGTCACTAATAGTGAGATTATAAAACCCGAGGGAGATGTCAACATCAAGTTCAAATCTCAGCTGTTTGACGTAATCCGATGTCCCCAAGCCCAACACCAATTCGTCTTCAACTCTCTCCGCGACCCAGTAAACACCGTACATGCCCTGGTTTGTCACGCGGCAAAAGAGCTGAACGCCCTGCCCACGAATCCCAACGGCGTGTGAAAACTGATCGATGGTTTGTACTTGAGCAACAGTCAGAAGGTCCTCAGTGGAAAGCAGAAAGTAGCAGACGATAAGGACTGAAACTTTTCCCGCCATTTTTGCTCTCTACTCAGTGTTTCGTTGAAAGTTCAATAGGCCTATGCATACCACCTATCTAAACTTCACATTGAACAGCAATCACTGATAAAGTACATGTCATGCAGAACCAGCAACCAATTCACAGACCTTTCACACGTTTTTTCATGAGGGAACCAGTTTCAAGATAGTTATTGTCAAAATTAATTCAACTTCCTTGCACAACAAAGGAACGTATTCAACCCTGACAATGCAATTGAATCTGTTTACACCTCAGTGAACCAGGTAATGGCGGCGAGCAGACATCGCGACACAATAGATTCCAAAAATCTCACGGCTTTAAAATAACATGTCTCTTTTGGTACTCCAGATTTCGTTTCGGCTCTGTCCAAACAATAAATCGGCTATTCTTATAATCGACCCTTAAAATTAAGACCAGCCAGGGATTCAGGGACCAATTAACGGTACAGAAGTGAGAGTTTTTGGTCCACTTTGCCAACTATATCAAAAGACAATTTCGAGACTTATTTCATGTGGACTCCTTTGTTACTCTTTGACCCAATTCAAGAAGAAAATTCAATTTCGAGACTTATTTCAAGTCTGGCATCGCGACGTTACTTGTCCATGGACATCCCTCCCAATCATGCAATACAACACCGAAGTCAGACTTCATTCCCTAAACTTTATCATTGATGGCTTGATACCAAGTCTAGACCTTGTGACAAATTCGTTGAGGGCGCTCTTTTAGGCGTTCCACTTATGTCACGGCCGACCTCGATTTCATGGCTGCAGAACCAGACGCTTATGTAAACAAGACCAGCACTCGAATCAAGGCTAATCCAGACTTAAGCACTCAAAAAAGGGACACTTTCATATGCAAATTTCGTCCGCAACCATGCGGCGTACCATACTGCACTTAGCATTTCATGAAATGTTCAGTGTTTAATGTTTGTCCAATCCTCCTCAATCAAAAGTAAGAATGGAAATGGGCCTCTGAAAATATGCGGCGAAGTGAAAGTAAGATATGTCGAAAACAGCGTTTCTAATACTTGAAATGCAAATGTCACAAAAGTACAATACAACCCCTCCCCGATATTTGCATGAGTCAGAGGGGTCTGTGTTCTTTAATTCTCAGTTTGGTGAGCTTCCCAAAGTGTGGCTTTTCATACCGGAGAGCCTGTGCGACAACACGGTACCCTTGGTGTCAAGGAGGGTCTATTGTATGGGGCTCCTGTTGTGCCTATTGTCCGCTCAAAAAGGGACTATCGATGCATGCTACGTCCATGCTATCTGCAAATGTGTGGTTCCATCGTCGCCTCTTTTCACATCGTTCGTGAGTAAAACGCCCTCTGTTGTCTGACCGACATTTTTACCAGTTTCAATGTTGATCATCGATGTCTCGTCGACGTCTCTGGCGCACTCGCCATCGGGTGAAACACTCCCTTCGTCCGGGTCACGCTTTCTGATGCACAGGCAACAAAAAGGCTTACAGTACCGTTTCAGAATGAAAATCACCACGAGTCCGATGATGGAGAAACAGGCCAAGAAAATCAAGTCGATGATGAGCACTCGCTCGTAGTCGTCAACCATGGTTGATGAATTCTCCTTCTTCTGAAGAAAGATTGAAACTAGTCGCAATCTCCCGCCAAAATACCCACAGGGTTTAAGTCGTGCGTTCTGTTCAATGCCAAATTCAAGTTCACCTTATCCAACTTGCTCCATGCTCGTACATTCTGTTGCCAAGTCCTGAGTTAACTTATACCGTAAACTTATACCTTTTGCTCGCTCTTGGGGTCAGGAACGAGAACACCATTCAAGCGAAGAAATGTTCACCCAATTAACCTCAGTAGTCCGTAGACACAGGCAAGCCTCTGGCAGTGCCCTTCCGATCCAACTTCAAACTTGATTCGTACACTTATGATGTGACAAGCAGAAGTGGTGCGAGTTCAAGAGTTTGCAGAGCTCCGTGGGTAGGCCTACAGCATGCTCCGTGCTGCTCGACACGTACCGTACACTCTCAAGTTTTCTCAGTATAGGCCATACAGCATGGAAGTTCCACCCGAAGGTGAAGGCACTTCACACCCGCTATTACACATAAAATAGCCGGGACCAGGAAATATACTTATTTTCTCTCCGGGTCCTGCGTGTAGTTTTGTTTTCATTTCCAACCAAACGTCGAGGCATTGCGGAATTACACTTGTTGCAGAGTCTTCAGAAGGATGTCACTCCCAACCATAGCAATGGCCCAAGTATAGTTGGGACAGACCCAACTACAGGCCCAACTATAGTTGGGGAAATTACCAACTATAGTTGGGTAACGTCCAACTCGATCGCAACTATAGTTGGGACGATGCTTCAGTTGGGCTCAACAAGGATGGACAACCTGTTGTGTACTATGCCCTGTTGTCTAAGTTACTGTTGTGTCATTGTATGGTTCATTCTGATTAATTACGCGTAGACTTTGGACGATATCTTTATGCATCAAAAACGAAAGCACAGTGTCTATGGTCACTGTTCGGTTTTTATTACTACAAAGGTCGTGTTGGTGGTACCCCGGGCCGATTGGATTCGGTTTCGAGAATGTGAGCATTCATACTGATGAAATTTAAAGGAAATATACAACATTTGCAAACATCGAAAAATAAAACTACTAAGTTTTTACGAAATACCTTACTAGGATGTTGGTAAATGACAGTCTAAAGCATCCTGTAAAATTATGGCACCTGGTGTGAAGTCATTTTCAAGAAAATGTTTTTTTGTAAACATTTCCAACGGTGGTCGGCCGACCACCGTTAGAAAAACCTAACTATTTTTCAACTACTGCTCCAACTTTACACTTTTTTCGGTCCAAATTTTGTTTGCTATTGGTTACATGGTCATGAACGGGTGCAGGCCAGCTAGACTGGTTCCCTTACCTTACAATTTTCCGGCATCTATAAATTGATCCATTTTATCTTCAGTGGAGTCAAGCAACCAGACTACTTGAACATTTTTGTTTTTCTTGGTTTTTCCAGCATTTTCGAACACAAAACTTCAAACATGTCAGTGTAACAATATTTGATCTATTATACTAACCCCTCAAATAGTTCATTTCTGAAAATTACAGCAAAAGCCAATGATGTACATTCCCTTTAAGTCGAAAGTAAACATTTATTTCCTCAAAGTTAAAACGAAAAACCTTGGCAAATGCAACACTGAAGCCAACAGGAAATTGAAAGTAACAGTGTTAATATGATGACAATCCGATTCTGTTTCTACGAAAGTACGAAAAAGTAAAACATAAAAACAGACAAACAATATTCTTTAAACGTTTAAAATAAAATAACAATTAGAATATGAACATTACTTTTATCGGCGACTAAGTATAACTTCACAGAGGCTATACAACAATTCGTAGCATAGGTGAAATTTAATCATGCATATTCATTTAACGAAAAAATACTTAGCTTCACAAGGAATGGTATAGACACGCCCCGTAATTAATCACCATAGCGACATAAGACAAGGCCAGGGGCGATACCCGGAAGTTAATTAATTTACAAAAAAAAAATACATCTTTTAACTGTAACAATATAACAAAGGAAATCTGTGATATTAGTCAGACATCAGGTCTCGTCCGATGTCGCGTGGTTTTTGTAGTCCATCACAATTAGGTTTTATTCACAGAATTGCTACTATTTAAGAAATATAAGTTTGAAACTCCAAGGAATGTCAGATGCTCGTCGGTCGTTTCCAAGGGCGTAAATCCGTAGTGGAAGGGGGGGGGGGGAAATCCCCCACTTTTGGACCAGGAGGATGGGCCATTGGATCGTCTCCCACATTTGTGAGGTGAGAAACCAAACAAAATGCTGATTTGGGTTTTCTTTTAACTTTCCAGCATTTCAAGTGTATTTAAATAGTTATGAAAAACGTAGAACGTACAGTACAAAAGCCTTAAATCCACGGTGTTGGTGTTTTGATATTTCGACACTTCCAAGTTGCAGTGTTTGGTCTTGTGTCCATTTAAGTCATTTCGCACCCAAATTCATATCCTCCATCATCGCGGTATCTGCTTGAAACCCCGCCCCCTAAAAGTTGCCATCAGATTTACCGCCCTCTCCCGACAGGTCATCAAATATGGTCCAGCTCATTCAATTTTTGTTCGACAAGGCGGCGTCGATCTCAACGACGACCTGTTCATCCAAGACAGCTTTCGTTTCAGCCTGTTCCCCTTTCGCCTCCTCCGTACGAGTTCGCGTCGTCTGCTCCGCATCGGTTCCACTGCCGCCATCTTGGTTCCCTACACCGCCCTCTGTCGGCTGGAAACCGCTATTGCTCGCCCCACCCGTTGCTGCCTCACCTTCACTGGTGCCCTGTCACTCTACCATTGGTTTGCCATGGTCGTCTTTTCTCTTGCTCATAAACAAGCAGCGGCCGGGCCTGTAGTACCTTTGACACAGTAAGGTTAACAGGGATCCAAACACTATAATGCTCCCCAGTACAATCGCGACAACGATGAGGGCGTCAATGTACTCCTGATCCAGAGCCATGGCGAGCAAATTCTTGAGAGTAGTTCACAAGTTTACAAATTCTGCACTGCCGTTGAAAACTTTGCCGGCGCTGGTGGACCTAGATGTGTCCGATTGTTGGTTGAATTCCAGAGCTTTGCTCCGACACGACCAAGTTCTCTTGAGGTCCTGAAATCTGACCACAGTTTAGAGTAGTGCCGATGATGTGAAAACAAACTGTTGTTTGGTCAGTTTACAGACTTGTATTTTTCTCCGTATTTGACTGACGTTTGCAAGATGTAACCACACTAGATGAGCAGGCAGATGTTTCCATTCGTTCCTGTAACGCACAACCTGCACTGCAAATTAATCCCACCACTCCCGGAAAAGGTCCAAAGTCTCTTTCCTTGAAATCCAAAGGATTACCAGTCGATGATGTAACTCGGAGAGATATGGAGATACCCAATCAGTTAAAAAGAGATGCTTACGAGCTGGGAAGTTTCGGCACTACCAAAACAACAACTGAAGTCAAAATCGGTCTGCTCTGACGTGAACAAACTTCTTCCGGGCCCTGATCAGCCTGAATGGGTACCACATCACAAAGTCTCCATGTAAAACCAAATTTGAGAAGTATGTATGCTGTCCTAAAGAGTCTACAAAAGATTGTTTGACTAAGATACATGCACCACCAGTTCTTCCAATGATGTCGACACAGTCAATATTTATTCCTCAGTTTTGCAGCAGACTCACGCGCGTCCCTTTCCGATGATTCCTTAAACTGTGTCCACTTCCGTGTGGTGCTGTGCTACACAATTTTCCTAAAAATGAGGCCACGTACATACACACAAACATTCACAGTCAAAATTGCAGCAGAGAAGGGGAAGTTTGTTTGAGAAACGAGAATGACACAATGAGCGGATTTTTTTTCACATGGTGATTGAAACATGACGTCACTGCTTCTTTGTATCGCCAGACGAGGAAATGTTGCTCAACTTTCATTATTATGTGAAGGTATACTTTGTTGACTATAGTAAATCATTGATTAAACAGTATGTACAGTGCCCACAATACCAAACCTGATATCATATTAAAACAAAACCTTCAAGCAATTCCTTTTAAATAAATACGCCTTAGCCTTGTTCGCTATTTATCTTGTCATATTTTAATGTATATGCTCCAATAAATTTGTGATCATCTCATTCTAATAAAATTATCGACATGTAGGTACTCTTTCTTTTCATTTTATAAGGAAATCGATTTTTCTCTTGTTTTGTTCACATTTGAGTCTTTTTGATATACTACTTTACTGCTCCTAGAGTTTTTATGATTGTATAGTAGTAACTGTGTTTTGTATATGTACATGTTATGATATATTTTGGTCTTGTCATGTTTTGTTTATTTTTTAAATTATTGGATGTACACATATTTTTAATTGTACACTGGGAAATGAAGTTTCATGTAATTTTGAGCATGGCAATAAAGAAATCTAATCTAATCTAATCTAATCTAAGACACCACGTACCCTTTAATGACACGATGGTTTCTAGTGCACAAACTTGCCGCCATATTCGACATGAAAATGAGATCTCAGTGGTAACTGTGCTTTAAGGTAAAGAAGGAACACCTAATAATTTTTTAGGCAAATATTTAAACCGAGGAATCGGGAAAAGGTGTAGGCCACATTCCCCCATGTGAGGCGGCAACACCTCAATCATAAGAACAAATCTTTAAAATTTAAACATTTATTACGTTTCATACAAGACTATCAAACGTTTCAAATTTTGTTTTAATAAGCTAATAAACGACAGAGTTAATTGGAAGTACTAAAGTAAAATCACTAAAAATCACGATGCAAAGACGTGAGTATTTATTGGAGCTTTGTTGAAAATATCATCATTGTTGGCAATATGGTCAATTACATTCTAACTTACAATTTTGGATAGGAGACCAAAGGAAATTGCGTGAAATTTTAGAAATTACGAAAAAAAACAACATCTTTTAAGTACTTGAGCAATCAGATTTTTGGGTTCTTTATTTGTTTCGTACCATTCTGAATCATCAACAATTTAACAAATTGAGTTTAGAGTATCGTTCAGTTACTGGTGATGGTGTTGTCAACTTCGACCACGCAATTGCTGAGCTTGGAACAGCTTGCCGTACTCTTTGACGAAATGGACTGCGGCTTCCCCGCCTTCTCTCTCCTCGAATTGGTCTTCCGCGGTATCTCGTAGTTATCAAACGCGGTGTTGGCGTAGTACGCGGTCGACCCTGCCTTGCGCCGTGTCGAAAGCTCGAGTTTCCGGGCCTTCCGGCTCCGTTTGCGGTCGAGTTCCAGCTGCGCCTTGCGTTGGTTCTGCCGGCGTCTCCGGCGGCAGGATTCGCACACGAGACAGCCCAGATGCGGGGCAAGCAGGCAGAGGATGCCGAAGACGATCAGTCCGCCGAGTGCTGAACCGACGACAGCGAGGAGAAGTAGAGGGTCACTCGCTATGCCATCAGTTCCTCCGTCTGGATTGAGGGGTGGGTTCGGATCTGGTGGTCGGATGGTCACTGAGGCATTTCTGGAGGAATTGGGACTCTGGGCTATGCAGGTTATCTGGAGACCGTAGTCTAGTTCCCCGACGTCTGAGATGATAAGACGTGACGGTAGGTGTCCACTCAGGTCCTCCTCGTCATCAATGGTGAACCTTGATTCGAACGAGTTTGAGGAGGAATTAGCCATAGGGGTTACAGTTACAGAGTTACAGAGTTACAGAGTCGCCGAGACTGGCTTGAGGGTTGGAGGGTAAAATTGTCACCACAGGCGCGTGGAGTACTACAAGAGGGCCTACGGTGCACGACCGTGTTCCTTCCAGCGCTAGATGGTTCTCCTGGCAGGCAAAAACGGAGCCGTCGTCCGCCGGTGCAGCCCGTAAAATCACGGTAAAAATCGGCCCCATGCCGGCACTGATCTTGTCATCATGTCTGTACCACGCGAGCTGGGATTCCGGTCTCCCACCGCTTCCACTTACGCAGCTCAGCCGAATTTCATCTCCTTCCGACAAAGGCTCGCGGTATCCCGCGAGACAAGACGGCCCCTCCGGAGGCGCAACAACCTCCACAACCTCCAACATCCCAAGCAGCCCGTTCACGGTGTCCACTCCATTCGACATCACACATTCGTATCTACCAGCATCAGATGGCATCAAGTCACTAATAGTCAGATTATAAAACCCGAGGGAGATGTCAACATTAAGTTCAAATCTCGGCTGTTTGACGTAATCCGATGTCCCCAAGCCCAACACCAATCCGTCTTCAACTCTCTCCGCGACCCAGTAAACACCGTACATGCCCTGGTTTGTCACGCGGCAAAAGAGCTGAACGCCCTGCCCACGAATCCCAACGGCGTGTGAAAACTGATCAAGGGTTTGTACTTGAGCAACAGTCAGAAGGTCCTTAGTGGACAGCAGAAAGTAGCAGACGATAAGGACTGAAACTTTTCCCGCCATTTTTGCTATCTACTCAGTGTTTCGACCAATTAACAGTACAGAAGTGAGAGTTTTTGGTCCACTTTGCCAACTATATCAAAAGACAATTTCGAGACTTATTTCATGTGGACTCCTTTGTTACTCTTTGACCCAATTCAAGAAGAAAATTCAATTTCGAGACTTATTTCAAGTCTGGCCCAATCACGCAATACAACACCGAAGTCAGACTTCATTCCCTAAACTTTATCATTGATGGCTTGATACCAAGTCTAGACCTTGTGACAAATTCGTTGAGGGCGCTCTTTTAGGCGTTCCACTTATGTCACGGCCGACCTCGATTTCATGGCTGCAGAACCAGACGCTTATGTAAACAAAAACAGCACTCGAATCGAGGCTAATCCACTTCAGCACTCAAAAAAGGGACACTTTCATATGCAAATTTCGTCCGCAACCATGCGGTGTACCATACTGCACTTAGCATTTTATGAAATGTTCAGTGTTTAATGTTTGTCCAATCCTCCTCAATCAAAACTAAGAATGGAAATGGGCCTCTGAAAATATGCGGCGAAGTGAAAGTAAGATATGTCGAAAACAGCGTTTCTAATACTTGAAATGCAAATGTCACAAAAGTACAATACAACCCCTCCCCGATATTTGCATGAGTCAGAGGGGTCTGTGTTCTTTAATTCTCGGTTTAGTGAGCTTCCCAAAGTGTGGCTTTTCATACCGGAGAGCCTGTGCGACAACACGGTACCCTTGGTGTCAAGGAGGGTCTATTGTACGGGGCTCCTGTTGTGCCTATTGTCCGCTCAAAAAGGGACTATCGATGCGAATCCGGTTCGACCTACTGACGGAATTTCACTTGATTAAAGGCCATTGTGCAAGATTATATCATTCCTTCCAACAGAAACACTGCTTACTTCGTGAGCAAGTATCACATTCATTATATTTTTTAAACAGAAGTGGTATTGATGGTATTGTTAAAAAGACTTTATAGTTCTGCACAAGAGGGTCATAAAGTGAGAAGTTGAACTGTGGCACTGCAATAAATTTGCTGATCTCTTTAAACTTTTTCGACATGAATAGCGCATCAAGCTGTAGGGTCAGAGCGCACCCACGCAAAATAAAATTTTGATTGAGTACACACGTTGACCCACTACCAACACCTTACGTGGGTTTATAGCTCGTACTGTGAAAACATTAGGGCGGTTACTGACGTGACAGGATAATACGCGGTGTGCCACTTGCAGTGTCAGTGGACCAATTTCGCTGCGGAGTTCGAGTGTTTGCTTTGGATCTTGTAAGGAACAGTGTTCACTTTTTCAGGACTGAAGTGAATTCATCTTCTGGGATTCGACTGAATGAGAGCAGGTAATTGTGGACTGGATTGTTAGAGATCGTTGGTATTGGAATACAAAGAATAAGATGGCAGTGTGGAATGGTGTGAGAGTACTGTGTTTCGTGATCGCTGTGACAATTACCGGGGTTTGGGCCCAACTGGAACCTTCCTTCGCCGTTCGGCCCTCGGCTACAGTGGGCGCCGTCGGTCACTCCGTTACCATCTACTGCACCATAGCCAACCTGGGCCGGCAGCACCAGGTGTTCTGGAACGTCGATGCGGCCCAGGATTTCACCCTGGGTCCCGACACCAACGTGCACGCCTCCTATCCCCGCTTCCAATTCGTGGGGGACCGGTCCAGCGGCCAATTCAACCTGCAGATTGCCAACGTAAGCAGTACAGATGAGGGGACGTACATCTGTCTGGTCCGCGATCTGACCGATGAAGGTCCAGTCAAGGAAGCCCAAGCAAAACTGACCGTTATTGACAACCCCATGTCGCCAGATTCTGGTTATCCACGATGCCTAAGAAGTCCACTGAGAACTGTAAACATGCCGACAGGGGTGTACATGAAGGATGATACCTTAACCCTCACTTGTACCTCCAAAGGGGGCGTGCCCCTCCCACAACACTCCTGGGTCAGAGTCAACATTGATGACACCGTCAACGATCTGAAAAGTACGACGACTGCCATCGTCGACGTGGTAACCACTGAGGCTAAGATTACCCTATCCAGCAGGGACAATCAGGCTTACTACAAGTGTATCGAGACCCACCCCGCCAGGCCTGGCGATGACAGAGATTGTATGACACCGTTCTCTGGCTCTGAGTCCCGCATGGACGTTCGCTTCGCACCGGAAGTTGACATCACTCCAGATGTGGTCACCGTCGAGATCCTTGGTGTCACCAAGGTGACACTAGTCTGCGAAGCCAACAGCAACCCTCCGCTCACCGAGAAACCGCAAATCATCCTCCCAGTGAACAAGACAGGTGTTTACCCCAATGAGATGGACAGGTCTCTGGTGGAGGTCGAGATGACCACGGATGACATCGGTAAGGACTTTTTCTGCATAGCGCAGAACGACCTAGGCGTCGGTGAAGACCGAGTTGACGTACAGATGGGGTCGTTCCCAACATGGCTGATACTCGTCATCATTGGCGGGATCGCAGTCGTCCTCTTCTTCGTCTTCGTCTTGATCGCGTGCGTCTGTTGCATCGACAGACCGGACCCAGTTGAGGACGTGAAGGAGAAGGACCCGAACCTCTTGCGAGTCACCCCAAAGAGGTCCACCAAGCGCAGGTCCCTGAGACACGAGGGGGAGGACGAGTTCTTGGACGACGGCATGATTCCCATCGATAACTTCCAAGGCGGTCATGAGAATCTTGACGTTGAGGAGGCCCGGGAGGACAAGGCGGAAGAACTTGCTATCAACTCAGACTTCGAGACGGGAGAGAGGGGTCCGAGGTACCAGAACGTCAACGAAGTGATGCAGGAGGTCAATGCCTTAGACCACCCAGATGATGAGATCCTTGCTCCTTACAACCCTGAACCTCCAGTAGATGAAGCTGAGCCCATCCCTGTCGATTTAGTTGAGTAAACATCCTTAATAGTGCACTGTGATATCCTACGCATCTTTACGACCTATAACCTTAAAAGGCTGTGTCCGAACTCTACCAGTTTATCGTGTTGAATTTAACACTCTTGGTATATATCACGGGAAAATGATCCTACATAAATATCACCTCATTCATTTCAATGAAAACACGGTTTGGTGTCCAGCTGCGGACATCCAACGTAGCGTGTCAATATCAAATCCAAAGCTGTAACCTTAATACAAACAGACACCATAATACAGAGCTGCTAAGCCAAAAACAAAGTTGCTAAGCTGAGAATATATCTGCTAAGGCAAACAAGGGCACCAGCCAAAATGTTGCATTATGTGAACTGCTTGTAACTGCTTTACGACAGCTTTTTTGCTCAGCAAGGAAATTAAATCTGCTAATCAGAGTTTCCTGCTAAGCAATTCCATGAAATTGGTCCAAATTCGAACGCAGCCTGGAAGGTCTTATGTCGAATAATTTTCAAATTTATACCAGCGTATAGCTTAACATCATATTTCAGAGGTGGAGGGAATTGGCTAACACTACTATAAATGATCTGAAATCTCGTGTTAAAATGTCGGCTGGGCCAAGTTGGTTTATGTGCTTAACAAGAACGATTTTTTTGTTTAATTTTGTCAATATCCCTTCAGTGTATACAGAAATCAAATTACATGTATTTGGCGAACTTTAAATCAGCACCGGGTAAGAAGCAGGGGTCCACCAAAAGTTGGATGAATTCGCTATGGGTTAGTGAACACAAACTTGTTAGGAACCATAACATAGTTCATAAATGACATAGTATACAGTGTTTATGAATTACGTCGGCGAAGGGCAAAAACCCCAATATAAAATTTAGCTCCAATTTTAGAGCACAATTGTGTTATAATTGACACCTCTCGCGTATTCACTTCAGTTCCTGTTTCACTTAAAAATGATTTTTGAAGTTATGAAAGCAACAGCCAACACACTTCACTTTAACCGTAATGTGCAAAAGGATGAAACTGCAATTTATGTCTTCAATTTTGTAATAGTCAAACCGACATCAAGCTAGCTATACATTAAAGTGACGTTGTAGATGTAAACATTTCTGCATTGCCGAAGTTTTTTAAAACATGTTTAATTGATTCTTTTTATTAAGTAAGCCTGGTGTATACCGTATAAATGCAACTCATAATAAGACTTTTTGTAAAATCGTAGTGGTGACAGATTTTTAATTTTTTTTTACTTTTGACTTTTTACCCTGCTGAGAAGTATGCCATGTCAATAAAGAATTTCTTATATGAAATTGTAGTTTTAGGTAGAGCTTGAAAGTATATAAATATTTTCATCAGTAAGTGATTTCTGAATTTGTTTTCTTTACAAAACCTTGAAAATTGTGTCTATGCTGGAGCTTTGTAAAAAGCCAGGAGCGATAATTTGAAGGGTTTTTTGTCTTCCCTATATCACGTGACAATTTTTCAATATGGCGGAAATCGCCGGGTGCTTGTTACATTTTGAAAAGTTGTGTCAGAAGACAAGTTACAGATGGATAAAATTATTGCTTGATGTCTTGTAATGCGCTTTCTTGTAAATCATTGGGATATGTATTATGTAACAGCAATTTATTTTTACTGTAAAGGAAGTGCTTTGTATATTTTGTCACATTAAAAACATGTACTTTGCTTTTATGTTTTTGTTTTTGAAATTTCTTGCAAATTTGTGCCAAGTTTTTGAAAAGTTTCACTAGAAATGTCTTCCAATTCATTTCCCAAATTATATACTCTACACGTGTAGTTGATGTAACAAGGTGTCGTCATGCAAACTTTGTAACCCAACTATCCGTTGAAAACGGTAAAGCAAATGCAAGGTGGTACTTTATTCCTGTTTAAATTTGTACTTGGGCTTTGTGACATAAAGTAACCAAACGGAAAGGATTATTTTTAGTATAATTGGAATATTTTGTTACATTTCCAGCGAATATCGATGTCGATGGTACATGGAATGGAGGATTAATGTTTGAGTCACGGTAAAATGTCATCTAAACAGCTTATTCAGCTCATTTTTGGAGGACACACCTTTAGTGGGCAGATATAAGGAAACATTTGGGGGAATTGTGCCTTTGATGATACAAACATGGCATTTGGCACACAGAGTTTGTCTTAAGAAAGATATTTGGCTCTAGGGCCATCCCAGAATTGTCCTTTGAAAAATTAGAGGTAGAATAACAAGAAATGTGCACTTTTTTTTAAAAGGGCTTCGCAGCATTGCTTGTTATTCTACCTATATTTCCACAAAGGACAAATCTGCGATGGCCCTATAGCCAAATATCTTTCTCATGGCATTCTCTGACTGTGTGCCAAATGCCATGCTTGTATCATCAAAGGCAGAACTCTGCAGCTATCTGCCGTACTACTTGACACACGCACAAATCGTTGAAAACTGTCAGCAATAATTTGTTCTTAACACGATCTAACTTATTTGAGATACCATGTATCATGTCTACAGCATCCGGTACAGTTCAGTTCTTACTTGTCGAAAAGTGTTCTCACACACAAATGTTTCACATTCCTTTCGTTAAAAAAATGGTCTAATAACAATAATGCGGTGAAGGGTAGACATCTATCCAAACACGCTCACCGAAAAAGGGCGTATTCCCCCAAACAGTCAAATATCAATACTTTAGGGTGTAACATTCATGTGGGAACGGGCAACAAGAAATATTTCCATATCAAACTACTACCCAATGTTATGAGTCATGTGAGCTTGTAGTTACCCTGATCTCAATGGGGGCTTAGGCACCCATTGTCCGCACCATTTTACCCCATTGTGTTCTCTGTTTTCACAAGTGAAAACTACGCCGAGTGAAGTATATGCGCTGGTCAAACATTCACGCTAAAAACCCTTTTGGACGGGCGTATTTATACTAGAGGGGTGTTGCAAATATATTCATCAGTTTGCATGCGCATTTTGCGACACTCACAAATTGTTCAGGTCATTACTTGTTCATAATCATACTTGATAAATATGTAATTAAATGGAAATGTATTTTGTGTATCGCGTTGACGGGTTTCGTGATCCTGTTGCTCTTAGTGTGAAACAAGGAACACCCCTTTTATGTGATAAATTATTCAGCTATACAAAATGAAACTTCCACAGGTTGAGGTTCAGACGACAGCGGCCTACGTAACCGCGCCCAGGTGTGTTTCGTTGTGAGTAATAAGCATAGACAGTGCAGTCGACATGCATGACATGAGTATAATTCGCCGGCCTACACACCAAAAAAATAACCGTAGATTCTGCTGAACGTTCTGTGAGTTAGTATCGTACAGAGGTGATGCGATGTGGCAAAGGTCTCCATCATTTCTCACATCTGGATGTTTAACACTGAGTAGTCGCCTTTGAGATTGCCGGCTTAGTCATAGACAGCAGGTGAAGACATCACTGATATTTTAACAAAGGTCTCAGTTGTCACTTTACCGGTTGTTGACTTATTTGGATGTTTGGATCGAAGATGGCTTTTTGGCAAGGTGTGACGCTCTGCGTTGTCGTCGCTTTATTGACAACGACAAGTGTCCTGTCACAGACTGTTCCACCGCCGTCCTTCTCCGTGCGACCCAGCAACACGGTGGCAGCTATGGGGCACGAGGTTATCTTCTACTGCACCGTGGTCAACCTTGGCCGTCATCAGGTGTTCTGGAACATCGACCAGCGATCGGCTGCGAACGCCGCCGCGAAAGAGTTCACCATCGGCCCCAATGCCAACACCCATAACAGCTACCCTCGCTTCCAGTTCGTAGGGGATGGAGGGAACGGAGAGTTTAACCTCCGCATTTCCGATGTAAAAGCAGACGATGTAGGAAGATACACCTGTCTTGTGAGTGACCCCAACGACCCTACCTCCTCGGCCATGGAGGCTGGCGCCACGCTGACTGTCCTCGATTCTCCCGTTGCACCGATGCCTGGCTTTCCCCAGTGTACCAGGGCGCCAGACCCCAACCCAATGGGATTCTACAATGAAAGCGAAGTCTTGACACTGACTTGCATTACCATGGGAGGGGTGCCCCTCCCCAACCTGTCCTGGGTCAGGGTGAGAGATGACAATACAACCGAGACTCTGCCAATCCGTACTGTCAGAAGTGGTGATGTTGTAACAGCCGAGGCCAAAGTCGATCTGTCGAGTGTCGATCACAAGTCGTTCTACCGATGTGTCGAGACCCATCCCAGTGGCACTACGGGGCGGACCTGCACCGTATCCTCAAACGGGTCCGGTTCGCAGCCGTCCCTTGACGTCCGCTTCAAACCCGTGGTCAGTATCACCCCCGATGTGGTCAATGTCGAGCTTCTTGAAACCGTGACTGTCGACCTGAGGTGCGAGGCGTACGCCAATCCCCCCTTGACTAGCAGTCCGGTGATTATTCTCCCTGAGAATAAGACTGGTGAGGCCATCAGCGAAGATGATCTGACGAAGACGGCAACTAGGGTCGATTTGACCACGGAAGACGTCGGGAAAGACCTCTTCTGCCGCGCAGTCAACAATCTAGGTGTCGGTGAGGCCAGTGTGGATGTCCGACGCTTGGGATGGCCAACATGGCTGATCCTCGTCGTCATTGGCGCCATTGCTGTGGTGCTCTTCATCTTCATCGTGGTGATCGCCTGTGCCTGCTGCGTGGACAGGTCGGGACAGGAAGACGAGAAATACAAAGACCGACTGCGATACTCCGTGAACAGGTCACACCAGACCTCCAGACGACACGAGGGAGTGGGTGATGGGGACTACATCGACGGGTACGAAGATGAAGACATTGTCCCCATCGAAGACTTCCAAGGAGGGCATGAGTTGGCTGAGATGCAGGAGCACCAGAAGGACTCCAGCACAAGCAACGACTTCGAGACGGGAGAGAGAGGCCCGAGGTATCAGAACGTCAACGAGGCGTTCCAGAGTGACAACAACTCATTTTCTCAGTCCAATCCATCGTCTTCGGAGCCCATAATTGACCCCGACTTTGAATAGACTCTCTAGATGGAATGGCGCCGATAACCACAATGGCTTGGGGAAAATGAGAAATAGTAACAGTTTTGGTCAATATCCAGAAAGATATTTGGATTTTGTCATGTATAATGGTCCGATCTTACACAATGCAGATATAATTGAAAACAAAACCACATGGAATGCACGAAATAAAATAAACCTAGCTAAATGTGTTTAAAAACGTACAGTTTTTTTAACGGTGGCGGGAATAAGTTCCAAAAAATAAACCATCAGAATTCGTAAATTCCATCTAAGATGATTCGAAAATTCAGGATCTTGAAGTTTAGTGATACACAAAAATACCTTTGCGTGTTGGATGCGTTCGGAGGATAGGGTCTGTATCTTGAACGAAAGGTCACATCGAGAGGAGAAAGTACATTGGTCATTAAGACATTTGAATGGTCATGACGTCATTTTAAACATGACGACAGGCCTGACGCCATACAAACATGCAGGCTATGTACTTTTCCTTTGGATTTGATCATCTTTTTTTTAAATGGTACGTACGGTTATGGTTGCTCCAAAGAAGTTCTGAGGGATCGAGGTTGAAAACTTTAAACTTTTTGTTTTTTACGTCGTTTCCATCGAAATGTGCAACTTCAGTCGTTCTTTTAAATATTATCATTCACTAATGACCGATCTTTTGTTAATGATTGGCGCTAAATGCTAATTTGCCGTGTAGAATTGCAAGCATATCAGCCTGTTTACCAAAACTATGTCTTTCGAATCAAGGGCGCGGCCATCTTGTCTTGTCCCTAGAGGTAGCAGGCTGTTGCCAAGTTGGTCAGCAAAAATAGACCAGCCTATTTTGCTCAAACTACAGCTGCGTAAAAAGAAAGCACATTTTGTAATTATTTCAAAGCTAAGATAAAAAGGCTTACTTTTTTCAGTGACGAGAAAATGCAAGATACAGGAATCAGACAAAAAAATGTAGTACATGTATAAGCAATTAGATTGCTCCGCATTTTTGCTGTAATTTAAAGATTTGCTGTCAATTTGTGCCAATTATGTCCTTATGGTGATTGCTTTGCTGTATATTACGTTACTTTGGGATTACAAGGGATGACATGTAGAATTATAGAAACTATAGAAATAAAAGGACATACATTGTATCTTCATTGATATTAGGTTAAAAATCACATTCTGTGTTTTAATATTAAAATTATTATGGACCTATTTTTAAGAAAAAAAAATTGATTCAAAAATTTGATTGGGTGATGATTTTGTTGATACAAGTGGGTATTGTACGATCTTCTGTTATTCTCTATAACTATATATGAATTGTCAGGGTATTTGAATTGTGATCATTTTTCATTTAATATCTAAATTAATGACAATCAAGTTGCCAAGAAATATGATTTACATGCCTTATATAGATACCTATGCAAACGGATCACATATTTTTTAATTATGCAAATGATCAGAATTTTTCTCTGATCCTTGTACATAAAAGTGAAAACTGCAAGTTATAATTGTAAATATTTGCCTGGGCCTTCATCCGACTTTGAAAAAAAGAAAAGCTAAGCGCTATTTGTATTGGTGTAAAAAGTAGGGGAAAAGATTTAATCCTTTATTATAAAGCTTAGAATTTGAAAAACAATGAAATCGACGTCACAATGCTTGTAAATTTATTCAAAAGAATTAAAATATAAATCTGTTCACACAGAAACTATTTTTTTACATTATTGGAATGAATTACAGGCTAACATACAGTCATGTAGCGAAAATTTGAAAGTGAAGCAAAGGATCTTGTTAATTACTCGCCATTGTGTTGTATTCGTATCTCACTGTTTGAAATGTTATTTCTACAGTACATCAACATCTCTTAACGTACAATCATCAAACGGGAATATTTCGTTTAAACATTACGAAAAAAAACACCATTATTTTGTATTTAAAAATTGGGATATTTTAAACGATAATAAATAATGCTTATGGATGCAAAAAAAGAGAGATCATGCCTCTAGTTTGACTTTCCATACTCAATTTCTTTTCCTTATCGAGTTTATTGGGCTGATCGACGAATTAGTGCATGGACCCAATATTACATTATTTTCTCTAGAGTACGAAAGCCTTATCATTAGTGTCACTTGCTACAAAAAAAACCATCCCGAGCGTGTTCCTTTTTTAAATAAGTGTTTATTACATTGATAAGGCAAGACGATGGCGCAGTGGCACTGCCCTCGCCTGTCACCTCAGTGGCCCGGGTTCGATTCCCACCGAGGTCAGCATTCGGAAATAGCTTAGTCCCTTCCTGACTCTGTAAATTTCCCTGGAATATCGTTCCGGAAGTTTCCTTTCGGAACTAGAGTTGAATAATTCATCGTCCGAAGACGCCTACTGGCTATAAGGTTTCAACTAAAAAGCTACAGTCTCGGAGCTCTTTTGACCACCAATATTGAAATTAAAATTATTTACATGATTTTAGGAGTTTAAGGACTCGAAACCGAGAAGAAATGGCTAAATTATGACAAACTACTTTCTGATGTAATAAAGCGGTCCTGCCGTGTGTTTATAATGCTTTAAAAGGCAGTCAGTCTGTAAAATTATAATATTCACTATCGAAACTACAGCACCTGTTTCTTTTCATGGCGAATAATGGCTCGAGCACCGAGGCTGGCAAAAACATCTGCATGCCATCCAAATTTGATGGGAAGAATTTCCGCAATTATGAAGAATTGTGACAATTTTTATGTCCATGCAAAATTGTTTCCAACGACGATGGAAATTGGAAAGCAGACGCCATGACTATATGCTTCTACCATTAGGTCTGACCTCTGGTAGAATCAAGTACATGGAAACCCACTCGTATGCATTTGATGCAATAAGTTATATTTAGGTCGAAACTATTTTTGCTTTTGGCATAATGCTCATTACAAAATCAGTCCAGTAACCCTTATGATTCATGTACACCTTCTGATCGATAAGACGAGTATTCAACCTTCATTTCAAATTTATCAAACGATCGATGTTTGCCCTTTTGCATATGAACTTTCCAAAGACATTTATAGAGTGGGCCATCGCAGATTTGTCCTCTGAAAAACTATATGTAGAATAACAAGCAATTTTCAAAATTTTCAAAATGGCTGCCATTGCTTGTTTATTCTAACTATAATTGTGTCAGAGGGCAAATCTGCGATGGCCCTGTAGCCAAACATTTGTCTCTTGACATATTCTGACTGTGTGCCAAATGCCATGCTTGTATCATCAAAGGCACAATCCCTGCAACTATCTGCCATTAATATATCAAAGGTGAAGTCATAGAAAAATAAAAATGGCGGCCGTCATTTTTTTGATCGTGACTCAAACGCCAGAGAACGTAAACAGTGGGCGGTTTATTCTTTCCGTCTCTGGATGAAAAGAACCCAAATTCCGACGCCCATGGGAACCAACTCGATCAGCAGCCCGCTGAATACAAGCCTCACAGGTCGGTGGATACGAGGTCACTGCCAAACACAAAGTTGAAAAGAGAAGCATGAAAGGAAATAACTTTGGCCGAGACAGAAAATAATTATTGTTCTTCCTGTTTTTGGTTCGTATCACGCACAGGTACATGTTCAACCACTGTATTGTACTCAAAACCTAAAAGGTTATATTCATCCACTATTGCAACTGGACATTTACCAACACTTATATTTAGACTTGACTACGTGCACTTTGTCAAGATTGCGAAAAAATACTCTTTTAGTATTTTTGTTTTGGGGATTCAAATCGACATGAAGTTGTATTCAATTGTGCTAATTCTTTTTTTAAAGATTCGACGTATGAAGTGGGATTTTCTTTTGAATCTAGGCCTACGTTTGTCGGCGAAAATTTTCTTAGAGGACGCTTCTAAATCAATTACACTTGACAATTTAACACCAATGCAACAGCTCACTTCCTGGACACAAACAAGAATCAGTCGTCCAAATATTTCCTCTTCTTTAAAAATGAACACTTACGATTCTTGAGTGTATCTCACTGAAAATTTACACATATCAAAGCATTAATTTCAATCAAACTGGTTGAAGATTACTTGCCAATCACGCCCATCCTTCTTCTGAAATTCAGAAATCTTTGATGATAATTTTTTTTTCAAAAGATTTTACTTTTCGTGAAGAAATGTGAAAATTTGGAATAAGAATCTGTTTTTCGATTTCAGTGCCCCCACACCATAGTAAAGTGATTACAGGTGCGGCGGGCCCCTCTTTAAAAATCAGTAAGATGTAATAATTCACGCCCACTAATTGTCAGCAATCTAGCTCCTCCCTTCCCCTTATCCAAGTGTGGGCGTTCATTATGTTCATGGCGGCCGGTAGGTGGCGTATATACTTGCCATGATTTTTGGCCCCAACACTATCAGCAATATCGACAAATACTGAACCGATGTGATCGCTCGTTCCCACAGAAAGCGAAACCATACAGTCACGCACCATTGATCCCAATGAAAAGCTTATGCCAGACGCATTCATATGCAAAACTGATATGAGCCATTCCAATCCAACCGTTTCAAGTAAGCTGCATGTACGTTATTACATGTACTTTGGTTTATCCACGAAGCGGTAAAATAAACATAGATCAAAGAGAGAAATGATTTGGATGACAATGGGGTTCAACTGACCACACACAAAAGACTAAACTAAAGTGACATAAGTACTGGATGACCAGAGGTTTATTTCGTGAATAGGCGTGGTGATATTGGGATGAATAGTTAAAGTGCATGAGTCATGCACGGTTCTGAAAAGACTGTAAAACGGTGATGATGTATATCTGCAGAATTACAAACTGGCATCTATGCATGATTTTGAAACGATGGGTAGTTTTTAAGGGTTTTCCCCTCCTCCACACCGAAATTAACATGAAGTTCAAAAGAACTATTGAATCACGCATGGTTGAATGTATTCGAGTTGAATAGGGAAGGTACAGCAATTCCCCGGATGTTCGATTGACTGGTGTGTCACAGGTGTTTCAATATACGCGTGTGGTTGGCCAAGGCCTATTGATGCAGGAACACAATGGACACCAGGTATTAGCGGTGGGTGTTTTTAACGGTGGAATCGCGGTGCTTAAGCTGGTAAAGTACCCCGACTGCAGTAAGCCTGGCCGGGACTTGTTGAGATAAATCAAGTGGAGAAATGAAATCGTGAGATGTGACTGTAACACCGAGAATTCACATGTGTGTGACTGAACGGAATGGCTCCATTACCCACGAGCATCTACCCGAACGAGAAACCACGCCGAGTTTCCAGTTAAAATTCATCGCGAATTGAAGGACACACGTCTTGTTACTGTGTATCTAACCTTGCTACCTGTGACAGTGCGACTACCCACAAATTGGATTGTTATTTTGGAGAACAGTAATCAAGGAACATTCTGGTAGATGGTGTTGAACAAGGACGAACGTGAACCATCAGGTCGAAAGTCACAGATACCTGTTGTTGAGGACCCTGACGTTGTTCACGTATAACATGTGACCGTCAGTGTGCAATTGATTGCTTGGGGCAAGTTGATGTTGTGATGCATGTTACCGAAATGGCGTCACAGATGCGGTTTGTGCGTGTCCTGCGATGGTTGAGTCTCCTGCTGATTGCGAGTACGTCAGCGAACGGTCAAATGATAACATTAATCAAGAAACCACCAGATGAATATACATTACAGGGAGAAGTTGTTGTCTTCGAATGTACTGTGACAGGTGTAACAGATACAACAGGTACACAGATGAAGTGGTACAAGGACGCAGCAGAGTTGAACTGTGATGGCAGATTTGTAATTGAGGAACACAGTCTCATCATTAATAACATTGTGGTGGAAGACGCTGGGATGTATTCTTGTCGGTACGGGAATGCATCTAAAGAGGGTACACTCAATGTCTTACCTTCTTCTTGGAAACCTCGGTGTGACAGATCACCGAGTACGGGGAGTATAACCACCGGAGACCAGTACGTCATCACCTGTACCTCCACAGGGCACATCAACACTTCCCTCCGATGGTTCGGCTCGGGAAGTTCCAATACCCTTGATGTCAAAGTCGAGCGGCGGGAGAAGACGGTGTCCATCAGTTACAACAGCACGGTCCAAGACTCGACCTCCCAGCTGCTCTTCATCTGCGAGGCGAACTTGGGAAGTCTAGAATTGAGCTGCTCCATCAATTTTGAAAGCGGGGTCAATAACCAGAACGTCATCCCCTTCGTGGTGGTGGGTCTGATGAGTCTCATCGCTCTCTTGCTCTTCTTCGTGGTGCTGTTTTTCCTCTTAAGGCGCCGCCAGTGCCGGTTCTGCCGGGAGCCCATGTTGGAACCCATCCAAATCCTGGACGCTAACTCGCTCCAGACGGGGGCGTGGATCCCCCCACCGGTGGTGGCTATCGATATGGAGGTCAGTGAGGACGGGGAATCGGTCAAGGATGCACCCCACGTTTATGAAGACATGGAACGTGTCTCACTGCCTCCAGATGTCGTGCCTGCGCAAGAACCAACGAACGATGATTCAGCTGAAATTGACGTACCTGACGAAGCACCCATTGTACAACCGGAACCAGAGACAGTCCCAGCCGTTGAAGCTGCACCTGTCGCAGAATCCCCAGCCCAACCCAAATCCAAGAAGAAAAACCTCACCATCACCAAAAATATAAACCAGAACTTTGACAAGCCGACCCGGACACTGGAAAAGAAGGCGGTGCCGGTGACAGTGCCGCCCTCTGTCATTAAGCCACGCCCAACACACAAGAGACAGAAGAAGGTCATCAAACACTACAAGGAGTCGCCCGTGAAGGCTCGGATCAAGACACCAAAGGAGCCCATCTACGCGCAGGTCAAGAAACTGAACGTCCCATCCAAATCCGTTCCAAGCAAACCAGCTGATGACATTCCTTCCACATCAACGGGGGCGGAGACCAGCCCTGCCCAACCCCCTATTCTACCGCCCCGCCCCTCTTCCGAAGACTTTGACTCGAAGGACGCGAGCTCTACCGCAACAGGTGAAACAGATTCCACGGACCAGACAACGCAACTCGAAAACGACCTCGGAAGGGGGAATTCCAAGAAGAAGCGCATAAGACATTACCGGAAGAAATCCGAAGACATCAAGAAGAACTCGGGCCAGGGTGATGTTGTGCTGAACATACAAGCGACTAAGGAGGAACTTCCAAAAGAAGCAACACAATCTCCGGAAGAATCCAGTGGAACTTCCAAGAAGAAGAAAAAGAACAAGATACCAGCTGATCGCGTTATCTATGCAGAACTGGACTTCAGTAAAGAAGTCGGACTCAATATCCTAGAATAATTTTAATTTTGAAGAGAGTTTTTTTCATGTCGCAATTATTTATCCTAAATCGAGTACGCTGTGTCTTTATTCATATCGAAATCGTGGCTTTTCATTTGACGGGATGCATTTCTAATAAATTTCAAATACAGGTTGAGTAAAAAGAAAAGGAAACCCAAATGTCAGGACCATTTTTTTTTAAAATGAAGCTCTGCATGTAGCACATTCAACTTGGATAATCAAAGAGATGTATGTGAATATTGTTTTCGTTTTGCTGAAAGAACACTGCCTTTTTTGTGATTCGTGGACAGAACTTTAAAACGGTGTTTGTGTTCAAGATTCCTTAACTTGAAAAGTACACGAGTGATTTAAATGACTCTTGTACTAAAAGAAAGCTTATTAATTGGGCTTTCATATCCTTGATTTTGAAAGTGCTACATCAGAACTTCATTAAATAATTGGTCCTGCCTTTTGGGTTTCCTTTTTTTGTTTACTCATCCTGTACTATGCGATTTCTTTGAGGTAACACATCCGATTTTCTAGGAAAATTGCAGGAAAATTTACTTAGGTTTTCACATCAATCGCACAAACATAAGGAATAATACACAAATGAATATCTTTCACTGATTTCAAAGGTAAAGAAAACTGGACGCAGAAATAATTCATATAATTACGTTCACTTTTTAAATATACAATATTATAGGTTCTTATCTTTAAAAATGTTTCCAACATATCCAATGACAACTAATCAGTTATTAAATTATGTATTTAGAAACCATTTGAAAAAAAATACGGCTGCCGAAAAATTATGATGACTGTTATGAAAACCCGAACGTCATTTCATACTTTCAAAATATTCAGTTCCAAAATTATTCATGCATGAAAATGGATCTTAATGCCAGATTACAATAATTACGAAATAGGTTTTACAACTAAATCAAGAAAGTGATTATATTTTTCATTCATGTAATATTATTATTTCTACTGAAGAGTGCATTCTACCGAAGAGTGCAAGAGAACGCAAAAAAAAACCGAGAAAAAAAATACAACTGTTAATTCAATATAACAATATAATATTTTTTAAATGAAATTTGAAGAATACTAAATGATTTTCCCTATTTGATACATTTTATAACCAAAGTATTTTCTGTTAAATTTGTTTTGTTCTATACTCTGCTTGTTCAAAATGTCTGTCGTTTTTATCAGTATCTGTGTTGACGATTCTTAAAACCTTCATGTAAAACAATTGTAGCATTTTTTGACCACGAAATAAAATATTTTTGTATTACTCAGACAACAATCCTGTATTATCACTGAAAAATGATAAGAGCACATAATGGTGATGTGAAACTTAAGTATTTCAAAACAATTTTGTATTCTGTATTTTTTATACAATTGTCTTGTATAAGTTTTGAAATGGAACAAGAAGTTTTTAAAATCTACTAGAACATGGTGTGCTGTCTTCATTTTTAAAACCCATATAATTTTGATACCTTAATCTGAAAGATAATTTAATCAATATTGTGTCATGCGTTGGCAGGTGTTCGGTCGTTCCCATAGCAACACCGGCACTGCGAACCTTCCTGCTTGTATAAAATGACACCCGTGCAGGCACCCATTTTGTTGTCTCTTCCAACAGTGAAGCATTCTACAAATGAAAGTAATTGCATTTTCTAATCGAAGAACTGGTAGCAACGTTTTTCAAGATATTGAGTTGAATCGAAATTAACGGACGAGTATAGAAACAGTAGAATTGTTCTATACTGAGAAATTGCTTTACTATTATGTAAAGACAAAGCACATTTGCAAGCAAACACCTCTGTTTAGGTTGGGTATTTGATTATTTTTTTTGTTATTTGTTATTTTTGTCCCTTTTCAAACATATTTAATTAGGTATACTGTACATGTAACCGTCTGTTTTTGGAATCACAAAATCCTTCTATCTTGCCCTTAAACTTGCTCCACTGTGACTTTCCTTTCATTTTACGCCCCAACCTCTCAAGAGAATGCCATTTTAAAGACTAATATTAAGGGACGTTCGTAACCGTCGAAAATATTGCCTACAATCCTGAATCATCACTGGTTTGAAAAAACAATTAACTTCTTTTCCCAAAATGCGAAGGCCAAGTTGAACACTGAGTGGGTATAAAAAAAAGCAAATGCATGAGTGTATTCAGTGGTTGCACGGCTTGCCAACCATTTAAAAAAAAAACACACCATCGCCAACTAGTACCGCCTTGTCCCCATTTCTCCGAGTGAACCTTTGGAATTATTATTATTATTCAAATAAGCTGAAAACCAACACAATGGAAGTTCGAGGCTGCTGTTTCCATATAAGGTCACAAATTCAGCACCCTTTGTGTGCTCGTACGGATAAAATAGAAAAATAAAAAAAGCACAAAAAATATTCAGTCATGCGTTCATTTCAGACCCATTGAAAGAGAGTCGTGAAAATATGTGCAGCAATTGTAAAGTGTTGTTTTTGGGGGGGGGCTGAATCGTGTGCTTTGTACATGAGTCGAATAGAAATTTCCCTAAACTGCGAAATTCCTCAAGAATGTCTACCCACTGCACAATAAAATCCCACCAAAAATATGTGCGTATGAAGACAAATTGCAAGGAATGCATAAAGGAGTGGGGAAAAACAGATTTGTAGATCCGTTGAACGAAAATGTATTTTTATGCGAAAGAGGATGGCAGCTGGAAGAAATATAAATGGGTCAGAACTCATCAACCTATTTTTTTGTTAGGGGGCGGGGAATTTATTTAAAACAGAAAAGGTATAACGAATCAAAGAGAACGGAGATGTATATTCATCTATATACTTTCTTCCATGCATCCTCAATTGGAGACGATGGGGTCAAAGGGTCATGTTTACCTGTTGCATTAAGAACCAGTTTGCACTTTCAAAGCAAGAGGAGAAACCCCCTCCTTGACCATTAAGGACAATCCTCACAGTTCAAATGAATACTAAATATATCCCAACAAAAACACTTGTACAGTTTCTTTCACTGAACGACGACCGTCCTTGTGGACCAGCCCCTCATGAATATTCACGATCTTATTGTTTGCCCGGATCTTATTTATTATTCACGTGGAACAGTTGACTGAATAGCATTAAGCATGTCAGGTGTGGCTCTATTGTGAAAGTGGTGGCGTATGAAAGAAATGTCAGCCTTTGTGACTGGGTGACGTCATGACTAACCGCCTTCGGTTAGGTATGCATGGTGTTGCTGCTGTACAACACGCAGTTATGCAGTCGTGTTGGTATCGGGATGAATTCAAAGCTATAAATCATATTTTAACCCACCAATGAAGTAAATAAGTAATCAGGAGGGAGTGGTTAAACGAAGATTTGAATTGGTGTCTCGGAGATGACATCAGGACTTGGGAATCAGCCGAAAGGAGAAGAGCGAATCCAACAGGTTTCAGGAGGAAATTGACGAAGATTGGACCGTGGGATTTCTCTTGAACAAACGGTACGTAATTTGGAGTGTCGATTCGGCTCTCTGCCTCCCGGTGTGTGGTGTATACGCAGTGACAATGGACATGGCTTCCTGGTGGAAAACAGCGGTGGGATTGATCGTGGTATTAGTACCGTTAGTGTCATCTCAGGTGTTCCTCACTGAACCCCGAGATGCCGAGGTACTGATGAACGCTCCCATGACTATGCCGTGCAGTATTTCCTCCACCACCCAAGCAACGGTGTACTGGGAAGTGCCAGGGAGTGTCAACAGGTTGTATGTGGAACCAAACCAGCAGCTCCCCGCTGGCACCCCCGCTAGATTCTCGATAGGAGGACAAGATGGGACTGGCAATTACAACCTCAACATCAGTCGCGTTCAGATCGAGGATGAGGGTATGTACACCTGCAATGTCATTGTGGATGACGGAAGAGGGGATATACAGCCGGAGACTTTGACATCCCAGTCTGCGATTCTTACTGTCATCAGAGTACCGCCGATTGGTGATCCGGTCTGCTGGATTCGGGAGGGAAGGTTGGTTGAGGTCGGGGACGATCTCTCCCTGATGTGTGCCTCTAGCGACCCTACGGTGGAGCTGAAGTGGTATCTTGGAGACGTCCCTCTCAGCAGCTCCAACTTTGAGACCTATTCCCCAGGACCGGGGATTCGATATTCCATTCTTGCCGAGAGTTCGGTCAATCAGCGAACATTCACGTGTCAGCCGAACAAGGGACAGTACGAAGCTTGCCAGGTGACTGTCGTGGTTCGGCATTCGCCGATCGTAACCATCGAAGCCGATGCGATGATGGAGACTGGAATCGATGCAACCTTCACATGCACGGCGATCGGAAATCCACCCGACTTCGCCTACACCTGGCACTACAACGAGTACCAGATCTCGTTTGCGCAGCACCCGAGGTTCAACCGAGCGAGACTCGAGAAGAGCGGGTCGGTCCTCATCCTTCCCGATCTAACGGACAGCGACAACAACGCGACTTTACGATGCGAGGCTGTGAACGATGTAGGAGAAGCTACCGCCTCTCATGTCATCAGAGCCCTGCCCGGGAAGACCCTGGCTCAGATCATCGGCCCAATCCTCCTCGGTATCATCCTCGGACTTGTATTGATTGTCTTGCTCCTGTACGCCATCTGGTGGCGCCGCCAGAGGAGAAAGGTCAAACAGATCAACAAGAAGAAGAGCGTCAAGAGGTCCTTCTCCTTACGCAATCGCGCGCAGGAGGACGTCCCGACCGTGGACTCGGGGATAGTCTACACCCAGACCCGTGGCGGATTCGGTAGCCGCTACGGGAAGACAGCCACCAGTAATGGCGACCTGGCTCGGTCTGGGCTGGACTTGGAATCGGCAGGGTACGGTCCGGATGTCACCAGCATCCCAGCTTACCGAGCGACCGCTGAGGAAGAGAGGGAAGACGACGGAGCGCTCAGACCCATCCCAAGAAAGACCTCCATGTCATCCTTGGCTAGTGGAGCCAGGGGCCAGTCAACGACCGCAGATGATGCTTCCCTGATCAGCCCCAATGAGGAGAAATCTTTCACCTACTACGTCAACCCCCATTTCGATGAGTATCGCAACTCGATGGTGAAGATAGAAACCGAAGAGAATAATCTTGATCCTGAGATGGAGGAGGAGAAACACGCCCCTCCTCCGTACAACATCGGAGAAGACTCACCGGAGCTAAAACCAAGTAATGATGTTAAGGATGAGAATATCATCAGCACAGAACTGTAGAACAATTCACCTCATGAAATGACGTGAAAAGTAAAGATCACATGACCGTTTGGGGGAAAAGGCTATTTTTTTCGGCCGCCATTTTGATCCGACGGCTAGACTAGCGATGGCAGGCAGTTTTTAGCCAATCGTTAAATATCAAAGGACATTCTTGTTTGATGAAATTGTATCCGATGTCTACTTGATAAATGTCTAAAAGAAAATGACTGTTATCATTTTTGTTTTCCGAATGATAATTTGTAACGAATGAAATACTGTCTCGCCAATTGGTTGTTGATATAGTCTAAGAGTGTCATGAGCATAATGTTTTCTGACAAGAATTGAGGTGTTTCTGTCCCGAATTCATGTTTTACTTCAATTTTTTTTATGACTATAATCTTCGTTGTGGAGATGCATTTTGAAGAATAAAAAATGGCGTCGTGATACTGCATTCTTTCAAATACCGTCACAACAAAAAAGATATACGCAAACCGTGTACATGAAATAATGGTTAAGATACTTTTTTAAGAAAAAACTTTATTGCGGTTTTTAAATCCAGTACGACCATAGAAATTATTGTACAGTCGAACCGTGATACGGAGAGCACTGTTACTACAACATCCTGCTTATAATAAGAAAAATGTTAGGCCAAAGTCTTTGTTATTCTTTCGTTTCCTTTGTTTTCCATTAATACAAGATACATCTGTTATAACGAGGTAATTTGTTAAGTCCCAAGGACCTTGTTATAATGGTGTTCGACTGTATTTTGAATTCCTGCGATCGGTTTCTACATGAACATACAATGTAACATGTTTTGTGTATTTGGCATTCACCACAAGTTTTAAGTTTTCCTGAGATCGTTAACAATAATTGTATTATTATTCCAGGCCAAAATAACATTTAACAGCCTTGAGACCATTTTTTCCACATCGATCTTCGCATTTGTATTGAAAAACTTCTTCAAAATTCAAATTATGTCAATATCTACCATTTTTATGACTTCTACATACATGTAATTACATTTCAAATTAACTTTTATATGCCACGGATTATTTTGTACTATTGAAATATTTTTTATAGCACCGTGTGCCGCGTTTTTGTTTTGGTTTGTGTTTTGTTTTTATTATTGAACATCTTGTACATAATATATACATGGAAAGTTAGGCCTAAACAAAATGTACCATCGCTATTGAGCTTTGTTAATCTCTTTCTGTGAAACATATTTCAATGCATTCAATAAAATTGCCTTTTTATAGCTGTGGAATTTTCAAGTTCACAATCTTAAACAAAGTCTAATCATGCCAAAAAAGGATTGAAAGTAGTTTTAATTGTAAATGGAAGTAGACTTTACACTTGTTTAAGCATTATAAGATGGTCGAGTAGTCTTTAAAATTGGCAAGTTTTATTTTTACTAAAGCTTCCGTTAAACGCTTTACCTTCCGTGTTATGCTCAAGCGCGAAATAATAAGGTAGTTTTTTTTTTCATTTAATAAAGATAGCCACTTCAAATTGCTTTTAAAAATGATATGGTGTCGGTCGGCCGATAAAATCTCGATATAATCAGCTCAGATATGATATATGCAGCGTTTAATTCGAGAATAAAACATGTTTATTTTGCAGTATGCATGGTTGTGTATTAAGTATTAAAATAGACTTACAGAAGAATTCGGTATTGGTTTTGTAAATTTAAAAGTACATGTAGCTGGATCATGTGTGTACATGTATATACGATTGCTGAAAATTAATTTGGACTCATTTTGAATGATAATGAAATGCAAACATTTTGTATTAATAACTTTAATAGTGGATCGATAATGGCGGGTTTGTCATGTTAAGATTTTTTTCCCTAAAACCTGTAGAATACAATTAAGCTATTGATCATGTTTTTTTTCTTGTCGTGAGCGCAACTGGTTTGCGCACATGCTTTAATCAGTTATGCAGCAATCAAATGATATTTAGAAGAGACCAATTTATCAAATAATTGTTATTTCCCAAATGGTGATGCAAAAATAAACCAAAAAGAAAAGCACTGCAGACATGACCAATGTTGCAGGAATTTCAAGCAATTATTCCTTGTTTACTTTTGGCACACAATGAATTCAAGGGCGGATCCAGAACAATTTCGGGGGTGGCCCTAAAAAAATTGTGGTCCCCCCAAAAGTGGGTCAAAAAAATAATGGCGTGGGGTTCGGGGCCCGATTTTTTTTTTGATTCTAGATGGTCTGTGGTGCGATCTGAAGTAGTTTCTGACCACTTTAATCAACGTTTTTGAGGAAAAGATGGTGGTGTACAGGCCTACGTAGTGCCTGCCTTTATTGCGACGTCACTTAAAAAAAATGGGCTCGGGTTTTTTTTTTTTTGGGGGGGGGGGGTCATGGCCCCCGTTGGCCCCCACCCCGGATCCGCCCTTGAATGAATCACTAATCTGTTGGTCATTGGGGAGGGATTCTGCAGACCAACTTAATATTAAGCTACAAAAATAATGATGTTACTTATATTACCCCCACCCATACCCCCATCCCCCAAAACCACACCCGAAACAACACTCAACTCGTACTTATTTATCAACTGAGTTTTACTCATTTATAATCGACCGTTGGGGCTCTTTTGACAGGGGGGGGGGGGTCGTAGTATGTTGGTGGGGTAGGTAGGTGGGTTTGAAAGGGTAGAACGGTGCTTAAAATGAGATTAAATCGAGGTGGGAAATGTTACTTTTGGATACATAAAAACTCTAAAACATTTTTGGCGGAATATACATTTTGTAATAAAAATACTTGATGAATATTAACTGGCCTGCTATGAACAGTATCCCTAGACGTAGACAAAATGGTGCAAACATTCCTGACCAAATTATCTTCGTAAGATATTTTTTTATAAGGATATTCCGAAAATCAGGACTTCCATTTCAACAGATAATTTGTTATGATTATGACAGTTAAAAAAATAACTTGGGTGTGTGGCTTCTTCGTACGAGGTCAACGACAGAGGGCGCACAACATTTATTTGGCGTTACTTCCGGGGTTAAGTTGAGCGGAGTGTCCTGTGCAGTTCATTTCTTTCACGCCTTTCCTGAGATTTTTTGCCGCAACCATGAGTGTCAAGTACTACTATTCGAGTGTCACCGGTAATATTGAGGTACGTAGCTTACTCCGGGGGAATATTTATTTCGGAAAATTACTGATGATGGCGGAATAAACATGATTAATCGAAACTAAACTCAGTCGTGCATGTTGTCACGTACGATCATCCGCCCATTTCCTGTGCCATTTGTATGCTAAGTTGCATCCCCATGCATTGTATTTTGTAGCAACTGTCCGAAGTATAAGCTGTCCAGTAACAATAATACAATGGCGTTTTTGTGCAACCGAAAACTAGTAGAAGGCTAATTTCACCAAAACTGAAAAGAAGGAAACGGGAGGTTTTTTTTGGGGGGGGGGGGGGAAAAGTATTGTTTTAAAAAGTTTGGTAAAATGAACTTAGCCCAACAGTCCCTGGCCGTACACTATCACAAGCTCTGTAGGTCAGCCAGAGTGGCATTGCTCCCCTACACACTGAAAAGTGATTTTGCTACCGATTTTGATGGAGATTATCTTCTCATCCAGGACAGAAATTTCCAAAGTTAGGGTACCTAGTCGTAGAGGAACTAATTAGTGTTCGAAAACACGTTCCTTTATCTAGAAATCTTCATCCATCTGGCCAAAAAAAGGACGGTAAGTCATCAGCTCCCACGAATATCGTCCCAAAAATGTGTCTACATGGGGTTTCAAAATGTCGGACGCGTTCTAATGTACTATGCATTATGCGGGCGCGCGTGGGCAAGGTTATGAATATGCATTGAACAGTTCATGACCTCGTGTTTGTAAAATTGTAGTTTCACGGTAATTTTCGCCATGTTGTTCACAGGGCAAAAAAAGAACAAGCATTGCTAGATGCGAGTGCATGTTGGAATGAACGCATGATGACTTGGAAGTGCAAAAGTTTTTGATGGATGATGCGTACACAACAACATGTGTAAATTGAAAAAAAATGTGAACAAAATAGAGAAAAGGTAATAGATAAAGCTGTTAATAAGAATCTTCATTTTTATTCACAGATGAAAAAGAAACAGCAACACATTGAAATGATTCTGGACTCAAAGAAAGTTCAGTACGAAAAAATTGATGTTGCTGCCGAGGAAGAACAGAAGAAGAAGATGAGAGATTTGATTGGCGATCAGGCTGCATTGCCTCCCCAGCTCTTCAACGGTGACACTTATCTTGGCGTAAGTTGGGAAAAAAAAGTCTAGTTGGCTAAATACAATTATTAAGAGCAACTGCAGATTGTTTTTGTGCCAAAAAAAAATGTTACGATATCCATACCTTACTTGTTGAAAGATTGTTATGACTGTCCTTTTTGGGTGCTGTGTATCTACGCTATAAATTGTTTGTCAAATGTTAGCACAAATGTCACAGGTTTGCGTGTATTCAGTGGAGTAATCCATTGCACACACTGAACTCCATTTACATGCCACTAATGCGCCAAACTATTCGCTATTCGACTACATTCCTCAATAACCCTTACCACTTTAACCCTTCAAAATCCAACTGCATGTTTTGTTGGAATCTGTTGGAGTGAGTACTGCACTAAAGCCGAGTACACGCTTTACATCGGGTCAGGCATACAACCATAATCAGAGTCCAACAGTGCCTCATATTACTGTTTGTAGTTCTACACTGAGGTCATAAATACCAGAAAGAATACTGACTTACTTGCATGGAAGAAAGCCTATGTTAGTCCAATTGTCCACAAATCCGTGATTTTCCCTTTCCTTCCAAAATCTGTTGACGTCTGTCTCCAGGAACTCATCAGCATATGAGCTACGATTTGGAGAGAATAATAATTAACAATAATAATATTAATAACAATTTATTATTATTATTTGAGAGAGATTCATCATTCAGGGTAACCTTGGAGAAAAAAAAAAATTAAGTGCAATCCATTATTAAAATTCTGAACACATCTACGCTTGTAAAAGCACAGTTCAGAGTGAACTTATCGATTTCGGTATAGACAAATCTGGCGGCAGTCATTTTCTGCAGTGACACCAGGCTTGTGCGAGTCACGCTCAGGTAGTTTATTACGCACTACCAATACGAATACCAAAATGCACGTGCGCCTCGTCTTTAAGAACGTGTGCAGCACGCGCATGAGCGTGACACCACCGCAGTAATAAAGTTTCTAATTCTGGTCGCCGGATTCCACTATAGACCATTATCATGTTGCGGCCATCTTGATTTTTCCCCATTCAAATCAACATAACCAAAGCGAGGCTGGAAGAAAAAAATAGTCTGGTTCCTTTTTGCCCCAGAAAAACATCATTCAGTACTGTTATTGGATACAGGAAACATGACTGAAATGGCGGCAGCATGATAAATGTCTATACTGGGCAGAGTTGTCATTGAGTCTGTCACAAGTCCATCACAAGTCATCAAGTCTCAAGTCAAGTCACAAGCTATTCAAATGCATAGTTGTTAAACCCTCAACCCCCCCCCCCCCCAATTTGAGCACCCCATCCTTGTACCCCCCCCCCTCCATCCTTCCTGCCAATTATGTTTACCCATGGTTGATTTGTTCATTATAGGACTTTGCTGCATTTGATGTTGCAGTCGAGGAAGGGTCTTTGGAGAAGTTCCTGAAGCTATAAATGTCTGCAGATGGTCCACTTTTAATAACAAAAAAAATCTGAAACCTTTGCTCAGGTACATTATTTTTCTCCGGTAGTTTCACCAGCACAGATCCTTCTTTCTTTTATCGCCAAATATTGTTGTTTAGGCTCTTTTAAGCATTGCTTTGTTGGAAAAAATGAGAGAAGGACAATCAGAGAAAAAAAATACTGCATTTTGAATTGCGATTACATCATGTAGTTATAGGTTCATTTATAGAAACATAGTTATTCTAGGTAGATCGATTACCATATTTTGTAAGTTCCTACCCCTACTTGATATCACATAACGCTACACTACTGTATTTTTGAGAAATATACGACTCACTTAGAACTAAAACTCTATTTTGTTAAGTTGCAATACATTCCACTCCAGTAACTTTCAAGTTTGTTGCATAAATTCGCGACTTGTTAAATTGAATATGAATTTTGGTGCTCAGCAAGATGCATGTAACAACCACAAGTAGTTAGTAGAAATGGGTTACCACGATCTTGGATAAGAAAAAGGGATCTTTAATTAAATAAATCTGGTTAGAAAATTATTTAGAAAACCTTGGGGAAGGTTTCTTTTTCCTTATTACTTACTAGATGTTTCTTTAGCTGTACCACTGGTAAAACTAAAAACATAAGTCCACTATAATTAAAAGGCAAATTCGAAAATCATGGCAACTGAACACCGAATTAACCGAACTACAACTTCAGATTTTTCCAGTTAAATACATTCCACTTCGACGCCTGATGCACAAATTTGCTTTTTGGGGTTCTCAATTTGTAAATTATCATCGCATTACAACTTTTAGTAAATAGTTCCCTTGGCACACACTCTACAAGCCTGTCGGTGGAAAATAGAATAGCATGAGAACTAGACAGACGTTTGATACAATTGTTATTTTTTGGTAATTTTGATAATTTTTTTGGCACTCGTTAACTCGCAAGCGAATAATGTGAAAGAGGAATTAAAATTCCGTCATATTTGTGAAAGTTTGGTTAAATTACATTGTTGATTATACTCTCACCACATTACTACAATTTTCTTCAAATTAAGAGAGTACATAGAAATGATATTAGATTAGTTCAAACTTAATCTTCAGCGGTTTAAAGGTCTTATATAAAAGGTGTTTATTTTTTATTGTACTACTTTCTTTTAAAGAAATAATGTTTTGGTGACAAATTTTATTTTTTATTTTTCATGGGTTAACTAATTGATTTACTTGTTTTTATTGATGGAATGGTTAATCTTTTGAATTGTAACGATTACATCTGAATAATGTAATGAATTATAGGTTGACCTTTTTGCATCGGAGGGCAGGTCTTTGTTCCTCTGTGATACGCATGAGTGGACGTATTGTACTTCCTTGTCACTCAATTTAAATGACAAAGCCTGTCCTCCTTGAGGGCGCACTGTGCAAGGAGTCTGTACATTAACCTGAACTCCCTCTAGAGGCGTTTTTACAAAGGACCTTCTATGAAAAAATGTCGGCTAACATCCAACATCCGGCATTACCAGTATGGCACTTTCTTTGAACATGAACAAAACTGGAACATGAAATCTTATGTAACCCCCCAAAAAATCCGCAGAAATCAATCAAAATCTGGTGTTGGATCTTAACAATTCAGCTAAAATGCAACACCGGGCATTAATGGTATGGAACATTTTTGAATTTGAATCAAATTTCATGACTTCAAACTCCATGGAGAGAAAAAGCACCATGGCTCTCCATCCTTAATCCATCAAAATCAATCAAAGTCACTTGTTGGATTTTGGGCAGATTCGGGAGGTATTGGGTGAATGCAACCTAGTTTAGGACTTTGTTCACATGTATTTGGTGTATTTATCAACAGCACGTACACAGTCATATTAGTTGCACGTTTTTATATCCACATTATTGAAATAAAGAACATTATTGGCAAAAAGTTGTTTGGTTTGTGTGCGTTTGTTGGCTAACTTGTTAGCTAGTTTTGTTTTATTGACATTATTGTCTGGAAGGATTTACAACACTGTCAACTGATGGTGGATGATGTTGGTTTTTGTGTTATAATGAAGGATTTGGGTGGGGCCATGGCAATGCTTGGTGTTGAGAAAATAATATTTGAATTTAACACATCGGAATACGTGGCTCGCTTGGTAGAGGATTGATTGCATGCGATTCCATCAGTTACGAATTTCAATATGAAAGCTGACCTTTATTCGGTTATTCACAACTTGGGCTCGATGGATACTCAAACAACCTGCCCTTCCCCACCCCACATCACCCACCCTGATCAACCTAACCCCTTCGTGCCATGGCCAATGAATAAATTGATGAAATAAATAGACGCATAAATACATTCACTCTATTATTAACCAGAACTGGGTCTTGAATATTGAGTTGCCAATCAAACGGTGAAGCCAAAACACATGCACAGTGATTGACACGGACACTTTTTAAGGTCTGTTCACGCTAGACAAAACAATTTAGACAAGCTTATCTTTCCTTGGTCTGTGCCAGGGTGTGCTACCCTCGTATGCACAAGTACATTCTAGGTCAAGTTGTCCTTTCAGTCAAAATCAATCACATGACTGTTTTCAACAGTTGAGAGCTCCCAGCGTACATAAAGCAGGATTGACTGGCTGTGACTGTTAATGTAACTTGATACAGCTATGCTTTGACTGTGGGTGATTGATAAGCCAGCTGGGCCCCTCACTTGCCTGCTTTTGTCTGTTGACTTAAATCGACTAGTCACGGTGTTTGCTGAAAATATTATGATCTGACTGTTGATGACTAGCCTGTGTTAAAGGCATGGCAGGGGAAGTGGATGGAATGTTTGACTGTCTGTGACTGTTCAAACAGTAGGAGGGTTGGTGCCCTAGAAAACAACCTGTTTCACTGCATCCTTCCAAGACTCGTGATTGTAAATCAGATAAACGACTATGACTTAAAGACCAGCACTTAGTACTCGGACCTTCTGGAATAATGTTACTTAAAAGGAAAGATGAATGAGCTCGTGCCCGCGCCTGATACCTCAATTTCGGTTACTATGGCGATGATCAAGCCTGCAAGCTTTTAATGGGGCACCGTAAATCAGAACTGATCCGTGAGACCGTGACGTCACGATCTGATATATCCTAGCAACTTCATGTTATTTTAATGACGCAAGGATGTTGGCGAACACACTAATCAAACTGAGTGTGACACAGTTATTGATGTGGAACACAACGAGAATGCCATCAAGAAAGTGATGCATCCGCTTGGGGGAGGGGCATATGATTTGATAAGGGGGGGGGGGGGGTTGAGGTGGCGGGTAAATCGTTAACGCCCTTTATAGTGAGGTACATTAGTAACAAAAATGCTAAGGATCGTTACACAGTGGACAAAAGCACCATTTTTTCACCAAAGCATCTCCATGGTATTCCTTTTCGAAAAAAAGACGGACGCAAAAAATTGAACGATGGAAAGGTCATGTATGACGTCATTATGACGTCATCAGCTAATTATTACATGAAAAAATATAAATTGATAATACTTTTCAGAACTACAAGCATTACAACAACAAATGTGGTATCAAATTAAAGGGGACAGCAAGCTCTTTCATTTGAGTGGTATGTCATGGGGATGGAATATAGTTAAGGGTGATTTTGTGGGTCAAACAGACCCCTTTTGGGGGTCAAAAGACATGTTTTTAGGCTAAAATCATGGATTTAGGGTAGTCACATTGACACCTTGTTTTAACATGCAAACAGTATGTGGTATTGTGAGATGTTGTTTTTAAGTCAGAGAGAAAGGCTCAAATTCTATGCTTAAAGAGTTTTTGTAATTGATTATTAGTATCTTAAATGTTTAGTGTTCCAAAGATAAGCGGAAAAGTGAGGTACCTTAGTGATATAATCGTGACACGGGTGGACAAAAGCACCATTTTCACACCAAAGCATCTCCATTGTTTACTTTTTCGAAAAAAAAGTAGGATGCAAAAATATTGATGATGGGAAGGGTTATTTATGACATCATTATGACGTCATCGGCTAATTATTACACACTTATACATTAAAATTTAAATATTAGTTAGGAATAAGCCATGGATCGGTTTTTTTACATTTAATATACATTTCTGAGATCAAGGAAATCAGTGCAGTTGCCAATTTTGTTCTTAGACTATCTTTAAAAGAGTTAAATACAAATAGTTTGATAAAAAGAGGGATGTTTCCTAATTTGTAATAAATTAAACATGTATGTACATGTACATTTGACCCTCGCTCCTATCCCCTGTTGTGATCAATGATTCGTTAAAATGCAATGTTTTACCGGTACGTCATGATTATCTCATAAATGATTACCTCAGGAATGATGCCACGAGGCATTATTTTCCACAAAAGTTTCTACTGTCCCTTCGGCTCCGTATTCTACATCAACTGGCAATGCATTTATTGCCCTAAACCCTTCAACATTAGCCAGGAATTGAGCATATACTTCTCCGGCGTTACAATTTAAACCTTTTTGTGGACAACGTAGTTTTTCTGGGCGCTGGGGGGATGGAACATTTCATTGGGGGGGGGGGGGCGTCATGTAGATCAATGAATTTTTTTTTAGAAACTCAAAATCTCAGTGGGGGGGGGGGGGGGCGGCTGGGGGGCGACAAGGTTTCATGCCCCCCCCCCGCCCCCTGTGGCTACACCACTGCAGGTCATACAGTTAAAGTTTATGTAAACTTGAATGAAAAGTCAAAGAAAAGTAACTCCCATGATCTATTTGACACCAAGTTTGTGTTAACTTGCCGGTAACGCCCTAAAAAATTATCCTGACAAATATGTTTATTTTGTAACATTTTATGTTCGTCTGTCGGTCTTCTATGCTGTTATGTTTACTTTTAGGTACCTTCAATGGTACTATGTTTAATTAACCTGTTCATTTGTTTAATTAAACTAATAACGCACATATAGTTGCCAAATATGGCACTAACAAGTTTGAAGTCGGCAATTTCGTCTTTAAAAATCTGGGTACATCGGGTTACCGTACACACAATTGTCATGGAGACAACAGTACCAAACTACAGAAAGTCGTACGCAAGAGCTCCCCAGCAAATATCGCTGACGCCATTATGATTCCAAAATTTCTCACTGTGTCACACAGTGAAATAACTAAACAGCGTCGTTGTATTGTGAACACATAAAAACATTCAAGTCGCGTTCTTGCACACTCTCTGCAAGTCGAAATAGATATCCTTGAACCACTGCCCCTGCTTTGCATAACAAGTGCACACGAATGAACGATTCGACTTTTATTCAAAGAAATTTCTATGTACAGTCACCAGACTCTATTCAGTAAAGTCCCCGTCAAAACGAAAATATACAATCCACGTGCATAACGCACGGCTACACCATCGTACAGTGTGGCAGGGACACCAACACGTAACAAAACAACTAAAATAATTTTTTAAAATTGATACATATTCTGATTGAATTTCGTTAAAAGATACTTGTTGATGAGGTATCACAATATTACAATTTGCAATTTTGAGGGAAATGCGCAAAATACTGCATAAATAATTTCACTTGATCATATTCATAATACACAAAATCTTTTTTTTTGGGGCGGGGTGACCTATGACTTTTGGGTGATTTTTCCCTCCAACGATGATCACCCCATCGCCATTTTGAAAAAACAAAAAACAAACAGATTCCTTCCACTCCATATCAATATAGATTCCATTCAAATGTTTTGTTCAGAAATCCAAATTCAGGGATATGGACCCTTCACTTCTACAAATACAGACCCTCAAGTGCAGGGGCCAAAATTCTTTATTATTACAGATAAACTAAATCATAATTTGGCCGGATTAGGTCGCGCCTATTCGGGCTGCCTCTCATTATGTACTGCGATCTGGAAATCTCTAGCGTAATAAAGACTTGAAGAAACTTTATTTGATTTATTTGATTCAATTATTTTATTTTAAATCTTAAAACATAAAATAAAAGCTAAAGTTGGACAGGCTGCCACGGATATGTAAAAGTAAAAAAACAAATTGTCACCAGACGATTATCTAAACCCCTGCCAATAAAAGAGATTTAAAATTCCATTCATAAAAATTAAATTACTATTGAAAAGTAAATTGTACAAATCATACGAAACCACACGAGACGAGACATGACGAGACATGACGAGACGAGACGAGACGAGACAAGACTGGGAGATGAGACAAGACTCAGCAAAAAAAATCATAGGGTGAAACATTAGACAAACCAGACAGATACAAAAATATAAAAACGAACTAATAAGTAAATACTCTTACAACCCAACGAACAAACAAACAAACACCCCAACACCCCAACAAACAAACAAACAAACAAACAAACAAAACAAACAACCAGACTCAATAACGGGAATGAATGACAAACGGGCTAAAAAGATTATTACAAACAAAACAAAACAAAACCGAGAAACAAAAGCAATCCCATTCCCCAGAGAGAAATATGCAAACCATAAAAACAAACAACCTAGTTGACATACATAAGTATAAGGTCTACACTCACATTAAATACACACTCTAAAGAAACAACAAGAAAATACCCGGGAACAAAATGAAATATGACACAATTTTACATTGACGATAAAATAAATATGACTGCAATAATTCCTCCCTCAGTTTTGAAAGAAAAGATTCACAACCTTCTATAGTTAAAACTTTTTCTAATTTTAACACGGTGACTTCGGAGAACATCAATGAGGCAATCGAACAGTTCTCGTATCTTGTAATCCATGTGTCTACACTCTAAAAACAGATTGGTTGAAATAACCAATATATTGGTCAAATTCAACCAATGTGGTTGGTAGATATGTGTCCAACCAATCTATTGGTTAAAATAACCCATCTGAAATGGTTTGCTTTTCAACCTATCTATATTAGTCAGAATACTAACCAACATGTCTTGGTTGTTTTTT